CCCCCCCCTCCATGCTCACCTCGCTGGCTGGCTGGCTTATACGGTGCCGTCCTTGCTCGTTCGGCTCTTGAATTGGGTCCTGGTTTTGCACTCCGCGAAATTGCTTTGGCTCGCGTCCCGCGCTCAATTCCTGCACGCATTCTTGTGTGGGAATGGATGAAACCTCGCTCATGCGCCACGACGCGGCTGCTCTGCTCGCTTTTCCCGACGTTGCTGTCTGTCGCATCGGCTTACTCGCTCGCTCACTCACTCGCCGGCTTGGCTGTTGACCACTTTCTGGCATTGTTGCTCGGCTGGCTGCTGAATCGCAACAATGGCGCCTGTTCTGCGTCCACAACGTCACGACGTGCGACAATCGCTCTTGCCGACGCCTTGTCGACGACTTCTCCCGGTTCCTCACCCCGTCGACCTTCACTGCGACCGTTCTTCGCTATCAAATCATCACCGCCTTTCGTTCCTGGTCGCAATCATTTCTCACGGTGCCTAATCAACAAATTGGCTCCGCCAACAAAATCATGCTGCCGCCACGGAAATTTCGACCTTCGGCATCACCTCCGAAAACCTGTCCAACCACGTTTTCCGACTTTTTGCGCATTTTCGGCACTTGCGCTGTTTCACCGTTCCTGTGCTCTGGCTAAATCGCTGTGCGCTCCACGACCCTTGATTTCTCGCCTCTCCGCCTTTGGCCCACATGTCACGTCCCTTGATGGTCTCGACCCGTCCTCGCCTCGCTTCGCTTAATTCACCAAATCACCAATCCATCACCGCTCCCATCTCTCTTCCTCGCTCGACCGCTACCTTTCCACCACACATCGGTGTCGACTCCAACACTTCGCCTTTGCAACCCTTCACACGGCGCTCATCGCACACACGTCACTCCTCTGTCATTGACTTTTCGGCCTATCTCATCGGCACCTGACCGACGCTGCGCATCGGATCACCCGCTTTCTCGTTCTTCGTTGGCTGACTTACTTATACCCTCGACAGTCTCAGCGACGCAGTTCACCGACCCATTCAGCTCGGCCAACCGCAACAGCATCCGTCTCAGTCCAAGCGACAGTGACAACAGTCGACGAGGCGGACCACCATCGTCTTTCCCCGGGGACGACGACGCTTGCGATCCCAAATCTTCGCCTTCCTCCAGCAGCCTAAGTCCCTCAGCCTCATCTCCGCTGAGCCAAGCAGCGCGGTCCAACTCGGAGCGCAGCAACAGCCTTCATAGCATCATTGAACTCGGCCCGCCTTCACCTACCTCATCGGCAGCCTCGGCTGCTGGCAAGCATCCACGCTCCGATCAGCCGCCTTCACCGACTCGCTCCTTCAAGCATTCACGCGTTGCTACCTCGTCCACAGTGCCCAGGCCCATCCAAACCACAGCGCCGCGTCCACACCGCTCCTCCTCTTCCTCATCCCCATCGTCCTCCATCGGAGGTGTCTCTGCTGCGACTGGCAAGAGCTCATCTCCGACAGATCCGTCCCAATCTCAACCTCAGAACGTCTCGCAATCCACGACTTCTGCCTCTGTCGCCGCCCATGCCAGCTCCTCGCAACCACCATCTTCATCGTTGAGCAGCTTTGCGCCGCCTGGCCTCTCTCTCAGCCCGCCTTCGGCCGCGCTCAAGGCCTTGAGTCGCAGCTCCTCCAAGAGGATGTCGTTCGACACAGCACCATCCTTTTCAAGCCCGCTCGCCTTCGCATCCATCCTGCCCAATGACGACGACGCCAATGACGACGACACCCTCAACGCCGAAGGTGCGCCGCTCCCTTCGTCGCCTGTCTGGCTAGGCGACAGTGCGTCTAATCGATCCAGCTCGGATCCTCAGGCAGCCAGACGTCGAACGCAGGGCTCGACCTCGTCTTCACAAGGTAGCTACACCCAGCCCCTTTCGCCAACGTCACCCTCGTCCGTCTCGTCCGCGACATCTCAGCCCGGCGCCCGTCAGTACAGGCAAGACGCTTCCGATTCGGCCGCTTCCGACACTGTAGACGAAATGCCTCGGCGTGTTAGCAACGAACAGCGCTCTTCCATGCGCAAGGACGCCGTTACAATCAGCGCAGTATCGGCCGCTGATCTTGCCGGCGCTTCCCCTCTCGCGCGCACATCGTTGCGACTCGACCGCGAGCGATCCACCTCCAATCCCCTCCACAGGGCTGTCGCCGGCGCCTCCAGGCTGAATCGGACGCCTTCACGGCATTCGCCATTCCAAAGCATGAACGTGGTCGATGACGACGCATCGTCCGTCGCCTCGGATGACGTTGCTACGACCGGCTCCAACCTGACCCGCAAATCGTCTGTCACCAGCTCAAGCGGATCCATGGGTCCGCCCGCGATACCGCGGCGCATAGGTGGGGGCGCCACGGGCTCGCCTGCTCTCGAGCCCATCGACCGTGCATCCACCATCGCCATGGGCAAACGCAAGGAGGATGCTTCGCTGGGACTCGGCATGCCATCGAATCCATCTCCGCTTTCGTCCAGCTCGTCGTCCGGTCTGCCAGCCTCGAGCTCCTTCCACTCTGGCTCGCCCACGATCAGCTGGGATGCCCGCGGTGCTCGAAGCAGCTCGGGCGCCTTTGCCCCGTCCAGCTTCGGTACATCCACCAACAACACGCCGACGACGGTGACGGGCGGCGGCAGCGCCATCATGCATTCGGCACGCCGCAGACGCATGACTTCTTCGTCGCTCAGCTCGAGCGTCCATCGCCGCGCCCGTTCTCTCGGCGGCGTACTTCTCGGCGAAGGAGCCATTTCGCCTGTCGGAGGGCCCGACGGCGTGGATCCCAATCTAGTGGCAGCAATCGAGTCTGGCAGTCCCAGCATTCCGCTGCCTGTCCCTATTCCAGCGGCCTCGGGCTCGCATCGATCGTCCAGCGTCAGCTCATCCGGCACGCAGGGCGGCGCCGCCTCGTCTCTCTCGAGCTCTGGTGTTGCTTCTTCGTCCGTCCCGTTCAGCTCTTCGGTTGTTGCCCGAGCTTCGTCGCATCGCCGGAGAAACTCGCAGGTCATCGAGGATGAGGATTTCCCTCGGAGTGAAGCGGCTGGTCGAACACCCTCGCCCAGTCATACACGCTCGCGAGTCCGTAGTCAGACGCTCGGCATCCCTCCGTCGCCCATCGGCCCTGCGTCCGCACAGACGGCAGTGCTCGAGACTCCCGCCAGCACGACTGGGTCAAGCCCGTCGGTCAAGAGTGCTGGATCCGCCAATCTCGCAGATGCGATTCGCTTGCAACGTGTACCGACGGCCGTGCGCCTAGCCGGCGATCTGATCGTTCCGCCTTCACCCTCGCCCCGCAACATGCCCAAAAGTGCATCCACCGCGTCGATCGAGTCGCCTCTGAGCAAGTGGACGGCATCGAGCGCAACAGCTCAGCATTCCAGTCCTTTGGTGCTTGGCGGTACCAGCCAAGGTCATGGTCTCGGCCTGGGACTCACCTCTGATGCTGCCTCGTCGCCGCCGACAAGCGCCGGACGCCTGAATGTGCCCCAGACGCCCAACGCCACCCGCAGCAATTCGCCGTTGGCGTACGAATACTCGTCCGGCGCAGAAGAGTCCGGCGCATCTGGACGCTCTTCGCCAGCGATGGAGCGGCTCAGAACCGATCAGACAGCCAAGCCCGGCCATGACAGCAGCGGACAGCCTCTGTCGGTCTCAATCCCCATCGGTCGCGACTATGGACCACCAGCCAGCCTGCCTAGCTCCGCCATCCTTGGCTCACGCTCACCCACCCTCATCCCGCCTCGATCCGACCTTCTCGATGTGCCCACTAGCGCACCACGTCACGCAGGTCTACCGGCGAGTACGAGCGCATATTCGCCCCTCCTTGCTCTCAATGCATCTTCTGCCCGAACGAGCCCTACGGCTGAGCGACGACCTCGACTCGCTTCTAGTCACTCAATTACCCAGCGCATGTCATGGGGCGCTCAAGAGCTTTTCGACAGCTTGCAAGAAGCGACGGATGGCCACGACGAGCATGACGACGGCTTCGAAGACAAGCCAGCGCCGTGGATCGCGTCGACGCAGGATGCAGGTGTCCAGTCATCGCTCGCACCTGCTGCTGCGTCGCTCAGTCAGAGAAGGCAGACGCAAGGCAACCTGTCCAGCTCGATCGGTTCCACTCATCTGCTCGGTGTTCCGCCATCGAATCGACGTGTACATCGGCCCAGCGAAGCAGCGTTGTTCACTCCTGTCGGGAACTTACCTACAGCTGTTCATCAACCCATGTCTGGCACCGACGAATACGCCCGCATCATTGTGCAAAGCCGAAATGCCAAGATGCAGAAATGGCGAGCGCAAAATCCTTCTCGCTTGGGATCGTACCTGCGGCAACGCAATGAAGTCGCCACTTTGGGAGGGTCACAGCTTTCGCGCGAACGAGTCCAGAACAGCACGGCTGAGGCTCCTCTGATCCTTGGGCAGACGAATCTGGCTCGTCGAGGCACGACGATTGGGCTGCAGAGGGACTCCAGTATGGTGGGTGCGCCCGCGCCGACACGTCGATCGTCGGCGGTGGGCTCGGACGACAGCATCGAGTCGCAGCTGGACGAGGACGAAGACGGTCAGCGAGGCCTCGAGTCGTCTGCCTTCGCCGAATTCGAGTGGGTTGATTGGCTCGACGAGTATCGCAAGATGAAGGAGGCCAAGCTGCAATCTGAGCGTGAGGAAGCTGAGGCTCAGGCAGCTGTCGAAGCAGGCGCGCCCGATGCCGAGTCTGCCGCCGTTGACGCGGAAGGCTCTGCTGTCCACGACGTTTCCTCAACAACTGCAGATGATGAAGGGGCAGCCTCTTCTCCGCGCCGCTCTGGCAGCGAAGCCATCGACAACGGACGCGTCTCTGCTCTGCAGAAGCAGCCGGCGGATGGTCACCGGTCCGTGTCGGATCCTCTCTCGCGCCAGAGGCTGCAGACGGCCGAGCCTATCGACGTCGAGCAGGACGCGATGGACGCAGAAGAGGTCGAAGCCGCCCTGGCAGCCCTCAGCCTCGACGATGACAACGGCGATGATGCTGCTTCCTCCAAGACCGCACGTGCGTCTAAAGCAGCGCAGCTCGGTCCAGCTCGCCGACCCGATCCCTCATCGCGGTATTCGACTCGACCAGGCACAATCCAACAACGCAGCTTTTCGTTGGCGAGCGCCGAGCTGTCCAGTCGTCACTCGGGCGCGGACTCAAGCTCCACTGCCCTCTCCACCTTGTCCTCCTCCCCGGGTCCTGTCAAGGCCGGATTCTCCCCCGTCAAGCGGCTCGGCACCGACAAGGCAAAGAATTTGTCGCTCTCCCCCATCACCAGTCGCGTCACGCCCGCGCCTCAGTACACAAGGGCAGCAAGTTCCCATTCGGCACGAGCACAGGCGCACGCTGCCGGACGTGGACGGCGCAAACATCTCGGTGGCAAGATCGAAGCGTGGTGGAGCGCCGTCAAGTCCGGCTTTACCGCTCCAGCCGGCGACGGCTGGGCCAAGCCGCCAGCTTCGACGGCCTCTCCGCGTCGCAACGAAGCTGATCCTCGCACCGGCTCAGCAGCTGCGCTCTCTCACTCATTGTACCAATCTCCATCGATGGCTTCCGCTCGCTCGACAGGTTTCAGCCAGAGTCGTCGAGACGCTCCTCGTCCCGCACCTTTGTCTTCCTCAGCCATCGCCAATCCGGCTATCGCAACGCCATCCCCCACCCTCGTCACGCAGGTGCAGAGCGGGTTCGGCCGTCACATGCGCTCGCATACTGGCAACACGGCGATGAGCGGCACCGACTCGGTCAAGACGCTGCGCTCGAGCACATCGGCGCAGAACCTCGGGAAGGACCTTGCTCAAAGAAGCGACGAGAGCCTGGAAGTGGGTGATCGTAGCGACCGCAAGTCGGCTTCGCCGGCAGCCGACGCCAGCTTCGTGACAGTGCAAGAGGAACCGGGCAGCTTGGAAGCACCCATGTCCGCGTCGTCGCAGCAGAGCCAAGAGACGCGTTCTTCAGGCGGTCGACGCCGTCACCAACCCAAACTGTCCCTTCAGCTGGACAAGGGACTGAGCACTTTTGACGCCGAAGAGTTCGACAAGATCGGCATGGGGAAATCGCCCTCGAGCTCGAAGCAGGCCAGTCCCACCAAGCCGCCCGTCTCTGCGCGGTCCGACGGCAGCACCGGCAGCGCCAAGGAGGTCAGCAAGTCGCTGGCCGCTGAGCCTGCACTGCAGCCGGCCCTCTCGCCTCGGAAGTCCTCGCCGCAGCTTTCCCAGGCGTGGGCTTCAAGTCCGCGTATTGCGAAGAAGCCGTTGCGAGACGACGACGACGATCGCGATGTCGATGCTGACTCCGACGATGATGAGGGTCGTGCTGCCGTCAGAGCGAGGGCCGCGTCCAAGGCGATCACGATCAACTCAATCCGGCAGCACATCCGTCACCGCCTGCTCGCGTCAAAGGAGAGCTGCGACCGGGAGCTGCGTCGCATTGTCGGTGCCATCAACAACTACGTCGAGCTCGAGCTCGAGAAGCAGGAGGACGAAGGTCGACGCAGCGTCGTCGGCGACGACCGCGACGTGGAAGAGATTGAGGAAGTCTTCGCTCATGATCCAGAGGACGCGGCAGAAGAGGCTGCAGATTCGGACGTGGTTCACGGCGGTCATGCGAGCACGTCGCGCCCCAGGTCAAGGTCCATGTCTCGCGGCGCGAGCAACTCTTCCTCGTTCTCTGCTGGCGCTGCCGCTGCTGCCGCGGCCATTTCCGGTACGAACGTCTCTCCACACGAGGAGCTTCCCGAAAGCATTTCAAATGCGGAAGGGTCGCATGCACGCGTCTCGTCTGGCTCACTCTTTACGTCTCCCGTCCTCGGCGGATTGCGCGAAGCGGCAGCAGTGCGATCGGCACGAGAGTACAAGCTGCCAGCTCCGCCGCCCGTCAACATCGCAGCTGCAACAGGGACCTCTGCCCGGACCATCGGCACCGCCTTGGCAAATCCGGCCAAACCATCGAATCTCAATCCGCTCAGCCGCGCCCAGTCGCTGAGTCGTCCAGGAGCTCGCTCAGGTTCCAACTCGCGCTCCACGTCCCGATCGCATTCACCCATGCCTGGCGTGATGATGACGTCCAGCATCTCGGCTTCCTCCGGATCTCCTCGTCTGTCTCCGTCGCGCAAAATGAGGGCGCTGCCCACCGAAGACCTTGGACCTCAGCCTTGGATGCAGCCATTGGAAGAGCTGGCGGCGATAGCGATGGAAGTGCTGGACGTCTCCATCAACTCGCTCATCGCGCGTTCCGGCTCGTGCTCTCAGCTCATCTCTCGCGTACAGAGCATCGGTCGTTTCTGGGACGAGCATCCTGATTGGGCCGGTCGAGGATGGTTCATCCAGATCCTGCTCGCCATAGCCGGACTCAGCCGTGTCGTGGAGTGGTGGGAAGCCGAAAAGGGCTTCTGGAACTTCAACGACGAGCAGGAGCAGGATGCCGAGCCGATTCGCTTCATCCTCGGAGGGCAGGGCGGAGATGCGGCGGGCGAAGCTGCCGAACAGGAGTCTGGCAAATCGTCTGGCCTCTGGATGCCCTCGACGGCGAACAGTCCCATCCGAGCTCGCGCCTTGTCTGTGGCACCTGTCGACATTGCCATGGTCCATCGAAAATCAACCAGCGGGTCCAACTCGCCAGCGTCGGGATTGATGAGGCGTGAATTGCAGCCGATCGGCGACCAGGAAGAAGGAGGTACTTTGCTCTCATCAGGAGTCACCAAGGCTGTTGTGGATGATGGACAAGGCGACCTCGACGCTGATGCCGACGGAGACATGACCATCGTCGACCGAGCTCGACCGCTTCCTCGAGGCAAGCCGAGCGGCGGTCTCGAGGATCTGGATGGTCGGGCTGCCATGCTTAGTGCTTCAGACAACATTCAGGGTGAGCAGAGCCAGGAAGCCGGCGAAATCGATTCGTCTGGCGAAGGCACGGAGGAAGCACCGCAAGAGGTGCGCCAAAACTTCCGCTCTGCTGGTATCAATGTGCTGATGGAGCTCAGCATGGACGACCAGCGTCTGTTGTATTTGAGTCCTGCTTGGAAGACAGTGTTGGGCTCCGATCCTGCCGAGCTCTACGGCGCACCGATCGAGGACCTGCTGGCTCCCGGTGACACCGACGTGTTCGCCGAGGCATCCAGGCAGCTCGAGGCGAATCAGTCACACACCGTCGAAGCAGTCTTCCGATTGCGCGTAGAGAAGACGCTGCACGCCTCGTCAACCTCTTCGGCAAACTCTTCGGACGATCGAAGCGACGTCAGCGATGCCGTCTACTTCCAGGAGATGGAGGGCAAGGGAATGCTCATGATCGACCGACAGAGTGGCAACCCGTCGCACTCAATGTGGGTGTTCAAGGCGACCGGACCGCCCGAACGCGAAGATCAGCTGCACGACGCCGCTCTCACAAAAGGTGGACGAGCGGTCGCAGCCGTGCTGGACGAGCCCACCGCGGCGCTTGCTCACGTCGCCTCCATCTCGATCGAGCCCGTGCTGTGTCGCATCTGCGAAAGGGACATTCCAGCCTGGTTTTTCGAGAAGCACAGCGAAATCTGCAACGAAACGCACCGATTGGACATGGAGATCGGCGAGTGCAACGAGAGCCTTCGCGAGCTGCGCAGAGCCATCCAGGATCTGCACAATCGTCTCGAGAGCTTCACAGGCCAAAGTGCGGAGCAGCCGCTCGAATACCGCGGCGTGGCCATCACGACCCCTCCGGCCTCCAATCAGCCGCCTTCGGCGCTCGAGGGACTGAACCGCTCCATCGCTCAGCGCCAACCGGCACCGGCGTCCGTGCGAAAGCAGCACCTTCGCGCTCTCGATGCGGCCGTCGAGCTGCTGCAGACGGCCTGCGAGATTTCGACGCCGGCAATCAAGGACGAGTTTGCCGACCAACCCATTGAGAAGCAGCGCCTCCTCTCCCCTACATCAGAGAACAAGGTGGTGACCGTTCAGCAATGGCGACGTCCCGCATTGGACGACACGGCCCTGGATCTGTTGATGGCAGACGTCGAAGGGGCCATGCGAAGCAAGCTGAGCGCCGTCAACCGCATGCTCAACACCATCGTCTACGTCGAGACCGTTCGTCAAGAGTGGGAAGAGCGCGTTGAGGCTGCGCTCTCCGCTCTGTCGGAAGCTGAAGAGGGCTCGGGCAGCTCGCGAGGATCGTCTGAATCCGTGTCTGAATCTGGCTCGGACGACGCGCCAGAACAGGTCGTGGATCAACATGAAGGACTCGGTCTTGCCCTCGCAGAAGCCCAGCCGACCTATGCTCAAGTCGCCGCTGCGGAACAAGGATCTCTCCCACCAATCGCGATGAATTCCATCGAGATGCAAAGAGGACTTGACTCTTCAAGGGGTGTTTCGACCGAAGGCATTCGTGCTTCTCCCCGTACACCCGACTCGCTGCCCCGTGCAACGTCTGCTCACAGCCGCCTTCCTTCCACCTTGTCGACCAGCGCCGGAGACGACGAGGGTGGAGCAGGACGGGAGGACGCAGAAGACGACGGCTTGCTCTCTGGCTCCATGCTTCTGGAGCAAGACGACCGTGATTCGCCGGTTCCTCCATCCGCTCTGTTTGCAGCGATGGGAATTGCAGCGGACGAGGATGATATCCCTGCCGTCGATGACAAGATGGGCGGATCTACGCAGCCAGCGCCGATCCCTATCCCTCGAGGTGGTGCAACCTTGGCGCCGCCTCCGTCGTCCACCGATCTGCTGGCTGCGCGACCCGTTGGAAGTCTCACCGCGGCTTCCCTCTCCATCTCGGGGGTTGGCGCATTGCAGCGACGCTCCGTCAGCCGATCTCGTCGATCTTCGCACCTTCCATCTGCGTCCGATGGTCTGGGAGGCACCCCGCCGCTCTCGCCCCATCTGTACGGCGAGTCGTTGGGTGTGTCGCACCGACAGAATCGCAAGTTCAGCGTGTCGCACAAGAGCCCCATGGTTGGCTCGATGCCTCTCTCGCCAAGACTGCCGCCTGCAGCGCCCTCGTCAAGGCCCACGGCGTCGTCAATCAAGGACTTTGACATCCTCAAGCCCATCAGCAAGGGTGCTTTCGGCAGCGTGTTCCTCGCCAAGAAGCGCACAACAGGCGACTACTACGCGATCAAGGTGCTGAAAAAGTCGGACATGATTGCCAAGAATCAGATCACCAACGTCAAGGCCGAGCGCATGATCCTTATGACGCAGAACCAGTCTCCGTTCGTGGTCAAGCTCTTCTTCACCTTCCAGAGCGCCGATTTCCTCTACCTCGTCATGGAGTATCTTCCAGGTGGTGATTGCGCCTCGCTCTGCAAAGTGCTTGGAGGCCTGTCGGAAGAGTGGGCGCGTCAGTACATTGCGGAAGTGGTGATCGGCCTGCAGCATCTTCACTCGAAAGGTGTGGTGCATCGCGACCTGAAACCCGACAACTTGCTCATCGACCAAAAGGGCCACCTCAAGCTCACCGATTTTGGTCTGTCGAAGATCGGTCTGCTGGGACGTCAGACGCGTCAGGCGGTAGCGGACGCCGCTGCAGCTTCGTCCTCCGCCCCGAGCGGCTTTGCAGCGCATGCTTCGCGCTCAGACTCGAACAGCGACTCGTTGCCGAGCTCAGCGGCCTCGTTTGCCTCGGAAGCGCGTCACCCGGCTGTGTTCACGCCTGCGGGCACCACCGCCGGCGACACCGCCGCATCCTTGTCGCCCATGACGCCCGGCCTTGGCGGCATGATGCGCAACCAGTCGTTCTTTGCTGCACCCCAGCGAGGACGCATCGTCAGCTCGTCGACCGATGCGAGCGACTCGGGCGAGTCGGACTCTCAACGTGCTGTTCCCAAACCGCTGCCCTCGGCGCGGATCGACAGTCCGGGCAATCTGTTTGGGGCCCATCCTCTGCTCAGCGACAATTTTGGCCCTTCTTCCGGCGACGGTGGATCCGACGCACCGAAACGCTTTGTGGGCACTCCGGACTACCTTGCGCCGGAGAGCGTGCTGGGTATCGGTATGGACGACTTTGCCGTCGATTGGTGGGCCCTCGGTGTCATCCTTTACGAATTTTTGTACGGAGTGCCACCCTTCCACGCTGAGACGCCGGAGAAGGTGTTTGACAACATCCTCTCGCGACGCATCGACTGGGAGGAGGATTCGGTCGAGGTGTCGTCGGAAGCGCGTGATTTGATGGAACGGCTCATGTGTACTGATCCCAAGCGACGTCTTGGCTCGGGCGGTCCAGACGAGATCAAGAACCACGCTTTCTTCCAAGGTATCGACTGGGACAACGTCACCGCCGAGCCTGGTCCATTCGTGCCGCAGGTCACCGACCCCGAGTCGACCGACTACTTTGATCTGCGCGGAGCCAGCCACCAGGACTTTGACGACGAGCCGGTCCACAGCACGCGCGAATTCGCACGCGCCATCGAGGGCAACAAGTTTTTGCAGACGGGCCTGCCAGTCTCGCGGATGCGGTCGCGTCTCGAAAAGGCTTTTGGATCGCAGGCGCAGAACGAGGACTTTGGCAACTTCAGCTACAAGAACTTGCCGGTGCTCAAGCAGGCCAACGACGAGGTGATCCGCAAGATGAGGGAGGAGCAGATGCCAGCGTTGGCCAAGGCGCTCGAGCAGTCGGCCGCGTACACGCGCCACCGCAGCTTCTCGGCCAAAGGGAGACCCGCGCAACGTGTCCATTCGCAGACGCTGGCGCTTGCGGGGCCTCCATCGCCTGCGCAAAGCGCATCGTCGCACGGATCGACGCCGTCGCGCTCGACTGCGCCCACATCTCCGGCTGCACAGCTTGTCAGTTCGGCGCACCGTCGGCGCACGTCCGAGGTGCCAGCCTCCTTGGCGACGCCGTTGTCGGCAACGACGCCAGACGGCGATGTCGGAGCCACGAGCAGCGTCGGTCGATCGTTCCCTTCGCCTTCGGCTGCCATGCCCATCGGAATCGCCGACCGACGCCGACAGCAGCTGGTGGAGGCTTCGAGTTCCGGTGAACGGCGCAACTCGATGCCGTCGCGGTTGCGCACCAAGTCGGCAAGTCTAGCAGAGCGACCGGCGCTGCCGACTCCATGGCAGCAGACTTCGCAGCAGCCTCAGCAGGAAGTCTCGAAGAAGCCATCTCGCACCGCCGCCAACACAGCAACTACAGCAGCAACGGCAACGACCACCGCGTCGAGCTCGCCGACCAACGCATTCGCGCCACTCGCCCCTGGTGCTGCTGCTCCTCCTCCTCCTGCTGGCTCCATTGGCAGCTCGGACGAGATCGCTTGTCTCATAGCAGAGGACAATCCCATCGCGTTACGCATGCTCGAGACGATGTTGGTCAAGCTCGGATGCAGATGTACCGCAGTGCGCGACGGTGCCGAGGCGGTGCGGCTGGCGATGGGTGATCACAAGTTTGGCGTCATGTTCATCGATGTGACGCTGCCCATCGTCGGTGGCGAGGATGTGACACGAATGGTGAAATCGACGCGCAACGTCAACTCGACGACGCCTATAGTGGCGCTGGCTTCGTTCGACCGTGGCGAACCCATCGATGCTGCGGGATCGCTATTCGATGCAGTGCTGGCCAAGCCGCTGGAAAAGATGGATGTGTGCGCCATCCTATCGCAGCTCGGGTTCACGCCGACGCAAGCAAGTGTCAACGTTGAATCTTCCACGAGCATGCAGCAAGGCTTGGACGGCACAGCCTTGTCGTCAGGTTCAGGATCAGGTACGACGAGCGCGCCGGCCGAATCGCGCGCGCTTTCGAGAAAGTCGACGTTGGCACGCAAGACACCGTCGCAGGCAATGGCGGGAGCCAGCACACCTCCGCTGCTTGGCAGCACAGGGTCGCCGCACCACACACCATACTCTTCTTCGCCGTTGGGTAGTTCGGTGCTCACATCGCGACACTTTGAAGCGCCTCAGCAGCTGCAGGCCAAGATGAGCAGCAGCGGGCTGGGCGGACTGCACTCGCGTACGCACTCGCAGCAGCATCAGCAAGACAGCGAGCGACGAGACCAGGAGACGGCCGAGACGCTGAGCAAGGTGACCGAGAGGCTGTCGCTATCGTAAGCCCTCTCTACGCATCATTCGATCCGGTGGTAGTTTTGATGTTTGTTTTCAAGTTCAAGTTTGCATTGCATAGTATTGTTATCATGAATTCTCACGGATGGTTGTGTTTGTTGAGCCTGAAAGGAAGGATGGATTGGGACCTGGTGAGCGAGTGATGTATCGTGATCTGTCCAAATCATCTCCGACGGAGTGAATGGAATCGGGAACACTTGGAGTGTTACATCGCATGTCAGAGAGGAGCTGTGAATTTTGGAGAGCGATCCGAGCACATGTTGGCTGGTCAAGATATGGTGCGCGTGAAGTGCGAGCGGAGACTGAAAGGTCGGATGGGAATTGGCGGGGTTACAAAATGGCAACATGACGTCGCGGCAAGCGAGTTCCGTTCAGCAGAGCGGAAGGGGCACATGGGAAGAGAGGGATCGCGAGTATTTGCGGGGCAAAGTTGAAGGAGTGCGCCACCTTGGGAGGTTGTCGCTCCGAAGAAAGTCGAACTCTTCGACGAAAGAATGCAGCAATTGTGGGACGCAACACAATGCTTGTTAGTGACGGTCAGTGTGAGTTGATACAGTGCGCAGAAGAGGGGTCTGCGGCGTGCAGGGCTGTTCTAGACAAGGGTCCGGCACTAGTCTCGGTCTATAAAGGACCCTGGAGCCAGAGGTCCAAGCTCTCGCTCCTAATCTTGGTCTGTCAAGCTAGTCACGGAAAGCAGTGGCGAGCGGCAACCAACCGGCGAGAAGCAAGATCAGGATGAGAAGCGACGGCTGTTGCCACGAGTGACAAGGAAGAAAACAAAGTCTCTCCGGAAAAAGGGTGCCGAGCGACCGGAACTGATGGTGTCGGCAGCCTCTTCCAGGATCTCTGAGTGCTTCCTGGCCATTGCAACGACGAAATCAGCTACAGACGGACAGACGCAGATCGAGCAAAGACCGGCGAAGTCGAAAGTGTCGATGAACTCATCCAGTCGAATTCCGATGGGATTGTCCAAGAGCATCGACATCGTGGATGACGATGACCACATGGTGGCCACTCTTGGCTGCCGAGCTTGAACAGTGTATAGCTTTTTGGCTAAGAGGACGCTCCGCCGACGAGCGGGTCAGGGCAGTGAAAAAGGAACAAGCGAGCCGCCAAGTCTCACCGATTTCGAGACCATTTGCGCCTCAATTTGTAACTAATAAATATCCAAATAAACAGTTGCCAGAATGTTTTTGGGACGAAAGGAAAATAAAACCGAGCTGCAGAGAGAGTCTGCCCTGCCGGCTGCAAACGTGCGAATTTTCTGTTGCATTTTACCGTAGCTGGTCGGCTGCAGCGTGGTCCGCGGCGCATGGCGTCTCGTTGTGTGCTGCCGTGTTTTTGTGTGCGTTTCAAGTCTGCAAAGTGCCAATCTGCTCTGCCAACGTGCGGGTTGCGCGTGCAATAAACGACACTCGCGCCCAACGCAGACTGAGAAAGCGAAACAAGAAGCAGGGCAGCTCTCTTCTTGCCCGAACATCGCCTTCATCCCGAAAGGTGGACCCTTCCCCCCTCTCTCTCACCGCCATCTTCATCGCTCTTCCACTACTCATCACAACCATCCTGATCGATATCGTCCGTTGTTGCGTCCAGATCTTCATCCCGCAATCGAATCGCCGCAATCGCATCACCGATTGGCCAAGATCTCGATCGCACTTCTTTGTCCAGTCAACTCGACTCAACGCACTCACTTGATCGCGGGACCGATCATCGTCTCTGTCGCACTGAACGACACTCGACTCATACAAGGGACCTCTTTGGCTTGGCTTGCCATCACATCTGATTGTCTTCAAGCTTTCAGCTTCAACCGCCTCACCCCAATTCTCACTCACACGAATCCACATGACGCTCAGCTCGTGAACGCATCGATAGACCCTCGGCTTCTCCGAAGCCCAACACCCATTCCACGCTTCTGTTCAGCCGCGCTCGTCTGAGCAAAAGAGGAGCCAACTCGCATCAATCGGTCTCGTAGAGCTGCCTAAAGAGCCCGTTCCGCCTTTCCATCATGGCCTCATTACTCTCGAGGCGTGCCTCGCATATCCTTCTCATCCTCCTTGGCCTCTTTCTGGCAGGCACCATCGTCGTCCTCACAACCGCCAATGCCTACTTCTCCATCGACACTTCAGCATACATCCTGCCGGAAGAGCTAGGCACGTGGGAGCAGATCCAATCCGGCGCTTCCCCCGACGGCCCCGACGGCTGGGCAGCTCGCATCCCTTGGCTCAGCAAGCTCACTCATCACTCGACCGATGTCGCCGCTTCCTCCGCCGTCGTCAACACCACCGCAGCTCATCCAGCATCTGTTGTCGACCCTGACGATACGGTCGCCAGACCTCAGCCGTGGCGCGACAACACTCCCAAAAAGTGGGATCCCGCCAACCCAAAGGAGAAGATCCCGCGCATCATCCACCAGACCTGGAAGGATGAGCATCTTCCACCAAGGTGGCAGGCCATCCGCGACGAGTGCGCCGCCATGCATCCCGACTACGAATATATGCTCTGGACCGACGCCGACTCGCGCAAGTTTATCGCAGAGCACTACGACTGGTTCCTGCCCGTCTTTGATGGCTACCCCTACCCCATCCAGCGCGCCGATGCCATCCGATACTTTGTCTTGCATCACTACGGCGGCATCTACATGGATCTCGACATTGGCTGTCTGCGTCGTTTCGACCCCTTGCTGCGTTTCGAGGTCATCCTGCCCAAGACCATCCCCGTCGGCGTCTCCAACGACGTCATGCTCTCGGCGAAGGCACATCCTTTCATGGACCAGCTCATCCACAACCTCGTCAACTTCAACCATCAGTACTTGACAAACTACCCGACCGTCATGTTCTCTACCGGCCCCATGTTTGTTTCCGCATCTTACGGATTGTACGTCGACGTTCACGGTCCGGCATTCCCCAGCACACCCAAGCAGCCCGAGATGGGATTCAAGGGCGTTCGTGTGCTGCCCAAGAGCCTGTACGGTAAGAACGTCAAACCGGTCGATGCGCCCGACGCCTTCTTCTCGCACTTTTACGGATCCAGCTGGCACGCCAACGATGCGGGCTTCCTCATCTTCCTGCGCAAATACGGACGCTTCTTGATCTTTGTCGGCGTCTGCGTTGTGCTGTACGGGGTGTTTAGGACGTTGCTGCCGACGCTGCTGTGGAAGTTTGGCGGGTACAAGGGGAGGTTCGGACGCGGGTCGAGGCGGTCCCAGCGGGAGACGGGGAGGTGGATCAGCTTGCCGATCGGTACCTCTTCGCGGTCGCTTTCACGACGGAGATCCAAACGTCGTTCTACGTCCACCGCCGACGAAGATCACAGTGTACCGCTCAACTCTATGGGACGACACGATACGGTGGGGAGCACGTCGGCGGCCAACCCTAGCAGGCTGTCTATGCCGGCACCGCGGCCTACGCGGCTCAGTCTTCCGCTGTTTCAGCTGCAGGATCCGGAGCCGATGAGCAGCGATCCTGCACCGCAGTCTGTGCTCGCCTGGATGGGTCAGACGCTCTCCCGACCCAGTTCGAGGAGCGATGCCATCAGCGAGATGGAAGCCAACAACTCGACCGAGAACAGCAAGAAGAAGGGCGTTCTCTATCTGCCGGCGTACTTTGTGCGCGGGGATGACTCTTCGAGTTTGAGTCCGAGCAGCAGTGCTAGTTCGCAGCAGTTGCAGGGGAATGCGCTGTCGCCCTTGTCGAATGGGTTTGCAGCGGCGGGGAGGAGGGGCGAGGAGAGTCAGAGTCTGGGTCAGTGGGCAACGAGTCTGCTGCCGGCGGGTTGGAGGGGTCCCAGTCCAGCACCTAGTCATGGAAGTAGGAGGAGCAGGGTGAGTCAGGATCTCGAGAGTTTGGGCAGTCAGGCTGATGACGACGACGAGTGGACGGGTGCAGGTGGTGGTGCGGGGAGGGAGGAGGAGAGACCGTTGATGGAGGCCGAGAGAGGGGGAAACTTGCGGAAGGCGTGGGATGATGGGATGGGAGGCGAGCGGCAAGCTGTTCAGGCTCCTCCGCCGTACAGGGATGACGATGCCGTGGAGGAGAGGAGTGGTGTGGAAAAGGTGTGATTGTGGTAGAAGTGGGTTCGGGACTTTTTGGTAATGATAACAAGAGATGAGGAAGCTGCCAATGCTTCTCTCGATCAGCCTTTTGGAAACACAGAACGACTTGTGTGTGCGCTGCGGAGAGAGGATGTCTGTGACAACATCGGAGTGATTCTGATTCCATGGCCAGGACGCATAAGTCTAAAAAAGCTGCATGAAATCCCTGCGTCTTGATGCCAACAGTCGAAGCCGCTCATAATCTGCCAGTGACAAGGCTCGATCGATCCAGATTCCGCACACAAACACGCCACAAACCTCCGATCGACGATGAAAGCATGTTTGCGATTCCAGCTGCTCCGTGGGTGCGTCCTGGAGTTCATGACTCGTCCGAGTCGGACTGAGCATGTGTCAGATGCTGCATGATCAGCTCGTACGTCAAGATGGTCAGGGCCGAGCTGGGCACGGTGCGGACCAGATTGACTGTCATACCTTTGTAGAACCCTCTTAGTCCTTCCTCCCTGGCGATGGTGCGACACGCCTGCAGAACGCCCGTGTATCTTCTGGCCACCTGCTCGCCCGTATTCGCCGCTGGCTTGTTTCCCACCGTCCCACCTGTCACCGCCGCAACTGTCTCCTGTATCGCACTGCTGACCGCCTTGCCCCTCGGCTGCATCTGCAACCTCGTCCTCAGCACTTCGTGCGGATAGGTCGTCACGCTCGCAATCATCTTGGCTGTACTACTGCACAGCAATATCGTGCTCGCCTCCAACTCCTCCCCTCCCTCATTGCTCCTAGCCAAACCCTTGAAGCTCTCGTACAGTGGGAACTGAACCGCAACGTGGCTCACCCCGAACAAGCTTGGCAACAAGCCCTTGTAGAACCCCCTCAACCCTTCGCTCTTGTAGATCTGTACAAAGGCATCCCCCGTATGACGATACGGCTTGACACCGGTATCCTTGTGAGACTGCAACATGAACCTGGTTTTCACCACCCACAGCGGTGATGTGCAGACGGTGGATGCTGCACCTGCGGTCATGGCTGATAGGATGTGGTTGAGGAAGTCTTCGGATGCGGTCAAGTGGTTTTGTGCAAGAGAGGATTTGCAGTTGTCGTAGACGGTGAAGTAGATGGCCCAGGTGGGGAGGTAGCCGAAGATGGTTGGGCCTAGACCGCGGTAGAAGCCTCTAAAACCGTCGTCGTGCCAGATCTTGCGGAGCGTTGCGGTTAGACCGAGGTAGCGAGGCGGTTCAGGTATTGGTGGTGCGGTGCTGGATGCGATGGTTACTTCTGGTGGTGGGAGAGGTCGACGACGTCCTTCTTGCGCTTGGAGACGTGTTTTGACCACATCGAGCGGGCATGTTACGACCGAGGAGACGAGGCCGGCGCAGGCGCCTGCTATCGCTGATGCGTGCAGCATTGTGACTGGAAGACGGCCGAGTGGGGCTCTATGCGGGACGGAGCCGAGGTACAGGCGCCAGCGAGAAGGTTGAAGAGCTGCGAAAGCAGTACGTGTGGAGTTGAGTTGTGTTGCGTTGTGATGCTGCTCGATGCTGCTGAGTGTGACGAGCGAACCGCGAGAGCACGAAACCGCCCGATTGTCGACTTTGCTCACTGCTTGCCGCTGGACCGGCGGTGTGACAGCGGTCGAGTGGGTGGAAAGGAACTCTGACGAGACGGAGCCTTACGCCGCCATCAGATGTGCGATGTGTGTGGTAGTGCAGGGACCGTCAAAAGAGATGGTGCTGTTGTGGTAACGCAAAGTCGCCTATACAGAGGCGGAGCGCTGAGTTTCTCCCCGCCGGCTCGAGCTAATCGTCTGAGCTACTGTGATAGAGGAGGAAGATTCGGTCCAAAAGAACAGTTCGTTTTGAGCTTGCTGAAAGGTCGCGTGCAGCGAAAAGCAAGAGATCGGTCCGCCGGGTTATGCGATGGTACAAGCTGCGTTCAAGATGCGTTCAAGTCGTAATCGTGGACGTGAGAGAAAGAGCGAGAATCGTGTGATAGCGCAATTGATCCAGCTCGATAAATACTCGTCTATGGGATGAAAAGGTGATAGAGTGATACAGTAAAGCGAAAGGAAGAAGGAGACACAAGTTGGTGTGTGATCTCCAAGTTGGAGAAGGCGTACCAGCGATAAGTCTCGGTGGAGGTCACGCACCAGCCAGTGTGCGTGTGGGCTGCCGCATTACGCGCGGATTAAGTTAGGAAGCACAGACACCCGAGAGCTTCGGCGCTGTTAGTCCGATTTTCTAAGCGAAATGTTGGATCTTATTATCGCAAACATTTGGGATAATCCACAGCTAACCGGCGATTGAAGTGTTTCCACTCGACCCCACCGAAACGGCCATTCTGGCTGCCGTCGACGAGGCGCAACGCCCGTCATTTCATGATAGGCACATTTCATTTGAAGAACCTCATGTGGGCTAGCTCACGTCCCCCTTCCGTCGAAGAGCGCGGCGGGATCTTGATACGAGCGGAGCATTACAGTCTCGGTCTTCTCAAGCAGATCTTTGCATACTGGAGCAAAGCAAAGGTGTGCTGTCCTACAATGACAAGGATCCAGAGCAAGTGGTCGCAATTGGGCGCGGAACGATTCTTCCGGTCTCGAGATCTGCGGCTCAGAAGGCGGATCGACGCGCATGCAGGTGCACTAGTCTCAACCGCCGCAACATGAGTCTCCTCATTGTTTCGAGCGTCGGCCTCTGAGACGCGTTGTGTGCAGTTTCAGTGTTCGTTGTGTGCTAAGATGCGCTGCTGCTGCGTCGGAACGGATTTCTTTTCTTCTTGTCTTGCTTGCTGCAGCGAACCGAGGCTGGTCGCGTCTCGAAGAAAAAAGTCAGGTCATTCTTTGTTTGGTGCGCTGTTGGATCGAGAACGTGACGTCGTTCTTTCTCAGTTGCCTTTCTTCCCTCTGACCAACGCCATCCCTTTTTCGTGACGCGGATTCGACGACCATGGCGGACTCAGCTGGCTTGCGCACCAGGAGCGCCACCGCAAAGGCGGCAGCTGCCACTCCCAACGGCAAGAGCAAGGCTCCCACCGCTGCTCAAAAGCGCGCCGCCGTTCAAGACGAAATCGACTTTGACGAAAAGAAAAACTACAAGCCCAAGCACTCGTATCTCCACGTCGACCTTAAGGATGACCAGATCATGGGCGGAGGAAAGGAGCAGACCGTCGTCAAGTACTCGCCCGGTATCGTCATCTCCGAGCAGGGTCGCGAGACCGACAAGAAGCTCGACGAGCACTCGGATTGGGAGTTTGGCGGTCCCTGGGGTGTCACCGCCATGATGACGCTCTTCCCGCTGCTCATGTACTACCTCTGGATCTGCCTTTGGTTCTACGATGGCAAGCTCGTCATCCCCAACTCGATCGACGATGCTTGGCCTTTCCTCCAACGCATGGGCGCACACGTCCGCGACGACGCCTTCCCCACCAAGCGCGCCTTTGCCGGTTACGGTGGTCTCATGGTCTTCCAGTTCCTCCTCGCCGTCTTCATGCCCGGCTACATGCAGGAAGGCCTGCCCGTCCCTTCGCTCGGATACAAGACGCTCATGTACAAGTGCAACGCGCTCTCGTCGTTCTACGTTACCCTCGTTACCTGCGCTGTCCTCCACGTCTCGGGTCTCTACCGCCTCACCACCATCATCGAGCACTTTGGCGAGTACATGACCGTCTCCATGATCGCCGGATACGCCGTCTCGGCCGCCACCTACTACCATGCCGTCTTCACCAACACCACCCACCGCATGTCCGGCAACTTTGCCTACGACTTTTTCATGGGTGCCGCCCTCAACCCTCGTATCGGCTCGGTCGACCTCAAGATGTGGGCCGAGGTCCGCATCCCGTGGGTCTTGCTCTTCCTCATCAGCGTCAGCGGTGCCTGCAAGCAGTACGAGGTGTACGGCTACGTGACCCCCAACATGGCCTTCATGGTGCTCGCCACCGGTCTCTACATCAACGCCTGCGGTAAGGGCGAGGAGTGCATCCCGCAGACGTGGGACATGTTCCACGAAAAGTGGGGCTTCATGGTCATCTTTTGGAACTTTGCCGGTGTTCCCTTCACCTACTGCTACAGCATCGTCTACATGGCCGCCCACCCTCCTTCGTACTACAAGTTCAGCACGCCCACCTACGTCTTTATGTTTTCGCTGCTGCTGTTTGCCCATTATGTCTTCGACTCGTCCATGGCTCAAAAGTCGCGCTTCCGCATGCAGCTCCAGGGCACCTTCAAGCACCGTTGGACCTTCCCTCAGTGGCCTTGGTCGACGCTCAAGGATCCACGATACCTTCAGACCGAGCACGGAAACGCGCTCCTCATCGACGGATGGTGGCAGTTCCTCCGCAAGCCCAACTACACTGCCGACTGGACCCAGGCTTTCCTGTGGGGCGCCATCGCTGGTACCCGCTCCGTCATCCCTTACTACTACTCGCTCTTCTTCCTCGCCGTGCTGACGCACAGGTGCGGAAGGGACTTTGAGAGGTGCGGTAGAAAGTACGGCAAGGACTGGGACAAGTACTGCACGATCGTCAAGTACGCCTTCATTCCTTTTGTCTACTAGAGCAGAGGAGATCGGTCTGATGATCGATGACGATTCTTCTGGATCCCTTCGGACATTGGCTCTCAACATAGTTCAGCTTGCATTTCACAGGTCATGCTTTCCGGAATCGCGTGCAACCGTTAGGCAGGAGCTGGACGTCACCGGAACCTTTCTTCAATCTATATTTGTCGATCGTGTTTACTCCTGATACAATCAGACACTTACTTCGACAGCTGTCTCGCCGACCGCTGTCCTTCTCATTTTCTCATTTCAAACTGGATCGATGAGTTGTGTGAGGTGTTATCGGGGCCAATCTCTGTAATGAGTTGAAACGATGAGATCCAACGGACTGGTACCCTGGATTGAATTCGGAGCGAGAGTGATAACGAAGCGGTCTCCCTCGGTACAGCTGCTCGAAGGCGAGAAATAAAATTCACCGTGCAGATTGCCCGAAATCACCGCGAAGCGCACCGAGACGTTACGGCATTCGCAGGAGCGCTGTCAAGATAGATACGCACGGATCCTCACCTTACATATCGACTCTCGAGATTGCGTATTAAAGACGCACTTCTCAATCAGCCAAGCATGCCAAACCAAGCATGACCTGACGCCTCCTTTCCACTTTTCGCTTTCGGCTCCTGCCGATGTTTCGATCCGAACAAGCGGCAACTCGTCTGATCGCGGGGAAACGGACTTGTGCGCTCTTTTGTTTGAGACCACGTGAGCTCGCGATCATGTGTGCCGCAATGCAAGAGCCATGCCATGCAAGCATGGACGCCATTCGCATTCGCATGACAGACCGAGCTTCCGTTGTCGGCTTCACTGAGAACAGCGGGTTGTGTTTAGGTGCGGGATGATTTCGGCTAACCACAGCGCAACGGTATCGGATTGGAAGCTTTGCCCCGCAATTTGCAGCGCCTGCAATCGCAGATAAACGGTGAGCTAGATAGCCGCACGTCCGAGTCCCAGAGACGAGTCGAGTGACGCTTGCCGTATCGCTTGTCTGTATGCACGGTGGAGCAGATGCCTCGATATATAGCCGCGATAGGAAGACCTTCAATCCCTCCTCCATAGAGATCCCTGCCTACCCACCGATCTCAAGACTGCCTTCCTCATCTGATCATCGATCCCTTCTGCCAGTATCGCAACCACCAACAACATGTCGGATTGGATCGCCAAAGCCCAGGCTCACCGAGCCAAGCGCGACGCCGCCATTCCTTCCGGGCTGCTCGTGGACCTCAAAGCTGCTGGAGTGCCCGAGCTTCCCGAGGAGTCTCTGCCTCTGCCTTACTCCAAGACCGAGCCGCACCATCCCGAACCCACGACCATCTACCCCAAGGACAACGTCACCGGTGTTCCGTCCAAGGTGCTCTCGCTCGAAGATGTCGCTATCACCGAAACGCCGATCGACAAGCTGCTGTCTCTGCTGGCCACCGGCAAACTCTCTTCGGTCCGATGCACAGAAGCCTTCCTACGACGAGCAGTGCTAGCGCATCAGCTGACCAACTGTGCTACCGACTTCTTCCCCGAGATGGCACTCTCGCGCGCCAAAGAGTGCGACGACTACCTCGCCAAGAACGGAAAGCCGATGGGTCTGCTGCACGGCTTGCCCGTCTCGCTCAAGGACCAATTCCACATCAAGGACAAGGAGATGACCATGGGATATCTCAAATGGATCGGCAACATTGGCAAGCAGAACAGCGTCATCACCGACGTCATCTTGAACGCTGGAGGTGTGGTGTATGTGCGAACTTCGATCCCGCAGAGTCTGATGCGTTGTGAGACGCACAACCACATCTATGGTCGTACGGTGAGCCCGTTCAACCGAAGCTTCACCCCGGGTGGTAGCTCTGGTGGCGAAGGTGCGCTCGTGGGTATGCACGGCAGTCCTCTCGGTCTAGGAACGGACATCGGCGGATCCGTTCGAGTTCCATCGGCCTTCAATGGTCTTTGGGGCATGCGTCCGTCGATGCACAGGGTTCCGTACGAAGGCGCAGCCAACAGCTTTTTGGGTCAGGAGAGTGTTTCTTCCGTCATCGGACCTCTAACTCATTCGCTCGAAGGAGTCGTCACGTTCATGCGAGCCGTTCTCGCCGAGAGACCGTGGGAGATGGATCCGATCCTTGTCAGCATGCCGTTCAACGAGGATGCCTATGCTCTGAAGAATTTGCAGCTCAAGGCTGGTAGCGCCGAGCCGGCTGAGGCCTTCACCCAAGGCAAGACGCAGCTCTGCTTCGCCATCGAGTGGGACGATGGCATCATCCACCCTCACCCACCCATCACCCGAGCGCTGCGCGAGGTGAAGGAAAAGCTCATCGCCGCCGGCCACAAGGTCATCGACTGGGTCCCCTACGAGCACCTCCGATGCTACGACATCATCGGACGCATCTACAGCGCCGATGGCGGAGAAGACATCAAGCGCAGCTGCGACGAAGGAGGAGAACCAGTCATGTACAACCTCATGTCAACAGGTCAAGACCAACCCCACCTCTCGACGTTTGAATCCTGGCAGCTCAATCAGGAGAAGAGCAAGTACCGAAAGGAGTACCTCGACTACTGGCAGGCGACCAAGGACAAGACGGGCACCGGACGTCCCGTCGACGGCATCATCGCTCCCGTCAGCAGCTGGGCGAGCTGCAAGCACGATCTCAACGACCACGTCAGCTACACTACCCAGTGGAACCTGCTCGATCGTCCCTGCGTCGTCTTCCCCGTCGGCTTCGTCGAGCCGGAGAAGGACCCCAAGGTTGCGTTGGAGAATGCGTACACGGCGTTGCCTGGAAACGTCGATCAGATCTATTGGGATAGGTACGATCCGGAAGAGTGGAAGGGTCTGCCGATCAACCTCCAGGTGGTGGGCAAGCGTCTGCAGGATGAAGAGCTGCTGGGACTCGCAAAGGTGATCCGCGATGCTGGCGCTACGCTGCACTGATGAGAAGCTCAAAAGGTTGTACAACTTATTTTGAAGCCATTGCCTTGCGACCGGAATCAATTCATGCACAAGATGCTTGGTGTGAGTCGACTGCTGAGTGTCAGCACCTCGTGGATGTGTACCAATCCCGAAGTTCGACCAAAGGAATGGCAGTGATGAACAGGAGTCGAAAATTTTGATTGTCAGATTGTATCTCAATCCACACGCAAGCTTGGCGAATATCGTCGGGTGGCACTTCCAGGAAAGCCAAGCATCTTAGTTGCCGTGTGTGAGTGGTCCAGTTCTTGGCAGGAATGAGCGGATTGCTTATCTGAACGTGCTGTTCCCCAGAAGGCGAAGCAAGGGCTGATACGATGTCCCTTGGCATGTCGCTTCTCCCGGGCCGAATCCTACCGTTGTTCACACGCTCACGGCTTGGTTTGGTGACTCTTTCGGCACGCCCGGCAAAGCATTTTCATCCACGGCGGAATTGCAAGAGTGAACAGAGGGCAGAGTCGCCGTGCCGTGCGCGTAGGGCCGTAATATGTTTTTCTGTCATGATTTTCGTTGCAGTCACAAGCACAGAAGGCAAGACGCGGGCGCGTCAAGTAGATTAATCAGTCCACGGTAAGCTCGGCAGGGGCACGCGAGCTGTCTCGATGCAGCCTCCACTCTCGACTTCCACGGAACGGGCGATCCGCAAACAAGAAGAGTGTGCTGAAGGGTCGCGGGCAAGATCCGACGCTTGCCGAGAACCCTGTTTGGAACACACTTTATGTCATTGTTCAAGTGAATGGGATCGACTGAGCTATTTCCACTCTTTCGGCATCTATGAGGTATGCTGTTCATCGCTAACTTCTGGGAAGCCGGGAAGTGCACCGCAGGACAAATCAGTGCTGGCGACGCACCAGGGGCTTACATGTGATTGCATGGAAGAGAAAGCGAAGCAAGAAAGTGTGATGGTGTGGTGAGGGACCGGCGTGGGTCGGCACAGCCCCGGCAGCGACGTCGATACTGCATGTTCAAGTGCCCGTAAGCTTCTCTGCTCGCCCTCGTTCGTTTCTGACGGCCATCATCCTCTACCCTGTGCTCCTGCTCCTCCTTGGTGCCATTTATCTTCGTCGCCGTTCTTCGGTCCAGGCGTTTGCTCTGCCTTCCCCCGGCTCGCCTTGGCGCTTTACTCCGGCTTTGCCGCCGGTCACATCGAACGCGCGCTCGCCTCTGCCTTTCCGCACCAGCAGCATCTCCTCTCGATCCCGCCAGCGTACCGCGTTCCTAGTCGTGGAGGCTTGCAGACGGGACGTCCTAGTTCAGCTGACCGCAGCCTGATCCCGACGCTGTGCCGGCTGCCAAGACAACCTGACGCTGCATTGCCTCACATCGCTGCTCAGGCCTCCCCGCAGAGCCTTCTGTGTTGCTTACTTGGACCACCTCGTGAAATCTCGGCCTCGACATCCGTCAAATACTCGCTCAATCTCGACCACAGACACATGCACCATCTCCTCCTGCGCTTCTATCACCATCAACACCATCTCTACTACCCCGCCACGACACCGTCGCCGCGTGCTCTCCAAGTCGGCAGACCACTACTCCAGCTCAACGGCCCCCTGCCCGTCGTCATATCGCCGGCCCAAATTCACCACTCCTACGTCACATCACGCCACATCGATGCCTGTTGCAGCCGTCGGCCTGCTGGTCGTGCTTTCCGTCGAGAGCTTCAAGGCTTCCTCGCGCTTCTTCAACAAACGCAGATCAAAAAAGCACGGCTTCGCCTCTCTGCGCACAGATTCGCTGGGCCGACCCATCTCTGAGGACGGCAAACTTCTCTCCAAGAACGAGGCTCGAGCTCTTGCTGCACACAATAAGGAGATCCAGCGCATCCGTACCGCTGAACGCGAATGGCGTGCTAAAGGCGAGCGCCTCCCGGCTTACGCCGAAACGGACAACGAGGCCATCATCGCATCGCTACGTCGACCTAGCACCGCTCCTGCCTCGGGTCGAAGCTCCACATCGGCCATCCGAGAGATCAGTGAAGCTACGTTGCCGTCCACAAGCGCAACGAACGTTCCACCAACAACAGCCGCGGCAGCCTCAACCTCGAACGAATCGGCGGCTAGACCAAGAGCGATGAGCACAGCTTCAGCTCCGCTCCTGAGCACCACACGCAGTCAAAGAGAGACTGGCAACGACGACCTCGCAGTCTCGACGTTCCAAGCTCTGGATGACGGCGCATTTGCCATTCGAAGGCGTACACACACCCTCGTATTGCCAACAATAATTAGCACCAACGAGACGCCCGAGATCGAGGACATCTTCCAACACGACGGACAGGATTGGAGGAGGTCGACGTGGGAAGCTCCTCCTCTCTACGATCGTTCACAAGCGCTGCTGGTGCCGGCCGCCTCGCAGGCTGCTCAGCCTTGAAGATTCTCATGCTATTCCAAAAAGTACGGCACGTTTCGGCCGCCCCCACTCTAGTCGCTTTGTCCACGTTTCCCGTCGTATGGTTCTGTCCGCATTGTACTTTGTAGTTTCTCATCGTCTTCGTCGGTTTGCATCTTGGATCTCGTCACCAATTGTTCATATGTCAAGTCATCGCAGTTCTTGTTCTCATCCAATGTCTCTCTGTGGTCAAGTGTGTGGGAGGCTGAACTCAGGCTCAATTCTCAAATGCGGACATCTTCAGAATTGGAAGTGACCAGAGGCTGGGTGCGGCAGCACCTGATGTTTGGTGTGCAGGCGAAGCGGGGATCGACGTTCGGATCAGCGCTTTCCAGTTCGGGTATGTTCTCCCTTGCCACGATCGTGGATGCTGTCGAGGAGGGTTGCGGCTGTGGATACGGTGCACATGCTCGAGCTTGTGCGAGATGAACGCGATATGATGATCTCGGAAGAATGGAAATGCATTTTGAAGTAAAGGATGTGAAGAGTAGGTTTGTTTTGGAGGTTGAAGATCGATTCCTCTAGCGCTTTCAGCAGACGAAAACCACCGTTACTGTTTGAACGTCGGAACTCGTATGTATACACTTGTCGGAGATCGTCACTTCGATGCACTTCTGCCCACTACAACGAGGCTACAGATGCGCATAGTGTGTGTGTGTCGAATATGGTGTTACAGATGAGATCGATTACCCATCAGAAGGTGAATGCAGAACAGCGAGTGATGAATTTGGTAGTCGAAGACCCATTTATGCCTCGGCACGAGCAGCCTTGAGAGCCTTCTCGGTACCGTGCTTGGCGTAACGCTGGTTGCGGACGAACTTGGGGTCAACACCACGGAGGGAAGGGTACTTGTTGGTCTTGGGCTTCTTGATACCGTTACGGTGAGCCTTGCGCACCTGGTTGTGCTGAGACGAGTTCTTTGACTTGGCCCTGTTGGAGTTGGGAACATGGTCGAATGAGGCCGGATGTGCGAAAGCAGTGTCGGGTGAAGGGGCGATGCAAGTGGGCGGAAGTTGTGAGAGTTAAAGGATGACGTCGATTCAGTGACAGCGTAGATAAGGTGCGGGCGGTATGTGTTGGTCGAGATTGGTGAAATGTCGGTACGGTAAGTGTCGAGGGTGCGATACGAGCGGAGGTGGTAATACGTTTTCATCAAAAGTCAGCAATGTGATCGTCTTTCATCGAGGACACACCGTCCATCTCCCGCAGCATTCCACCAAGGCCTTGCTCCAGCACGTGCGTCTCGACCTGACACTTCGATGAGATCGTGCAATCCAGTCAAACTTCGGAAAACTTTGCTATGCATGCACCATCTCGGCGATGCAATCCTGGTCCTGCGTGGCAATGCTGGCGAGTGCTGTCGATGGAAGGACGGTGATGTCTTCTGTGTGTGCGTTTTTGCAACTTACATCTTGACGGATTATAATGTGGGTGAGGTACAGAGACTTGGTGGTTAGGAAGGCGGATCCGCGATATCGTCGACGAGCTTGGGTCGAGTGCGCGCTCTCACGCCCTAGCAACGAAACACTGCGGTCTGCTGTCTGCAATCTCGAATTCTCAAATCTTCGAGCCTTTAGACGCACTCTGCGCCCAGCGTCGCTGACGGCAGACTTGGTGGGAATTCTCAGGCTCTGCACCGCGATCTCGGAAGCGACGAGAGATTGGGCGCGGCTCGATTCGAAAGTGCTGCGGCAATTCCAAGGTTCGGAGGTCTCGCTTGTGTAAGAATTTGTAATCAAAGGAAACAGCAATGTCAACACCGATCTTACACTTCCCAAAAATTTCTTAGAACTCTGCCTGCTCCTTTCAGTGGCATCATCGCGCAGATTCGGCGTGACAATGACCGGCGACAAGATTTCGCAGATCTCTTTGAGTTTCCCTCCCCCACGTCGGTGCTTCTCGCACTCCGCAACTCTGCTGAACCCCCACAAAATCAAAGATTCGCGGTTGCCGACAGACATTTCTTGCCTTCACGACCGAACTTGCACAGAGCGAGCCGAAATCGCTTGCACCTTCTCCCATCCTCATCCTGTCTGTCCCAATTCACAGATGCTCACTTCGGCAGCTGTACCCTCCGCCTAGCCGAATCGGTCAAGTGACATCGGAAGACCCACTGTCGGGGGATTCTATCGCCGAAGCTAGCCTCCCTCCTCCTCGGCCAAATTTTCCGTTCAGCATTGTACAGCCTTCTCGTAGTATTCTTCTCAAGCTTTGCCATCGCCTCGTTCCTGCGTCGGTGTTTCTCAAGGCTGAAAGAGAAGCTTGCCTGGATACATAGAAGCCTGCGTGTTTGGCGTGCCCTTGAGGCGCTGTCGACAACAAGCACAGCTAGCAGCATAGTTTCAACAGCCGAGACACTCGTCGGTCCGACTCGGCCCTTCCTCACTTCGTCTACCCCTCGTCTCGTCAGCTGAGACCGTTTGAGGACGTATATATACAGCCACGTCTCGAGTAAAACCTACTCTCCTATGCCTCCTCATCTCACGAAAAGTAGCACAAGATGAAGTATACCTCGCTCATACCCTTTACCACCCTCGCAATGGGACTTGCTGGAATCACCAGTGTCGGCTCCTCTCCCGCACTCTCGCTCGACCAGCAAGTTTTTCGCTCCTACGAAGACCTCGCGTTGCGCAACGCCGACGGCCGCGCAACTGAGGACGCCTACGGAGATCCTGAATACAAGTGGCCCGAGCCCAACCCCACCCTTCCCCTCTCGGAACTTCCCGACGCACGACCGGCCGTCTCCTCTCGACGCTTCCGTTCGCGCCTCGTCGAAGCCGAAATCCGTCGGATCGCATCCAAGATCTCTGACCCTGCCATCAAACGTATCTTCACCAACGCCTATCCCAACAGTCTCGACACAACCGTCGCCTGGACAGATCTGCAGCTCAACAATCCCGATTCGTCCACTGCTTTCCCTAGAGCATTCATCATCACGGGTGACATCTTGGCCGCTTGGTTGCGAGACTCATCCAATCAGATCTTCACCTACTTGCCGCTGCTTCAGAGTCCGCCCGAACCGTACCATGTCGGGGACAAAGACTGGCTGAAATTATACAGGCTTGCTTTGGGATTGCTGTATCAACAATCGCAGCAGGTCATCACTTATCCACTGGGCAACTCTTTCGGTCCACCCAAGAGTGCTACCATCACCAACAAGAAGAATCCAGCCGTCGGGAACAGCCATGACGCTGATTGGGTTCAACCGCCTGTCCCTGGCTCCAAAGGTCACTATCTCCCGCAACCTCCGAAGAACTACACCGATGTGGAAGGAACGGACGGAGTCTACCTCTGGGAGACCAAATGGGAGGTCGATTCCTTAGCAGCGCATCTCCGACTTCCTTCCCTCATCGCACAGTATTCGGGTCGAAAGGATTTCCTCCACCACAAGACTTGGCAGAGAGGTGTACGCATGGCTATCGACGCACTCCAGTCTCAACAGCGCGGTTCGGATGAAGAATACACTGCCTACGCCGCTGCCAACGATACAACCATCTTGCCGGCCAACTTGACGTCCAGGGACAGCGAATGGGCGCAACGATTCGGAACGCTTCAAGGTGGAGTCTATCGATTCCAGAGGTTGAGCCGTAGCGCTACCGAGACAAAGGCGGACAACGGTTGGGGCGAGCCAGCCAAACGCAACGGACTGGTCAAGAGCGGATTCAGGCCGTCGGACGATGCTACCACTTTCCCATTCCTCATTCCCGCAAACGCACAGCTCGCCGTTGCACTCGAGAACCTAGTACCGTTGCTGTCAGGCGTGGAAGCGATGCAAGACGTCGCCACCAACGCCCGCGACTTCGCATCAGAGATCCGACAGGCGATCACTGACTACGCCATCCAGTCGAACCATCTCGCCGGAGGCGACGTCTACGCCTACGAAATCGACGGCTACGGCAGCACCTACTTCATGGACGACGCCAACGTACCCAGCCTCCTCTCTCTCCCTTACCTCGGCTACCTCAACTCCACCGACCCCACCTACCAACGTACACGCGCATTCGTCCTCTCGCCGCGCACCAACAAATGGGCCTTCTCCGGATCCGATTTCCGCGGGATCGGTGGTCCTCACGTCGGCACCAACTACGCTTGGCCCATGTCCCGCCTCATGCAAATCATGACCTCAACCGACGCCCAGGAACAGCTCGATGCTCTGTCCGCTCTCAGGAACACCACAGCAGGTACCGGGTTGATGCACGAAAGTATCAACGTCAACAATGCAACTGACTTCACCCGTCCCTGGTTCGGTTGGGCAAACGGGTTGTTCGGAGAAGCTGTAAGACACATCGAACAGACCAACCCGGAGGTCTTGTCGCACACCTACTAGATGCAGGGTACGCTCCCACAATTTCTCGTGCAGACACATTTGCACATGTTCACAAGAGACACGCAATCAAAACCATGTCCGCAATGCTACCCTTCATTGATATTACTGTGCTGAGAGCGTGTGACAACCTTCCCTTCGCCAAACCACTCAGACGCTCTACCCACTCCCTCCCATCTCCCCCTCCCGCTCCGCATCATCATCATTCGGCGCCAGCAAAAACTCCAACATCCTCGCTGGCCCCTTGACCTTCATCAACTCCCTGATTGCGCGCAGCTGCTCGATCTCCCTCCTCTCCTCCGCATACTGCTCCGACAAGTGATACGCGGTCCGCAGAGCGAGCTGGCTCTCCGATAGCGGGCCCGCCTTGGAAGCCGAACCATTGCTCTTGAGTGTGATCTTCTTGATCGAGGATGCAGGTCGAATCTCGACAGGAATGGTGACGGTCGGAGGCGCAGCTGCAGTCGTCCGGCTCGGTGTAGGAGTGACAGCGGGAGAGGCGGAACGAAGCTTCTTCGCCGCCGGTGTCGACGGAGATCCAGCGATGGCGGATTCGGCTGCGACAGCCGCCTTCCTCTTCGAAAGACGGATCGGATCGCCACTGCTGACACCCGTTGCCGCTTCCATAGCGATGCGCTTGATCAGCTCTTCCTCCGACATCGCCGCGGCGGCGGACGCAGCAGCCTCATCCAGCGCGGTCGCAGGTGCTGCTGCTACCGCTGCCTCGCCCACCTCACCGTCGCTCTCGGACAAACTCGATAGCGGCGATTCCGCCGACGATCCATCTTCGCTCAAAGACGAACGGACGCTCGACTCGGGCACATCGTCGTCGGTGAGGTCGATTCCGAACGCAGTAGCGATCAGCTGCCTCGTCCTCGAAAGCGTCTTGAAGCTCGAGTTCGCGCCGCGATCACTGACCAGTTCGTCCGCCTTCAACCGCGAAGTCGCAATGTCGGCGAGCGCGTCCAGCCCATTGAGCGCATTCTGACGCTTTCCAAAGGGCCGGAACCGCGTGTCGTCGTCTGCAATGGCTCCATCCTCGACAGCAATCAGTCGCACCGGTGCTCGACCCGCCACTTCTCCCGCGGCGACGTAGAAGACGTCTCCGATCTTGCTCGCTTCGTCTGCGCGCAATTTGCTCCAGAAGTCGGTGCGGATCACCTTCTCCGGGAACCGATAGCGGATCTTGGAGGCGAGCTTTGACCCGCCCTCAGTAATGGCGGGAGAGTCAAGCACGCCCGGCACGACAGGCACCTCCTTGACGCCGCTTTGGAGACTGCCCGTGATCCCGTTGGCACCCATCAACTCCTCCATCGGATCCGGTATGATGTCAATGTCACCATTGTTGAGAACACGCGTCCGGAAATGCCTGCCGGGGCCAATCGTCTTCGCAGAGGGAAGCGGCAGATCCAGTGTCTTTGGGACTGCAGCACCGATGCGCGCGATCCTGCGTCGATCGTTGACGTGATCGCTGTGCGCCGGACACATCCACTTGCGCAGGTTGCTTGGCATGCCCAGCATAGGTGGATCGACGCAGTCGATGTGCCAGTGTAGAGGACAAAAGTCGCAGCTGACAATCTTGCGCCAGCCGGTGCCTTCTCTAACAGTGTGCTCGGCAGGCGTCGATGCAGCCACTTCACCAAACACGTCTGTCGAACGAGCCTTGTTTGCACCCGCCTTCCGTGAACTGAAGATCTTCCCACTTGCACCGTTTCCGTTTTGCTCGGATTCTGCCGGAAGCGCAGTGCCACCGCACCGGTAGCACAGCACACCGTCGCCATTTTTGTCCTTGAGCCGATACGGATCTCTCGTCTCGATCTGTCCGTGTCTATTTGGCTTGACCTGCCTCAACATGCCTCCATTGACATAGTCCCCATCGACCGCGGTGGCGACGTCCTTGAAATAGGTGCGCACATCGGCTGGCAGCTGAAAGCTCTTGGGATTGTGCTGCGAAAGCACCGGCAAAAGATAGCCGAACGGACCCAAACCTTTCGGTTTCGATGCTGCTTTCGGTTTGCGCTCCGCCACGCAGACGTTGCAAAACCACATTTCGTCCACATTGACCTCGGCGCTGGAGCCTGCGGTGCCTACCTTCCCTTTACCCTTCTGCATCGAGCTCGCTTTGGCAGGTCCCAGAACCTCGGCAGCATTTGACGGCGGCATCTCGTCAATGTCGAGCGGCGGACTCATGCAGTGGAAGTGGAAGCTGCGTGGGCAACCGTCGCAGCAGACGAAACGGCCGTGACCGCCACAGGTTTCGCAAAGGTCGTTGTTGACACCGCCCTTGTCCTCCAATCTCGGTGTCAGGTTGGTGTCGGTCGAGGTGGAATTGGGTCCAGGCGGCACGATCGCACCGGCTATGCCTGGGATGGTGCGAAGACGACCCTCTGGCGTGTGCATCATTCCTGGAGGCGGCTCCACCAGCGAAGGAGGCACGATCGTGCGAGCGGCTGCATTGCTCTTCTTGCCGCCTGCTGAGATCGTGCTTTGGTTTTGAGTTGCAGGGGCAGCGCCGGTGCTGCTCGCTGAAGGGGACCGACGTCCACGTGATTCTTGCTGCAACAGCGATTCGCGATGCTTTTTCAGGCCCAGAGGATCAGCGTATGCGCTCGTGATGGACTGAGACGCTTGCAAAGAGGCGCCTCTGTTGCTAGGATTGCGACGCAGCGCTACCGCCGGAGACGATGCGTCATCGACTTCCATAGCAGCTGCTGCCTCGGCCGGTGTCAAGCCGACGGCGTCGGCGCTGCTTGCTATTGACGGCTCCGCTGCTGTTGACGGCGCCTCGTTCGGCGCAGATGACCCCGGTGCTGGGCTTGCTTCTGGAGCAACTTGTGCTGAACTTTCCAGCACGAGCGTAGCGTCGGGACTGGTCTCGCGGGTGACTGTCGCCGTGGCGACGGAATCGGCGTCGGTCAAAACGTCGGCAAGGAGCGGGTCCACGGCACCAGTCTCGGCAGATATCAATGCATCGTTTGGACCATCACCTTCCTCGGGTGAGACAACTGCATCGCCAGAGGTCGATTGACTGCAAAAAGCGAGCAATGCAAGACGGCGGGAGCGTTTTGGGTGGGAGAAAAGAGAGAATTGGTCAGTCAAGTGATCGGATCCGAATTCGACCCAAAAGATTCGTGAGGCGGAGGTCGAGGCTGAGCTGGGACGACTCGGAAAAGAATGTGGACAAGCGTTTGCGGGACTTGACGGAGGCTTTGCGCACAGAGCAGACGGAACAGGTCGAGCGGGAAAAGGCGTCGAACGCGTCGGGTCCGTTGGAGCTCGCTGTCAATTTTTGGGCAAATTTCTGTGCGTCCATCCGCGGGTTTGGCTGGGCCGCGCTGAGCTCGTCTGGATGCCTGAGCTCTCGCCGTCGTCGGGTCCAGCACCGCCCCATGCCGGCCCTATCGTCGGCGCTCGTCGTCCCCGTCGAAGTCCCTGGCCCCTGACGCATTCCATCTGACCGAGTGACCCTCGCACATTGTTCTCCGTCACCTTGCCCCACCAAGTTCCGTTTCATGCCGTCCAGCACCTCGATGGTGTTGATGTAATCAACCCACTCTCTCCTCCTCAACACTGTGCTGCTTTCTGCTCTTCCGCAGCGCGAAACAAATGACCCTCGCGAGCCTGAAAGTGAACAGCAACACTGCTATCTCGTACTTACCTTCGTGACCGATCCACGTCTACGTTGGCTTGAGGCGAATCTGTTGGGGCAGTCTTTTTGACGGTTTGAAACAGGGCATAAGGCATCTTGCCGTTGATGTTGGTTGGGGGCACAAAATCGGCGGGTGCCTGCGATGGGGCTGCCTTGCGTTGTGTGCCATTGACAGCGGCTGCGGGACCTCGTCGTTTCGGGATGGGCGCTGGTGCTGGCGTGTCCGACGCCACTGGATTGAGCGGTGGGTAGGCGGAGTCAGCTGGCAAGGATGGCGGTGGGCCCATGATTTCTGTTCGTAGCGGGTCGCCATCGGGTGCTGCGTGGTCGAGGGTCTTGGCGGACAATGCCGCAACGACTGTCTGATCGATGACGGACGAAGCGGGAGCCATCTCTTGCACGGCTGACGGCTCAGAATCGTTGGGACCGGGACCGCTAACGAGACCACCAGCTAGCGCTTGGCTCGGTTGCTCCGCACTAGCTTCTGTTGCTGACGGCGCATCTGTCAACGCTAATGGCTCGACAACTGGTTCGGCTTTTGGCACGAGCGAGGTCTCTGGCGCCAGCACTGGCTCTTTGGATCCTTCAAGCGCATCAGCTCGGACCGTGCCACCATCTTCATTTGAGATCGAAGCTGTTTGACCTTCGGAAGCAGCTTCTGATGGCACGGGTGCGGGCGTTGACATCTTGTGCTGTGCTTCGCGTAGTGTTGCGGTCCTTGCCTTGATGGCGAGCTCGTACCAATTGGGAGGGAGTGACGGAGCTGGCGTCGAGACAAGGCCTGTCGGCGTCATGAGATTGTGGTTGCTCTCGACGAGCACGCCTCGATCTTGCCGAAAAAGTGCCTGTAGATTTCGAATTCGGGAGGAGATGGTAGGCCTTGACGATGTGGTTCCAACGGCAAAGTGGCCGTTCTCGCTATGTTCTGCCGATGAAGGCTCTGCGTCGACCTCGGGGCTTCGAAGAAGACCGGCTAGCAGAGATGCCCGTCTTGGCCTGGCTAGTTCTACTGGAACTGGTTTCGTACTGCGTTCTGTCTGTGGACGATGTGAGCGGCCCTGAAAGCATCCCTTCTCTAGATCCAATCAACAGAACAGCGGCGGAAGATAGCAGCGTGATTCTGAAAATTGCTTCCCTGATACACGTGGCCAGCGTCCTCTGAAGCGTCGGCGCGTTCGAGAGATGCCGCCGCTTGAACCAGTGAAATCGAACGTCCTCGATGCGATCGACACGCTGGCGAATTGCGTCTCAAGGGCAGGTTCTCCCCACCTTTCAGCAGCCTGCCGGATCGAATCTTTTACAGCTCCAGCACGGTGCCCAAGTTAGTACCTGCAGATGACGCAAGACGCGGATCGAGTGAATCGAGACTCGGAGCTTGAGTGGCCGGACTTGCTCTGCCTCTTCCTAGGCCGATCTACGGATACGTCGCAGGCGATGTAGCAGCTCGGTGCTGTATCTCGACCTCGACCTGGAAGCAGGCTTGATGCTGCAATGAGAAGGAGTTGCGTGATCGCGTCGTACGACTCGCGATGCCCATTTGATTTGATGGAGGTGAGAGCAACAAAGCTGGCCCGCTCGCTCTGTCTCGCTCCCACTTCCGGGCAACCAATGTCCAAAGCATTCAACGTCTTGAGAATTTTGGGCTTGCTGAGCCTGTATCTCGCGTCTTCTCCGTGAATTCTATGCATTTCCAAAAAAGCGCGCCTCAACCAAATGCGAGACGCGAAAGCGACTTTTCAATCGGGTAAACGACTTACAGTGTATGCAGCGAAATAGTCAGCACGAGCCGGGGCGAGCATCTGGAGCGATGAGGAGCAGCGGTAGGCAGCAGGCACGCGATCTTCAACCTAGTCGGAACAATGCGAGTAGCACAAGCCTTTGCGTAAAGACACTTGATAGTGGCTTCTTGAACATCCTCATATGACACAGTTACGAACGTCAGTTCTCGTGTCTTCAGGCGTCATCAAAGAAGACACAGTACATTTGGTCAGAAGTTGGACAAGCCAGAACGCGGCGGTTTCAGTTTTAGTCGACATAGAACCAGATTTGCGCGCCGCATTCCATCCTAGTAAGGATCGTGACTGTGATGTGAGGCGCACGTGAAGGCACCAGAACAAGCTCAACGTGATTCATCGAACCGGCAGGGACGAAAAGCGGTCCATCTTCTTTCGCGATACGCTGAGGATCGGTTTGACGTCCCCGATCGCAGACGCCGGCTCGGCTGGCGTCAATGCTGCAGGGACCGCTTCACCTTCCACCGTCTGAGGCTCGACAGCTGTTGTCGCGAGTGCCAGCACAAGTGGCGCCAATGCCAGACGTATGCGACGTAGGCCGGCGTCGGCCGCAATGTGCTTGGAGAGGGTCGTTGCGTCGGCCGTCAGAAGTTCTCGGATCTGTTCCGAGTCACTTGCCGATGTTGTTTCGTTGTTTGAGATCCACTCTAGGATGCCGCGAACCTGCAAGGCGAGCTCGGGCCCCGCGAGCGCAGGACCGAGCTGGACAATAGATTCAGCCAGAATCGCCAGCGCACAAAGCAGAGGCGTTGAGACGGACGACTTTGCCGTGTCTTGAAGTTTTGCGTTGACGGGGTTGCCAGACTTGAGAGCAGATGAGATACGTTGCTCGAGCTGGGGTAGCCAGAAGCGCTCCAGTGCCGCTTTGACTGGTTCTCGAATCTTGTTCCCGGAAGATGTTCTGACGGAAAGTACGGCGATAATCCTCATCACCAATGAGGTCGATTCCAAGACTCCCACTTGATGATCAACGGACTCTCCTGTCCTTTCTGACGACGAGGACGACTCCTGCTCTAGTAGCTTCTTGAATCCTGTTTCCAACTCTACCCGTGACGCAGCAAGGACCGAGTCATACTTGGCATCGATGGATGCCAATGCGCCAACAAACCTTGCATCCGATCCGAGCTCCGCCCGATACGATTGCAGCTCTTGTGACAAGGTCGCCAGAGGTCCCTCGTACATGCTCACGAGACGGTCGATCTGCTTTGATCGACCGCAGACGTCATCTTGAAGCGTTGCTGCGTAGGCGCGGCTCGAAGCTGATGGGTTCGCGACCTCTTTCAGACTAGCTCGATCGTCAGCCTCGATGGGGTGAAACAGGTCATCCAGAGGTGCCTCGACCCGGCTTTGCGAATCGACTCGCGATACCATTCCGCTGTTCAAAGCGAACACGATCTTTTCTGCCTCCTTGAGCAGACTTTGCGCCGCATCTTTGAGCGTTCGTTCGATGAGGCTCAACAAACGACCTTGAAGTGTCTTATCGATCGACTCTTCGAGTCGGTCTAGCTCGCAGTGAATCGTTGACATCGCCTCCCGGCGGCGCTCGTCAGTGGATGAGAGCGAGCCAGCGAGCTTACGCGCTACGATGCGGCGTGCTCGATGCAGCGCGACACGGAGCGAGCTGCGCACGAGAGCAAGCTCGCTGACATCCGACAAGTCCGAAAGCAGAAAGTGCAGTGTAGCCGGGCTTGCGCTTTCGGAAGACCCGATGATGGTCTCGCGCGCCTTCGTCGACCAAGATGACAGTTCCGTCAAAAAGTGAGCAGGGGAGTGCGGCTCCTTAGCTTCCAGGTCGAGATGCGGTGCAAAAGCCCAGGAGGAAGATGGGAGGAGACGGGAGAGGATACGTCCACTCGGGAGAGCTTCGACCACGCTCGCCGTAGACACTCGAAGCGGTCGGCTGTGAGCTGTTTGCACGCCAGGCTCCGGTTGAGCTTTTGCGCCAGTCTGGGCTGTGTCTTCTGTCATTGGCAGGCCGTAGCTCGATCGCCTTCTTTGTGCACGAAGACTAGCAGCATCTTGTCTGGAAGCGGGCGATTCACCTGTAAGAGATGGCTGTGAAAGCAAGAAGCTGCGATCCGAGGTTGGAGATCCGACTGCAAGCGTTGCGGCGGCGGAATTGGCAGGGTCTGTGACACTTTGCAGCAGATCCAGCAGTAGCGGTGTCGACGGCGAAGAAGAAGTCTCTCTCTTTGGCGGAAGAACAAAGACTTGCACGGCATGCTGCAGTGTCCGAGCAAAGAGAGTAACAAGCTCGACGATCGTTTCAGCAGCACGTGCTGCGGCTCGGCCTTTGTCATTGGACTTTGAATCTGATGACTTGTCCGCTGCCTGCTTTTTCGATGGCATGGCCGAAGACCGTCCTGAACCGCGGTGATGAGGAGGAGATGTGCGTTGCAGCATCCGACGCATTGCCGTGAGTCGCTGTGAGAGCAGCAAGCGGAAGGCTTGGTCGAACTTGGTCCCGTCGAGCAACACCAGCGCTGCGAGCTGGTCTACCACGGCCATCGACTCGATCTGAGCATCCGAGAGCAGCGACACAGCTCGATGAACTATTTGCTTGCGCATAGGTATCATGGTCTGCCACTGCTTTTCAATGAAAGGGAAGGCCTTCTTAACATTGACCTCGAGCAGCGAGACGGCTTCCAAGACTGAGTCGGTGCCAATGTTATCGCCCGTGGCGAGGGCTGAGGAGCCCGAGCGAGACGCTGAATCGACCATGTCGGTCCATGTTGCGCGAGCGAGCATAAAAGCCCAGCTGGCCTGTAACGTCTTTCCCTTCTCTATTGACTTCCAAACGTACTCGGGCGTGTCCATGATGAGGCGCAAAGAGGCGCCGAGCACGTATATCGCTTCCCGATGCAGCGAAGAGGCGTCGGCTGTCTCTGACTCGTCCACGAGATGCTGAGCTGGCAGAAAGCTTTTGCGCCGATGCGACCGTTTGGGTGATTGGACCTTGTCCCTCGACACTGCTGCCATTCGGACGCCGTCCGAAAGCTCGTGCAGCCTTCGAGAGAGTTGCTCCGAGCTGCCGGCCATGTCGATGATCGTGTTGGCCGTGCCAAGGAGATCCTCGTAGCGCTGACCAACGAGGCTCCTGAGTTCTTCTGCCTTTCCATGCGCGGTGGCCCTGACGGCACGCTCGTATGCTTCGACTTCTTTGACCGTCAGTGAGCTGAAGAGGGAGTCGGGTTCGGTACCAAACGGATCGAAGCCTGTTGTCTGGAACATTCGAGACGCTTCGCTGGGAACAGAGGGACGACGAGGAAGACCATTCAGCGGTGCTGATACATCCGTGCTTGTGCTTGCTATGCTGGAAGTCAGTGATGCATGCGTTCGGGCATGTCTTGCGCGACCGTGTCTGGCTGGTGTGGTTGGAGCAGAGCCCGCGTCGGCACCGGCGCTGCCACCAGCTTCAGGCTGTTGCCGCGAGGTTGCTGACATGGTGACCGCTACTGCTATTGCCGCTGGTCACGGGACTGCGCAATGCCGTATAACGATGGTTGCAGATGTCGACAAGGAAGAAAGCAGTGTCAGTGTTGGCTTGTCGAGAACGTTGCTGGACGTGGACAACGCTACTGTCTGTGCGTGGCTCGGTTCCGATTTGATGGACCCTGGCCAAAGGAACGCCAAATTATGCGCGTTTTGAACCCCACCGGAAACATTCAGGACCACTTCGTAGAACCGTGCCTCTCCCCTCGCTGAAGCCACTAGCCTGCGCCCATCTCGACGCAATTGACGGACGGAGCACCATGTCGATACCAGGAAAAGACAGCGGAGCCGTCGTGCTCGATACCTCGATGGGCCGTGTCGCGCTCGAGCTGTACTGGAAGCACGCACCTCGGACCTGTGCCAACTTTTACCAGCTCGCTAAGCAGGGCTTCTTCGACGGCATCATCTTTCATCGAGTCATCAGTGATTTCATGATCCAGGGAGGCGATCCCACCGGCACAGGCTCAGGTGGCGCTTCGATCTACGGCGGCAATTTTGAGGACGAGCTGCATCCCGAGCTTCGCTTTGTAGGAGCTGGCATTCTCGCTTCGGCAAATGCTGGACCCAACACCAACCGCAGCCAATTCTTCGTCACGCTGGCGCCGACACCTTTTCTCGACGGAAAGCACACCATATTTGGTCGCGTATCCGATGGCATGCATGCTGTCCGCGAGATCGGAGCTGCCGAAACAAAGGACGACAGGTAAGTATACTTCCGCAGCTTCCATAGTTTTGGAGCGGCTAGACTGAGTACTGATCAGACCATCATCGTTACCTTTACCTCTGTGTGTGCGATGCAGGCCTGTTGAGGAGGTCAAGATCGTCAAAGCGACAGTAGTGTGATTCAACTACCTCCCTCCCTGCCATATACCCCTTTCAGACAAGTCTCTCCTCGGAAGCATCCAAATAGAAGCCGAATTTTGCAACCGCAATTCTAGCTACACTTTTGCCGCGATTTTCGACGACTTCAACCAACTATCGTCGCCAAATTCTCTTCTCAGCGACGCGAGCTCTCGAGACAGTGTCAGCAAGCGCAGACCGTCAGAGGCCAACTCCATGCAGGTCCAATCAATCCTTGACAAGCATCGAGCCGTCCCCCTCCCTTCGGACACTAACACAAAGACACCATCAGACAAGATCACACGGATGAGGACAGGTTGGTATGATGCCTGGTGTTGCGTAGCTGGCGGAGCCCTGTTCTGACCGCCGAGCCCATGGTGGTAGTAGAAGTACAAGGATGAACACAAAGAAGAGAAAAGTACGAGAAGAAACACGACTAGGAGGTGGGTGCGGGGATAGCAAAGCAGACGAGCTGCGTGATCTATCGAGGCAGCCTCAGACTTGCATCACGAGGCGCCTAGGTGGAAAGTGGTAGTACAGTGGGAGATGCGAGACGACGGAAGTGAGACGACCAAAGATCGAGACGCTTAGATGTCCTGCGAGCCACCAGCCTTCTTGGGCTTGCCCGACTTGGCAGGGAGGAGCTCCGACTGGATGAAGGGGAGAACACCACCCTGGGAGATGGTGACACCGCCAAGGAGCTTGTTGAGCTCCTCGTCGTTGCGGATGGCGAGCTGAAGGTGACGGGGAATGATACGCGACTTCTTGTTGTCACGGGCGGCGTTACCAGCGAGCTCGAGGATCTCGGCAGCCAAGTACTCGAGAACGGCAGCGAGGTAGACTGTTGTAGCGAAGAGGTGAAAGGGAGACGGGAGGGTCAGTCGAACGGATCGCGATCAGAGTGTGACGATGCAAAGACAGTATACGTACCAGGAGCACCGGCACCGACACGCTGAGCGTAGTTGCCCTTTCGCAAGAGACGGTGGATACGGCCGACGGGGAACTGAAGACCAGCCTTGGCCGATCGGGACTGCGACTTGGAAGAGGCGTCACCAGCCTTGCCACCAGACTTGCCACCGGAAGACATTGTTGCTAAGATAGATAGAGGGGTTGGTGTTTGGGAAAACGGGTTGGGATGGAGCTTGAGGAGCGAATGGACGATGGAGAAAAAGAGAAGAGGAAAGGGGAAAAGCAACAGTGATGCAGCCGATTCGGAGCAAGGGTTTTATCGTCTCGCGGACGTGCTTACCGTGCAGTCTGAGGGTTGGAAGCGCAAGCCGGCAGCTCAGCAGTCTCCTTCCGAAGTAGATGGGAAGCCGTCCGTGCTGCAGTTCAAGTGTTGCTCCACTGCGCGACGCGACACCAGTCTTCCGCATAGCACGAGGCAATGGAGGAAATTGCGTCTAAATTCCTGCTGTGCCGCTGCGTCATTTTTTCGAGACCAAACAAAGCGCGTTGATTTCTGGTCCCCCTCCAACAGAACGGAGTATTTTCGTCACCTGCAACGCTTGGCTTCTTTGTCTACATTCTTGAATCCTGGATTGCAGCCGCCGAAGTCCCTAATTGGGAGCCGGCCTCACAACTTCGGGCCTTCGAAGCCCGTCATCGTTTTCACTACCTCGCCCACTCCCTTTCCATCACAAGCTAAGTCACCACCGTCAAGCCTTCGGGTCGAGTTCATGCCTACGTTCATCCTCGCCAAAGGGTCCAACTCAATCATCAATGGTCTTCGAGCAACTAGCCTGTTCAGTGCGATAATGGAGGTGGAAAGAGGGGACGAAGAAGAGAATCACATTGAGGGCGACGAATCCTAGAAAGGCCTGAATAATAATGTGCCATGATTGCGTCGCATCGATGGTTCTGTGAACAGCTACGAAGACCAGTGAGAAAGGAAGCGCAGAAGATTTAGGGGCTTCGTCGCCCGCATAGAAGTTTAGCCCATATAGCTCATTTAGGGAGAGGGCAGCTGAAAAGTGGCAGGAAAAGCAACACGACGTGGCGCACCTAATTTCGAATTTTTTTCTCCGTTGTGTGGAGAGGCAGCGAGAATTCCGCACGTCGATTTTCTGGCTGCAGCTCGGCGGTCAGACGCGTTGAGTTGGGCTCGTAACGCAGTAATTCACGCAAAATGCGCGTCCGTCGTGTGCAGCAGCGAGAGCGACGGTGCACCACACCGACACTGACGCGCTCGCCCGCCGCGATACTGCACGCTGCTTGGGGCTGCGCTCTGGCCTTGTGTGTGCTTCGGCAAGCAGGCTCGGATTGGTTTATAACCCAACCCTTCCAACCCGCCTCTCAGCTCCGGACCCTTCTTCTCTTTCTCTTTCTCCTCATCCGTCAAGTCTTTCCAACGCTACACCCCAACACACCACAACCAACCACCCCCTCTTACTTTATTCAACATGCCCCCCAAGCCCGCTGAGAAGAAGCCCTCCTCCACCGCCGGCAAGGCTCCCGCCTCGTCCGCTGGCAAGGCCCCCGCTGAGGCCGCCAAGAAGACCTCCAAGGCCCCCGCCAAGTCTGGTGACAAGAAGAAGGCCACCAAGGTCCGCAAGGAGACCTACTCGACCTACATCTACCGTGTGCTCAAGCAGGTTCACCCCGACACTGGTATCTCGAACAAGGCCATGGCCATTCTCAACTCGTTCGTCCAGGACATCTTCGAGCGCATCGCCACCGAGGCCTCCAAGCTCGCTTCGTACAACAAGAAGTCGACCATCTCGTCGCGAGAGATCCAGACCGCTGTCCGTCTCATCCTCCCCGGTGAGCTTTCCAAGCACGCCATCTCGGAAGGTACCAAGTCGGTCACCAAGTTCTCTTCGTCCAAGTAAGCGAACGCGCCTGCCTCGTCCCCTCCTTCATCATGTCGTCCTCTTTCGGCCCGACGCGTTCGGTGCAGCGCGTTCGTGGTGTCCTCGCGGCGATTTGTACACTGCATTCGCTCGCCTAGCCCAAACTCTTTGCCCCTCTCCCCTTTTCTTTTCGGTCGCTTTGTATCTCTTCTGTACTTTTACCGCCAGCGCTAGCATCTCTCAGATATATCCAGCAGCAATCTGAGCATATCGGTCTCAAACATCATTCTCGTCTGTCGCGTGTCTTTCGCTTGAGTGAGCTTTGATTTGAACGTGTTTCGCTGGCTATCGATTCAGACGCGTTGTGGCAGGTTGCCCGAGATTCGTGGTCTGCGTTCAGTTGTCTTCTCATGCCCGATTACGATCGATAGGCTACAATGGTAGTGAGGGACGAGTCTAGGATGAGACGAAACGACGCTGCGGAGAGATACAATTACAAGTGCCAAGTGCGAAGTGCGAAAGAGACGCGCGAGTGCCAATGAAACGAGGAGCAAACGTGGTATAGAGGAACAAGAAGCTTTGCTATGATGGAGGAGCTATCCTCAGCCACGAAGGAGACCGTCGAGGGCGGCCTGCATACGCTGCATGTCTTGTTGCTCCTGCTCTTCGTTGAGCTTTGGATCTTCGATGGCTAGATCGGGGAGGTGGTCGGTGGTGCTGGCCTGGCCGAGCTTGCCATCCGTGAGCTGGTAGAGGACCTTGTCGACTTCGTCTTGCGCCTCCTCTTCCATCTCGTCTTCGTCCTCGCCTAGCACGCCCGAGTCGAGAGCGTCTTCCATGAGCTCCTCCATGATGCCGGCTTTGGTCATTTCGGCGCTCATCTGTCGCATCACCGCGGATACCTCGGGCAACTTGACGAGCTGATTGGAGAGCTTCATGATCTCGGTCGACTTTTGCATGCTTCCCGTCACCTTGTACATTGCTGTTGAGCAAACTCGTCGTGTAATGAGATAGATGATGTGTTAGTAGTGCCGTTCTCGCCATTCTCGTCTGGGCGCAGGGTATGTTCGGAATCGGCCTTACCGAGCTGATGTTGCAGCTGCATGTTGATACTGTTCAGTCTCGCCTTTGATACTGCCAGTCTGTTCTTTTGCTTTTGTGCGCGCACCACTTCTCTGGCCAGGATCTTTGCGTTCTTGACGTCGCCTTTCTTGGCCAGTTTCTTAATCTCGGCCTTTGTCTTTGTGGATCCTTGGTCGATCTGGCGCATTTCTCTGTCCAGTGCACGTTGCTCCGTCCGCAATTGGGACTGCACCTTCTTGACTCTCTCTGTTGATAGGCATATCACCTGGTCAGTGATCGTACAATGGACGGGAAGCTGGAGCAACGTCGTCTACTCACCCTCCTGTGATGGTCCGAAGATGAATTTCGACACCGCCTGCATCGTGCGACCTTTCTGCTGGACGATGTTCCGTCGCAGAGTATACTCGAATTCGTCGCTGGATAGGTGCTCTGTCGAGCCGGTAGGATGGTATAGGGCTTGTGCGGCGATGTGGCTGCTTGCAGTGTGCTAGAAGGTGCTCGGGCGAGGGGATCGGATGGAGTGATTTCGATATCGAGGTGGAGTTGGTGGAGTGGGTCGTGCATGCATGGCTGCGCAGCCTCGATCCGGATTCGGAATTCGGATCTTGGGTGCCTGGCCCGCCGCTGTTTCGGGCGATAGCACTTGCGGCACTTTGTGGGATTCTGTTCTTTTGTCGTCGCTCGCGGACTATGGCCAAACGAGCTCTGACATCCTCCCATTAGTCCGGACTTGTGGTGTCAGCGTCTTTGGCGCAGTCTCTTTGCAATATCGAAACCGGGTGTAGAGGGTAACCTCACTGATTCAATAGAATGGCAATCTTCACGATGAATTTGCGCCCCTTCGAGTAAAGAAATCTCGAAATTGAGGCGCCAAAAATCGAGCTGACAATAATGCAAGGCAAGGACGGCCTAACAGTCAAGTAAAGTATCCGTAGACGGCCCTCTGCGACCCTCTCACACACCAGTCCGTAAATGACGAGGTCGGTTGACCTTCTGAGCCACGGCGTGAATGACGACAGACGCGCAACAGACGACTCAAGATAGGCGAAGCGATGGCGCCGACAACGGTGTCCTCTTTCAGCTACGGCAATACACTGCAAGTCGAACTCGAAATGGGCAACCGCTCGGCGTTGCCTGAGTTGATTTGCGTGCAACGACAACGTCGTGCTCGGCGGACGGTGACGAAGCGCGACGCGTGACGCGTGAGAATTGCATCCGCAAAAACAAACAACATCCGCGACACTCGACCAAGGAAGTCCATCGTCGCACGGGTGTGCCGTCGGTCCAGGTGGGATGACACAGTGGTGTGGAGTCCGAAGGGATTTCTGCTACCCTTAGCGCGACGGAGAAGCCGCAAGCGTGGTGGCGTGGGAAGGGGTTCGCAAACTCTGGAATGAGGGCAAGACGTGCAGTGCAGATCCCTTCTGCCAAAAGAAGCAAGCCAGACCCTGCTTCGGCCCGCACCTCGGCTACGTACGTCTCAGGAGGCATCCTAGAGCGCGTCCTGAAAATTGGGACGTCAAAGCTGCACTGCAGAGAGCAAACAAGGCTGGCTGGCTGGCTCTGGGACCATCTTCGTTGTCGTTCTATTCCGCAGCTTTATCCTCGGCCCCACGAGAAATAATGCCTCTAGAGTGCGTTCTGAGCACCAGACTAGGAGCCTTGCCATGCGTGCTCCGTGCTGAAACAAGACTCGGAGAACAGAAGCGCAGAGCTGTGAAGATCTCGAGGCCCTTTGGTCGATCCGGACACACCTGTGAGGGCTTAGCTGGGACTGACTGTTGCTGTCTCGACAAATGAGGACGAGAAACCGCCGCTGATCCGCCTTTTGCTCGGCCATGCGCGACATACACGATGCGCGATCGCCCTTGCTTAGACTTCTCATGCGGCAGCTTTGGGAACGTTGCCTGTGCGTGACGTCCTGGCGAAGCGAAAACACAAAAACACGCGTGTTGATTGCTCTTTGCTCGCAACTCCGACACAGCTGGTTCGCCTTTCTGTCTTGGACTCTCCGCTCGTCACCTTCTTGATGCTGCTGCTCGGTAAAGAAGTGCTGGTTGCCTCCTTACCGCTGTACGGACTCTGCTATATCGGCAATTTGTGAAGGGACCAGAGCAAAGCATCGTCTGTCTGATCCCGAGCGCCCTTTCGGTCGGAATTCCACAGTTGACAAGCTGTCAGACATCACACAAACACACACACACACGCGCAGGATTCCGAGTATAATTTGCAAGGGCGACTCAGCAACCTAGAACTCTCCCAGAGTCTCGCTTGGCTTGACTTCTCCTTGCTTGGCCATTCCGTATCGGAGTTGCCTCAAGCAGTATCCCATTCCGCAACTATATACAGTACACGCTCTCCCTCTCCTCCGTGACAGGCACCATCCGTCCCGCTTCGCCTGTTTGCCTGCCTACGCACATTACTGCGAGGTATCGGTCCTGTCTGCTGTATCTGTGCTCCTCATCAACGCGTCTGTTTCCGTACAGTCTCCCAACCGACACGCTGTGTTCCACATCGCTCTTCGTCGAGCCCCTTGCCTGACCGTCCTGGATAGCATTTACCCTTCTGCCACCGATCCCTTCACCTGGATCCTGTTCTGCTACCCGCACGCCGGTAATCGGAAAGCTGTCAACCACGCCAACCGCAGCCGACTGTAGCACCACTCGCATCTTACCGTCTCGACAAGTTGATCACCGGTAGGTCTTCTCGCCATTGCTCCCACCACCGACACCAGCCAACGTCCTCTGTAGCATCCGTCCCGAGCCTCACATCCCCAGCCAGCCATCAACCGAGAGCACTGGTTGCCATGAACGTCGTTCATTCATAGTCGTACAGGACCACAGCTCGAATTTCGTTTCCTTTCTACGCAACACACCACACCACACCACACCGTCCAAACGGCTCTCGAAAAGGCATCAACACAGCCATGTCTGCCGTGGCATCTAGACCCGCGTCGGTCGCCAATTCGTTCTTCGAGTCTGACGGCCGACCTAGCATAGAGCCCATCAACAAGACCACGGAGCTCGCTCGCGCCATTGGTCGCGAGAGGGAAGGGCTCGTCCCCTCTTTCCGCCCACCGAGCAGCTGGACACAAAGATCCAGCCATCACGACGTCGTCTGGACCGGCGGCCAAGACCACGATCAAGATGCAAACGACGATCGATTCTCCGACGCCGAGAGCTGGGACGGCGACGCCGACAAAGCATCCACCGATCCTACAACCAGCGTCTATGGCCACGTCCGTCCCACCAGCATCGGAAGCTCCATCTTTGCCGGACGCGGCGCCAAGTCTGATCGCAGGCGTCGCGAGGCTCCACCGCCTCTTCCCAACCTGCCAGCGTCTCATCAGCATCAGCAGGACATCCTCTTCCAGGGCGGCGATGCGGCACGGCTGCTCAGCCCGGCCCTCCCGTCCGCCCACAGCATGATCAGTCCGCGCAGCGATGCAAGCGGCTTCGACACGAGCAGCCAGTATAGCGGCTACGATGGCAAGAGTAATACAGTCGAGCAGGACCACCTCGCAGATGGATTCGACATCCAGAACGCCTCAATCCCAAAGAATCACTCACTTCCTTTGCGCAACTCATCCAAGCATGCGCCTCCCATCCCCGCCAAGGCCGCGTCCAGAGGCAGTAACGAGTCACCACGCCGAGCTGGCTCCGACGCCGAGAATAGCCCGCCTCGCGCTTCTACAGCGTCCAACGCTAAGACCAACAGGCTGCCTGATGGCACCCTCATTCCCAAGATGCCTCCCGTTCCCCAAACCAGCGACATGACGCGCTCGCGCAAGTCAAAGACACGACGCGACCGGTCTCCCATCTTGTCCTTCGACGGCGGCGTAGCAGAGGAGGAAAGGATGCTTGTCGAGCTCCAAAACAGGCTCGCCAATGACACCCGCAGAGTCAGCACGCTCGGTCCCAAGGTCAAGAAGAACGCGCCGGCTCCCTGGGAAATGGGTGGAGAAGACATTGCAACTACGGCGGGTCGACCATCCCTGCGTGAAGCACTGCGTCCAAACGTAGAGACGTTCGAAAAGCCCTTTTCTCGATTCAAGTCGAGGCCTTCCATCGACGCCGGGCTTCCAGGCCACAGAAGCCCCATCCCGCCTCACGCACCTTCGGGTCTCTCGCACGCTTCGCACGCTTCCAATGCCGAATCGCTGGAACAGGAGGCCCAACACGAGGACGATGTACAGACGCAAATCGTGTCTCAACGATCGCGATCCAAGAGCGTCTCAAGCAGCGCCGTTGGCATGTTGAAAGGTCTCGGTCTCGCTGGCGCTGCAGCGCCAGCCTCCAAGAAGGGCAAGCTCACAAAAGCGCTACGCCTCGTCGGCGGCGGTGGCAGCTCTCAGCCTTCCACGTCGCCGCTTCCGGAGCTTCCCGCAGCAGGCGATGCCAGCCACGCCGGCTCGAGTCCTGTTCCTCCTACGAGCTTTGCAAGTGACCTGCCGCAGAGCCGTTTGACTCGCCATCTCCATGGAGGAGCCAATCCGATGCCGTCCGCGAGCAAGGCTCAGGCCGATCTCGTTGATTTGATCGCCTCCAGCAATACCAAATTCCGCGATCAGGCCTGCTCTCCGCCACTACCATCACCTTCTTCGCACCTCGGCGGCGTCCGCTCGCTGGCGTACAAGAAAGACACGCTGAGCCCCACCGACACGTCCAGCTTTGCAAGCGAGCAGAGTCATTACTTCAACTCGCTCGACCAATCCCGATCACGAACGCCGCCTACACGCCAAGTCAGCCTAGCCTCACACTCGGCAGCCTCCGCCGAAGATATCGCGCCACGCAGCAGCAGTCTGGAAGGCGAGGCTGCGGTCGGCTCTACGCCTCACCAGGGCGAGTCCACGCCCGTCGGCAAGGCCGCTGCAGTGAGTTCTGCTCCGGCCCGACCTGCTTCGCCATCGACACTTCAGGCTGGAAGGATGTCTGCCTCGTCCAGTCAAACATCAGGCAGCCTTCCCCTGCCCGGCAACATCGAAGGCGTGCCGTACAAGCTCATCTCGCTCGAGGAAGCTCGCGAGCAGGCTCGGCAGAAGCAGTCTGAGTGGCTCGCCTCGTCAGGTGCTGCCTCGACGATGCGAACGACATCGTATCAGTCTTCAGGTGGTCCTGCTTCCGATGAGATGGGCATGCAGCGTGACCCATCGAGCGATGGCCAATCTAGCCTGCGGCTGCTCAAGAACAAGAAGAGCGGCTTCTTGATGCGCAAGCTCAAGAAGGAAAAGGCGTTCGGTGTCGAGCTCGATGGCGTTTCCACCTTCCCGTCGAGTGGGAGCAGCAGAGGCCTGTCGCATTCGAGCAAGTCGCCCATGCCTTCTTTCTCCGTCACTGGTCTGGAGGATGAAGAGAGCGACGAGTTGAAGCCGCTCACCTCGCTCGAGAAGCCCGCGTTGCAAATCCGTCCCATGTCGTCCATGTTCTCCGGCTTCGCGCCCGACTTTCTGGATGCCTCTGCGCTGTCGGAGGGTCACCTACGCGAGGCGTCGAACGGTTCGTCGGCCAGCTCGACGGGACTGCTTGCTCCGCTCAGCCCCGGCGCTCAATCTTTCCGAACGCCCTCGCCGGCATTAACTCAGGTCAGCCAGTTCTCGTCCGGCGCCAGCACGAGCAAGCCCAGGCCTGCCGAGATCCGGCCCCCACCGCACGGCAGCGTGGTTCCTGGTCCTGCCGTGCCTGGCTCTGCCGACAGCAACTGGAGCGGCAAGGGTGGAGCCTCGGGAATCAGTCGACTGCCGAGCCTCGACGCGGGCGGGAGCACGTCTGACACTCAATCGCAGTTCCATTCTCCGGCCAACTCTCCGCTTACGCCTTCGTTTCACCACTCTGTGCACGCGCCTGAACGGCGAGCGTCGATCGAGGAGACGGCAGCTCTGTCGCCTCCAGCGAGCCCGCAGATCCCGGAAGAGGTGCGACAGCGTGCACGCGACATCGAAGCGCAGATCCAGGAACTCTGCAATGAGCTTCACGATCTTCGCGTCAAACACGTGGGCCAGGGCACTGCACCTACGTTCAGACCGAGCGAGACCGAGGAAGGAGAGCAGCCCAAGGAGCAGCGAGCTACCGGCGACTGTCCTTCGTGCGGCTGCGGCTGCGCTGAACAGCGGCGTCTGCAGAGCATCAACGAAGCGGCGGTGCTCAAGGGCATCAGCGTGCTCGATCGAGGACGTGCGCTGAAACCCTCGCCCAACATGGGCAACACTGGCAAATTCGGCGGCTATACCAACCGCTGAGGCGGCGGTGTACCGAAACTCTTCCGCTCCGATCGATCATTCGAATTCGACACCATCTTTCTCCTCGGCAGCACTTGATGTGTGCCGATTGTATACCCAATACCACGTTCCTTGCTACCTTGGCAGAGTGTTTGGCCGCTAGAAGCGGTCGGCATGTAATTGTGATCCATGAGCTCACTTTGAAGCATGCGAGGAGAATTCGGAGACCGGGAGCAATTGCGGCGTTTTAATCAAGAGGAGGCACGCGTGCGGGTTGCATCCAGCTGCAGCTGCAGGAGAAGACGCCGGCATGGCTTTCAAAGCGTATTTCTAGGATGTTGCGTCTCGAAGGATCATCACCGCGTCTCGTTGGGTGAAGGGAAGAAGTCGACAACGCTTGCGATGGATGAAGGGGGGAGTTGATGAACTTGCAGACTTGGAAAGAGGAGCGTTGGGGCTTGTTTGCGACACGGTGAGGATCGGTGTTGCTCGGTGAATTTGTACGGCCTTTTGATCCTGTGGGTTGTACAGTCTCTTGAGCCAGCCCACCGCAAATGCGTAAAAGATAGGGGAAGTGAAGCATTCAAGGGTCCAAACATGAGACAAGTGTTGGTTTCATTTCGTCATCGCCTGCCAGCTGACATTCGCAACCCTTCTTATCAACGCCTTTGTCAAGACCCGCCTTCTCTCTCTTTCGTCCGACCATCATTATCCCCCCTTTCTCCATCAAGGAGCATTGCCAAGCATGACGAGACTTTCCTCGCGCGCACAACTGTCAGAGCATCAAGTGCATCCAGACCCAAGCACGACCGATCCTCTGCTCCCCGCCTCTGCACCCCTCCCCCACCAGGCAACTCCGCTGCACAAAGCACCACGATGGTGGACGTCCTCCTCGTCCAGCCGATCCGGTCATCCCAATTACGGTCTGCACGGACCGGAACCGAATAACTGGGCCAAACTGCGTCACCTCTACCGAGAAGAACTCGCCGAATTCTTTGGCACTTTCCTCATCCTCATCTTCGGCGCGGGTGTTGAATGTCAGGTCAATTTGCACTATCATTCCGCCGCAACTCGAGATGTAGCTGCGTACGGTAGCTACTTCCAAGGTCGACTTGCATGGGCAGCAGGTGTAGCGATGGCGGTTTGGGTGAGCGGTGGGATCAGTGGTGGACACTGCAATCCGAGCGTCACCGTTGCACTTGCGCTCTTTCGAGGATTCCCCTGGAGGAAAGTCGTTCCCTTTATCATCGCTCAGACTCTCGGTGCAACTTTCGCAAGTCTGCTCGTCTACGCCAACAACGTCACCAACATCGATCGATTCCAAGGCGCAGGTATCCGCACCGTCAAGGGACCAGGCAGCACAGCAGGGTTCTTCTTCACCTTGCCCGCCGAGGAACTCTCCTACTCCTCGGCCTTCTACTCCGAGTTCCTGGCTACCGCTATCTTGCTCTTTGTCGTCTTCGCTCTCGCTGACACGGCCAACCTGAAACCGCCGAAGGGGACGCAGCCGTTCGCAATGTTCATCGTACTGCTGGGCATCGGTGCCAGTCTGGGATACAATACGGGATATGCGATCAACGGAGCGAGGGATACAGGTCCGAGGATCGCACTTTGGATGGTCGGGTACGGAAGCGACGTGTGGACTCACGATGGGTGGTACTGGCTGTGGAATCCTTGGGTGAGCAGCGTGATGGGTGGAGCGGCGGGTGCGGCGATGTACGATGCATTCTTGTACACTGGTCAGGATAGTCCCTTCAACCGCCCCAAGGGCGTAGTGAGGGGTGCGTATGAGGCGCTCGTTCAGAATGGAGACGAGGAGGTGTAGAAAGTTTCACCCGGAGTTTCAGCTAAGGACGCTCAGAAGATCGTCAATACGCCATACTTTCAATGTTTCGCTGCATATAGACATAGTAATTGCTCTTCGTCCTCGTTCTGCCCGTTGCTGATGAGCTTGTGTGCCGAGGTTCGTTTTGAGATGGTGTAAGAGCTGGCGTGGAGCTGATCTAACATCATAATTTCTCTCGACTCGTCTCTCCACATGACGGTCAAGCTGAGCTTTGGATTTTCAGGGTCTGGGCTTCGTCCTAACCTTCATCCACCATCATTGTCAATTGCCCGTACGACCTCGCCCCACTTATCGACGTATCAGAGCAAGTCGCTGTATCAACTACAACACGAAACCGCGCTCCATTCACTGCGGCAGTAACGTCCACGATGACCAGCCGACAACCCACGACCTCTTCCGCTTCCGCCGGTCCATCTCGAACGCTCACCCTCACCTCTCCACCCGCTCCGCCCGCGGAAACCGATGGACTCCTTCGTCTTCGACCCGAACCCTCCTCCTCGCGCCCAGCACCCTCGCGTAGGGTGGTCTGGACAGACGAGACGGTCGACAACGAAGGCATGGGTCGCAAGAAATCCAAGATCTGCTGCATTTACCACAAACCCAAAGCGTTCGACGAGAGTTCCGACGAGTCTTCGAGCGATGGAGGTGATAATTCGGATAGTGGAACGAGCGACAGTGGGTCAGATAGCAGCGATGATGGTCCGAGCGTGTCCAAGGCGTTGAAGGAGAAGCTGAAGCAGAGGGAGGGACATGGTCATGCAGAGCATGAGGGGCACGAAGGTTGCATTGGTAGAAAGTCGAGGCATAAAGCCACGGCGAGAGTCAGGTCTTCGGCGGGCACACAGACGATCACCGAGGAGGCAGAGAGTGGAGGAAGAGATGGGAAGGAGGAAAGCGATGCGGAGGACGAGGGAAGGGAGTTCAGGCCGAACGCTTACGAGCGCGGGACGCGATAGATGCCAGCTTTCATCGACCTTCCCCAAACAAAATCTCGGCTGACGTACACATACACACACCGGTCAAAGAGATTAGATTGGCTGGCCAAAGCCACCTCAGCATCAATTGCAAACCCTCAACCTCACAGAGCGACGCTAAGCAAACGGATCAAAGTCCTTCCAAGCATCCTTGCTCTGCGACTTTGCCGCAGACGACAGAGTCGGCTTGTTCGTCGGCTGCAGCACGCTTCCGCCCCACCCTTGCGGACCGCCGGAAGACGATGCACCGCTTGCCGCCGCTGCTGGCGTCAACGTCGGTGCAGCCATCATCGTCGGAGCCGGTTCGATAGCAGGGGGCGCGCCGAACATCGACGAGTTGGCGGTCGAAGGCGCGGGTGTGCTCCAGTTCGAGCCGGTCGCGGGCGCTAGCGTGATGTTGTAGTTGGGACCACCGGTCGTGTTGGACGGTGGCAGCGAAGGTGTGGAGGAGGACGACGAGGACGAGGTGGAAGAGGGTTGGAGCAGGTTGGACCAGCTCGGTGTGGCGGCCGATGTGGTCGTCGATGGAGAAGCCGTCGTGATGGAGGTGCTCGACGAGGTGGCACTGAGCGTTGTTGGGCGGCTGTACGAAGGTGGTGGTGCCAGGGAAGGCGGCGCTGCTGCTGTTGGAGTGCTGACGGTGCGCAACGACGAGCCATTGATCTTGGACGAAGACGACGAGGGGAATGCAGACCCGGATCTTCCCGTGTGTGTCGGAGTCAACCCTCCGATGGGCGTGTGCACATTCGACACTGCCGGCGAGACGTCGCTCGCCACAGCAAAGCTTCCCGTGCTTGCACCACCGCTGCCGAGCCCAGCAAAGTCGTCGGCCAGACCGAACGGATCGTCGACGACCTTCTTCTCGCCTCCCCCCGCGGTCTTTGTCTGCCCCACCAAAGTGGCAAAGTCGATCTCTCCACCGGCGCCGATCCCCGTCACACCGCCTCCTGACCCACCAGCCGTTGTCACACCCCCTTCACCCGTGTACGAATCCGTGTGATCCTGCATGCGCTTCACATCCTTCAAGTGCGCGGAATGCTCCTTCTCCACCCTCCCGCTCATCTCCTTGATCGCCTTCATGAACCTTCCAAACTGCTCCGCGTTCAGCATCGGACCCATGCTCATGACCCACAATTGCGGGATGATCGCCGTCGCCAGCGTCTCCCTGTCGACCTTGGTCGCCATGCTCTCGTGCACCGCTAGGGTGGCGATCATGACGCTGGGTTCTTTCGTTTTGATCCGCGCAAGGATGGGGACGAGCTTTTCGGTCAGCGTGTACTTGTCCAGGATCGAGACCATGGCGTGGAAGCAGATGAGGCAATTGACCTTGACGCTCAGCACTTTGGTCTTGGCGAAGAGCGAGGCGAGTTTGGGGAAGAGCACTTCTTTCACGTGGGCGTATTCGAGGATCGACGCGAGACGCGGTACCGTTCGCAGGGCTTTCTCTTGCACCATGACGTTCTCGGCTTCGAGTGCGGCGTACAGCAGCGGCGTCACTTGCTCTCGGAACGTCGTAGGTGCCACTTTGGGTACGAAGAGCGGTTCGATCTGATCCAACAGCAATAGCATGTTTTGCGGCGGATCTTGCACCGAGAAAAGAGGTTCGAGTTTGGGTAGCACCGAGTTGGTGAATTCGAGCGAAGACAGGTTCTTGCTGATGTGAAACACGTTGGGCAGGATGAAAGGTAGGAGCGAGCGATCGGTCATGAGCTCCAACACGGCGGGGAGCACTTTTCGTCGAAGCAATCGGTCCGAGAACTGCGGTAGGATCTTGAGCAACCCTTTCAGGTACTGGACTCTTTCCTCCTTCGTGCGTCCTGCGAAGCTGTCGCGTTCCATGAACTTGAGCGTCGAGACGAGGATCGAATTGAAGTATCCGGATTGCTGAAACGCGGTGGCCGACAGACGGGCTCCTGGGTAGCGAGTCAAGAGGTTGGAGAGCAGTTCGAGGACATCTCGACCCATGCGTGACCAGCTCTGGCTGCCGATCGTGGTACTGAGCTGATCTGCGTTACCCCGGAGGTTCGGTAGAGAGTTGCGATTGCGGAATGGCGGACTGCCCTTGTTGTGGACTGCGTAGACGACGCACCCCAAGCTGTACATGTCGTTTTCGGGACCTAGCTTTTCGTCCAGCGCGTCTTCTGGCGCCATGTAGTCGAAGTTGCGACTCATGGCAGGTGGTAGACTCGGATCGTAGTCCGGGAAGGTCCATGGCGTCTTTCCGCCTCCACCAGGCTGCTCGAGTGGTGTCAAGAACGAAAATCCGGCCAACTTCCAATCCCCCTTCGCATTGATCATGATGGACTCGGTTGACAGATTCTGATGAACCATCTTGGCGGTATGCAGGAACTCCAATCCCCTCGCCACCTGCAGCAATCCTTTTTGGATCTCCACCTCGTCCAACTGCACGTCTTGCCGGTGGTCCGACACCAACGCCTCGGACAAGGAGGCGAACACCTGCTCCGTGGCGAAGGCGACATCGTTGCGCGACTCTTCCAGCGGCTCGACTACCTCCAAGATGCACGGATGACGCAGGCGTGTGAGCGACGAAGCTTCCTTTTTCAGTTGATCGGTGATACGCTGTCGGACCTGGCCGCGAGTGGAGAAGGTATGCATCCATATCGAAACGACGTTCTTCGATGCTGACGCCGAACTGGATCCCGATGCGGTCGCAGCAGAGGCGGTGGAGGAGGAGGCATTGCGAGTGGCTTTGTAGATCTTCCACAGACCGCAGTGCGTAGGCGATTGCGATTCGTCGATAGTGTAGTTTGCAGAGATGTTGGTGCGACCAAAGTAGGACGAGGCTTGACTGAGGAACGACGCCATCTTCGACCTCTACGCACAGCGCAACCCGATCGCACCAGGTTCCAGCAGCAGCGAGCGAGCAGGCTGTACAAGCACGACGGACAGAGCAACCACCTTTGGCGTAAGACAAAGACGGCCGAAGGTTATGATCGTGCTGATAGAGAAGGCTGGCGTGTTGGAGCAAACGGAAGATTGGAATTTGACGAGATCAACACTTTCGACTCAACGCGCTTCTGTCCCGTGCCTGGCTGAGATTGACTGGTGTGCTGCTGCAAACAGAACAAACTCAATTCGCGCTGATGCAGGTCGGAGTGCCGCCTGACCGAACCATGTCTTCCACGCCGCCTAGACCTTCCGCTCTCGAATCCTTCCACAACATGCAGACTCAATCGGAATCAACTTCTTCTCATAGCTGGCGAGCTAGTTCACACACAGATCGGATCGCAGACACCAAATTTGAGTGAGGTCGGCTTGGATTGGTACTAGCTAAGGCTCTGGGCATGCTGACGGGCTAAGGACAGATCAATGACATTGAGGTCAAGTTTGACGGTGGCGACTATGAGACTACGACAGTGAGAATGCTGTGCAAGATCGAGGCTGGACAGGTATGCAAGGATGCGAATGCAGTAACGTTGAAGGGTATTGCGATTGAATGACGGGGTGATTCGAGCTTGAACTGGACAGAAAGGGAGGCGGAGCGCCTCAGACAACATCAGATTTGGACCTACTCCCAGCCACTGGTATCTGCGTCGCCTGCTGCATCTACTTCGATCGCAGCATGGGGAGTAGCTCCAGGACCAGGCTCAGCAGGCTCGGGCACGGCAGGATTATTGAGACCAGCTACAGCTGCGAGGTTGAGCTGGTTGCCCCAGGCATCGACGACGGCGCCGCGGTTGCTCAACCCGACGCCATAGCCGTTGGCTTTTCTGCGATCTGTGCGATCGTGCCATCTGGCTCGGCACCAGATGCACGTTCGATCGTAGCCACGAGTACTGAACCACGTCTCGAGACAGTCGGTATGGATGGGCCGTCCGCAGGACTGAAGACAGAATTCGAGGCCCTCGATGCTACCGGCTTCCAAGTCTTCGTAGCATACACCGCAGACATCGCCTTCCTCGGGAATCATCCTCTTACCGGGGGGAAGCGTGTGCTTGTCAGAGCCTGAGGCTTCGTCCTCCTCGAGTTCGTAACCTACCGCCGTTGCCCAGGCTTTGCGAAGCTCGGGATGAGCCATGGCGTGCGCTACAGGATTCTCCAGAGCTTCTTCAAACACTTGCCCGAGCTCATCCTCGGATAGCCGGACGCGCGAGAAGACGGGCAAATGACCTTCGAGACGCAGCACCTTGATATAGACAAAGAGCAGATGCTTGCATACTTGACGTCGCATGCAGAAATCCATGCAGCTGCATTTGGTCTGACGATCGAGCGTGACCTTGTAGACGTTGCCTTTCGAGCCGCTGATGTCAAATTCTTCCTTGAGCTGTTCGCCGTCGCGAAAGCGGTGGATGAGGTACATGCGCTCGATGCTGACTTTGGCGATGCGCTTGATGGCAGCATCGTCGAGCTTGCCAAAGTGCTTGTCGCTACGCAGCTCTTCGACCTTTTGACGCTCCATGCCGGCCTTGGTGATCTTTTTCGGCTTGGGCTCCTTCTTCTCCTTGGTCTTGCCCTTCTTTGTCGGCTTGTCCTTTGCAGGGGAGGCCCTGGAGGCTTTGGCAGCAGGTTTCTTGTATTTGCGACTCGGACCTTCGGCTAGCTCGTCGCACTCATCCGCAGACGAGCAGTTATTGCGTTCAGACTGGGAGGCAAGGCTAGTCGATCGCTTGCGTTTGGTGAATCTTCGAACATTGCGCTTGCTTGGATGATCTGCGTTCAAGCCGAGGGCTTCGACAGGCTCTGTTAGGGAAGCGGTCTTAGGAATGGAAGGCAGCTTGGTCCGGGTCGACTTGCGTGTAGCTGCTTTGACCGGGCGCTTGATCCCGACACTGTTAATGCCAACGACCTCGAAGCCATCCTCATTCAAAGAGGCCATCTCGTATGCTGCTGTCTGTGACGGTTGGGAAGAAGACGTTGAGAAGACAGGCCCGAGGTGGATGGGAACGGGTCTGGTCTCCGTTGCGAGTCGGACAGAACGATAGCAAGACTGCAAGCCGAATGGCGGCAAGACCGAGGAAGGACAGCCAGGATGATCCTTTCTGAGAGCGAGAAGATGAAGCGCTGACTGGGCGTTGAGGAAGAAGGTGGAAGTCGGAGCAGGTAAGGGAGCCGATTGAGTGACCCGTCGGATCGCCGGTGCAAGCTATATGCCCCTCGACGCAAACGGTTTCACAGGCTGAGCTGAGCTGTCATAGCCAGAGCGAAAGGCCGGACTCAGCGCGTATGGACGCTGGTCGAATGGAAGAACGGCTAGAGTAGATGACAGACGAGGGCATGGATGGAATGACTGGCAAAGTGAGTGGAAGCGGAGACCTGGAGTGATGATCAGACTTCTGACACATGCAACCGCACGCCACTTGCAGAATTTTTGGTGGGGCCTCGCTCGACTCAGCCGCATGCCGGCAGGAAAAAGTGGAAAAAGAGAAGACCCTGCATGATCGGTCCAGTCGGCTCACAAGAAGGCCCCCGAGCTTGTAACAAGCTGGCTCGTGTCTGTCCTCTCTCAGATCGCACTCGAGCTACAGTGTAGATCGGAGCATCTCCTTCGCCAGTCTTAGATGAGAGTCGAGCAACCACCGACAGCGACGTCTGATCCTTTCTCGGAGTGGGAGAGGTGACGGATTGGGAGGCCATGCAAGCCACAACGCACCTCGAGATGTGATCTCAGAGAGGGAATGTGCGACTATCACAATGGTCACAGTCGAGCGGACACGGGCCGTTGACAAGGGTATCAGTGCTAAGTTCGCAATTGCGCGGCAAGAGCGACAAGTAATATCGGTAGACCAAAAACAAGGCAAGAGACAGACAAGAGCATCGGATGCCTAGAAGGCAGCCAGCACCTCTTGAACGATCAAGGGCACGTCGTTGGCCTTCTGAAGCGCCCGTAGCCTCGCGATGGACGCTTCGGGCATGTCATACTGTTCGCCTTTGGACGAGGTGACGGTGACTTCGTCGATGCGCCCGCCAACGTCGTGGAAGCGCAGGTTGACGTGGACAAGAGACTGATCAGGCATCGCAATCGACTTTCGCTTGCGTCGTGCGCCGGCACCCTTGGCTGCAGCCTCTTCCTGCTGCTGCTGCTTTTGCGAGCCCAGGATGGAGTCGAGTGGCAGCTTGTAGGTGACGCGAATCTCATTGGCCGAGACAGCCTCGATCTCGTCGATACCCAGCAGCGATCGCAACAAGCTGATGGTGGCTGCATGGCTGGCGCAAAGGCGTTCGGTTTCGAGGTCTCGACCACCGTCCACACCCATGCCCATCTTGGCCTCGTTGGCGAACTTTTCCGCGAGCGAGCGTTCGGCATTGATACGGTCGAGTGCCCTCAATGACGACACGAGATCCTTCTTGGTCGCTTCAATGGCCTTGTTCACGCTGGTCGTCTTGCCCTCGACAGCAGTCATCTCCTCGACCTGGGTGTCGCAGTACTCTTCGGCTTCACTAGTGGTCAACGGTCCATCCCTTCCTGCGATCGTAGCGACATTTCCGCCCTTGCCGTGACTTTGAGCGCGGATCTTGGCCAGCTCGAGCTCCATGTCGCCGATCTCCTTGATGAGCACTTCGGCCTCTCTGCTGTCTCTCTCCACCTCATGCCATGGCTCGAACAGCTCCTCTGCGGCTGCGTCGACCTGCTTCCTTAGGCTGCGCACTTCAGCCTTGGCTTCGGTGAGCTGCGTCTTGAGCGTCTTTGCAACGCGTTCGCGATCGGCAACGTCGGCGACCGAATAAACGGTGGCTTCCTTGCCGGACTCGAGGTCGTCCTGAATGTCGGCCATGAATCGCATCTTGGTCTCCTGCTCGAGATAGATGAACTTGAGCTTCCTGAAATAGTCGAGCAACAGCCTTTCCTCCTCCAATAGCCCCTCGGGCCATTCTTTGTAGACGGCCCAGTTGATGTCGAGCTCGCCTTCGCCAGCAAATTGCGACATGCTGCTGCGCCTGCGTTTCGCCGGCGATGCATTGTCTCCAAAGAGTCGCCTCTGATTGCTGCGGTCCGCCTTGGAGAGCAGCTGGTCTCGAAGAGTATGAAGGGAGAGGTTGTCGGGCGAGATCTCGAACGCGTTGGTCGCGAGCTTAGTGGGCGATCGAGCCGAGAGCTGAGGACCCAGCTCGGCAAGAATGGTCCTTGCTTGGTTGATCATGGTCTTGATGGTGTCTACGTTGAGGTCGATCGATGTTGTGACGGTGGTGTCGTCCGCTGCATCGTCCGCTTGCCCGAATTGCACATTGCGAGCAGGCGTTGTCGGTTCGGGCTGTGATGTCCGGCCTCGTGAGCCTCGTCTTGTGCTAGGACCTGCCATGACGAAGTATGTTGCGCTGATGTGATCAGTGATGGAGAACTTTGTGTTGTGTCGGGTGTGTGTGATGGCAGAATGAACAGAAGCACAAAGATGCACGCAAGTGAGGGTTGGTTGGAGAATTCAAGCTGCATCGCCTTTCGAGACGCGCCTCAAGACCAACACCAACACGCCGACACGCTCGCTCCCTTTGACCCTGCGTCAACAAAATTCCGAAAAGCACACACGTGACTTTGCCTCTCTCCTCTGCTCAAGTGCCGGTCTCCACTTCTAACTTTACCCAAGCCATCTTATGCATGCGTTTGTCGATTGCGAATCCCACAACCGCAGACTGAGCCGTCAAATCGACGCTCGAGTGCCCTTTCTTCGGCCTGAAGGTTTGACAAGCACTTCTGTCCATGCGAGCCGCCCTTCATCTCCCTCATCACGGTGGGAACAGAGTCTCTTCCTCGACGATAATCACAAGCCACCTCTCAAGGGACAAACAGTACCAAGTCTCTCTAATTGATCACAACATCCACTGTAGCGTTCATGAGCCACTCCTCCATGCGGTCGTCGAGGATCTCGCTTAAGCGCCGAACACACTCCAGGCGGGCGCTGGTATGGACGAAGACCTTCTCAAAGCCACCGACGCCCTATGCTTGTCCCCTCATAGAGACCGACTCCGAGGCAGTGCATTCTCCCGTCACATCTGTCGTGGCCGTGATAAGCACGTTAAGAATTCCGACTCGAACCACTTCCCAGAACCGTCATCGGACGCAGACGTCGACGACATCTCTCCATCGATTGCGCACAACGGGGCTCCCTTGCCGACCTACTTCAGTATGCCGAGAGGAGTCAAGAGACCCCGGCGTGGATCAGAAGATGCCACAAGCCACATCGATGCCTCGTCGTCTCCATCTAAGGTAGCAAGACACAATGTCGGCTCGAATGCGTGTGAGCCTATCCTCATCTCAGACTCTGATGACGACCGCCCTCTCATTGATGGCCAGCGCGCTGTTGAAGAAGCACTCGAAGACTCGCCGACTGCATCTCATCGACAAAAATTGGCAAGCCTCTACACCTATCATAGTCCCACGAAGGCTCGGGCGGTCGTCAAGCCACGTCCTGGTCCCACAGTCAAGTCTGAGATACGCAAATCTGAGCTCAGCACTGAAGAGCCGTCCACTGTGCTCTCATCATCTCGAGCGTGCTTCTCGACACCCTCGAAGACGGAGTCATCCACATCGACCCTGCTCGCCAAGAGCCCGTTGCCCTTGCCAATTGCGAAAGACCCCAAGAAAGCAAAACGTCGCAAGAGAGAGACCCTCCAGCTAAAGAAGACGCTACAGGATGCCAAGGAGCGTGACATCGTCCCTCTGGAACTTGATCGAGTTTCTGCTGCCGGGTTCCGCCTCATCCTGCGATGTTCCTTCTGTGCAGGTGCTTTTGCCAAGTCTACCAGCGCCAAGGCCAAGCAGGAGCACATGTCTCTCTGTGCCCCACTCCAGGGTATCGTGCGCAGCCAAGCCGCCGTCGATACCATCTCATCCGACATTTCGAACCTCCTGCGACGCGACGAGCAAGACAAGAAGAAAGCTGCAGACGAGCGCACCGTTCTCCAGGATGTCATGCACGATGCCGACATCATCATGCACGAAGGGCGTGCAAGTCAGATCGCAACTTCCACAAAGAAGCGAGGCAGGGACAAGGTAGTCACGAAGAAGCGCATCACGCGTGTTGCAAAACCCACTGTCCTGGTTGTCGGGGACCATTCGAGCAAAATTAGCCCGGTCGCTCATTCCGCCGGACACAACCTCCTTCCCGCTCGCAAGGCGATGCTTGCAGCTCGCGATTTCACCACCAAAATGCTGGGCAGCGCCATCTCGTTCTTGATAGATCCGAGCGAGAGCGGAGAGTCTGAAGACCCCAAGCCAAAGTCAGATCCTGACAGCCGGCCAGTGGAACTGATGTCAGGTGTCGATGTGCTGGCCACGCCCAGAAAAAACCGAATTCGAAGAGAGCTCTTCGCACACAACGCGGATGGAACAAGCAACCGAGCGGATCAGCTTCCGGCTGTCAATGCCGAGCAAGTGTTTGCTTCCATGGCATCTGTAAGCCCGGAGAAAAGTCCTGTAAAAGCCCTTCAAAAGTCTCGTCAGCGTCAGCTGTCAAAAGACCAAGATTTGTCTCTCCAATTCGACGGTACCAGAACAAGTCCAGCTAGCCCGAGTCCGCCACAAACACAGCCTTTTGCACCATCCAAGCTTGCTCAACGCCAACAGGCTCGATGCGGCAAGGCGAGAGACCAGCTTTTCGGCGCTGAAACGACCACGCGATCCTTGCTCGATCTCATGCAGGAAGCCAAAGCCGGAGACTCTGACTCCTCGAAGCGCAAAGCGGACGAGCTCGACCAGACATTTTACAATGACGCTGTGAAAAGATCCAGAAAAGACGAGGAGAATCGCGACCCTACCTTCGAAGCACGGTCAGCCAGTTCGAAGCGGACACGTGGAATGAAATTTGGCTCGATTCTTATAGGCGCCTCCGAAGGTCAAGATATGGACCTCGACGACCACAGCATTACGTCGCCCTCGCCTCTCCCTGAAAAAGACAGCCCAGGTCGGGGTAAGCTTCAAGATCAAATGCTCGTCGAAGCAGCTCAAGTCCTAGCACACGAGTCGGCATCCACTGACGACATCGACCCGCAAGTCTCATCCGATCTTCAACAGAAGGTATCCATCGTTCGCAGCGACCAAGAAGAGCTCGCGACGAGGCATTGCGACGATGAAGCAGACTTAGCCGCTAATGCCGACAGCCTCGAAGAAGACGTCAACAATGACGATGACGATTCCCAATCCTTTCTTGATCTCTTGGAGCCTCTGGACATCATCAACGAGTCCGACTTTCCCCAGACGCAACACCTTTCCGACCCCTCGTCTGACGACATGGACGACGCAGATTCAGGAAGTATGGCAATCAAGAACAGGAGGATGCTCGTCGCGAGCGGCGGCGCTTCCATGACCATCGAGCCTCGGCGTAAAGCTCCTCGAGCCGCCTCACTCGCCGGCTTCCCTGCCTCTTCTCCATCCGACATGCCGCCCAATGGCGACACAAAAGCATTACCCAGCAATGAAGCGCGAGAATCTTCGGTGTCCAATTCAGATCCAGATCTCGTGCTCATCACGGACGACAGCTGCACCAGCAGCCCTCAGCCTTGACATTATTCCCTCCGTTCCTTCGCACTTTACGATCATCATACCCTTGTCACCAGTCCATTCAGCATTGTAACAATCCGCATTTCACATTGTCGTTAATGACGCAGAGCACAGAAGAAGATCGCTCGTTGCTTGACGCAGACCGATTCTTGAGTTACATGTGGATTGTGAGACGAGTTCAAAAAACACTGAGCTCAAAGCTCGTCGTGAAGCGGCGGATCAGCTTCGTCTTTGGTCTGAGCGTCTTTTGGTTCCACCACCTCTTCCTGCTGCCCAGCACGGGTCGCAACCTGGCTGTCCGGCGCAACAACGCTGCTGCCGACCCTCTTCTCCTCCACCAACCTCTGCGCCAGCCTTGCCACTTCTTCATCGTACACCGTCCACTCGGGAATCTGCCTCTTGGCTCTATCCAGCTTGGGTTCCTTTGTCTTTGGGTTGGAACACAGATCGATGGTTTTTGCGTCCTTTAACCAATCCCTACTGCACCAGGTTTCGCACCACAGCCATTCCTTGTCGAGCGTGTGGATGGGTAGACTTGCCTGCATGTTGTTGGGAAGGTCTTGGTCCAGGTTGCTGAGCGAGTTGGGATCGGCGGAAAGGGCTTGGTATTGACCTCGCAACCTGTCGCCTGCGGCGAAGAGTCGGAAGCGTTGCAGATCGACGACGTAGAGCGCAGAGATGTGATAGGGTCGACCACGCAGGTAGTCCTTCCAGTAACCTTGTTTCCAGAACCGGAAACCGTCCATGTCTTCGCTATCATCACCCATGGGAGGATACCCGTACACTTTGCCTTCCAGATCCAAGTCGACAAGCTCCTTCATATCGGTTCGGACAACCTGATCCGCATCCACAAAGATCACCTTACCCAGATCCAACGGGAAAAGCGTATCGAGGAACAAGATCTTGTAGCCCCAAATCGTCCTCTGCTTCTCCTTTTGCGATCGCAACCAGTGTGGCCATGCGTACGTTACCAACTCGTACTCGAATCCATACTCAGCTGCTAGGTGAGGGATGAACTCTTTGAACGAGGATGAGAGGAAGTTTTCGATGAACCAGAACTTGACGCTGCTCGAGGTGTGTTTGAGCACGGAGAGGATCATGATGTACGTCATGCGTTCGTAGAGGTGACCGCTGGCGACGGTGAAGATGTTGATGTCGGCGTGTTTGCGAATGGGAGCCACAGCTGTGTTGCCCTGTGATGTGGAGCCAGTCACTTGTCGTGCTAGAGAAGCGACTTTGTCCTTGGCAGAGAGGAACAGTTGCCCTGCGACAGACGCTGACGCAGCCAACCCGCCGTCCATCGACTCAGCACGCTGCTTCTTCATCGGTCGACCAGAAGCGTCCAGTTCCTCGAGAAGCTCTTCCCTCTCCTTTCCAGGACGCTTAGCAACACGAGGATAGATCGTCAGCCCCGAAAGCGTATCCAGCGTCACATAATCACCCGTTCGCTCGACAGGTGGACTGCTCCAGCCTTGGCTTCCCACGCTCTGCATCTCGTACAGCTCGTCGCTGCGACCAGATCGAATCCTCAACCTCCACAAGCCTGGCTGCGCCTTGAACTGGAAGTACGCCAAGTTCGCCATGACGATCGTGTCCAGGCTCTTGCTCGCATCCGGCGTCTCCAACAGTAGCTGCAGTCCACGAGGAACAGACACGGCAGATCCGGCGACCTCTTCCCTCGCATGACCCTCGATCAGGAGATGTTTGAGCTCGTACACCGCCTTGACACCCTTGGCGCGTGATGTGGACGGCACGTCGGCCAACCGGATATTGTCTAGATCGTACACGGCTTCCACCGGCATCGTCAACCAAGGTGCAGGAGCGTCCAGTCCAAGCGTAAGCACCGCTTCCTCCGGCATGTCGAAGAACCGCAGTTCAGGAGGAACGACTTGTCCTTCGCCGTCAAACTCTAGCCTGTGCGGCGCGCTGAATCGATAGAACCTCTTCAGCGGCAACTCCCTCAGCCTGACCTCCGGATTCAGGATCACCCGCAAGTGCGTGCCCTTCAACTCCCTCAACATCAACAGTATGCTCGACCATCGCTGTGCAGCTTCCGACACCGGATTGAGCAGAACCGTGATGCGAACATCGGCAGTCTCTCGATCGCCAATCTCGAAAACGTGGTCCGCCGTACCGAGCTGTTCGGGAAGGCCCGATCGAGAACTCGCTTTGGCCGCAAACGCTCCTTGACCAGCTTGATCGTAGACACCGTTCATCACGGAGAGGGCTGCAAAGATGAGATTCTGGCGCTGTTTGGGAGGCATGTCGTCGACGTCGTGTCGGATGAGTTTGAGCGCCTGCGTGATGTAAGGCAGCTTTTGACCTGCTTCGTACTCGACCAGTGCGGTGATGTCTCGTGCTTCGATGGAGGACATGTCCAGGTTGGAGACGAGATGTCCATCGACTAGGATGGCCGGACCGTCGGGGATGTCGAGCTTCGATGCGGTGGTGGAGCCGAGGCTCCTCCAGAAGTGCGAGGCGTCCAGTTCGACCATCGAATCGACAGCAGGCATGCCGAGTGCAGCCATCAGCTGCTGCGAGGTGACAGCAGGATCGTCCTTCGCTTGCTGCAGCACCGTCAGAATCGTTTGGGCAGAGAGCTGTTCATAGCGCCCCTCGACAAGAAGGCGGAACAAGAGCGTCGACACTGCGGTCGCGCGATCGTTCGTCGTGGCTGGACGATGCAAAACACCCAGTCTGAACTTGGCGTCGTCCCTTGCGAGCGCTTTGAGCGATCTTGTCAACAACGCAAGACCATCTGGACTGTCCAGATCCGCCAGCACCCATACAGTCGAATTCAACGAATCTTGCGCGGCAGAAGGGTAGAAAAAGTCAAACACCTTATCCACCATCGGTGCCAGCTCAGCATCGTTGACCAATGCTGAGAGCAAATCGACTGCACTATGCGTCACACCGCCCTCTTGCCCGCCATCGCTACTGGATGTTGCACCCGCCACGAGCGCCGATCGGAACGACAGTGCGCCGACAGAGTCGTAGAAGAACGTGTCGAGTCCGGGAGTGCTGCTGTTGATCTGTCCGTAGTAGACCTGAGGAGCAAGAACCTGAATCTGTTTCTGAATGGCTTGATGAAGGATGTGAACGATCTGTGGATGGAAAGGCTGGTGTTGGCCGTTGACAAAGACGTGACCAGCGGGGCTTTCGTGTCGATGGGCCCGGAGACGCTGGACGTAGGCTCGGCCAAGGGTCTCCCTTTGAGCGTACTCGTCGACGTCACCGGCCAAGGCTTTGTCGAGCTGATCGGTGAGAGGATCTTCAGCGTCGATACTCTTGAGGGCGAATTTGGCCTCCTTGACGGCAAGCGCGACGTCAATGGCACCTGCAGACCCAGCTTTACTCGCTGCAGCCTTGCGTAGTACGTCCGAGGTCACCTGAGCACCCGCCTGATCTAGCAAGAACCAGAACAGACGGGCCATACGAATCGAGTTTGCGTTCGTCTCGTCCTCCACTCCGCCAGGAACCAAGCCCCAATGCAAGCCGACACGCCCCAAGCTCTGCATCACCGTCTCTGACAAGAAGCGACAGGTCTCCTTCTGACTCAGATCCATGACGAGCACCACGTTGAACAAGTTGAGCGAAAGTCGGGGGAATTTGCCTGGCCACATGGGACGCAACAGATCCATCAGATCGTTGGACCATTCGCTTGTCGCTTCGTCGTTCTCGAGATCGTTCAGCCACGTGATGGCGCCGACACTTGTGCCTTGCGGTGCGTTCTTGGTCTCGATTCGATCGCTTGCATCAAAGATGGCCGCGGCTGCATCGCCGTCTGCCTGAGCGAGATAGGCGCGACCAACGAGACTGGAGGAGATAAGATCGCCGGCTTGGGTCACATTCAATCCTCCCCCCGCAAGGTGGTGCTGAAGCGCGTGGTTCCAGCCACGTTCCTTCCGAAGAGTCTCTAGCAGCGTCAGCGGCATAAAGTCGCGCGCGTTGGTGCTCTGGCCATTGAGCCAGAGATCAGAGTGACCAGGCTCGATGCGCATGCTCGCCAAGTTGAGAACCGAGTCGACCAGCCCTGCCGACGCTTCGGCATGATCCCACCTTGTTGACTCTGCCAGAGCTGGTGCATGCGAAGGGAAGTTCTGGGACAGCTCTTGAAGTGCACGCAGCGGGTCGGACGAGTCCATGATGAGACGCGCTGCTTTGATACCCAGATCAGCGATCTGATCATCCGTTAGAGACGACAGCTTAACGATTGCTGCTTCTGAGTCTGCACCGATCTGATCCTGCAGCCATTGTGTGTCGTCGGAAGCTCGTTGAGCCGCGGTGCTCTGATCTGTTTGGGATGTGGAAGAGATCCCTACGTCGCCGATGTTGCTGTCGTCCTTGAGCTTTCGATCGTCAATCACGAGATAGTCGACTTTCTTGAGATCCAGAATGGCTCCGTAGCCGGACAGCGGCTGCACTGCCTCGGCGTGTGAATCGACGTGCTTGGTTGAATTCTCCTTCGTCCTCATCGAAGGTCTCCAGCGGATGGTGTAGGTGAAGTCAACGTCAGGATGACTGGAATGTTGCTCGAGAGCTGTAAAGAGCTCGCGGAAGTTACCTGAGTATGGATCCGCATACAGCACGAACGACGACGCCGCCGCCGCCTTGCTTCCATTCTTCTTGCGAGAATGACCCAGCACTACCTCCTCGCCCTGACCTTGCATCGACGTTCCAGACCTGCCCTCCTGAGTCGCCTTCTGCACGTCCTCTGCCGAACACAGCACTTGGTCGTTGTGATGCACCCAAGTTACGCATGACTCCTCTCCTGACCCTTTTCGCCAGACCTTGTCCAGGCCCAAAGTCTCATAGAGCTGAACGAGCGCCTGGATCCTGGGACTGCTGTTGCTGAGCGCCAGCGACATCCGCCACGTATCCAGCGCTTCTTCCGCTTGATCGGGAGAGCTGCCGAACAGCTGGTGAGCTCTGATCAACTTCTCCACCGTAGCAGCAACGCCTTCGTCTGACGCGTGCAGTAGCTCGTTAGGGTGGTACCTGCTCGTGAGCAGCTCGATGAGTGGGAAGAAGCTCGACGATTGCTGAGCTCGTGCCGCCTCGAGCACCTCGAGAAGGAACGGCGATCCGCCGCTCGGTAGGCTGATCTTGGACCATGATGCTCGCAGCTGCACTTTGACCGGCGGCGAATCTGCGTTGACTGGGCTCGTTGGTATTGTCAATGCGAGGGTAAGCGCGAGCCACGCCCAACTGACGCCGAGCAAAGGCAGAGCCCTCATGATTGCTTGTACGACAGCAACAGCCACCAGTGCTTGCGCTGGACGAGGGTCGATGAGCTGATGTAGACGAGCTGCAACCTCGACTCTGTGTGACAAGCTCATTTTGGAAGAACATTAGAGTCGCCGGTTGGCCAAAGCGTCGCAAGTCGAAATATTTCCACGTCGACTTGCACAAACCACTGAGACACACACATGCAACACCTTCCGGGGCTCAAGCGCAGCACGTCTCTCCCCTGGCTGCGTCGTCCGAGAGGATGACTTTCTCGTACTACTGGCACGTCAATGTATGCCACAGACTCATTTGTCAATGACAAGACAGCCACACAGTCGCATCACAGCAAATAAAGGAGAGAGACAGAGTTCCATTTCCGAAACCAGATCCGATCCGGACAGGCCCGTTTCTACAACAGAGAAAGTATGGAAAAGAAATGACGGCTCCAAGTCGTTCAAACACCGCAGCTCCGCACAGCAGAGACGGAGGCGGGAAGGAAAGGCAAAGGCAAGGTGACAAAGGGGAAGAGCAAACTGCGACCCATCAAAGATCGACGAGCGGCCATCCAAATTTCTGTTTCGTGAAAGAAGGCCAGCTCCTTCGCACGCCAAAGTGAGGATGGCCAGCATCGTCGTCCGTGTGATCAGCAGCTTGCACACTCAGGGCCGCGGAGACGAGAAGGTTCGAGCAGGCTGGACCTAAGCCCAGTCCCACTTGATCGAGACCATACCCTCGGCCTCGGTGGCAATCGCCGTAAAGGCGCCGACAGAGAGGTCGATCGACTCCTTGTTCTCGCAAGTCGGACACTCGTCGGCGACGGTAACAAGCACGCTCTGGCTCGGGTTGTCGGCGCGGTAGATCTTGATCTGCTTGCCACAGTTGGCACCGTTGGCATACATCGAGGTCTGCAGCGCTGCCACCTTGGACGAGTCCGCGTGGACTGTCCCGCATGCACCGGCGTTGCCCCCCTGGTAGAAGAAGGTCGCGAAGCCACCGGTGATAGCATTGGCAAGGCTGCTGGCCGACGACGAAGACGAAGACGACGACGATGCAGAGGAGGAAGCGCTAGCGGAAGCGGCTGCCTTTGCCGCGCTGGAGGAAGCAGCAGACGAAGCAGAGGATGAGGCAGAGCGCGAGGCGGAGGACGAGGCAGAGGACGAGGCGGCGGCGGACGAAGATGCGTGAGCAGTTGGTGAAGGAGTGGCCGAGCTCGAAGCTGCGGGAGCGGCCGCTGCCTGCTGCTGCTGGTTGCTGGCAGCCGAGGCACCGGACGAAGAACCGCTGTCGGAATCCTCGTCGCAGTCGTCATCATCGGTCGCACCTGCAGTGTCGTCGCCATCGTCATCACAATCTTCGTCGTCGTCGGCACCATCAGTCTCGTCTTCGTCGCAGTCCTCGTCGTCGTTGGACGAGCTGCCAGACGAGATGCCGGAAGACGAAGAACCCGAGTTGGCCGAGGAGGACGAAGCGCTCACAGCACCAGCGTTAGAGGTGCTGCCCGAGTTGTTGCTGGAAGCAGCCGCACCCGAGGACGAGCCCGACTTGGAGCCACCGCTGGAGCCCGAAGAGTTGGAAGAAGAGACAGCCGCAGAGTTGGACCCGGAGCCAGCGTTGGAGTTAGAGGACGAGCCAGCAGCCGAGTTGGAGCCAGAGCCAGCGTTCGAGTCAGAGCCCGACGTCGAGGTAGCTGACGCCTCCTCCTGACCGTCGTCGCCGTCGGCATCATCGCAGTCCTCATCATCGCCGGCATTGGCATCGGCGTCAGAGCTGCCATCAGCAGTCGCAACCGACGCGGTCGAAGCGTCAGTGCTCGAAGCTGTCGAGGTGGGGGAGGCGGCCGAATTCGAGCTGGTGGCAGAGGCGCGGCCAGCACCAGCAGACGAGCCTAGCGTAGCAGACGACGTCGAAGCGGTGCCGGACTGAGTGGCAGAGTGGGTTCCGGAGTGTGTGCCAGAAGACGAAGCAGAGGCAGTCGAGGCGGTGGAAGAGTGAGCGCCCGAGTGGCTGCCCGTGGAAGCGCTGGCAGTTGCCTGTGCGCCAGCCTTGCTGTCGGTGCAAGGGGTGCTGGAGGCAGCCGAAGAGGTCGAGCCGGAAGCCGAGGCAGTCGAAGTAGGAGTGGACGAGGACGAGCTGGCGCCCGCGTTCTTGTCGGAACCTCCGTTCTGCGATGACGAGTCCTTGGCGCTGCCATCGCTCTGCGAGCCCGAGTCCGAGCTGGCGTCGGAGCTGGATTGCGAGTCTGAGTGTGCGCTGGAACTGGAGCTAGACTGGGCGCTGGACTGAGCGCTGGACTGGGCGCTAGACTGAGCGCTGGACTGCGAGCCAGACTTGGAGTCCGAGTCAGAGCTGGTGTCGCTGTGGCTGCTAGACTGAGCGGATGACTGAGCGCTGGACTGGGCGCTGGATTGAGCGGAGGACTGGCTGCTCGAGTCGCTGCTGGACTGGGCAGACGACTCGGCCTGGGAGGCGCTGCCGTTGTTCGAGGTGGATCCACTGATGGAGCCAGAGCCAGACATGGAGGCGGACGACGAGGCATCTCCACTACCAGCCGAGGCAGACAAGCTACCGGCGCCGGAGACAGAGAAGGAGTCACCACGTCGGACCTTGCGTTGCATGCGACGAGAGTGAGAGTGCAGGTTGTGGTACACGTTGCTGCCAGCAGCATTGTGTCGAGAGTTGAGCTGGTGAGCGCCGGCGGGCTGAACGCCAACAGAGGCGAGGGCGATGGCCGCGAGGGCTACACAGACGGTCTTGGCGATGGGCGCCATGTTGAGAGATGCTAGCTGGAAGGACGAGAAAAGGGCTTGGCAGCGGGTGCAATGCTAGAAAGGGCGATGTGCGGAAAGATGCTGAGAAGGACGATGAATAAGGCGACCGATGAGAATGCAGGCTGGACAACGACAGCTTATCAAAAGCGTCGATTCTGGCGAGATGGAGGGTTGATGCAAAAGAGGTGGACGGAGTCGCGAATGATGGGATGGACGTCGGATCGAGGAGAGAGTGGGAAGCAACAAGAGGCAGTGATGATGCTGTCTATGCTGAAGATGGAGGAGGGAAAAGCTGAGTAGAGGGGCAAAGTATCGAAAGAAGACCAGCAACTTTTGATCCTGTGAAAGTAGACGAGGGCTCTATAAAGGGCGCGGAGGAGGGGGAGAGGGAATGATTCGACGGTGGGATGGAGATGGAGGTAGAGTGGAAGGAGGAAGAGCGGACACGCAGAAGGGAAGGAAGAAGAAAGCACCAAGGGAGGGGAAGCGGGTCGAGGGAGGACGGAGCAGAACGAGGAGGGCGGAGGACTCAGACAGGGACAAGGGCGGTCCAGCGAGGAGCACGATTCGCACGCAGTGCTGTCAACGACTCTGACGCCGGCCAGATTTGGGGGGACGGAAGACGCTATGACACAGATCGAACACCTTGTCACAGAGCACAAGGTGCATGCAGTGTGCAGGTGCGCACCTGCACAGCCGCCATCGTACACTATTGTTGCCGCCTTCGCATGGTGATCTTGGAAGGGGGGTTGCAGTCCTTGCATGTACATGACCGTTAACTACAACATCGCGACGCTGCGTTCTTGACAAGCCGAGGTTTGGCGCTGCGTCTGCCTGCGCGGCGAACGATGTGACTTCGACGACAAGGCCTGCCTTCGCAATCGAGAGCCTGCAACACGAAAGTCAGCCTTGGTCGTCTTTTCGACTGCAGGCGTAGGCTTGGCACAAAAGAGCGGATCAGAGGGTGTTGCACGTCCTCGGCAAAGTCCCGGTCGCATTTCGCACCAACTGAAGGCCAACTTCCAGTGGCAATTCGACAGGCGAGCGTCGCCCATTCTTTTGTCTTGACTTGATGATCAAGGATCTGCTTCTGTGTCAGGACCAACGTAGGTCAATGCAGAAGAGGGCTGCCGCGCGCCCTAGCACGAGGTTCCGTTGTCAAGCGGGGCGGAAGGCGCAGCCGACTGCGTGGAACGGCGACGAAAGAAGCATGCAGCCGCCATCGATCGCTGTAGCCGAGGGTGATTGTAGGGGGGCGAAGTCGTTGCGAGGTGAGCTTCGGCGACCGAGCCGGCATGGCAGCGCGTGTTGGAGCAGCGCAGTTAGTGCATCGGTGAAGTCTGTGCCGTGCTGGTTGCATGGCCGACGGGTGCTTTGCTGGCGTCGTAAAGTTGATGCACTGCCGAGACCAACACAAAAGCACACACACCTTTGTCCCAACGCGAAGAAAATCCTTCGAATTTTCTCTTCGCGTTCGTGCCGTGACCCTCTCTCACGTTGCATGTCAGTCGACAACCATATGTCGCTCGGAGCTCGGCGTTTTCTCCTTCTAGACTCCCCCCTTTTCTGTCGCTTGACCCTCTTTTGACATGATCACACCCTCGTCCTAGCTCGGCTCTGTGCAGCAGCGAGGGACCGCGCCGTGCGTTGCGGCGATGTCTCGAGAGGGTGGGAGTCCGAGTGTCGCGGTGCCGCAGGGTCGAAGCGAGGATAGCTAGCTGCATGCTGTGCATGAAGCCTGAATCGCCAAATCTCGAGGCAATGAATTGGAATCTGCCGATGAGAACTCTGCTTTCACCCTGATTCCGATCTGGCCGCAGTTTTTTCTGCTCGAGTTGAGAACCCGAAAATTTTCAAAATTTCAAGTCTCAGTTCTCAGCAAGAGAAAAAACTTCGCAGGGTGCAGTGGCAGGCAGGAGGTGCTCGGAAGATATATAAGCTTGTGCTGAGCGCGCCTCCCTCTTGCCTTCTCTCCAAGATCATAGTGAGTACCATCCGCACCCCTTACCTCTCCATCTTCCTTCTTCGACTCGTCTTGGTGGATCAGGGACCTATCGTACTGCCACGCAACGCAGCACATCGCTCTCATCGCTGTAACACGACTGGCATACTAGATTCAGCTCGTTGCGATTGATCTCTGGTCACCTTACGGCGTCGTCGCCCTCTGCCTCCTGTCAGCTCATACCTCCCTGCCTCCCTCGTTCGGTCCCACTGACTGTCCTTTCATCGTCGCTTCCCACCCTCCGCTTCTCTCTCTCTCGCAGCTTTACGGAATCACTTAATAAAGTCGATTTCCGATTCTACATGCTCAATTGCATGTCACCTTATTCAGTCTAGTAGATGAAACCCGAGCGTTTGCCGCCCTTTACGACAGTGAGGCTACATCAAGGGCCTTGTCGTCGCTCTCATCCTTCAGGATGAGTCGACGATTCTAGCCGCCCGCCGAGGACCTTTGCCCGAGGAGCAACATGGCTTGCGACCTTGATTGGGAGCTTGTTCCTGAGCTCCGAGGGAGGGTTGGCCGCTCGTTTCTGATAGACCCCGCGGCTTTCATCGCCATCATCGTCGGGATACGGTGACAATGTTGTTTTGCATGCGGACCTGGAAGTTTCGCTTTGCTATGTGCAAGCTGTTGAAATGATATTTGATTCTCATCGTGCTCCTATTTCTCGGTGGGTCTCTTGATCCGTCTGTGCTCCGGAATGGATGGATGAGCTCGACCGCTCCTTGAAATGCTCGGTCACCGCCAGACTCAAACGTGCCCAGACTGCAACGACGCGGAGTAGCAAAAGAAGGCCGGTGTTGCTATGCTGACCCTGAATATTTGAGAGCCCGAGCTGGCCGCGTCGTCTTCCGTTCCGGAAACTGAAAGTCGACCGTCTCTTTGCGAGTACGACATACGGTACAGTGCAAGCAGTCTGTCAAACCCATGCTGAAGCTTGAAGCCAACCATGACGTTCGCTATCGGAAAGGGGGAAGGAATCGGTCTCCTGCGCAAACACCGGAGGGTCACCTCACAAGCAGACACGCGACTGGTCAGGGCCTTTTATTGAAGGGCACGGGCGTGTGCTCTATAATTTGTGAGAGCTGGAACAACACACATGCCACACAGCACGCGGCTGGAAGCGAGGAAGAACCCTTTCTCGTGAATATTTTGCCTGTGCTCGTGCCCTGTGCTCCGTGCTGGCCTCTTCCGATCTTTTGGTGTCACAGTGTATATCATACGTATTTTGTACAGCAGCCTGGGCGAGCGCAGGCGTGTGTGCATGTGTGCGTGGCTTCAACTCGGGTTCTCTTTCATCACTCATCCTCATCCTCAATCGCTGAAGCCCGGTCTCTGCCTGACTTACCTCTTGTTCTTCCATCGTCTCGACCTCGCACCATCTCCCGCTCTTCTGCGCCAACGCATGTGCTGATACTTGACAGGCACGCCGTCTCATCATATCCGACTCAGCAGGCAACGACTGCTTTGCTCCAAATCGTCGTACATTATCGGCATCTCCACAGCACTGCATCACATTTGCCACGAACCACGCCAACCAAAATTAGGTGGCATCAGCATCCCTTCCAACAGCATCAACATCCCCGAGTCTTTTCAATCCTCTCCCAGCTCCGTGCACATTTGCCTGACCGCGCTCACGACCTTTGACAATCTCAGCATACACTCATCAACCTGGCGTCGTACAGGCTCGTCCGATCGCTCGACACCATTGTAATAGAGCGCACCACAGCCACTCGAACTCCAAGTCAAGACCAAAGAGAGCGTTATCGATCAAGTAGACTTCACCGCGTCCGCATAGCTTTGCTTTGGCTTTTTACACCCTCCACCATCGCCCCCTTTTCCAGCCCACCACAGGATCAGCTCGTAATGATTTCATCCGGTGCCGGCTCTTCCATACGCAAGAAGCGCAACTTCAAAGGGCTTCAGCTCGCCGAATCACCACTTGCGAGTCCAGTAGACGGTTCTGCGCCGACACCGTCGCACGATCCTGCTGAAGGCTCCGCCGCTTCCAACGGATCCACCGTCGGCAAGCCCACCGCAGCGAATTCGGCCGGCTCCCATTCGCTGACAGGCAAGAATGATCTAGATACGCACAAGAATTCGGGCGCCAACTACCACAACACACTGACGCAGCAGCTGGCCAGCCTGGAACTTGGCGTCGAATACAAGCTCGATCTCAAGAACGAAGACCTCAAGACGCTCTCTGAGCTCGGCGCCGGCAATGGTGGCACCGTCACCAAGGTGCTGCACGAGAAGAGCGGCACCGTCATGGCCAAGAAGGTGGTCTTCATCGATGCCAAGCCAAGCGTGCGCAAACAGATTCTTCGAGAGCTTCAGATCCTCCACGAGTGCAACTCGCCTTACATCGTCTCGTTCTACGGCGCCTATCTCAGCGAGCCCCACATTTGCATGTGCATGGAGTTCATGGAAAAGGACTCGCTCGATGGCATCTACAAAAAGTATGGGCCCATTTCCCCGGAGATCTGCGGCAAGATCGCCGTGGCCGTTTCCAACGGTCTCACTTACCTCTACGACGTACATCGCATCATTCATCGCGACGTCAAACCAAGCAACATCCTCGTCAATGGCGCCGGCCAGATCAAGATCTGCGACTTTGGCGTCAGCGGCGAACTCATCAACAGCATTGCAGACACGTTTGTGGGCACGAGCACCTACATGTCGCCGGAGCGCATCCAAGGTGACCAGTACAGTGTCAAGTCGGACGTCTGGAGCTTGGGCGTATCGATCATCGAGCTGGCGCTCGGTCGCTTCCCCTTTGCAGAGAACGAGGAGGAAGATGACTCGGACGTGGACGATGACTATCTGAACGAGGATCTGGCCGGGACGCTCTCTCCGACCAAACCAGCGCCGAGGCTGCCCGTGGTCAACAAGGAGAAGCAGAAACGCAGAAAGTCGAAGCCGGCCGGCGTAAGCCTCGAGGGCTCGAGCCATCAGATGTCGATCCTCGACCTCTTGCAGCACATTGTCAACGAGCCTCCTCCGAAGCTACCAGAGGGCAGGTTCCCTAAACTCATGGAAGAGTTTGTCAACCTGTGTCTGCTCAAGGATCCGGCGAAACGACCAACGCCCAAGGACCTCACCAAGCATCAATACGTGATCGAGGCAGATGCTGCCAAGGTCGATCTGCAAGCATGGGCAGATGGGATGACGCGAAAAGGCTGATCTGATACTGCAGCCATTTGTGCATAAGCGGTCACTCTTTCCTCAGGCATATCTCAGCGTCTCGATTGAGAAATTCAAGTGACTCGGTCCCTGTCGGCCCGCATTCCACAGATTCGGACAGCGTGTGCGAAAAGGAGTCCTCATAGAAGCTTCACACATGCTTGACAGCTTGACGCCAGCATTCGGCTTTTCCGGAGCCCTGGCCACACAACCGATCGATCGATCGATCGATCAACTCAACCAACTCAACCTTGCTTCACCGAAAAGCGTTGGGCGATTGCCGAGCTGAGCGTCACTGCTGATGAGATTGTTTCGGATAGCCCGACTCACACTGTTATTGAGCACTGAGACCAACGAGAACCATGCGGTGGTCGATGGCCAATGAGCTTAGAGTGACGGAGTTAAGCCAGAAAATCACATCATGACCTCCACAACGTGCGGAGCACACGCACAGACGAGAGCAACACATGCCGGCTGTACATATAAATCCAGGGTTCTTCCGAACAGAGTGTCCTTTTCCCTTCCCTCTAGAGCGTCATTCTACAATCGCTGTGAGCAAGCACCTTGGATACTTCGAAGATGGTCGAACACAGCGTCAGCGTTCACGCGGGCAAAGATGGCAACTTTCGCCGTCAGGACTCCACGTTCCGTAACACCATCTCCAAGGACGGCCCGCACCAACCAGAAAAGGGCCGTTACATCCTCTACTGTGGACTCATTTGCCCTTGGGCTAGCCGCACACTGCACACACGAGCACTCAAGCAGCTTGAGGACTTTATTGATGTGGCCATCGTACACTATTCTCTGACGCCCAACGGATGGTCATTCTCGGTGACGGATCAGGTCGAGACGGGCGACCCGCTGTATGGGTTGGAAAACACCAAGCAGCTCTATTTGAAAGCTGACCCCGATTATACGGCCAGGTACACAATTCCCATTCTGTGGGACAAGAAGCTCGAGACGATTGTCAATAACGAGTCGTCCGAGATCATCCGTATCCTCTATACCGCATTCGACGACCTTCTGCCGGCCGACAGTCCGGCAAAGGGCAAGACGTACTACCCAACCGACAATCCCGAGGCGATCCGAAAGATCGATGAGCTGAACGGCTGGATCTACAACGACATCAACAATGGCGTGTACAAGACCGGCTTCGCTACGACGCAGGAAGTATACGACAAGGAGGTCGACAATCTCTTTGCGGCGCTGGATCGACTGGAGAAGCTCCTGTCTGATGGCAGGGAATTTCTCGTTCCCGAGGTCGGACTGAGCGATGCTGATATTCGCTTGTACCCGACTCTGGCCAGATTCGATACGGCGTATCACAATCTGTTCCGCTGCAACGTTCGGATGATCCGACACGATTACCCGCACATCCACCGATACCTTCGCCAGCTCTACTGGAACGAAAGGGCCTTCAGCGACTACACCAACTTTGATCACATCAAAAAGGGCTACTCGGGAGTCGGAGCGAACAAGGGGATCGAGCCTAGGGGTCCACTACCTCACATGTTGCCTTTGGACGCTTGACCGCGCACACCTTGCGTTTTTGCCATCCTGAAGGGCGGATTGCATTTCAATGTAGCTTGTCTGAAGCGATACCTGCGATCCGAGCGTGCCAGCCTGCAAGCCTGAATCGGGGCTGATGGGGCATCGGCGAACCTAGCGCCATTATAATATTGCCGTAGCTTGCCGATGAGCGAGTGCTCGGCTGCGCAAGAGTCGCATAAATTGGGGCTTCTAGAACGTTGCTGCACCATCGCGAGGGACATGAGATCCGCCTGAGCAGCTTGGGCCACATTCGACCGCGCTGCGGGAGTCTAGGCTGTGAACAGCGTTGGAGATCAGTTGCATGCTCCAATTGCTACGTGCCGTGATGGCGAGCGCATGTGACAATCCTACTGATATGACGGCTCGAAATGGGACGGACGAGCTGCCGCCGAGACATCGGACGGCTTTGGGCCCTTCCTCCCCGAACAGCGTTGATGTTGACTTGCCTGGTTGACCTTCATTTCTAGATGAACCAGGCGCTCTGCTGCTGCTGCTGCTGCTGCTGCTGCTGCTCTTGGCCAATCTGTACCACTCGCCTTCATTGAGGCTTGCCGCTCCGTCAATATCGCTGGATTGACTGCGCTCAGCTCGATCATGCCGATCCCACTTACAGTATACGACACTTGTTCGATAGTTCGCCTTTCACAGAAAATAAATAATTCGATAAACAGACAGATTGGTGTAACTCGCTTGCAAGCGTGAGAACTGACCGTGCGAGCCAAACGTGTTTTTCGCTGTGCTTGCCGCTCTGCTCTGCTGTGTCAAATCCAGCTGTACATTTGCCCCGCACCGCTTTTGAGGTTGATCATCGCGACACATGAACCACGAAAATCAATTCGCGTAGCATGTTACATTGAAGACCGCCAGCACTGGCCTGACGTTAGGACAACTTGTGAATTTGGGCATCTGACAAGCACTTTGCTAACGTTGTTCGGTCTTTGTCGTGAGCATCAACACATCACCACCACCATTCCCATCACCACAACCTTCATTGATCTCGTTTGCATTCTCTCGGCATTGGCATCGACACGTCGGAGACGCTCAAATCACGCGTCTTTCCGGAACATCGAACATCATCCTGCTCCGTCTCTCCTCTACACAAAGCTGCACCACACACGGTACACGGAGTGGCACGCTTGACGCATCAACGACTCTCTCTTGTACCGCTTGTTTCAACCATCTCCTTGCAGGTCAAGGTCTTTGTCTCATCTGATCATCTGCTTTTGGTAGCACTAGCCCGTCGTCATCGACAGATCGCACGATGCGCTCCGATGGCATGCTCTTGATCCGCCTATAGATATCTTTCTCCCTCTATCGCCGTGACGTTGTTTGAGCTGGTCGCTGCGCGATATGGCTTCATCCGCTTCGGCCTATACACAGGCATCCACCGCGTCTCGCAACAGCGCATCAGCCGATCAACGCTACTCGGCCTACCGCTCCTTCCTGCCAACCGCAGATTCCACCAACAGCTTCGACAGCCCCTTCTCGTCTCGCTTCGAGCGCGCCGCCTCGTCCGACCAGCCTTTCATGACTTCGCAACTCTCGTCGTCATCCGCCCAGCTGGATGCGTCCTACGCGGACAATGACGAAGAGTACGACATGCAACCCGAAGAGCACGTCGTGGCGCTGCACGATTTCAATTCCAACAATGCCACCTGCCTCTCGTTTCAGGCGGGTCAGGTCATCAAAGTCTACAACCGCGATCCGTCAGGATGGTGGGACGGCGAGCTCGACGGCCAGCGCGGATGGTTCCCCAGCAACTACGTCGATCAGGAGGCAGTCTACGTCTCGGACGATGCCCAGAATGACAGCTACTCGTACGACGACAGCCATCAACTTCGCAACTCGACTACCAGCCAGACCTCTTCCGACTTTGACCATGCTGCCGGCTACCGTACCGCAGCACAAGTCGCATCCAACAACGACCGCTTCTTCTCGGCCAACTCGACGCGCTCTCCCACACCTACTTCTTCTGCTCTTTTCGACGGCGGCGATGGCGGAGTCCTCGATCCCATACTCCATGCTATTTCTCTGCTCCGCAACGCAGTCCGCGCCAATCGCGTCGCCCATTTCCAGCCGTCCACAGCATGCGTCATCTCCTCCGTCCGCTCCGTGCTCTCGGCTACAGACTGCCTCACACGCGAGTCGGCCGTGCTCAAAGCGAATCCGCATCTCGCCCGCGAGCGCAAAGCCATCCTCTCGGAGCTCAGCAAGCTTGTAGCACAAGCACGTAGGGCTTCGGCTCCCATGATTGACGAGACGCTTAGGCCGGCAGAGATGGACGCCATGCTCACCCTGGCAGAGTCTGTCCTTGCAAACGTGCGCACCTTCATCTCGGTCGCGCTCGAGTGCGGTGTCGATGTTCCCGACCGTCGTTCGTCCGTATATGACGACTTGTACGCGAAAGGCGGCACGTCTCACTCGGACGGCCGTCATCGGTCCAACGTCTCGCAGCAGGAGCTCGACAAGACCCCTACTCCAGGCCACACGCAGATTCGAGATTCGGGCGCCAGGAGCCACGCATCGTATGCATCAGCCCGCCACCTGCAGTATGACGACCAACGCAACAGCACCTCGAACCAAGCCGACTTGCGTCGTTCTTACGCACAGCGCCGTCACCCTTCAGATGGCTCCGTCGAATCCTCTGATGGTGGAGCGCAGGCCATCGCACAAGCACGCTCCTTGACACAGCGCCAACTCGACGGCGGAGGACGCGCCGGGACCGTTGCTGCCGCCGTCGCTCAGCACATGGTCATGTCACGCACGCGTTCCGACTCGAGCTCCGAATCGCCAGAATCCGCTTCAGGTCACGACACGACATCGCAGCACGGCTCCTCCAACTCAGCTGGCGAGGAAGAGGGCCCTCCCAGTCCGGTCGAGCGCACCGCATACGAGGTCATGCAACGTCTCAGCGTCACCAACGATCAGCTCCTCTCCATCATCGCCGCCTTTATCGGCCATGTCCACACCCACACGTCCGAAAGCCATGCTTCCAGCTACGCCTACCTCATCGACATGACGCGCGAGGCCGTCGTCGGCGTCCGCAACCTCTTGCTCGTTGTCGAAGCCGTTAACAACAACGCCGTCCTTCAGCAGCTCCGGCCGCGCGAGACCTCGATCTTGTGGGAGACACGCGAGAATCTCTACGAAGCAACCACCCAACTCGTCACGGCAGCGCGTGTCGTCACTTCAGCTCCCTCTGCCTCCATCACAGCCGGTTCGGTGGCCGAGGCCGAAGACAAGTCCCGTTTACTGCAAGCGGCGACGAGCGTACTGCGGACCGGTGGCGAATGTGTGGGAGCTGTGCGACTCTGCATCGACCGTCTCGATCCCACTTTCACCATCGGCCTGCCGGAGCCGTCCAGACCTCGTCACGCGCACTCCGGTCGGCAAAGCGCAATGGTACGCAACCAGGAAGATGAGCAACGAGAGGATCTCGACGACAGTGCCGATGCCCCAGCTCCTGCGCGCGAAGTTCGCAGGAAGAACACGCTCTCCTTTCTCGGTCGCAAAGCGACGAGCCTGTCCCTGCTCAAACAGAACTACGAGCGTGATGACAACCGCGATGTATTTGACGACATCGAGGAGGATGAGCAGGATGAGCAAGATACGGGCTACGTGCGGAAGGGCTCGCGACCACCCACCGTCGCCATGGACAGGTCTTCCTCTCTGCAGACCTCGGCCGGCGATCACGCAGACCGCGACGCGCGATCTACTGAGCGCCAGAGTGCTTCCTTCGCCAGCAGCAGTGGCTCCGGCATGAACGCGTCCGCCTCGCCAAACACGGCCAGGACATCCCGCTCTACTACCCAGTCGCTTCGCTCCGAGGTCACGGGCGAGACTTCGGCTCGCCCCTCGCTCGATATGCAGCAGCCCGCAGCGGCAGTCCCTGATGCCCACACCACGGCTCAGACGGCTGCCAAGCAGCTCTCTGGCGGCATCGTAAATCGTCAGTCGGCCTACAGGGAACAGAGAGCACCGCAAGTCTCGATCGAGTCGCGCTACATGGCGCCCGGCTACGACGCCTCGGATGTGGTCTGCAACTCGGAAGGCCAGATTACCGGTGCGACGTTGAAAGCGCTCGTCGAAAAGATGACACCGCACGACACTATGATCGAGACCACGTTTTCGAATGCTTTCTTCTTGTGTTTCAGGATGTTCACCTCGCCACAAGAGCTGCTGGAAGCGCTGGTCGCGCGATTCGAAATGACACCGCCGGTCGATGTGCCCATGAGCGAGGCTGACATTGCCCGCTGGAACGACAAGAAACTGATCCCTGTTCGCCTGCGCGTGCTCAACATGCTCAAGAGCTGGCTCGAAAACCACTGGAATCCAGCCACGGACCGCGTCGTGCTGCAACAGCTTATCCAGCTGGCCGAGCGTTGGGCTAGCGCAAGCGCCATCGCTGGACCTGCTCACCGACTGGCCGAGCTGGCACGAAGACGAATCGACGGAGCCACGCACAAAACGACCGTCTTGGTGGGCAACAGCCGAGGGCCCGGCAGCCTGCAGCGCGTCATCTCTTCGGAACGCATGAAAGGGGGATTGGGTCTCACCATGACCGACGCCTCGCAGATGTATGCGCCGTCGGCCTTCTCGCGAGGAGGTGCACTTCCACCGACTTCGGTGGTGTCCAAGACGCTGCTCTCGAATTTGCGCAACGGGAACGTGGACAAGATCCACCTGCTCGACTTTGATCCTCTCGAGCTGGCACGGCAGCTGACCATTCTGGATAGCAAGCTGTACTGCGCCATCCAACCCGAAGAACTGCTTGGATCCAAATTCACCAAGGAGAGCAGGGCGGCGGGCACCACCGAGGATGTGCACGTCAAGAGTATGTCGTCCATGTCGACGAGGATCACGGGCTGGATTAGCGAATGCATCCTGGGCGAGTCGGATGCTCGAAAGAGGACGCAGCTGCTCAAGTTTTTCATCAAGCTGGGTGATCGTTGCGAGCAGCTGAACAACTTCCACACGCTCATGGCGATCCAGTGTGCGCTCAACTCGTCGACGATCGCACGACTGAAAAAGACGTGGGATGGCCTGGCAACCAAGTACCGCAGCATGATGGACCAGCAGCGTAGCGCGGTGGAGCATACACGCAATTACGCCGCCTACCGCGCACGTCTGCGCAACACAACGCCGCCTGCGATCCCCTTCCTGGGACTGTTCCTGACCGACCTCACATTCTGCCACGAGGGCAATGCGGCTACGCGACCGTGCCCGTCGAACCCGGAAAAGAAGCTGCTCAATTTTGACAAGTACGTCAAGATCAGCCGCATCGTAGGCGAGGTACAGCGCTTCCAAGTGCCGTACAACCTGGTCGAGGTGCCCGAGATGCAACGATTCCTGCGTAGCGCGCTGGAGGATGTGCAGGGTGCTCAGGGAGGCCGAGGCGCGGATGATCTATACCGTCGCAGTCTGCTGCTGGAGCCGCGTGCCAGCAACAAGTCCTCGGGCGCGAATGGTCCGGCATCGTCGACAGGAAGCCTGGCGATGCGTCAGAGCAGCAGCGGCGCACCCGCCGAGAATGGCAAGCTTGCCGGGTTGGATATCTTTAATTGGCGAACCGACAAGGCTTGATGGCATAGGAAGAGATTAGAATGTACACAATCGCTCAGTCTTTTTGTCTTCCTTTTCAATGCTATCCGTTTCTAGTCTTTCATCGGATCGTTTGTCAGATGTATGAGACATTGTATTCGACTGATGTCGAGCAGACGGAAGTGGTAGTTGTGTCGGTGGAAATGCGAGTAATGCCGACGAGAAAGGCTCGACGAATGACAAGGATCCGACCCGCGGGCCACACTCTTCGTGCACACCGGTCAATTCTCGTCGGATGGTTCAGGGAGCGTCGCAGCACGAGGGTGCCGCGTATGCCGAGGAATAGCAGCGCGGACGGAAAGATCCGCTCCTATATCGGTCGCTGCAATCTGTCCGTCACATGTTTTGCATTCGACGTCGGCCTCTTTGAGTATAGGCGCTGCTTAGGCCCGAGATGAACATGCATCCACAACATGACTCGGACGCAAGATGCGATACATGTTCGGAGGGACGGTGTTGTTACCTGCCACGAAAGGGGGCCTAGGATGTGCTCGCTTCGGCCAATTCCGTCCGGCTTAGAGAGAGACAGGCTGGCTCGTCCGCTCGAGGCGGCGGTGAGGGAGAAATTCAATACAAAACCGAGGCTCGACCTGATCCGTTTTTTAAATTGGCTGATTTCAATTGGGCAGGCAGCATCGAAAAAAAGTGTATCCGATCGAGAGGAGTGGTTGGAATTCGACAACTCCACCTGCGTCACAAAATGCGAGCCTACGAATTTGGCTGCGTCGCAAGAGAATGTGGTTCCTAGAGTCGAGCCAGCAAGCGGACGGATCAAGCCGTCGTCGCTCATTTCCTGGCTTTTCCGGCTCAGAAGAGAGGATGGAAGAACAATTTCTTCCTGCCCTCGGCCCATCTGCCCAGACGCAGTTTTCGAGAACCGTCATCACAGCAGCACACTGCGGACGTACTCTGACACACACGCACACACAACACCGACAGGCACGTTGACTTTGGCTGTCGGCCCTGTTCGTCCTTCTCCACAAGCCGGCTCTTCCATCCGAACACCTTCCTCCTCTTCCATTTCCACCTTCCTCATCAACTTCGCTGTCGTTATTCGAACTTAGATCAACGGCGCATCTACCACACTGGACAGGACACACCATTCCTTTGGAAATCCACCGAGTCGCAGTCGCCATGCTCTCCCGAACCTTCGCCCAGTCCGGTGCCCGCGCCGCTAGGAGCCTCGCTCTCCGAAGTGGGTCGGTCCGCATGGTCACCCCGGCCGTCGCACGACGAACACTGCTCACTTCGGCCGCCCAGAGGACACTCACGATCGGTGCTCAGACCACCGCATTTGCTGCTCACAGGTAAGCATGCAACACTAGTTGGAGCAGCGACAACGATCGTCAGCAGCATGAAATACTGACCTTCACTGCCTTTCATATCTGCTGCTTCGCAACACTTGCACGCACGCTTGCACTTTTCATGAATGCCCTCACAAATCGAAACATACACTGGCGTCACTCAACGAACAGGAGCTTCTCTTCCTCTTCGAGCCGCAAGGAGATCGTCAAGGTTCCCCAGATGGCCGAATCCATCACCGAGGGTACCTTGAAGCAGTGGAACAAGAAGGTCGGCGACTTTGTCAAGGCCGACGAGGAGGTTGCTACCATCGAGACCGATAAGGTGAGTTTCATATGCACCTTGCACGCACCCGCTTCCAGCGCACCCCACATGTGCGCAGCAAGCTGGCTCTATCTGTAGCATCGCCTTGAGTCTAACCTCCTTTGCTCCCATCATCTGCCCACCATCTGTTGAATGTTTCTTCCTCTACAGATCGACGTCTCGGTCAATGCTCCTCAGTCCGGTACTATTACCGAGGTGTTTGCAAACGAGGAGGACACTGTAGAGGTTGGCAAGGACCTGTTCAAGCTTGAGCCCGGTGAGGCTCCCGCTGAGGGCGCCAGCTCTGGCGACAAGCAGTCGGAGAAGAAGGAAGAGAGCAAGGACGATGGCAAGCAGGAGAAGAAGGACGACCAGCCCAAGAAGGAAGAGTCCAAGGAGTCCAAGCAGCCCGAGAAGAAGAGCGACGACAAGAAGCCCTCTCCCTCGGCAGACCCGCAATCGCGACCCTCGGCCGCCAACTCGTCGTCTCCCTCCAAGTCCTCATCGTCGTCCAGCCCATCCTCAAAATCTTCTTCATCGTCGTCGTCGTCTTCGTCGTCTTCTGCATCGAAAACCGCGGCAGGCAGCCGAGAGGAGAACCGCGTCAAGATGTCGCGCATGCGCCTGCGTATCGCTGAGCGCTTGAAGCAGTCGCAGAACACGGCGGCGTCGCTGACGACGTTCAACGAGATCGACATGTCGAACCTGATGGCATTCCGCGCACGACACAAGGACCGCATCCTCAAGGAGAAGGGAGTCAAGCTCGGCTTCATGTCGGCTTTCGCCAAGGCATCGGCTATGGCGCTCAAGGACGTGCCCGCTGCCAACGCCAGCATCGAAGGTGCTGGTCTGGGTGACACGATCGTCTACCGCGACTTTGTGGATCTGTCTGTTGCCGTGTCGACGGACAAGGGTCTGGTGACACCCGTGGTCAGGAACCTGGAGAGCATGTCGCTCATCGAAATTGAGCAGGCGATCTCGGACCTCGGCAAGAAGGCGCGCGACAACAAGCTCACGCTCGAAGACATGAGCGGCGGAACGTTCACCATCAGCAACGGTGGCGTGTTCGGTTCGCTGTTCGGCACGCCCATCCTCAACCTGCCTGGATCGGCTATTCTGGGTATGCACGCCGTCAAGGAGAAAGCGTGGGTGGTGGATGGAAAGGTGGAGATCCGACCGATCATGGTTGTGGCTCTGACCTACGACCACCGATTGCTCGACGGCCGTGAAGCGGTGACGTTCCTGGTCAAGCTCAAGCAGTACATTGAGGACATGCCAAGCATGCTTCTCTAGGTGTTAGTGGCTTGCGCACTCTGTTGTCGGTAGTCTAAATTCCATACAAATGCTAGGTTCTCGTTTGCGATTACAAAGGCAAAGTCTGGCGGCTGTGCGGCGGGCTGGGAGAGAATGTGCATGAGACGCTGCTGTCGGAAAGGGTTGGTCGGATCGGGCGATGCGAGTGTGCTGATCGTTGGCTACGAAAATCGGAAGGTCAGGCGAAGCAAGCAGGGCGTCGCTCGGCTACAATAGAGTTACTGTAGCACCTGTGTGGGGTCTGATACTCTGACTCGCGGACCCTGAAACAAGGACTCTTTGGACGCCCCGTCTTGTCTTTGGCAGCAAGATGTTGAAGCTTCCACCGGAGCCCGTAAGCAGCAGCAGCAGCAGCAGTGAGATGAATATGATCATGAGAATGTCTTGATCGACACCGGACTCCGCTGCAGAAAGGTTTGTGTGAGTGTGTCACCATGGACACAAGCAGGGAAGTTGGAATCCACGGCGAATGCTTCGCTGGGAATTGTTTTCATTCTCCGCAAACCACACCACGGATGCGGACAGCGTAGTACCCAAATTGCCGTTCCTACCAAAAGGTTTTTACAGCTGAGATAGAGTTGCAAAACAAATCTTGTATGCCCAGCAGAGTGTTTCACACAAGTCACACCATACACTGTTGCTGACGATCTAGCTTGTCGAGCTAGGAGAAACACCTACAGGATGGGAAAATTTTGTCCTGAATTTTTAGGGTTTCCTTTCAGCACCGAAAGTGGGACCCTGTTTCACTGCTTCATCCTTGCACCCTGTAACCAGTGGTCGCGGTTCGATGGTCGAGTTGCTAGACAGGCACCAACAGGGGTTCGTCAGACAGAAGTGGAAGCCTGGTCGATTCGGAACAGGTCGTACGCAGAGAAGACAGGTCACCTTCAACAAGGACAACATCTCAGGACGATGAGCGGCTAGGTTTCTCACGACCGCATACAAACAATGATGACACTCTGTATTTTGCCATTTGATTACTTTTCATCCAGCGTTTTAGCGAGTGAGACAGGATGACGCCAAATCTGGCGCTTGTGCCCGGCGTCGGTCGCCTCGCTGTTCAGGCACGCAAGGGAATTCTTGTCCAGCGTACCTTAGCGCTAAAGTATCATAAGAGTAGCGCCTGCTGTTCGCTTTCAGACCACGCGCGCTTGCCAACGTGACAGGCTGTGTGCCTGGCCAGCTTACAAAAGGTGGTCGGTCCCTTTGAGCCTACTCCACTTCAGCCAACTTACATTGTTGTTCGCTGTCACAGGATCACATTCGTGTGACTTGACTTAAGGCTCGATTCGTCGTGCATGCATGCATGATGGCGTGTGCATGTGCGTGTGAGGGCGGGGCGGCGGTAGTTGGCATGGCGTTGCAGCTTGCATGGTCCCAATCGTCGTGCCTCGTTCCACTGGCCCGGTTTCCTACCTCTTGTTCCTCCGCTGATTACGCCCCCTTAGTTCTTGTCTCACTTCCGTCTCTCGGTAACATGATCGACCGACTGAGCTGAAACCGCGGATCATCTTCGACCACAAATTTTTCCTTTGCGCTTCCTTCCATCTTCCGGCTTTGTCCAAACCTATCCTCTCATACAGGACAAACAGTTGCCGGCTCCTCCTGACTCCGACATTCAGCCCTGCATCGCTTCCATGCGGTCAGCATCATCTGCGCGCCGACGTTGCCAGAAACCTCTTCGAGTGGCCCGTCTTTGCTCCATCTTGACCACCGTTCCACGTTGCCCAGCTATGTCTTGAGACACTAGCGCCACTTTCTCTCCTCGTCAACCATGCCCTTCGCAGATCGACTCTGGCGATCCTCGCCCCGCACAACCATGGACACACAAACACCCGTCGCGTCCACCTCTTCCCATACGACAGCGCCACCACCATCAACATCACTCGCTTCGTCGTCAGCACCCCGCACCCCCTCGCTTCGCCGACGTTTCACTTTTGGGCGTACCGCCAAACTGCATCCTACCACAGAAACGCACGCCGATCTTCTCTACCCGACACAAGAGCTTCAAGCAGGCGCCACAATCGGCAGACCACCCCGCTCTTCCGTCTCGGACGACCACAGCATTGGTCGTGCACCATCACGCACTCCGAGTCTTACTGTTCCAGCGTTCAAGCTCCCTTCTGCCAACAATTCTCGGGACAATTCTCGGGCACACTCACCGCTTCCCGCAGGCGTCTCTTCGCCAGTCGTTGCTCCTTCTTCTTCGTCTCTTACGCCCTCCGTCAACCAGTACGACAGGCTGTTCGGTCTGCCAAGTACATCTGCTTGCGTCTCCTCGCGTCTCTCGCCTACACCCCTCGATAGCTCATCACCAGCGTCCGCTCCGGCAGCGTCGATATCTTTCGTTTCCGAGTCATCTTCCCAACCACTATCTTCCCTGGAGACGACCGCGTCTCCACAAATACCTGGAACGACATCGACGCTTTCGAGAAGCAAGAGTCTCAATCCCAGATCACGCTTTCCTCCCGCCTCGGCCTCGACAGGAACCAGCAGCACCCTCCGCGACAGATCCACTATCGGCAGCGCCATGCTGCGACGGGCCAGCCTCCGTCGTCGAACTCCCTCTGGCGACTCGACGACCGTGCGCGTTGATGAAACGGCGCCGAAAGCAACGACTCCCACACCATCTTCTCGAGCCAATGCCATGTCGAGGACGTCTTCTGCTGTAGCTTCAGCGCCTGTCGCTGCTACTGTCGCACCATCCCTTTCCGCCACGACGCCAACGCCGGCGGGCGACGCGCCTGCTTCATCAGGTCGTCTGTCACGCTTCTTCGGGCGCAGGAAGTCATTCTCCGGTCCCGTTGGTGCCCTTCACAAACCTGATTTGATGGCCGACCCGGTTCCTGTGCTACGAGATGCAAGCGCTTCCCTCAATAAACGCTCTCCTCCGCTGGCCATCATCTCTGCCGACTGGCGAGAGGCACCAGACGCGACGAAGCCAGCTCCCGGCCTCATTCATAGCGGAGCGCCGGCTCCGCCTCCAGCCACCTCACCATCCGATACCGCCGCCGGACCCTCAGCCAACATTGGTGCCGCCACGGTGAAAGCACAGCGGGAATCAGCAGACGGCCAGAGCTGCAAATTCTCTGCTTTTTCCTTTCCTGCCCTCCCCTACGAATCATCGCAAGAAGCATCATCGGCGCCGGATCCGTCTCGCCAGAAACAGACAAAGCATTCGACGAGTCGCTCCGTGCCCTTGGCATCCTTGCCTACCTCAAGTGTCATTCCGCTCTCTCAATCTCAAACGGTCGCAGACGATGCCGCAATGCCGCCGCCGCAGCCCCGTCCCACCCGTGGTCGAAGTCTCAGCTTCAGTCTCAGTCACAGGAAGAGCAGCAAGAGTCTCTCAATGATCGGTCACATGTTCGGCAGCAGCAGCCACGTTCCAGATTCCGTGTCATCGTCACCTCCTCTCCCAGCCGACGCTTCGACACTGAGCCAGAGATACCCAGCTGCTGAAAGTCGCTCGAGTCATTCAAACGAGCCGACCGCTTCTAGCCATTCGCGCAGGCCTTCACTGCGGGATCGGCTCAAACTAGGACGCGGCGCAGCAGGTCAGGGACCGCAGCGGCCTTCAACACCCGAAATTGAAAGCTGGAAGCAAAAGCTTGCTGAGGTCCCCGCCCATGCTGAAAGGTCTGACACAGAGCGCAAGTCGCCGGCTAGCATCCAGGATGTCTCCCAACCCAAGTCCGCCGATTCACCCGTCAAAATCGTTCGATCCAGGAGCGCCATCAGGCGTAAGCCTCCTCCCGAGATCAAGCAAGAAGACATTGACAGTAGCTCCAGTACTCCCGTGTACAGCAAGGCCTTTCGCACCCTCGATGTCGATCATCGCGACGCTTCGCCGCTCGGCGGCAGCCCCGCCTCGTCGCCTGAGCTTGCCTTTTCTTCGATGACAAGCCCACATCGAAGGAAGTCCTCACCTCAGTCCAGCTCGCGAGACGTTTCCGTCCGGCGTGATGAGGCCGCTGCGAACGTCCTTGGCCTCATTGGCGCCCCTTCGGAAGCTTCGAAGCTCCTCGACACGCATGGCCCAAGCATCGATGTTCAACCGAGCACACCTTCGCGCAAGGCCTCGCCTAAAGCTGTGATCGATCAGAGTTCACCGATGTCGGTCTCGACTCAGCAGAACCTCGCACCTGCTTCATCATCCTCCCTGCTTCAGAGACGCCGAACGTCGGCTGCGCCTAGCGTTGCTGACACCTCTGCGTCGCTCGACAGGCCGTGGTCGCTGATCAGCTCCAGCGAGGCTGATACACCGCTCCTCAAGCTGCGCAAGCTCGTTGTCAACACCGACACCGACGCCTCCGACGACAACCGCGAAGATGACCATGTCAGCAACGGTCTCTTCTTCCGTCCTGTTGTCGGACCTTCTAACAACGCGGTTGGCTCTGACGAGCAGATGACACGCGATCTCACACCGATCGGAAGTACACAAGAGGGTGAGTTAGAGCAGCTGCGATCGGCCTCGCAGACCACGGTGCTGTCTGACACCAAACACGAGGTCAGATCGGTCCCCTCCTCTGCTGCCAGTACCATTCGCGTGCGTGCCGCTGGGAAAGCCCCAACCCAGCTCAGTCTCTCCAGTGCTGCCTCTGAGGCGTCCCACACTTCCACTGTGAGATACGCAAGTGTACCTTCCGCGCTTGGGCAGTCGACTCAGCCAACGTCGGAAGTGCCCATGACCGTCGATGCCGCAGGTCCGGAAGCTGACATGGTGGGGCCCCTGCCGGCGAAAAGCCCCGTTGCATCGCAGCATTCGCTGCGCGGCCGCCAGCACCGACGAGACGGATCCGTGGGATCCACGTACAGCCAAACGACGATCCAGCAGGCACGACGATCGAGCACCGCTTCTCGTATCACGGCGCGTAGCAGCGGCCAATGGAGCGAAAGTCGACTTTCCGAGGATGCCTTGAGCGTTCTGGAGGCTGAAGTGGGTCAAGCTAGGCGTGCAGAGGTGGTAGCGCTTGGTAAGGGAAGAGTCCAGGACTGGGTTGGTGGAGGTGGCGCCGATCGACCGCTTCCAACCGCCGAGGCGCCGACGCTCTCTCGCAGTAACACCCTTCGCAAGATTGCACAACACGCATCGACTGGGGATGTGGAAACACACGTCGACCAACGAGAAGCTCAACGTCAAAGGACACTCAACGAGCATCTCGATCGTAGGCTGCAGCAGCTGTCGGATTCCCAGCTCGTGCCGAATGCATCCGCTTCGCACCTCCGTGTGCCGAAGCAAAATCCTCAAGCTGCGAGCTCGCCACAGCACCAAGGTGCGGCTGCGATGGAATCCTCGACAAGCGCAAGTCGATCTGCTCCCACCTCGGCGACATCTGATGGCCCGCGCTTTGCGAGACTCTCCGCTTTCCACGACCGCAAGCATCCCGAAGACTCGCAGCGCCTAGCGCCGCAAGATGCGGCGCTCGTTGCGTCAGCTTCCAACCAGTCGATGGAGGAGGCGATTCGTCTCGGACGGGCACCTTCCAAGCGTGTCCGCCGCGATGCCAGCGAGACTCGAAGTATCGGTGAGGCCGTCATGGTGCAGCGCGAATCAGGCGCACGACACCCTCGACGCTCAGCGTCCCTGTCGTCCAAGAAAACGGCCCATGCAATCGACCAGCTCAACCCGACCTTGGCGCCCGTTTTGCCATTCGTACCTATGGCGAATGCGCAGACCTTGAACGACCAGCAAGAAGCGCCGGCGCCGATTCGGCAGGACGATGAAAAGGCACAGGACGACAGCAAGAAGCATGCCAAGCAACGCACGTATGCGACTTCCGAGGAAGCGGTACGAGCCAAGCAGCTGGAGCTGATCAACAGAGAGAGACGACTCGCCGAGAAGGAGGCCAGACACCAAGCTTATCTTCAGCAAAAGTATGCTCACAAGAAGCAGAATGATCCGCTCCTGGCAGCACGACTGGCTCTGGTCGGACTCGAGCCCCGCGAAGCTGTGCCACAAGTCGACGGCGAGCATGCCGCAATCACAGCAAAAGAAGCGGACACTGGCGCACGCGGCGGCGGCTTGCAGCCTCCTGCTGTGCCCGAGAGACGAGCTTCGTCGCGTCTTTCGATTCCTCGCTCGTCGATGGTGCGCAAGAACTCGGACACGGGGAGCGTCGCCTCCTTCCACACTGCGACCGATGCTCCCGTCGCCGCGGTGCGTCCGGACACCTCGAACAGCATCGCATCGTCGCTGGCTGTGGACTTTGACTTCCCCGAGCCTCCTCGGCGGATGACTGAACAGCTGTCGGACGACGGTACAGTGCTCAGCCGTGCCGGGTTGCAGCATTCGCCACTCGGGCAGCGATGGAAGGGACGTCGACACTATGCTCGCGAAGACCAACGCTCGCAAACACCTCCGCTGCGTGACTCGAGCCTGCGCCACCGCGTTGATGGCGATGGGAGGGTTCACACACGCGCAGCTTTGCTCTTCTCAAATGACACGGATGCAAAGCCAGTGATGTCGGCTTCTCAGTCCATGCCAAGGCTGATCGCGGTGCCATCACTGGACTCCGCCCAACAAACCGCCACGCTACGACGATCGCGATCGGTGGGATACGCCAGCCGCGACTTGCGCAAACTGACACGAGAGCAGATGATGCAGGACGCCTTGAACCATCCCAGCCCTCCGGCCGTCCATCGCGAGTTGCACAGCTTGCAGTATGGGCAGGCGAAGGGGTTGGGTATTGAGATGGCAGACAACTCGAGCGCCTCAGGAAGGTACTCGAACGTCGCCACTCCAAGACAGCCTATCGCCGCTTAATTTTGTTCACCTTATTGCAACTTTTGTGCATCCAACCTGTATCTTTAATCATCGCAATATCTTGGAGTCTGGATATTCTGGAACTGTTAACAGGCTTGTCTGATCTGCTACGTGGATGGCACGACTGATACGTCTTTGCTGCTGCATACCGATACTGTGAGAGCACAGGGGGAAGGATCGTGCACTGATTGCACGAGGGGCCGAAAGCTGAACATGGCTTTGGGTGCCTCGATGCAAGCATCCTTGCAGCGCGCAGCCTGCAGCCCGCTGATGCGCGATGCTCCTATCCCGTCGCACTAATACAGCTCAGAGACGTGCTCGTACTCCAGGATAGCTGTCGAGGTCTTTCCTCACGATACCTTCTTGGACCTCGACAGACAGGTCGGCGGGAGGGAGTCCGACAAACGGACAAAGTCAATGTGCTGTGTACTGCATCGGCAAGCAGGCAATTCAGCCGCCGATCCGAAAGAGATCTTCGAGTTGGTCTCAGATTTTCCTTCCTGCCCGTCACGTAACTTGTCTTCCTTCTCGGCACGCAGACAGGACTCGCGTCGCTGCTTCTTGGTTCGCGTTGTGTGGCGGGATGAGCCCTTTAACAATTTCCCACGCCGGCGAGGGACGCGGCGACTTTCTTTTCTTTGGCTGGAATTCACGCTTCGTCACAGATTAGACGAATTTTCAAATGCGCATTCCTACTTTGTATTGAGCGTCAGGAGAGCAGGTGCATGAAGCGGTGAAATGTGACCGTCAGGGTGCCCAAGCAGCTTTTGTTGTACAACTGGGGTGACAGCCGAGACAAACTAGTCAGGGTTCTCTCAGGAAGATGGCGCGGACAGTGCCGATGAAAGCCAACACTGTTCTCGTGGCGTGGCGGAGTGTGAGCGAGCGGTTAAGGGCGTCTGCCGAGGGATCGCTCTCTTTCTGAAACGACGATCTGCAGCGTTCGGATGGCGATGAAGCGAAAGCGAGATTATGACGCTCAAACTCATCGGAAGCCGATGTGTCCACCATGAAGCCTGTGTGTCGATATGGCCTCGAGTGGTCGAATCGATCCTCTGTGCAAGCTCGAGTTCGATCCAAAGCGTAGTGCACTCATCGTTAAAGAGATTATGTGCAATGGTAGCATACGAGCGGCTGCAGTAACAGCCTGCAGCGTGCTGCGTCGAGAGACATGCGTGTCCTTTTGTTCCGGAGAAGAGAGACAGAGGGAGGAAGCGCGTGCGTGTCAAGGCAGTCGTGCATTCCTGCTGAGTTGCCTTGGCTCGCTGATTCCGACATGGCGACTGACTTTTTTCCAGCTACCGTGTCACTCACGGCCTCCTGCTCTGCTCTCCGCTTCCTTCACCTCACCTTGTCACCATCCACCTTCACCTCAGCAGGCTCCTGTAGAGAAGACGACGACGGCGACGGCGTCCCTACATCCACTGTCTCGTTCATCTCTTCTCGTCTTCGTCGTCCTTCTCTCCACCCTGACTCCGCACCGCATCCCGTTCGCATAACGTCTCCTACTCCAACAGCATCACGCGTCTCTTCAATCTGGATAGACGCACATCCCACTCAACGCAGCGCATCTCATCTCGTCTTATCCCGTGACGACCGACATCCCAACGGCCAAGCGCGACCGCTTCATAAACCCTCGATCATCGATCGCGCGAACGCTCCCACCGCCTTCACAAAGCAGCCACACCTCTGTGAGGTTCCGACTGCTCTTTTCTTTTGCTGGTCAAACACAGGCATCGATCGTCACGAGCCCACCTTCTCCTCTGCAGCTGCTGGCAGCTTCGACACGTTTCTCCCCTTTCCCCTCTACAGTTTTCCACCTTCCATGCCCAACTCCATCACCCGACGACGAAGCACACGCAACCCCAGCATCGACTTTGTCATCGCATCACCGTCTTCGTTGACCTTTCACTCGACAGCAATGACCGCAGACACACCTCGCGACCGCGGGGATCAGATCCTCTCTGCCAAGAAGAAGCTCAAGAGTTACCGCGCAAAGCAGGCTCTCATGGCTCAGAAGCGCTCCTCGGCTTCCCTTTCGCACTCGAGGTCAGCGTCTGGCGTCCGCATCAGCGACACGCCTCCGGCTACAGCCGTCGCAGAGGCACTCTCCAACGAGATTGTCTCTCAAGCTTCCACCTCGGCAGCTTCCATCGGCAACACGGTCTCACCACACACCCGCACACCGTCTCGATCCGGCCACGCGCGAGGACACTCGCGTGCTGGTTCCATCTCCATCACGCCCAACGCCCTCTTCTCGCAGGCTCAAGCGATCGCTTCCGTCCCTGCTCCTCTCACGGCATCGGCGCTGGGTCGACCTGCTTCCATCGTGGCCCCTAGCGCTGCTGCTCACACCCGCACTCATTCGCGTTCGCATTCCCGAAGCTATTCCCGCTCTCGCCCAGTCAGCATCTCGTTGCTCGGCGCAAAGAAGGAGGAGCCCGTTGTTGTAGCCATCGAGCATCCCGCCGAGTCAGAGACGCCCATCGACATGGATGGACAGCGTCGATCGCAACAGTTCCTCGACTCTTCGTCGCTATTTGGAGGGCCAGTCACGCCCGTGGGTCTGCGACCTAGCTCCACTGCATCTTCCAAGCGCTTGAGCAATGTCTCTCCTTCATCTGCGCTCTTCCCTCAAAGCAATACTTCCGCATTGTCGCCTTCGCCTTCAACTCCAGCTGCGCGTCATTCCAGGCGTCTCAGCCGTCACGCCCGCACGCCAAGTGTATCGACAAAGCGCGAGAGTATGGAGATCATGGGCGGTCTCGGCGCTGGTCTTGGTCTCGATATGACCAACACGGCCTCGGATCTGCACTCCGCCGGTGCGGCGAGGCGTCGCAGCTCGCGCATGTCAAACCTTCCATCGGCTAGTGTGCTTTTTGGATCGTCCGATCCTGCCTCGCTCACCACAAACAGAGGCAGCAGCAGCAGCAACATCAACAACAATCTGAACAGGAGCAGCAGCCGCATGAGCGGCCAGCAGTGGGACTGGAGGAAAGCCATCGCAGATGCTGCCGATCAAGCCGAGGAGAGCAGCCAAGATCGTCTCACTGCTCTCGAGAAGCTCGAGGGTCGTGCATCCGCCGCTCACATCGCTAAAGCAGATCGTCCATCTTCTGCCATTGTCGCCGCATCGCGCGCTTCCCGTCGTCTTTCTGGCCACACCAGGACCGAGAGCATTCAAATCCCCAACTTGGACGAGATCCACCAGAACGAGCTCAACGAGCGGAGAGCGAGCTGGACCCTGCAGGCATCCGACGGCAACACCAACACTCTTGCCTCTGCCTCCACTCCCATGTCCGCTCCCGCCACTTCGACTCGTCGCGAATCCTGGGGCCGTGGCCTCGTGGCACCCTCGCCGTCGTCGCTGCTCTCTGCCGGCTTCTCGTCCCCTGCACTGCCCAGCACGTACTTGTCCAGCCCGGGTCGACCAGAGTCCATGATTGTGTGTGCCGAGTCACCACATCCAGAAGGTCTTGGAACCCTCATGGAGGAGGAAGAGGAGGAGGATGTTACGTCACCCACACGCGAGCGCCCGAGCCTCGACATGGCGCCGCTGCTCGGGAATGCGAACGCCGACGACGAGCTTCGCAAACAGCGACGCGAAGCTCAGGACGAGACGGCAAAGCGCAATCGTCGCGCCAGTTTGGCACCCAAGCCTCTCAAGCTCAAATCCCGTCCGCCCAGTCTTTACCTGACGCCTTTGCAGAGAAATGGTCTCGTCAGCAGCCCGTCCATGCCCAACTTCCCGACCTCTCCCCAATTCGCTCCTTCCATTGCCGACGAGACGACGCCAAGAGCATCTGCTGCCGCGCTTCCGGAAGCCGCGGAGGATGACGAAAGCCAGATACTCGAGATGTCGAAGGACTCGGACGTCTCTACCACCCTTCCTAGTCGAAGCACCACCTGTCCCGACTTGTCTTCTCTTGCTATCGTTTCGGAAGACCAAGTCGCAGCGCCGGTGTCCGATGATTCGCCTGGGTCAACAGAACAGAGCCGAACCAGCAACGACGCAGATAGCCCGGTCGAGGCTGACCTTTCCGCCGAGCAGATGGCCACGCAGGAGCAGCGACAGCTCGAGGAGCTGCAACAGCAGATCCTACGTGCTCATCGCCACTCTATGATTGCTTCAGCTTCGGCCACTCCTTCGTCAAACGAGGCGACTTCCGCTTCCTCTGGAAGCACCGCATCGGCACGTCAAGGAATGCGAGCGCTGCGTCTCGGCAGCCAGGCAAACCTCTCTTCGATCATGGAAGCTTCGTCCGCAACCAGCCCCGCCTCTGCAGGTGTCGCGTCTGGAGCCGTCGCTGCCACCGCCACAACCGCAGCACAGCGTCGTCGTAGTCTCATCATGGGCCCCGCTTCTGCCGCGCCAGTTTCCAACTCGTCTTCCCGTGACAACGACTTTGTCCCTTCGTTTGGCAGCTCCGCCGCCTCCAGCCGCGCCGCAAGACGATCCTCGATCATCTACAAACCCTCGACCGCTTCCGTTCCTGAAGCGCAGTCGCCGCACTCGGCATCCGACTCGATCGTCGGCCTCGGTGGTGTGCCGCTTGCAGTTCACGACGAGCTCAAGGCCAAGGCGAACCGCGATGCCGCACTTCTGGAGTCTACCAAGAAACAGGTTGAGATGCTCGAGCGTGAGCTGGCCCACGAGACTGCGCGAAGCGCCAGAGAAAAGGCGGAGCTGGAACAGTGGAACATGGACAAGGAAGAGCACCTCTTTGACCGTGCACAACGCGCAGAGACAGCAGCACGTCAAGCCGAAGATGCCGTCGCTGCGATGCGCGTCGAGCTAGACCAGGCCAAGGAGCATTCGGAGGATCTGCAAGCCGAGCGCGAGGTACTCCAAGACGATATCGAGGGTTGGCGTTCGCGCTGCCAAGACCTCGAAAAGACGCTGCGCACCGAAAGGGCTAGGTCGGACGAGAACCGCAAGCTTCGCGCTGCTGCTCGACTGCGCATCAAGCAGCTCACCGATTTTATCGAGCAGAGCAGCGGCAGTGTGCCCACTGACGAGCTCGGCGTCCTCGCAGCCTTGGAGATGCCCCAGCTTGACCTCGCGGCTGCGCTCAAGAGCCCAGGTCTGGGAGCTCTGAGCCCGAATCCCAACGCTACGCCGAAGCTTTCGCCGACCATCGGAGGCGATGAAGTGCCGCCTCAGATCACCAAGCTACTTGGTGATATGCGCCAGCAGATCTTCAACCTGGCTGGCAGTCTCGAGCACGAGCGCAAGCAGCACTTGCACGCCAAGGAGGAGGTGGCGCGATTGCAGCGAGAGACCGAAGAGCAACAGCAGTCGGCTGTGCGAGACGAGCTCGAGGCAGAAGGCAACCAGGAGGAGGCATCGACTTCGGCTGAAGGCGCTGATGCTGCCGCCGCCGATCGCAGCTTCCCTTCTCCTGACGAGAGCCGCGACCTGTCGACTTCTGGATCATTCAGCTCCGTGCGACGATCGAGTGGCATGCTTGGCAAGAACAAGCGTCACGTATTCGCCTACGACTCGAGCATGGGTAGCTTCGGTCAGTCGCAGAGCAGCGCTTCGCTCTCCATGATGACGATGACGGACGACACGATTCATACGGACAATGAGTCGGACATGGGGGACTCTTTCTCCGCAAAGCTGCCTTCATCCGAGAGCGACCTGATCGGGCTCGGCATGGGCAGCCTGCAAACGTTGGACGAGATCGAGGAGGTGTCCGAGTTGTCGGAGAGCGTCGCCGACAGCAACGGCACGCTAAGTGCAGCTGTAGCGACCAGCCCGGCGTGGGTCGACATCGAGGCTGGCGCTGGCGAAGCCGAAGTTGATGCCGCACGACCGAGTCTCGATGTGAGCGAATCGAGCTTCGACGCACACTTCCAGGACGCCGAGAATGCCCCGCCCACGCCAGACCTCTACCGCTCGACCGAGCCCGCCTTCGTCCACGCCACCGAACGCTTTGTGAAGAGCAACGTGGCCGACTCGACGGAGCACAGCACCAACGCTTCTTCTTCTTCCAGTTCCGGAGAAAGTCACGCAGCACCTCCGACCCCACCACAGCATGCCGCTCGCCTCGGCGATGCTCCTGTCGAAGCCGACTTTGTGATGCGCACACCATCTCCTCGACCCGAGTTCCACCGCGAGTGGAGCTTCGAGTGGGGCAAGTCGCGCTCGCGCAAGGTTCCCAGCACCCAGCACACGGTCGAGGACTTTTTCGGCATTCTCTCCGAGGATCGCCTGCCCCCCTTGAGCACCTCGGAGGAGGCCATGGATCTTCCTCCTATCACGCTCTCTTCCAACGGCACACTGTTGCCCACGGCGCGTCTGAACAAGGACGGCAAGCCCGTCTTTGCCGGCGCAGCCACGTCGCGATCCGCGAGCATCTTTGGCGGCAAACGACCGCCCGTTGCTCGATCCGCCTACTTGCGCGAGAGCTTCGATTCCACTTCGAACGCCAACCTCGCCCATCACCAGCATGCCCAGTCTGGCGGCATAATTGCAGGCTACGGACATGAGTCGCAGTCCTCGTCCGCGTCGAGCCTGGTCGCCTCGATCGGCTCGCGCGCGCTGAGCAGGATGAGCCTGCAGCACCTTACCGGCGCATTCTCGGGTCTCAGCGGATACCTCACCAATCAGAGCGGTGCGGCTGTGACGGCTGCCAAGATGTGCAACGCCGCTGGGATGGAGGAGGGCAACAGTGGGCTGAACTGGGCCGCTGCACAGCGACGCACCCTTGACGAGGAAGACGAGGACGCGTTTGACGCCAAGAATCTTCGCTTCGACATTGAGTCGAGCGGTGGCGGAGCGGGCAGGATCGGAAAGTATGATAGGGGTTCGGCGGGTAAGCAGCAGCTGTCTTGGGTGTCGGAGTCGACCATGACGAAGCAGCAGCAGCAGCAACAAGCGTCGTCGTCGGCCAAGCGCTATGTCAGAAAGTCGGCCGTCGCCGTACCCAAAGCTACGCCGGTTTGGTTGTTGGATTTCTCGACGAGCACGGCTGTTGGTACCGGACCGGTCTTTTCTTTGTAGGACGAGCTGTTTCTAGCTTTTCACTTTCCACTTTATTCACGCTCTTGAAGAGCTTTGTGTTTTTTTTTCTTTGTCATGGTTCATTCATGGGTTTCGTTTTCAATTGCAACTTATTTCTTCGTCTGCAGCAGGTTGAGAAGGTGTGCTGGAGTTGAGGTGGAGCTCAGCGTGTCGCTATGTTTTCTCGACCACATGTCGGGCCACACCTGCAGAAAGATATCGAGGAATCCAGCATACTGAGCTGGGAGAGTTGTTAAGAACGGACGAGTATTCGTGATTTAGCTTTAGCGAACAAGGCAAGATTATGCACCTCTTTGGTGCCTCGCTCTGCATCTGGAGAATCTCTAGCAACTACGAACGCCTTGTGCGGAACACCTAGATGACGCAGGCTCAGTTTCTAGTCACAACTCGCATGATCGAGCATCTTTCGGACGACGGTTCGTGGCATAAAGCCCTGGTAGCGACACTGCGTTCTTGCTGTGCGCCTTGCCTTGTCCTCCAGAAGCTACGCTGCACCGCCATTGCGGACGCTGCACGAGGAAGCAAGTAAAGTGTCATTGCATGGAAGAGGTCAGTGCACCCACATGGCGCACGTCCGTGCCTTCATTTTGCCCACCCCGCAGATTGTTCGCCCTGCCAAACCACCATCTCTGTCCAAAATTCAATTCGCCATTTTCTCGACCATTTCCTGAACAATCTCGCTCCAGATTCGACCAGGATCATCTCCTGGGCTTTCCGAGTTCGTAGATGCCAAAAAAACGGCAAAAAATGCGGTTTTGAGGGTCACTGCGGGATTCGAACCCGCGACCACCTCTAGAATTCGAACCTAGAGCCTCGATCTGGTATGTAACATACCGGGTTATGTTTTGCCCGAAAGAGGTATCCTACCACTGGACGAAGCAACCTCTCTACTTGCCCGAAGGGATTACCTTTGCGTACATGTCCTGCTCAATATAGGAGGGTTTTTCGTGTGTGTTGGGTGATGGAGTCGTGGAGGCGAAGTGGAGGTTTTGGGTGCGGAAAACAGCGGGGTTGAAGCTGACATCCCATCTGAAAGCAAGACGGCGGATGAGCTATCCGTTCGGCCCATGGTCAACCAGCCACCATCACCAATCTTGGCCTCTCCGCAACGGCATCTTCCTCTTTATCCTTCTCTTCAGACCATTGTGTATCTCAAGATGAGCGCGTTCCCAATGATGCGTGTTGTACCACAGGCGTGTCGGGTAAGTAGTAGGACCACAGGCAACTTTGGCGTATCCAAATGTTCTAGGTTGGCTGACCAATATCTTGTTGTCTTGGCCTTTGACGATAGGCTGCTTCGATGGCCGAGTCTCGCGTTGGACTCAACATGCGACTTCCACAACAAGTGCGTAGCTACTACGGCAAGCGTATCGATCCACGCGCCCAGTTCCAGGCTGCCTCTCGCACCACGCGTCCGCGCATCTTCACCGCATCCGCTCCCGCCTCTTCCTCCACCGTTCGTATGGCACTTCTCCTCGGCTCTGGCGGTCTACTCTTCGCTACCGGCCTCAACTCGTTCACCTCTGCACCCCTCCACCTCGACTCGGCTCGACCCTACGCCTCCTCCCCTCCCATCACCTCTCCCACCCCTCCCACTAACACCACCACAGAAGAACCCGAAAGCATCGTCAACATCTACCAACTTTCCTTCGGAACCGTCTGCGGCATCTGCGCAGGCGTGTTCATCAAGAAGGGCCTCAAGTTCTTTGCCTTCCTCTTCGGAGGCTGCTACATCCTGTTGCAGTACATGAGCAGCCAGTCTCTGATCAAGGTCAACTGGTCCGCCATCAATTCCAAGTACGACAGACTCGTAGGCAGCGCTGCTGGTGGGAATGGAGCCCAACAGAGTGTCAAGGGTTACGGTGGAAGCACCGCTCAGAGGATTTGGAACAGGACGACCAACTTTCTGGTCGCCGACTTTCAGCCTAGAGCGACGTTCATGGCTGGCTTGTTGCTCGGGTTGCGTCTCGGATGATGCAGGAACTGTTCGAATAGGCGCAATAAGGAGAAGACATTATCACTGGAGCGCCATTAGGAATCCCATGACACAAACGTCGAGTTTGGCCAGGCCAAGTGGCTGAGAGGCTTGAAGATTGTGGTCTGTGAACGCGTCGCCGGCTGCAAGCGGTGATTTGAGCGGCTTCCTTGAATCAAGTCTGAAAGATCTCGGAAAGATAACTTTCAAACAAAATGCGGGTGGAAAAAAAGAAAAGTGGGCTCCGCATTATTTCTTCGTGAACCAACAGGCACGACATCCTTCCTGTTCTATTGACCCGATAGCTTCACGTCTGTCCACCATCCACCTACAACCGATCACAATCAACGAACGATCGACTAAAGATGTCAGCGCAGGAGATCACCGTTCCGGCACCCGCCGACTTCCACGTCCACCTGCGACAAGGCAAGATGTCGGAACTCGTCACCCCGCACGTCGCCGAGGGCGGTGTCTCGCTCGCATACGTGATGCCCAACCTCGTACCTCCCATCACTTCGACGCAGCAAGCCACCGAATACCTCGAGTCATTGCGAGCGCTTGCTCCTAAAACAAAATTCGTCGGCACCTTGTACCTTTCACCCGCTCTGACACCAGCCGAGATCGCCAAAGCAGCCAAGAACGGCGTCCGCGGCGTCAAGAGCTACCCCCGCGGTGTCACCACCAACTCGGACAGCGGTATCGAGGATTACGAGACCTACTACCCCATCTTTGAGGAGATGCAAAAGCAAGACATGATCCTCAATCTGCACGGAGAGGTTCCTTCCAACGCAGACGCGGGCATCTGTGTCTTGAATGCCGAGGAAAAGTTCTTGACGCACCTGTTCAAGATCCATCGTCAGTTCCCCAAGCTCAAGATCGTGTTGGAGCATGCTACTACCAGGAAAGCGGTAGAAGCTGTCAAGCAGTGTGGCGACACGGTCGGCTGCACCATCACACCGCACCACCTCGAGCTCATAGTCGACGATTGGGCAGGTAAGCCTCTCAACTTTTGCAAGCCGGTCGCAAAGTATCCCGACGATCGACAGGCGCTGCGCGACGTCGTCCGCGAAGGCCACCCACGTTTCTTCCTCGGCTCAGACTCTGCACCGCATCCTTTGGCCAACAAGTACCCTTCTGCAGTGACACACGGCGCTCCTGGAACCAAGGCTTCCGCTTCTGGCAGCGATGACCTCGAGCCCACCGGTGTCGTCTCGTGCGGATGTGCAGCGGGTGTGTACACATCATCGATTCTCGTTCCTCTCTGCGCCACTCTTCTCGAAGGCTTTGGTGCACTGGACAAGCTCTCCAACTATGTCAGTATCAACGGTCGAAAGTTTTACGGCTACGATGACGAAGAGGAAGTCTCGCAGGGCAGCATCAAGCTTCGCAGGGTGGACAATGGATCGTCGTCGTCTTCAACGTCTGCTGCAACCGTTCCTGCAGTGTACGTGCATCCGGAGTTCCGTGAGGTGCCTGATTCGGATGGGTCTAAGGTACAGGTGGTACCTTTCTGGGCTGGCAAGCGCCTGGGGTGGGAGATTGTTCGTTCCTAGGCCGAGTTCCGATCTGCTCGGTGTCAAGCGGCTCGTTTTCGGAACTTGATATCGCAGATCTTCCACTCCTTGTTCGAACCGTTGTGCCTGTATCCTTGGATGGACAAACAAAAGCGACTTCACTCATTTGATACATTTGATAGGCAATCGTGTCGCCGCGCGCAGTCATTGGAGATTTTGAGCATTGGTGGGGCGCTCGTGGGAATCCGCCTCAATTGATGTCAACCACGAAAATGAGTTTGATAGGATCCGTCAAGGTCGCCAGCGTCACTTTTCTCGCAATGACGGTTATCCACGTTTCCGATGTTCGGCGAGGCTGGAGCCGAAGCGCTCAGCGAGCGATTCGATGTGCATAACAAAGGCTAAGGACCCACTGTGGCGTCTTGAAAGTTACGTCTTCACTTCGGATCTTTCGCATCGGATGGGTGTGCTCCAAGCTCTCGAGGTTGCTCCCATCGTGCAGCACGGCGAGCTGCGGCCATTGTGGGGGATCTAAGACGGGAGGTGACAAACCGACAAGGATCAGCTTTGTCCCATCGACATGTTCAAGCTTCGAGGCTTGCGAACAAGTCCACGGCGACCGATTTGCTGACGAAGGCATGATGGTAGAGAAGCAAGATTTGCGGTCATTCAGAGTCTAACTGATCGATGCCACAGTGCCTTCGTAAGCTTCGCGCAAACAAAATGGGACGCCCGCTTGTGCAAAGTCTCTTGAGTCTGCCAGGACCGGAGGCTCCGACTATCCTGGCTCGGTGAAAGTCACACCCTCGAATTAGGCGCACAGACGCAGGCTAGAGCCAGAGATATCTCGGCGCAGCCTTAGATGAGATCTAAATGCATATTTGCGGAGCTGCGAGGTTAGTTGTGATTGTGATATGTCCAAGGCACATCACAAAGTGGCGATCCGTCCTACGATGGCGGTCGACATTACCACCACTGTCTCGTTCCGACGGAAGCACTTTCATTGCTGTCTGCACAGAACATTAACATCCGCATTCGCGTTTCTCGCAGCAGTGATGGCGTGAGATTCATTTGCTTCACGGCAACATGTTGCGGCTCGGCTCCAAACTGTCAGTCATAGTAAAGCCCAAGCCACAGTTGACCGATGAAGTTGTGGGTATAGACAGGAATTGGCCGGCATGAAAGTGGGGTCGATCGAAATCGCTCTATTGATTGCCTCGCAGAACCTTCGTCATGTCGCTGGTAGAGAATGTAGACGACGTCTTTGTTCTTGATTCACAAACAGGCGTCTCAATCGGGATTAGGAGCTCTGACCGAGAGCGCTCTTCATCCCAGTGACACATCATTAGGTGATAGCACCCTGGTCATCCGACTCGGGTTCCAACAATAAGCTTGGACATAACTGTGAGCTTGATTGTTTGCGGGACAAAAGCAAATCCAATGAGGGATCGCTTCAACTTAGACGCCATGCAGCGGGCGAGCTTACGCCTTACGCCCAATTGTGCTTCGAGGACGGATGTACTGGGCGCTTAGCACAACAAGCGTGCCAACAGCGCCTTACAGCAGTTCTGAGCGAGTTGCAATTGAGAATATCCGCGTCCGCGAATTCGCCAAGGGTTCTGGTCAGAGCGACCAAGCGTAGCATCGAGATGAGCGGGGCCGAAGACTCCCCAATGAGCTCAGTTAACCGCGGCTCAAATCCAAGGTAGACGCCACCAATAACACTGCCGTTGCACCTGTCCATGTCGCCGGTCGAACAGACCGGAGAGGTGCTAAATCCGCGACACGTTGAGTTTAGACGGACCGACTATGCGCGGCCTCATTGCGACCCACATCGAGCAGCACTTTTGAGCGTGAGAATACTCACTCGAGTACTCAAGACCGTGGTCGATGATCCGTGATTTGCGGCGTGGTCCTTGAGGTGACAGCGAGAATCCGATAGCCTGAAACGACAGCTTGCTTCCTCGTGTGCACCGGCTGTCAGGCACAGTCTAATTGTCGTGCATCACGGTAGCGGCGTCCGTTTGGCGTTGCTTCGATGCAGGTCGTCACACGCAGAGCATGCACACATTGCCAAGCAGTGGGATGTACAAAGCCTCATACGTAACGACCTTCTCGTCCACCTGTCTCTGTCATGTAAGCCGCCAGAACTCGGCGGATCACATAGAAACTCGAGTCTGTAATGGCCCTTCCTTCTCCGCTCTTTGGTGCCGCCGTCGTCATTGCAAAGCTTGTGTAGCAACATGAAATTCGAGATCGATTGTCTTGCGGCCTATTTTGCGTTTCTGAAGAAAAATCAAGATTTGCGCTGCGTACTTCCGTTTATGAAAGGAACGAAGTAACGCCATGTTGAACGGCATAGCCAGTCCAGGCCGCCAAGCTGTCCCCTGGTGTCTTGCGGATGTAGGCAGCGGTCGCTGCGCAGTTGCAGCAAATCGGTGCACTGCGCCGACCGAGCGAGACAAAGCGAACAGAATCGGCGCAGTCACCCAACGATTCCGCCGGGTGGCGGTTGGGCGTCAAGCACAGCAGACCCTTGACAGTCCCGTGCTTGCTTTGCTTATAAGCAAGCAATGTTGCAAAATGTCCCCATGCCTTGACATCGCAAACGCTTTCTATGGTATCTTGATCTCCATCTGGCCGGCTCAGCTGGTCAATCTCTTCCATAGAGTGAGCGTGTCCTCAAGAATCGCCATTGTCGCTGGTCTCCGACATTGGCACAGCAGCGAATCGAAGGTCGACAATCTGCTCACCAATACTCTCTCCTCGTCGCACCATGTACATGTCTCAGCCGCGCGATCTGAACTTTCCAATGTCAGCAGGTTGCTCGCGCGCGACAGTACACTTGCCACTAAAGGCTGACAAGCTCGCATCACAACAGATCAGCAGACCTGACGATTCGTCAAAAGGTCTTGCGGCGGACAGCCCGATGAGATTCCCACCGCTGTCTTCGGAGCACGAGATGTCACGCCCACGAGAGCTTTTTTGGAACATCAAGCAGCAGTCATCGGAACGTCCTGAGAGTAGGCCGATGACCTTTCTACACGTCGGCAATGATCCGTTGACAAGGGTTTTGTCTGGCTCTGACAGCAGGTCCATGTCCCGATTGTTCCGATCGCAACACTTCCAAGCCGTATGGGAGCGACTCGACTCGGGCAGCTCCGAAACACGCCCACCTCATCCGTATACGGAACTCATCAAGCTCTGCATCCTCAAACGTCGCGAGGGGAAACTCACACTCAATCAGCTTTATCGGGACCTCGAGGAAAAGTTTCCATTTTTCGCCACGTCGCAAAATGGCAAAGGCTGGAGAGTAAGTGAAAAGCTTTCTCCTGTGTGGCGTCGCATGTAGACATCACCGTGGCTGACAGTCTTACATGGCGAACATGCATGTTTGATAAGAACACACTCCGCCACAACCTGTCAACACAGCCGTACTTTATCAAACTCGATCGCGAACGCGGACAGCTCGGAAAAGGGCACTACTGGGCCTATTGTCCGGATCTTGAAAAGCCGACTTCACTGGCACAAAGCTCAGTCGTGCAGCTTTCTGCTCTGTGGCCCCCTTCGATCAGCGCATCATCCGTCGTTCCTCGATTCGAATGGGCTCACGAGCTGTGCAGTGCTACGGGATCCTCAAACGCTCCCGATATCGCAGCTTCGGTCGCCGCTCTGCCACGCTTCGAGGACCTTGCCGTTCGGAGGAATGTGGACGAGCTTCTCCGAAGCCGTTACGCATCCTCCCCAAGATCGACTCGAACCGACAAACCAGCGTTTGTGCCTCCCGTGTCAATGCGCCGACTCTCTAGTCCGGCCGGATCTTTTCACCATACTGAGGAGCCTGTCGCGTCATCGAGGGCGCGATCAGCGACGATTTCGACCTTCCCGCTACCCGCTCCGGGGTCGTCTACTAACTTTCCATCTCTCGATGCGGACGGAACGGGCTCTGTGCGCATGTATCCAGTCAGAGAACTCGCCTCATTCACCTCAGCAATGTCGTCCGTGTCCGACGCAGCTCGTGACATCGGCAGCTCTGGCAGCAACACAAGCTCCAACAGCGAAGAGCTCGTGTCGCGCCTTCCTCCTTTGTCCGATCTACCTACTATGAGCGCGCCAGCACGAAAGAGTCTGGGCGACTACTACCTTTCAAATCCAATCTCAAGGCGTTGACCAAACGTGCTCATCAGCTCTACCGATACTTGCAAAATCCGCAGCTCGTAAACCACCTCATCAAACTCCGAAGCACAATCAAAGAGTAAAGCCTATCCGTGCCCCTTTCAACTAGCAGAATCCAAAAGCTGCTCCTCAAAGCCTCTTGCCCTCTTTGTACCTCGCCGGACACTATCTCTGCTTTTGGTCATCCTGTAAGTCGTGCCGAACTATACCTTTGCATCACCATTGTCTCGTGAGCCCTCATTCTGTGCATTGTACCCACATTCTCAGTGACGCATATCATCGAATCAAGAGACAAATGAATCAAGGGCGGCGAATGCGGTGAAGAGAGCGATCTCAGACAACAACAGACGCGATTTGCTTCACAATCACAGTCAGGAGCATGAGTACAGTCGACATATACATTTCAGCCTAAACGAACTACGACGATAGTCTGAGCGCTTTGATCAAGGGAGATGACCGGTGCGGATAGGAGCACGAGCATAATGGTTGGGCAGACGAATGGTGGTGTTGAAGCTAGGGGCGACTTTTTCGAAAGCTGGATCGATGCGGACATGGTTGGGTGGGATACCGGTGGCGTTGAAGATATCGATGCCTGTCGAACCGGGTCGATGAATCGAGCAGATTTTGAGCTCGTGAGACTCAACGTGCGCCTCTTTCCATTCGGCTTTCGAGGGGATGTCGATGTCGAAGATGACTTTGCCCGGGGCTTTCTTGGACTTCTTCGAGCTCTTCTCGTCATCGACCTCGCTCGCGTCCTTCTCGTGAGGAGGATGAGGTGGTCGAGGTGGATGAGGAGGACCGTGAGGAGGTGGGGAGGGGGGACCAACTTTGCCGTCCCAGACGAAAGTGACGCTCGACCCAGCGAGGGAAGGTGCGACTTCGACTCCCTGTCCGAACCACTCGAGTGGGGTTTCGAAAGTCAAAGTCTCGCCAGGAACTAGATCAAAACATTCTCGCACCTTCGGCGGGACTTTGTGAGGTGGCGGCGGAGGTGGGTGGGGTTGACCCGGAGGACCCGGGGGAGGAGGAGGGGGGCCAGGAGGTCCAGGTCGGTCCCCACCAGGCCCATGACCAGGCTTGTGAGGAGGAGGAGGTGGCGGGTGGGGATGATCGTGACCAGGAGGGCCATGAGGAGGACCAGGGCGATCTCCGCCTGGACCATGGCCAGGCTGATGAGGCGGAGGAGAGGGTGGGTGGGGATGGTCGTGGCCCGGAGGACCGTGAGGGGGCGGACGAGGAGGGTGTTCCGGACCGTGATGATGGTGGTGATGGTGATGACGATGGCCATGTCCGTGCTTACCATGGTCATCCTTGCTGCTCAAAGCAAACAGCCCATGATGGTCGAACAGATCAGGACGGAAGAGCGCCCAGAAGCCGTTCGTTGCCAAGAAAGCCACGAGGAGTATGGCGATGCTCTTGAAAGCACGCGAGAGGATACGGACACCTCTAGCGCTGCTTCGCGATGCATGGTCTTGACCAACTCGGAGCTCAAGGTGGTCCTCGTTCAAGACGCTTTGAGGGGCTTTTTCCATGGCGCTTTTCTCTTCGTCAGAGAACGGAGCAAGCGGCTCTTTCTCCAAATCGAGCGTGGTAGGAAGATGATGCTGAGACGTTTCTGGCGACATTCTGGCGGGTTGAAGTTGATAGAAGAGCCTTCGATCACTCTGGCAGCGAGGGAACCATGTTATATATACTTCTTGACGGCCGCCACGGTGACGGCGACTAAAAGAAAGAGGTCTGAGCTATGCTGCTACCAATGAATAGATGCGGACGCTCGAATTGGACTACAGTAGTAGGTGCAAATGACTCTGCTTCGCGTGGTCTCCACAAGGTATGTCGCTGACGCCATGCCGAACAAGAGCATTGACCGGCGGTGGATTCATCTCGGCTGAGCCGTTTTCGAGACGCTTGCAGCACTGCCACCTCCCACGCGATCTTTTTTGCCTGGACGCATGCACGCCGTTCGAGCTCAGTAGGACACTGACCTGGTCCCTTGAGCATAGACGACCTCGTGGGAAATGGCATGCGGTCCCGCAAATTGGTCTCAGTGGGAAAACGCGTGGTCGAGGTGTCTGAGTGCGAACCTGCCAAGCTAATTACCGCGTGGTCCTCACAAAGTTGATTTGGGCTCTTCGGCCTGTCTCATCCTCGACTTCAATTTCATGGTGAACGTATACCACGACGATCATGCTGATGCCGTGGCAACGACCGGATCGTTCCTTATCGTCTGCTCGGAAGAGGACATCGGATCACTGATTGACCGACGAACCGATGTAAGCGAATCGACAAGCGAGGGCGTCAACGGCAGACCGCCGGCACCTTTGCGCGTCATCGAATTCTTGAGAGTGTCACAATCAATTTTATAATAATCATTGTTAGCAAAATTGCTCGCACATTGTCAAGACGATAGATCAATCGGGACCGAGATCTACGCGACTTCGGGATGCGGATTGAATCCTTCTTCCTCGGACACTGACTTCTCTTCTTCCTCTCCGCCATCCAGGATCCTCACTCACCATCCGTGCAGCTCAGTGCATCTCGCAAGATGGCGAAAGTGTCTCAGCCAGAGCTGAAGCGCTTCCTCGACAAGCGCATCGCCGTCAACATCCAAGGTGGTCGCAAGATCCAGGGCACGCTTCGTGGGTTCGACATGTTCCTCAACCTCGTCGTCGACGACGCTATCGAACAGGTGCATCCCGACGCAAGCAACCCCAATGTATGGCAAGATGGAGATCGATGCGGAACCGTAGTAGTTCGAGGCAACAGTGTCACTTCACTCGAAGCTTTAGAGAATGTCAAGACAAGGTAGTGTCGTCGACAGTTCACATCTCCAATCAACTTAAAAAGAGCTCCACCTCTGTACAACAATCTCCGCTCGAAGAAGGAGCCGACAACCATACTGCCGCGTCTGCACGATGCCTCGATCGCTGAGAGAATACCGGGATACTCGGGCTTCGCCAGCGTGTCGTCTGGCGCGAACCTCTACGTGATCAGACTATTCCTCTTCACATCACTCTTATCTCAGCGATTCAAGAGCACAGCGTCATTCAGGGCGTCTTCAAGTCTTCAAGCAGACAGCAAAGTTCATCGCTTGCTCGGTTCATAACTGCCGTGGTTCAGCATCACAAACGGAAGCCTTCCACGGCTCAGCAGCCAAAGTTCACGCTTCGCCTCATACACTCCCCCCTCGCTTCCTCGTTCCCTCTATCTTCAGAATTGATCTCTCATCACATGTACACTAATTGCAATCCAGACTCCTTTGTCCTCCATGGCGAGTGTAACGAAGCCTGTGACCCTGTGATCATCACAGAAGGGCTTGATCGCAAGTTTGAGGTCCTAGGCCGGCACTTCGGAATTTTCCGAGCGTCCGCTCCACAAACCGATGCAAGCAAATTCGCTGTGTCACTTTTTTGGTATTTTCTCAAAACTCAGCCTCCCTCTCGCACATGGTCCTCTACTTTGCTTTGATCAACGTCACACCGTCATCATTACCCTCCAGCCACCAGAGCCAGGCCGTCAATCTAGCCGCGGCGCTGTCAATTCGAGTCCAAAGCAGACCATTCGCGCACGCAGGCGTCGGAAGCAGAACACGACAGCTCGAGTAGGAGTCACCGCTTGCCTTTCTAACCATCGAAGTTCGTCATGGTCAAAGACTTCGTGCACCAGTCTAGCTACGACTATTCGTGGTCTTCCTGCGTAAGGGCGTACTTCCTTCGATATCCGAATCCGAATGCATCCCACGTCCTATCGGTAGATGTCATCGACCGCAGAATCGAATATCGCCCGGTCCGAAGCGGTCCTTCTTCGTCGGCTACCACGTCATCCGTCACACTCGACGACCTCGACAGGCAAGCAGCACAAAGCGACGTTATCCCTGTGCTGTGTACCACACGCCTGATCCTCAAGCGCGGAAACTTGCCAAAATGGGCACCGTCAGGGCTGATGAAGAACGCAGAGAGCTACGTCATGGAAGAGAGCGAAGTGGAGCTGGATTTGCTTCCTCCTAGGAGCAAGACCACCCCCACACAGGGCGGAAGCAGCGCATCGACACCGGCAGGGCAAGTCTCATCGCCTCACTTCGAGACAGCAGGCCTCAAAGGGCGAACAATGAATGGAAGAGCGATGCGTAGTTGGACACGCAACCTCGACCACACCACCGTGCTCGCCGTCACCGAAGGTCTCGTCTTCAAAGAGCGATTCGGCTTCATGCTACCGAATCAGACTGACAATGCCAAAAGTGGAGCCTCGGCAACTCAGCAATCGCTGTGGCGCTCGTACTGTAAGACGCTGACGACAGCGCAGATCGAATCGCAAGTAAGCTTCGGAATGCTTCGAAGGCGCATCGAAAAGTTCGGTTTAGCTCGTTTCGTCGCACATAAGGATACATCTCAGCAGGGCATCATGTGGACGCGATCGCAACTGGGACAAGAAAGCATCGCAGCGTCGGGTCCAAACACCGGCGAACAAGGTGTCCTCCAAAGATCCTCGATACCTCAGAAGAGATTCAAGCTGCTCGAGTCACTTCGACCTCCATTCTTGGACGGCTATCCGCTGGGACCGTGGCAGAAGATCAAGATGTGGTGGTACTCGGGTCACTACTCTCAAGTCAAAGAGCTGCGCGATGGCTACCTCATTGAGAGAGACGAGGACGAGGACGAGGACGAGGCGGGTGGGACCAGACGCTCTGCTCAGCCACGGTCATCAACGCTTGTGTCGGATCATGCTCAAGACACTCCGATACGGTTCCGTGGCGCTGAACAAGAAGGTCCATGGGCAGAGCTCAGCGGTCGAAAGGGCAAAGGTGCCGTCTACAGTGAATCGGATAGGAACGTCGAGGAAGGCGTTCTGAACAGAGTTCGCGCCCGGTTCGGCCTGCCGCTGTTACAGCCTCCCGTACCTGATATGGCGAAGCAGGGCGTGTTTGCAAAGGCATTTGACAGGGCGAGCGTCAAGGTCAAGTCACTTCTTGGCTTTGACGATGACGAGATGCATGCCAAGCAGCAGACGCAGGGAAGACTAGAGCGTATTGACCGAGATAGGACTGTCTAGATCCGGGTCCGACAGCATGCAATAAGCAGACCCTTGTCGCCGCTCCGCACCGATGCCGTTTGAGATGTATTGCAAAGACAGCGTCTGACTTCAAGGACCAACTGAATGACCCTTGTCGAGAGGTTTTCGGTAAATGTTAAATTAGAGGGGCCATGCACGGTGCAGCAGCAGCCTGGAAGAAAGGAACGCGTCTCACGCGTATAGAGCGCGGCAAAGTGAACGTGTTGCTGCTGGAAACTGAAAAAAGTCACGAACCGCTCGCTGCAATTTACGCGAATCCTCGCTGCAGAAGCAACTCGCCTCTGCAAAGGCACTCACTGCTTGTCGACGAGCTGAGCAAGTACAGGGGTCCGTGACCTTCTCTCTCCCTCATATCAACCACCTTCATCCACCCAGCATCGTCTCTTTCCTGTTCTGCTTCTGTGTTCCCATTCATATCACATTCATACCCGCATTCAATCCAGCATCACATCATCTCATCAAGGCACCATTGCCACAGGCAGAAAGCCTTCGACCCACCTCGACTGTCCTGGCTCAAGTCCTTGCTCGACGCAATCGTCATTGGTATCCGCATCCTTTTGCTCATATTCGAACTACCCAGACAGCATCTTGCTCCTCGATCATGTCGTCAGAAGCAATGCAGTACAGCGTCTCCGCTCCTGCGGCAGCCGTCGCCTCGTCATCAACGTCCCAGCCACTACCTCGCAAAGCTGTGATGCTCAAGGGCCCTTCTCTCACATCCAAGACCTTCTTCATCCCGTTGCCAAGCACTCTTGATCAACTCGTCTCCAAAGCCGTCCAGCTCTTTCCCGTCCCTCCAGGTAAGGTACCTCACATCACGCTCGGAGCGGATGAGCGAGCCATCGTCCTGGAAGAGTCGTACGATTTCATCCGCGATCGCGAGCTGTTGCACTTCCGTTGGTCTGCCGAAACGCCTCGTCGCAACCTTGCCAACCGCGTTCGCTGGGACCAGCCTTCCACACCCTCGAATCCCGCCAATCTTTTCCCCACCACAGCATCACCGCAGAGTTCAACCCCAAGCTCTGACTCACTTCCGACTCCAGCTTCGGTCGTGATCTCCCCAGAGGCTCTCAAAGCGCAAGTACAGGACTCGTCAGCATCAAAGCGCGATCTCGCTTCGGCAACTCGTGCCAACACCATTGCGAACCGCGATCCCAACACACAGCTCGGCGAAGGCGTCGCTGCACGCAAGGCGCATGCACAGCGAGTCTTGGCGGAGCAGCAACGCAAGCGCGAGGAGCAGCATTCAGCAGACACGCTTGGTGCCGCACCCATCATTGCAGACTCTGACCAGGATGTTGCCGTCGATGCTGATCCCGAGGCCACGGCAAAGGCAGCAATCCAGCTTGCTGTCACTTCTACCGGTCTTGTCTCCGCGCTGGACTCTGCTCCTGAGGTGGCAACGGAAGAGGTCTCATCCGCTCAGACTCAAGAAGCAGATGCGACGATCACCGAGGCCGATCCTGAAGCGACCACAGTCTACACAACAAACGACACGTCGGATGCGGTTTCTCCAGCAGTGGAAGTGACAGCTGCTGAGGCCCTGCTAGCTCCAGCTTCAGTGGAAATGACGATCAATTCGCCCCCTCGCAAGAAGCATGTCGACAATGGCGGACTCGACACGCCACCCTCTAGCGGAAGCCGCTCGAGCTCACCTTACCACAGCTCCGACCGTGCTCATGGCGGAAACCGTTCTCTCGACCATCGCATGCATGTCGAGGCCGACGATGAGCCGTCGAGCTCTCCTATCTCTTCGCCTACGCGCGATGTTTCTTCGCGCCACAGGAACGCCTTGCCAGCCATGACAATGTCTGAGCTCGGCAGGCTCGCGGCGGAAGAGGAGCAAGATCCAGAAGAGCCGCAATCCACGAGCGATAGCGCCGCCTCTGCGCTTGCAGCTACCGTCATCGGTTCGGCTGACGATGAAGCAAACATCCCAATGCCAGCGGAGCAAGAGATCGTAGCTCCTCCCGAGGAGTCAGCTGCCACCACCGCCAACACTGAGACCGCTACTGTCGCTGCTGTACCAAAGCCAACTCTCGATTCTGCCAGCGACCGCGAGCTGAAGCGCATCTACGCCTTCCTCTCCAATCTCGTGTCGCAGCTGCTCTCGCACAAGGCAAACCTGGCCTTTCAGCGCCCCATGGGAATCGAATTCGAGCAGTTCTCAGCTCGCAGCTCGAGGCCCGTCGATCTCTTCACCATCCGCGACAATCTCGCTGCTCGCACGTATGGCAGTCAGCATCTCGAGGGTCGTATGGCCGCCAACGCGGTCGTGACCGACTTTGAGGATGATCTCACCCTTCTCTACACCAACGCGAGGCGGTTCTTCGGCGTTCGTTCAACTCAGGCAGAGTGTGTCGAGCATCTGGAGAAGTTCAGTCGGTCTTTCCTCAACGAGTGGAAACGTACGCAAGGTAGTGCTGCGCAGTCCAAGCCAGCTGCTTCGCAGAATTCGATGTACATTTATCGCAGCCCTGGTTCGAGGTCGGAGAAGCACACTGCATCACCATTCCCCATGCTGCTAACTCCAGGCTCGATGGTTGCTCACAACAGCTCTGCCAGCTCTTCAGGCAAGAAGACGGTCGGGGTCAACGGACAGCCGCTCACCAACACAATCGGCTTGATGCGACGACCCGATTTCGGCTTCAAGCGCAACCCTTCTTATGAAGCATCCTCCACCGCTGCCAAACGACCGGCGCAACCCACTAGGACGACGAGCGAGGCTTTCGAACGTGCCATCCGCGCAGCCACTTCGACGCCACAATCAGAACGCGTCAAAGCCAGGCAGGAAGTGCCGGCACCTTTCGCAACACGTTCGGTCATTGAGACGGATTTTATGGCGCGTCCTCCTCCCTCGCAGCAGCAGCAGCAGCAAGCCGAGGTATCGCCGACAACGGCCACTCGTACCCCTACCACTGGTAGCAAGAGGAAGTTGAGCGAAGCCACCCTCGATGAGAGGGAAGTGGGTGCTACTCGTTCGCCATCTGTCTCACCACCACCGTCGCCATCGCCCACCAAGCGCAACAGGCAACCAGTGATGACCCTCAAATCATCCAAATCGGCCAACCGTAGGAACAACAAGAAGAAGGCACGGCAAGCAGCAGCTGCCGCCGCTGCAGCGGCCGCTGCTGTTGAGCTGGCTGAGCAGAAGCGTGGCAAAAAGGCATCGGCGCGGGAAAGAGAGGAAGAGCAGCTTGTGGTGGAGTTGATCAACCCAGTGCAAAGACCTGCCAAGCGTACACGTGCTAGCCGAGGTGCAAGTGCCAGTGTCGAGAGTCAACAAGCAACGCCTCAAGCGAAGGGTAAGGGGAAAGGCAAATCTTCGAAGTCGATCGCAGGTGACGCGGATATGGGGCTCGAACTTGAAATTCCTGTCACTCCTCAGACGCCGAGCGGTCGGACGTTGCGTTCGCGACGAACGAGCACGAGCAACGGTGGCGAGGGCGGTGTACCTGGACCCGTCACTCCGCCTAGATCTGCGAGGAAGGGGAAGGGCGTATTGGACACAGCGGAAGATATCAGTGCTGCGGTGATGGAGTCGATGGACGTGGACGGGTTTGAGGTCACGGGTTCGCGAAGAAGGTCTTCGAGGCAGAGGAAGCCTGTCAATCTCGACTGAGATGATGATGCGAGGCAGCATGGTTTCGGTTCATTCATACTTGGTGACCAATACATATCCTAACACGAAATTCAGACACAGAGTTAGCTCGCCTGCTCGGTTACCAGCTTGTTGTGTGACACACGTTTTGAAGAAGAGGTAAGACACAAAGAGAGTCGTTTTGATTGCGGCGAAAGACTGTTGTCCTTCGACGAGAAAGGCGACCTAGTGTACGAACAGAACATCCAAACGCTTCGCCCCCTTATCCGTGGTCGTGAGCTTATACTGCAATCGTTCCTCCTCGCTGAGATTATCCCACACCCTCAGCTTTTGCTTATTGCGCTGGATGTAGTACAGCTTGACCAACCAGCAGAGTAGGATCGACACCACCGCAAGGATTATAAGAGACAGATTGCCTTTGCGATAGTACGGCTTGTCGCCGTTGGTGTAGATGCGCGTCGCCAAAATCGAACCCACCTGAACCGACATGTTGTAAAGGCACAACGAGACGGCACGGTTTCGCACCGACTGCGAGTTCTGCGAGACCCAACCGATCAAGAAAGGGTGGCAGTAAGGAACTGAGGTGAGAACGGTGATGAGTGCGTATCGAATCCAGTTGTAGTGGTTCGTCGAGCTCTCTTTGAGCAGATAGAGCGGAATGAGGAATGCAAGGTTCCACACGTTGGAAAGCGAAGCAAGAATACTTCTCTCGTTGAGCCTTGCGGAGAGCCAAGAGTAAGGGATGGTGTTGAGGGCAAAGAAGAACTGAGATGGAATGGCGAGGAGGTTGGATTTGAGGGTGGTGTAGCCGAGTTGCTTGAGGATGAGCGAGAGATAGGTCTGAGGTGGCGAGTAAGGGATGAAGACGATAAGACCAAGCAGGTAGACCGGCCACAGATCCTTCTCGCCCAGGGCATGAAGCACAGCTCGGGGAGTCAACCCTTCTCGGTTGTTCATGTCGCCCTTTGTGGGGTCGTCACGCAGAACGCGGTTAACCAAGATCTTCTCCTCGCGCTCGTTGAACCACCCGTTCTTGCCTCGAAGAATTCCCTTGGTGCTTGTAGGACTCGGAGCGAGCATGAAGAAGGAAATGATACCCACCACACCAGTGATGAGTCCCTCAAAGCCGAACAAGTATCGCCATCCAGCCAACTCGTTCAGTCCTCTAAGCTCCAAGAAACCAGCGGCAAGAAGCGATCCAATGATCTGGCTGAGTCCTAAAACAGTGTAGAACCAACTCAGCCTTGTGTTCAACTCCTTACCAGTGTACCAATACGAGAGGTAGAGGATCTGGTCTGGCAAGAATCCACCCTGGCAAAGACCCTGCAGAGCCCTCGTAATGAAGAACCCAGCCTTGTTGGTCAAAGCAGCTTGACTCGCCGAGACGACACTCCAAGAAACAATCTGAATGGGCACCCAAACATCCGCACCGAGCTTCTTGGAGATCAAGCCCGACGGCAACTCTGCGCTGAGGAAAGCCAAGAGGAAGACGACCTGACCGTTGTTAAAGTCGTTCTGATTCATACCCAAGTCGGACAAAAAGTTGTCTGCGATGGCACGGTTGATGTTCTTTCGAATGAGATCGAGCGACATGAACATGACCCAACTCCAGGCGAGAATGCGGAAATCCACCTTGCGGACCACCTTCTTCTCCTCTTCCGCAGTCCATTCGAACGAAGGATCGAACCGATGTCTGTTCTCGTACTTGGTAGAGTCGTAGAGTTGACGCCAGTGCTCGGCTACTTTTTCATCTTGAAAGACGTGGTTGCGACTGAGAGGGGAGATCGAGGAGTCGACTAGTGACTCGGTTCTGCTTTGGCTCTCCCGGGGAATGGAGCTCTTGTCCTCGTCAGTGAAGCTCGACGTGCCTGAAGGGGTGTGTGCGGTGGGTTCGACGATATCGATGGCCGCAGTGGGAGCGCTGACGGTGACGGGTGGTGCGTCCTTGGACAGGCGTGGGAGTGCGCTCATTGCTGTGTGAGGCCTCGAGCAGGGCTAGAGTGAGGAGAAGGAACAGATGAGAGAGACTTCGAGGAGCAGAAACAGCTCACCCGATCCGCTTAGGGGTTATATAAGATTTGGCAGAGAAGTCGCCATGAGCAAAGCAGCCACAGCTAGAAGAACCGAGCTGCTCGATTATCCTCGCGCTTCTGCACCGGTTCCTGAACCATATCTTCACCTAGCGCTAAGAAGCGATGAAGGAAGCGAGACTCCAATAGTGCCGCCCTGATTCATGGAATCAGACCATGCGCCACCTATTGGACTAGCGTTATTGAGGGCAGCCTCGTTAGACCTGCCCGTCCGGGCAATTTCGAACGGACGTTGATTTGTGACGCTCGTTTCGCCATTCATAGGCTCAGGCACGTTTACAGAGGCGAAGGCATGACTGTGCTCCGAGACCGAAGTCGGAAGCCAGATGATGGACTTGACCGGCCATGTTGCGTGATACGATTTATAAAGTCGAGAGCCGAAGAGGAGCTGTTTCGGTAGAAGGCGACGGCGGCATGACAGCTCGATCGCGTAGAACAGACTGTCGCGGAACAGTCCCAAGATACGGGATTCGCGGCGCAGAAGTCAAGACATCTCGTACGTTGATGGGCCAAAAGGTGTCATCACGGAACCCCGTCTTGGCAGCGGAGAAGCAAAGGGCGCAACAGGACGTATCAGCGCCCGTAGAAATTGCAGCCGAACAGGGAGCACAAGCTTCGATCAATACAGAGCGCAATGGTGCGGAGAAGCATGCCCAGCGATTGCGTTTTGCGTGTGTGGATGCCGAGGCGGCACGCGAAACCTTCTTGACGAGGAGCTTAGGAGCCAAGATAGAAAAGCTACGGTGAACAACACGCCGATTCGCTATTTGACGTGCAGACAAGCGAATCTGACGTGCGAAGGTCAAATTTGTTCCGCGAGCGTGTCGCATACGATTCGGATGTCGTGATTTCATGCCAAGCACTTCGCCGCTATATTGTACACTTTTGCTGCCGCTTGACGCTTCGAAACCATAGAACGCCTGTGCTTTTCTTGAGCACACCGCTCAGAGACTGACAGTAGTCGTTCCCTCTTGACAGACTGCCTCGCTGCGATCTCGGTCCGAATCCAACCGAGCGGCTCGACAGCGCGGAACAATTCCCGGCTAAACCTACCAAGGCAAAGAAGCTCTCAAGGCCTGCGTTTGTCGATCCTTGGTACAAGCGTAATCCCGCATGGTGTTCGGGTAAATGGCGGGATTGCCGCGATAAGCATGGTCAAACGGGCCAGGTAGAGTCAGCCCAAGGCACAAAGCATCAGCCAAGGTCACGCGAGAGCACTTGAAGGAGAATGGTCATGGATGACGACTTGGTTGCTATTCGTAGCGGAGGGTCTACACAAGAGACAAGCTGTAGCATCACGTAATGTGGTGGATTACAGGTGAGGATGAAGGAATGTTTGAGCAGAGGTCCTGTCCCTGCGCCTTGGGAGATCCCTGAAAAGGTAGGTGCAAGAACACGAGAAGACCTTGTCGATTGCACCAGCAAAGGTGCTGATCTGGTTCGTCGAGATAGAGGAACACGAGGTGGATGGTTTGCCCCTTGTTCCCACAATACGAGAACGGTAATGAGTTGAGGAGAAGAAGAGAGATGTTGCCCGCCCGTCCGCAAGTCCATATCCTTTCTTGTCGAACAAGCTCAAAAAATGCCCGATTTCCGCGTTTCCTCTCGAGAAGGATTGGAAAACGTCGCCCACACGTGACGGTAAGAAAAATGCACCCAGCCGATCACACGGCACACCTGCAGCGCACCGTCAAAGCCGTGGAGGACAGAAGAGGCGTTTGCACCTGCAGCCAACTGCACCAAATGGAAGCGTTGCCTGCACCGCGCGTGTTACTTTCCACAGATCCTCATCCGTCACATTCCTCATCACCATTGCCCTGTCATTGGATCAGCCCGCTCAAACACACAGAACGATGTCTAGCGCTACTCCATCGGTCACTGCTCCCATCTCGGGTCCGCAGTCCGCTCGCGTCGGTCAACCGCCCGCACCCTCCGCATCCTTGGTCGCAAAATACAGAGGCGCAACCGTCGAGGACCTTCAAGTACCTCCCGCCATCTCGGTGCCCAGCTCGACTTCCATCTCGTCTGCTCTTCGCGTTGCTCTCGACCATGACTACTCCCAGCTCCCCCTGGTCAGCGACAAGAACCGGAAGCTGCTCGGGTATGTGCAGAAGGACCGCCTCGAGCAGCAGGTCAACAGCTCCAACGGCGACAAGACGGTTGCCACCATCATGACCAAGTTCTCTGGTGGCTCTGCCGCTGCCTCGTCCTCTTCAGCTGCTGTAGCTACGTACACTGTCATTACTCCCGACACGGGTCTGGCAGAGCTCGAAGTCTTCTTGCAGTCTCAACCCTTTGCATTCATCACTGATCCTGGTAGGGCCTTCGTTCTCGGCGTAGCTACTCAAGAAGATCTTTCCAAATACGTGTCGAGGCGAGGTCTTGATGGTACTCGTTCCGGGGCTGCCACTCCAACACAAGCTACGACGTCGATTCCCGCCGCTGCAGGTGCAGACAACGACGAGCCAATGCCCTCCACATCTGCCGGTCTCGCATCATCTTCGTCAACTGCAGCTGCGAATGTCGCTGCTGCCTCGTCATCGCAAGCCCCACAGCAACCAGCAATGACGCGCAGAGAGGAGGAGGAAGCGAGGAAGGACCGCACGCTCGCCGAGTTCATGCAGCTGCTCGACGGATACACGCCTTTGATACCCGACCAGGTCACCGACTTCTACCTCGAAAAGGTCGGCTTCGAGTGCCGCGACGTTCGACTCAAGAGATTGTTGTCGCTGGCAGCCGAAAAGTTCGTTAGCGACATTGCTGCGGATGCGTTCCAGTACGCTCGCATTCGCACCAACGCCGGTCCCGGAGGTCGCCCTCGTGGTCAGGTCGGTGCCGGTGCGGCGGGAGCAGGTGGTTCTGCAGCTGGTGGTGCCGCAGGCGGTGCTCTCCCCGCTGGCGCGAGGGATCGCTCCAGGACCGTGCTTACCATGGACGATCTTTCCGCTGCTCTTGGCGAATACGGTATCAATGCTCGCCGTGCCGAGTACTTCCGTTAATGTCACCTTATACCTGTGTCGAGCAATACCAACACTTTCTTCAATCTGACAGAACGCGACGCCAGGCGCATTGTGAATGAATGGAGGTAAATTCATACAGTGACTTCATACAGCAGTGGCGCCTTTTGCTTTGGAGGACCATCCCATGATCCAACTCTGAACACCCTGTTGTGCGCGTTTCTTGATCTTTGTCATCCAGCTATCCCCTTTCTTGGCAGGTTGCAGACTCCATCCGCCCAACCAGCCCCGTTTGACCACGTACATCTCGCCTCCCGTTGCCTTGCTTGCATCGCCTTTGCCTTCTCTGCCACCACCACCACCACCTCCCTTTTTCCCGTCCTCGCCTCCTTTGCCTGCTGCTGCGGTAGCGTTCTTGGAGGTGAGCAGCAGCTCGATTCGGGGTGATTTCGGATCCAGGAACAGATGGAATCGGGTTGTGTGGGGGTCTCGTGCCGCTGCGGGTGGTGGAGGTGGATTGGTGTACGAGACCAGATCGAGAGTGTAGATGAGGATCATTGCGGTGCTGTAGAGTTGCAACGCGTATGGTCAGCAGAAATGTTGCTACGAAGGGTGTTTCTCTGCATGGTGGCTGCGGAGGTGACTTACACAATCGGCACTATTCCGAGTAGGTAAAACAGAACCGGCCTTTCCGCTTCTCTTCGAATGCGTCGCGCCAGCTCTTCCAAGTCAGCGTCGTTTCCGAAGGTTGACTTGCTCCAATCGCCGCTGAGATAGACTTGGACCGCTGCCCAGTCACGAACGCACTTCCACGCAAAATGAAACATGAGGCAGGAGAGGATGGTTATGATGTGGAAGACCACACCTGCGCTGAGTCGATATCGGAGCCAGAGGCCGATTGTGCTGAAGAAAGGAATTGGGGGTCAGTGTTTCTCGGGATTCCTTGTATTGAACCGGGGGAAAGTCCAACTTACAGCACCGTCAAAACGAACAAGACCATCAGTTGCAACACGTCCGTCACGAGTGGTAGTAACGTCAGATCCCTTCCCAACGAGGAAGTGCTGCAACCCTGACCACCGTTGTCCTGCACCAATGTCGCAAGCTTGAGTTGATCCAACCAAGCAATCAAATCTGTTACGCTTCATCACTGTCAGCCATTGTCACATCCTGTCTCGATCCTCTTTCCTTTCCGACCTTTTGACTTACAAGATTCCAAATCGCACGAAGCAACAACAACCATCACCAAAGCCATCAAGTTTACCACCCTCGCCACATACGATGTGTATTTGACCCACCTCTTTCCCCTCGTCGCGATGCGCTTCGCCAACAATCCAAACACGTGGAATGTCGTCTCCCCCAACAGCATGGGTGAACAGCTGATCAACCCATTTGCTGCCACCATCTCGGACAAGATCTGCTGGGACAAGACCGGGTCGAAATTGGACCTGTGCAAAGTGTTGGACAGATGCGCTCGTAGCGCTGACCAGATGGTGAGACAGATGACGAAGAGCAGGGTGGGTGTGAAGACGAAGAGGATGTCGAGGAGGTGTCTGCCTTGATAAGTTCGAAGGAGGCCGATGACGAGGAATACGAGTAAGATGAAGAATAACACCATGGAACTGAAAGGCGATGACAGGAGAGGAAAGGATGGGGGTAAGTATAAGATCGACTGAGCGCATGAAGAACGTGTCCCACTTACGCAGCTAGGTCTTCCGCCCGGATCGTGACGCCACCAATCAAGGCGGACGTCCAGGCAAATGAAGAAGTGCATGGCAAGCCTGACGAGGGCAGGAGCGCGCTGGACGCGAGCGAGAGCCGCATTGTCGCACGAGGAGCGGGATCGACATGGAGGAAGCAGAGCAACGAGTGTTCTCAGAGGCATTTGTGAAGTCGGACAGAGAAGAGGTAGGAGAGACATGGCGATCCTTTCCGACTGGATCGAGACATCTACACCGCTTGCAGCAGCCGCATCACGTTCCAAACACTCCCTCCATAAGGAGAATGATACAGTACTCCTTCAATAAAATCGGACGGGGAGGACAGACTTCATTTGAGCTGCAGCATAAGGTTCTGCACCACCGCTGGCCATTGTGCGCCACTCGAACGATCCGTAGAGACACGCAAACTCAAAAGTTGCAGGCGCAGCGACCAATTTTTGCCGAAATGTGTTAGACCCTGGAGAAAAAAGCCGTAGAGGCTTTCGCACGAGATGATTGGCTCCGTGACTCAAAAGTAAAGGGTCAAAGCAAAAAGTGTTCCATTTCGGCGCGGTTGGAAGAAAGCACAACTCCAGAAGCAACCGACATCTCATATCACACCATCTGATCCTCTACAACCTCGCTATCACCTCGCCTCGACCTACTTCCTACACCACTTCCTGTCATCGAAGCTCAGCATAGGTATTGGCACTCTTCGATTCCTTCTCATCTCGTCTATAGCCCCAGGAAGCTCATGCGATAATTGGGCAAACCGTGCACATATCTCCACTCTTCTCGACATCTCCACTCGCAACACGTCACAGCAAATGTCGGCACCACAGAGGCTGGCAGGCGAGCCCACAGCAGAGTCGGTACTCGCCGCTCTCGACGCAGCTCCCGGTGGTAAGATCGGCGACACGCGATCCATCGCACCCGAAGTCCCTACAACGTCGGCAGACTCGGCAGCCGACCCTGCCAAACGATCCGAAGCCAACGAGGCCGTCTTCAAAGAGCGCGCACGATGGCAGCTCGCCCTCTCCGATGTGCTCAAGTCCTTGCTCAGCAAGGAGATGGTCGCAATGGAGAAGCTCGAAGAGACCACCTCGACACCGCTTCCCGATGGATTCGCACTGCTGCAAAAAGGCTCGCCAGAGATCCGACTCGTCAAAGCGCTCCCCGACCAGGAAGGTGTCGGCAAATCCATGAACGAGCTCAAGGAGCTACTTGGAGCTGACACGCTCAAGAACGGCCAGAGTAACGCCTTCCGCAACAAGTGGGCAAAGAAGCTTCCTGACGGCACCTTTGGTAGAACCGAAGCGACGCTCGGCAAATCCGACGCGGAGCTTCGCGACGAGATCCAAGAGCAGATCGCCGAAGTGCTTGAAACCGGCACACTCGCCGCCAGCGATGCCGCCGCCGCCGACAAGAAGCTCGCCGAGCTCCGAAAGCGCAAATTGGTGGCCACACGCAAGCTCGTCTACTTTTCCGTCGTCAAAGGACCTCAGTTCTCGCTCACCGTGCAAAAGCTCGAAACGGACCTGACCTTCGATATGCTTCAGTCCGGATCGTGGAAGGAGGCGCCCTTCAAGAAATACAACTTCAATGCAGAAGGCGCTGTTCCTGCATCAGGTGCTTTGCATCCCTTGTTGAAGGTGAGGGAAGAGTTCCGAAACATCTTCTTCGAAATGGGTTTCACGGAGATGGCTACGGATCGATTCGTAGAATCATCCTTCTGGTGTTTCGACTCGCTGTTCGTCCCGCAGCAACACCCGGCGAGAGATGTTCAGGACACCTTCTTCATCAAGGACCCACCGTATGCAAAGCACATTCCGGAAGACTACCTCAAGAGGGTCACGCAAGTTCACCAGGAAGGAGGATTCGGATCGGTCGGTTACCGCTACCCTTTCGACCGCCAAGTGACCGAGAAGCTGGTGCTTCGTACCCACACCACGGCGGTTTCCTCGGCGATGCTGTACAAACTCGCCAACCAACCGGGCGGCTTCAAGCCCGCCAAACTCTTCTCCATCGACCGCGTCTTCCGCAACGAAGCCGTCGACGCAACCCACCTCGCCGAATTCCACCAGGTCGAAGGCGTCGTCGCCGACTACAACATCACCCTCGGCGACCTGATCGGCTTCATGGAGGTCTTCTTCAAAAAGATGGGCGTCACAAACCTTCGCTTCAAACCCGCCTACAATCCGTACACCGAACCTTCGCTCGAAATCTTCTCGTACCACCAGGGCTTGAAGAGATGGGTAGAGGTCGGAAACTCGGGTATGTTCAGACCCGAGATGTTGAGACCGATGGGTCTGCCGGAGGGAGTGAACGTGTTGGGTTGGGGTTTGAGTTTGGAGAGACCTACGATGATCAGGTATGCGGTCAAGGATATCAGGGAACTGGTGGGTCACAAGGTTCCGATTGATAGTGTGGAGAATGCTCCTGCTACCAGGTTTTAGATTGTTTGGGGAATGACAACGAGATGTTTGTAGTTGCGATCAGAGTGTGTGTGGGTGAGAAGATCAACCCATGAGATCTTTTTGAAACATGTTGACTACGAGTGGATCCATGGTCTCCAACACCCTCGTGAATCCAGGATAGCTCGACTGCGCATGCGACAAGACGCTCCTAATGTGCCCGTTGACCTCGCACACCAAAGTTCCATCCGCCACCGCCACCCTCTGCGCCCTAGCAGCTCCCGGCGATATATCCTGCAACCAGCCCCCATCCGCCTCATCGTCATCGTCGAAAAATGCATCCGCCAACTCCATCGATGCAATCGGCGAAGTAGGTCTCACGTACTTGCCCGTATCCAGCGGTTTGGACTCGTTTATCTCGGCCAGCATCTCCGACCACAACGCGATGAGTTCCGGCGTACAAGCCACCACTTGCTCCACCATTTGGTTCGCACTTGGATCCGTTGCATGCTGTTCGTAGAACACGATCGCACCATCGAGCATCGACGCGAGTCCGAGCGCAGTGACCCGACGCTTTCGTATCGAAGACATGTTTTCGAAACGGGTGCAGATGAATTTCAGCAGTGGCTGCCAGATCGTTGCCGGCGCAGGGTACTTTTCGTGCGGCATGTCCGACCAAGAGGCGGAGACGAGACGAATGAACGAATCGTTCGGACAGTGGTAGGCGATGCGACAGAGCAACGAGACGAAATGCGTGGCGATCAGGGTGGCATCTTGGAAATGAAGGAGCGAACCGACGAGCGCAGCAGCTAGCCGAGTCGATTGCAGCGCGCCGATCCACATATCGCAAACCTCGATCCAGTTGGGTAGCGCCACTAGCGCTTGAACGAGCGTGTCGAGCGCAGAGATGGGTGCCAACACCATAGGATTGGAAGGATCGGCTATGATCTGACCAAACGCTGTCAGCAGATCCTGGCCGTAAGTCTGAAGCATCTCGAGCGGATTCAGCATCGAGATCTCTTCAATGACACGACACATCTCGACGCAGTAATCCGGCTGAACCACCAAATCCTTGGCGAGATCGAGCAGCTCAAAGAGCGGCTGTGTCATTGTCGGCGTTGAGTGCAGTGCACGAATCCATAGCATGGAGATGGCGTCTTTCGCGAGCAGATGCGACACCTTGGGGTTGAGGGAGTCGCGCACGATGGGCGACACCATATGGTGAACCTTTTGCATCAGAGCGCCGCTTGTGCCGGTCGCTGGCAGCATCTCGATGGCGCGGAGCACTTTGGAGATAAATACAATGATCGACGGACGTGCCTTGCAATCCGGATCTTCTTGCTGCCAGAGCATGGGCACAAGGTCGACGAGCGCGTCTGCGTGCGGAGCGATGCGAGGACCCATGCGCTCGATGAGGATGGAAAGCGCGTCAGTGCACACTTTGATTGACTCCATCTCGTGCAGGTCGGACGCCGCAGCCAAGGTGGCGAGGTTGCGCAGCGCCTTCGGCAGGAAAGGCTCGAATCCGTCTGCGTCGAATTCGAGTGCGTCGGCGATGGCCGAGATGGTTCGAGCTGCGGCAAGTCGTACAGCTACATCCGTTTGGTCCGGGACATCCTCGAGCAAGTCGACCAAAAGTGCGTAGACGTCCAAGCGTGATTCCCGTGGCACCTGTTCGGACCATTCCCACAGCAACCATGCGATCCTGCGACGGATGACAACCCACGTGGGAGAAGCGACGCTGCCGAGGCGAGCTTCAGGGACGAGCTTGGAAGCGATCGCCTGACCCATGAGGACTGTCACGCTGGGTCTATCATCGTCCTCACCGGCAGGGCCAAGATAGTCACGGCACCGGCCGACGGCTGCGTAGATGGCATCGCGTGCCACAATATCGTCGACACTGTCGGCGGCGAAATGGGAAGAGGACTCAAAGTGACGCCACAATTGTTCGCCGACGAAACCAGCAGGTTTGGTGTGCTGCGCCAAGACCATGAGCGCGCGCTCCGCGGCGGGGCGGATATCAAGCTCGTGGTTTTCCTGCTCCTCGCCGACGGCCCAGTCTTCTGGGTCTGCCTGCCACCGTTCAAGATCGTCAGCATTGAGGCGCATGAGCCTGCCTGCGAGGACATCGGCCGCTTCTCGTGCAAAGTCGCGAGTGAGGAAAAAGCCGCCCTCCGGACGATTCCCTTTCCATTGCACGAGCGAATACTTGAGCAGCACGAGAGCCTGAACAACGAACCGTGGAGGGTAGTCGATGATGGCCGAATGGTTTGCGTACTCGTCGCGTGGAACAGAGAGACTCTCTTGGTTCACATCCTTGGCCTGTACCCAGTACCAGGCGGCCACTTCGGACCAGCCTTGCCAGAAAGCAGCCTTGCCATTGTCTCTCTGGACGAGCGAGAGGAAGAACTTGCCAAAGGAGTACAGATGCTTTGTGAGTGCTGTCACCAGAGCTGCCGAGATGGAAGCCGAGATAGAGTCTGCATGCGAGCTGCGAAGCAGGCGCAGATACGCAAGCCTGGTGTCTTTGAGGGTTTGCAGGCAATGAGGCGTGGAACGGAAAAAGGCTTGTGCCATGTTGGCAGAGCTGCCGCCCTCAGAGGTGTTGGAGCGTGAGATCATGCCGATATCTGCGACCGCAAGACGCGAGATGGCCTTGAGGAGAAGGTGACTTGTACGGACCTGCTCAGCACGAAGTTTGGTGTTGGACCATGTTGTGAGGGTTGAGAGGTCGTCGCCTGCGCCTAGCGAAAACACCTCTGTAAAGTACTGCTGGAAGATGGGGTGGAGAACGGGAAGCAGCTCACGCGAGAGCTCGGTCATACGCATCTTTCCAGCCAAGACGCGGACCGACTCGAGCTCCTTGAGCGTCTTTGAACAGACGTCGGCTGCACGCATGAGCACGGTGGTGTTGAGCTGGCGCGATTGGGCGGTGGTGGGAGCCTCTGGCTGGTCGAGCTGAGGTGGTGGACCAAGCGACGCGAGTTGTGCGTGTGCGTCGACCATGGCCTGCTGGAGCGTGCTGAAGAGGTCGGGCCAGTCTCGCGGATAGTCGAGGCGTGCTATGCGCGAGATGGCTACAGAAGCCTGCAATGCGATGGTGCGATTAGGTTCGCGCAAGCATTGGATCAAAGTGGATCGAATCGCCTGCTTAGTTTCCGGTGGGATAGTGACCGTGACTCGGGCCATGACGCGGCTCCTCCAAAACTTGTCGACGCCATTCTTGAAACGAATGATAGCCAGTATGCGTATTGAATCTCGTTGCTCCTCTGTCGATGCGGATGCGGTTGATGAAGAGGATGGTGGAGGCTGCAGCTCGGCATCAAAGGCGATCTGTAGGAGTACGAGCCAGAAGTTGGGATCCTTTTCCCATTGCTCGAGCTGGGAGTTTGCGCGCGAAAGGAGAGAAGGGTCTGAAGAAGAGGCGAGAGCGAGAACCTCGACCAGTGACGTCTTTGGGTCCGTCATCCTGCTTGATGCTGTGCCGAGTCGAGGTGAGTGCTAGAGGTGATGTCGACGATACGTCGAACCGGAGACGCTGAGCCAAGTCTTTGATTCCAGCCTTGGTCCGAGCGAGCTTCGAAATCACAAGAGCGACCCACACTGTCAGACCATGCGGGTCACTGAAGGAGGAATGCCGTCCCAGATGAAGGACGGGCGAAGTGGTTTACTGAAGCGACTTGCGGTTGCAGTCACAAAAGTCGAGCACAACTCTTTTGATCGCTTCTTCCGATTCGTCTTGGGCTAAAATCACACCGGCTGCCAAGGCGTTGACAGAATTTCGGGCTTGCCGACGGCGATGCCGCTCAGCTCCTCCACCGCGACGCTCGGATGCAAGCCGAAGCCAAAAGCGCGATTCAGGGTCCAAGCCGCAAGCGTCATGTGGCCCGACTCGAGACCAAATTTGAATAAAGCTTCAAGCCAAGCAAATGATCAATCAGCTTGCCATCCATCCATCGACTCCTCTCCAGCTTGACTGTCGCCACTCTCTGCGGTCATGATCGTCTCTTGATGCCCAAGTCGATGCTGGACCAGCGCCAACGCTGACATAGCTGTGTCGCACCGATCGCGGGTCCTCTCTGCTCCCTTTCCCCAATCTCGACCCTCGAAGAAAGATGCGGTAGTCCGACATGGCGCTCAACGCTGTTCACATCCGTGCCCGTGATCGATTTTCTGGGGATGATCAGTCGGAGGATGCTGGCTGGCACCCAAAGCTACGTCAAGATGCGGATCTTTTCACCACAGCTGAGAGACGATCGCCATCTCCACCTCGAAGCGTACATAGACCAGGCTTGGGAAGCTCTTCGACAGCCTCGGCCCTCCAAAGTCAAGACACACGTGAATGGCATTCCCTTCGTACGGGCGGGCCGCGTCCCATGAAGGCACTTCGTATGAGTCGCCGCTTCGTGAAAGCTACGCATCTGAGTGATCCGTCACTACGGACCACCACGATCCCATCCACAGTACGGCCTGAACCAGACTCAACCAAAGACTTGCAAGGATCAATCGCGTTGGAAACAGCAAAGTCCGCTCCCGATGCACCAGACTCCACTCTTGCCGAGCTCTATTCGCGGCTCACACAGGATATGCCTTCGCCAGTCTCGAAGCGTACCGTTTACGAGTCGTCATCGTCCAGCAGTCACACACTCCCGAGCACTGACAGTGTGCGCGAGTCTCATGCTCGCAAGTCTGTCCAAGTCCACCAGCGCGCCCATCGACGCCGTCATCAAGCGGATGCACTCCATCGCCCAGAATGGTTCATATCGAAAGCATTCACCCAAATGCAATATTCTCAGAGGGCATCCTTGACCGAGGAACGTGGACACTTCGGTTCGACGCACCAAGCCGTTTCCGCGCCAAGCGCGGAAGCCGACGTTCCATCTTCCGAAGCGCAGCAGAGCCGACGCTGCTCCCGATGCGGGGATGTCCTACCTGCGAATGCAACACAAGAATACATGGCAAAGCATCGCCAGAGCATTGGGCACCGCCTCGGCCTCAATGCCCCAGTCTCTTCGGCATCCGCGTCTGAAGCACCCTCTCCCGCTCCATCGCGGCCTGCAACACCTATGCCTCGCTCTGGATCCCCCGGTACAGCATCCCTCCCATCGCTTGATACCGACATGCAAGCTCTTCCTTTGCCCTCCGACAAGCCACGTCGAAGGCTCAGCAACGCACCCAGGTGGAAGAAGATTGCTCGCGACAACGTCGGTCACAATCTGCTGTCACGCATGGGCTGGAAGGAAGGAATGGGTCTCGGTGTGCAGGAGTGGAAATGGCGGCAACTTTGTCGTGACAAGGTCAAACGGCAACGCTCAAATGCTGTGCGGGCCCTACTTTTGCGTCGCGCCTCTGGGAATGCGGGGCATCCTCATGTCGTCGAGCAGCCTATCCATCCAGTGATCACTACCGTTGCATCCGCTCAGAGCGAAGGCGCGATCACATCGGAAGCAGGTCCGACGGGCGCACACGAAGAACCCGCGTGGCTGCAAGAACTTCTGCAGCAGCCGAATGCGGCTGCGTCAAGCGATCCAGTCCCGTTACAAGCAGCTTTCCCGTTCCAGCTCGAGTCGCCAAACCTCGACAAGCAACGTGAGGCAGCCCAAACGTGGCTTTCGAATCCCGCTCAGCCCGATGTCGAATGGTTCCACAGTCTAGCCGGGGAAGACAGAGCTTTGCTGGAGCAAGCACTGCTGTCAGGGCAACTCACCCTCCAGGACGTTCAGGACGCGCTTTGGATGGATCGCGACGAACATGAAATCGAACTTGCTACCTCGGAGCAGTCAAGCTCAGCAACGGCGCTGAATAGTGTCGCTGCCGATCCTCACAACGACGCCATGCGCTCGCACGTTCTTCTGTATCCTGTCGAGGTCGAGCTGCGAAGCGACCGTCGAGGAATTGGACTGAAGCGATCCAATACCGACAGAGAATCAAGCGTCAGTCAACGAAGGCGTTCGAGAAGCGCCGAAGGTAGCATCGAGATCCGCCGACCTGGCTCACCACCTACAGATGTGCTCGATGGTCATCACAAAAGGCCGCGACCAACGTCCATCAGTCGACCGTTCAAGTCTCGCAGCCGCTCTCGATCGCGCTCGGGCACGGGAAGGGGCACCAGCGAAGGCAGACATTCGGACCTCACCAGAAGGCAGCGCGAATCAGGGTATCAGCAGGAAATGCGCGACTGGCTCAATCTGCGCGCCTCACTCTCTTGAACACGACAGCTCGAAGTCCAATGTCCTCAGCGCGGCACGCATCGCTGTTATATCAAGTGATATCTCTTTTGTAAGGAGTGCATTCGACTCTATTTTGCAACTTGATCCGATTCGCCGACAATTTTCGAGCTGTTTGGAGGCCTTGTGATCCAATCTCTTCTTGTGATAAGTCTACGCTTCAGATGAGTTTAGCAAGATCCTGAATACCCTTTTGTTCAAGGCGCATCCCTTTCCACTCATCCATTGGTTTGGCACCTAGCACTTTTGTGTAGAATGCGATGGAAGGGGCGTTCCAAGTCAAGACCGACCAGTCCATCCTAGCACAATCTTTCTGTTCCGCTACTTGACCAAGGGCTTTGAACAGGAGTTTCCCAACACCCTTGTTGCGGAGTGTTGGGATGACGAACAGATCTTCGAGGTAGAGCGAAGGTTTCGAGGTCCATGTTGAGAATGAGTAAAAGTAGAGTGCCATTCCTACGGGGGTCACGGAGGAGCTGTCGTGTTGTTCTGCGATAATGACCTCTGCGTAGTTCTTGTCGAAGACGTTTTGTTCGAGAGTGGAGACGGTGGCTTTGACAGCATCTGGTTCTTTCTCGTACTCGGCGAGCTGGTTGATAAAGTCGAGGATGACGGGGCAGTCTGCTTTGGTTCCGCGACGGATGACGAACTGCTTGTCGGAAGATGTGACTAAAACGGACATTGTGACGGGTGTAATGGAGGGTCTGGGTAGTGAATATGAGGATTCTGAAGATGATGTACGTGTTGGAGGGGAGAGAAAGAACGATGGTTGAGCCTCGGGCCGAAGAAGAGCTTCTAGCAAGGTGGGGAAAGGATCGGCGCATTCCCCGGCTTTTTGGCTTTCCCCCACGTCGAGCTCAGTTCCGCGGCCTTTCGTGAGAATAATCTCGGGTTGCGGGCAGTCAGTTTCTTCGCACGGGCGTGTTCTCGTGTCTCCTTCTTCGCGTCTTTCCCCTCTGCCACCTTCTTCTTCGACAGCAGCAACCTACTTCTCAGCGACAGAGACGATGGGAGTCTCCAGCACCGCTCGGCTACCCTCGCTCGGTGCGCAATCCATCCCACCACTCTTCAGCCACCTTCAACACTCCTCCAACGCCAAAGTAGTAGCACGCTGGAGCATCACCATCCGCTCCTTCCGCGCAGTACCCGTCCCGACAAACGCTTGGCCGTCACCAAACCAGTACGACTCGAACTTCTCACTCACATCTCTCGACGACGATCCTTCCTCGAGCAACGTTCCGAATGCAGCCTCCGCTTCGACCTCCTCGGCTGCTGCCGGGGGTAGTACACTTGGCTTGGGCGGAGGTGCAGGATCGTCTGCATCAGGTGCACCTCCACTGACCAAGCCAAGGACAATGTGGCAGGTACAGCTGTCTGATCATCCTGGAGTCGTGTTCGTGGTCGTCGAAGATACCGGAAGGGCTTCTCGGGCGAAGGTGTGGCGCGATTGGGAGCTGTCAACGAAGAAATGGAGGAAGCAGAAGCGCCGGGAGATCGCGGCGAGGCGCAAGAAGGAGGAGCAGACCGAGGCTGAAAAGCCAACCATGCAAGGTGAAAACGGCAACAGCATTGTAGCTGAGGAGAGGGCTGACAAGATTGAAACTGAGGCATCCGGAGTGCCCATGGACGAAGATGCACCTTCCTCACTCGACCCACAAGGCGATGCTAGAATAGATGCCGTCTCGACAGAGTCGCAATTGCCCTCAGGTCCGTCTGCTGACAGCCAACCATCGGAAGCGCCTGCACCTGCGGGGGAGCAAACCGAGCAAGAGTCCGTCGAGCCAGCCGGTCCCAAACCAAAGCTCCGCCTACCTTCTCACACGCGCTACACAGTCTCAGCAATCACCTCATCCATGGCTGCCATGCTCTCCGGCCTCAACCTTCCGCCCCCGCACGGTGCACCGGTCGGAACAGCCGGTCCAGGCGCTTGGGTGCCTCGCGGAGCTGCCGTATCCATTGAAGGTCTGGTGCTCGAGATCAACAGTCAAAGCCTCAACGCTCTCCCCGGCATCTCACCTGCCCTTGCGTCGCTGTCCAACACCGACGACGCGGGCGTGGCTGGAAGCAGCGGCGGAGTAGACTGGCGAGTCAGAGTCGGCAGCGTTGTCGGCGGTGGACGTCGAAGTGCAGGAGCTATCGTCGAGGCGGAGTTTCTGCCGGCATCGACGATCTCGCCGACATCCAAGTTTATGAATGACTTTTTGTTCTCGCTTTTCCCAGCGGGCTTGGTGCCGGCGCAACCGAGTGCTCCTGTGGCTGCGGTTGGGATGCCGAACGTCACTGGGAATGCAGGGGCGCCACAGGCAGGAAGCGGGATGGCGGTCCCAGGAGTTAACAATCCATCGCTCGGACTAGCATCAGCGACGAACGGTAACATCACAGGCGCAGTCGGAGGTGCAAGTGGCACTGAGTTCAGCTACACCATCGGTGGAGGCGCCGGTGCAACCCCACCGAACCGTAATCTGAACCTACCCGTGGTATCGGACCAGCTGTGGGAAGAAGTCGTGCCGCGTTCAGGCGAAGGGTGGGTAAGGCGCATCTCCAAGCGATCGCGTAAGATGGCAATAGCAGCTCGCACCTTACGTAGGCAGCGAAAGAATGCTGGCGAATCATCTTCGGGGCCAAACGGCAGAATGGCTGAAGTGAAGGACGCGCAAACAGATGCGTTCGGATGGCACATGTTTGGATCTGACGATGAAGCCGATCCGAAGGCGACAGCACCAATCAACGGTCATTCGCTGGATGAGGATAACGAATCCCTGTACTCATCGGACTCGGAAGTTGAAGCGACGCCGGACTCTGCTTCTAATGCAGTAGCATGCGCCGGAGGCTTGACAGGAACAGCGGTGACGATGCAGCAAGGTGATCAAGGAGAGGATGACGATGACGAAGATGACGACCGACCGCTTGGCGCGCCAGCTTGGAGCAGCAGCAATCGACCCGCTGCAGCCGCATCCACCCCGAACGTCGTGCCGCCGGCAGCTGTGGCACCATCGGTGGCGAAGAAAGAACACACGGTGCAGCTCATCTTCCAAGGTCTGCAATCGGATGCGGACGATACCGAGGGCGCGGAGGATGGATGGTCTGGTATCGAAAGAGGCCGTCGTATTGCGTTCCAGTATGTTCAGATGCTGCGTGCGGAGGGTATCATCTGACCCGCTCGCCATCGTATGGTTGCATCAGTGGACATGGCGAATGATGCTGTGTACTTTTTTGTTGGATGTCTCGCAGTCCGCAATCTTACACGGGATAAACAAATTGCACCGATTCTGGAAGAGTGAAGAAGTGTCCGTGCATGAAAGGAACGGAGGTTGCGCGTGCGTCTTCCTTTTCCACATCCTTTCACACCTCATCCACTGTACCAACACGGCGATAACCACCATCTCCCTCACCAAGCCATAGACCTCACGATGAGTTCAGGCTACGAGCTCCATCAAAAACTACGCACCAAGACCGTCCGTCTCGTCAAGAAGAAGCAGTACGATGAAGCCATCTCCACCCTCCACTCGGGCGCGCTCACGCTCCTCTCCCAATCCGAACAGGGTTCCGGCTGCGACCTCGCCGTCTACATGATCGACGTCTACAACTCAAAGGATGCACCCGTCGACTCCGACTCGCGCGATCGCATCACCGAGATCCTGGCCCAGGCAGCGCCGGATTTCTGGAGGAAAAAAGTGGTGGATGCTGCGGTCAAGTGGTCCGTCAAAGCTAGCGGTGCTTCTACGGGCGATCCGTTGTTGCGGCTGTTCATCGCGAAGATGTACGCCAAGGAAGGGGACTTCGAACATGCCGAGGGACATTTTCTGGCCAGCTGTATCGAGACGGAGCAGACGTATGCGGTGGAGAGTGCACCGAAAGCCTACGCGCAGGCGATGGCCGAGTGGTTGACCGCATTCGCCGAGCAAGCTTCGCAGCAGGAGGGCGAGACGAGAGGTGCCGATGCGATCGCTCGGATCGAAGCCGGTAGGTTCGCACTTCGCGCCACCATCCCGCTGCTCGCCAACCACGCCGTGAAACCAGCACTCTCGTTCCAAGAGAACTACCTCTCCGTCGTCACCACTTCGCTCAAATCCCTCCTCCTACCCGTCACACCAAACCCCCGCCCCTACACCCCACCTGGCTCTCCAACCCCTTCCACCGACATCCAACTCTACCTCACCGCCAACCCCGACCTGAACTTCTCCCAGCTCGCCGTAGCCCTCGTCTCCGAATCGCACAAGCTTCAGCGTCGCGGCGTACCCGAGTGGTTGCGAAATGCGTGGATCCAACTGGTCAGGCAGTACGAGCGAGAAGCCCCGAGTTTGTCGCAGGAGGAAGGTGTCAGGGAGGCGATCCCGAGGATTGGAGAGGATTGGTTCGGATTGAAGGTGCAGAGGGGAGGGGGTGGGGGGAACATGTTGAATGAGATGATGGCGAGTTTGTTCGGCGGTGCACCGGGGGGTGGGGCGGGGCAGGGACGTGCGGAGGAGAAGAGGCAGATTCAAGGCGCCGGGGCCGCGCCGAAGGCGAAAAGTGCGGTGCAGAGTGGAGCACCGGCAGCGGCAGCGGCGCAAGCAGCGGCGGCACCGACGGCGACGGCCGATGACTTGGTGGATGATGAGATGGATTAGCAAACACTGGGTGGCGACTATTGCGGTTAGGGGTGCGTATAGCACGTTCTTTTGCGGTTTGAATGTCATCTTCTTGCCAAGAGCTACAATATGCGGCTCCTCCTCCGTCCGAAGGGAACGGCTGTGTTGGTCGACGTGGGTCAACGAATCTCACGCTCGACATCGCTTCTCCGTGCAACTGAATCACTTCCTCGACTTCTCCCTGAATCACACAAAGTTAGAGCTGCTCGCCTGTGTCTGCGACGTCGTCTTCGATCCGAACCACTCCCACACTCTCATCACAACCCAGGCATCGCACACACTGTTCAAACCAATGAAAACCAGAATGCATTTCTTCTCCCACTCCACCACTTCACGCAAACGCATCCATCACATCCGCCACATCCTCCCCCCTGCCGCTCGTATCCACCTCGTTGGTGAAGCTCAAAAAGTTCTGCGGCCGATGCACCTCGTCCCAAAACTCCTTCGGCCTGTCCAACACGACACTGTACTTCATCTCCCGCGTCCACTGAGCCGACAAACTCAACCCGTAATTCCATCTGCCGCCCTCCACCGTCAACGTCGTACCCAGGATTCTGTCCGAGAGCAGCAGCTGAACTCGATCCATCATCGTACCCGGGTTGAACCCGCTAGACGAGGCGATCTCTGCATCGCTCGCCTTCCTGCCCCACTCGAACCCTGCAACGGTCAGATTGTACGCCGACAGGGAGACCGAGCCGGGGGTGAAGGCGCACGAGATGCAGATGGTGGAGGAACCCCACTCGGTGTGCGCTGCCATGGTGCGTGCGTGCTGTGCGACGTCCTGCGGTGGAAGGTGGGGGAGATCCATCGACGAAGTCTTGATCCATCCGAGCGGTTCAAGATCCTTGAGGACAAAGTCGTGTTCCGGCAGATCGTCGGGTAATTCGACCTTGTGGTTCGACCCGCGTTGCGGAACCCAGACGATCACCTTAATCTCCTTGATGCTAGGTGCATCCTTCGGACTGCTCCCGTACATGTAGCCCGCCACCTGCGTCCTCAGATCCGCCCCCACAATAAACGTCTTCAACACGTTCTTCGGCATGACGTACGTCAACGATCCCACTTCATCCCTCACATCCTCGTTCGAGACGTACAGATGCTGACACCTCAACGGCAGATTACCCGCCGAGAGCGCCCGTACCCTCCAGTCCGACTTGCTGCTGAATACCTGATTCTCGTACTGCGTAGTCGTCACCGTCTGGATCTCCTCGCCGTGAACGTTGACCGTCCTCGTCTGCTGCGCCGTCACTTGCTGCGCCGCCTCCGCCGTCTTCTCCAGCTCCGCCATCTGCTGCCTCTGAACCGAAGGCGCCTGGATCGTCATACCCAATATGATATCCCGAATCTCGCTGCTCGTCAACGAGTTCACATTCACATTGTTCCGCTTGCCGAAGTCCGCCAGGATCAAGTCCCTCAGCTGGATCTCCACCTTGATCCACTCTTCGTCCGTCAGCGTCGGCCAAAGATGATGCGGCTCCGTCACCACACCCGGGTGTGGACGGAGGATGATCTTGGCCTTCTCCTGGTTGACGTGCAGGGATCTCAGCAGAAGGATCAACCTCGAAAACGCAGTGAAGCTGCTGACGTTGGACATCCAGTTGTCGTACGACGAGTAGAGCACCATCTGCGGCTGCGTCGCTTTCAACACCATGTCGCCGATCGCTTCGAGCTTGAGGAACGACTGGAAGGGCAGCTGAAGCTCGGAACCGACGATCGACAGGTTGGGGAAATCGAGCGAATGCGTCTCGAGCGGATCCAGCATGCCTTTGCGCGAAACGATGATCCGCTTCGGTTGCTCTTCCACGGGCAAACTGCGGACCAAGGCGATGGTCTCCTCCGCCGTCTTCCACTTGGCCAGCTGACCGAGTCGCTTCTGACCTGCCCACACGGACGTGTGGATGATCTTGAGGAACAGCTGACCCGTTCGTGGGTTGAGGATGATGATCGCACCGTTGATGGGCTTCGTCACCAAGTTGCCCTCAAACGTCCGATGGATCGTAACGCGGTAGACGTTGGTATCGTCGACGAACCAGATGATCTGGTTGCTGAACAGCTCGGCGTAGTTGTTCGAGTTGAGGTACGGCTCGGTCGGTTCGGAACTGTACAGCTGCAAACTCTTGCGGACACGCTCTCGCAGCACGTACAGCGCAGGGTTGGCCTTCATGATCTTGGCCATCGCCTGCTGGATGAGCGGCTTGCTACCAGGGAACCAAATACCGTACGCCGAGTGGATGTTGTACGCCAGGTCGATGCCCACCAACGCACCCGTAGCGGACGGGTAGATCGAAGTGTTGTCGCTGGTGTAGTCGAGGAACTTGGCTCGACAGTACCGTTCAATGTCGTGCGAGTCGTAATCACCCCATCGCAGCTGGACGTCGACCCACCACTTGTTGCCGCTCGACCCGTCCATGACGTCGCGAGAGTCGGTCAACAACGAAGGTCGCGACATCGGCCACTTGTAGCTCGCGAACAGCAAGATGTCCGAGCTCGACGCCGTCAACCTGTACGACTTTCGCGGGTGGATCGTCTCCTTCTGCACCGTCTCGATCGACAGAGCCTCCAGCTCCTGATCAAACACCTGACACAAGTCCATCACCACCGATTCGTGGATCTTCTGCCACAAGTGCGCACGGAACAGCTGGATGTACGAGATCTTGAGCGAAGGCATCTTGCCCGACATCAGCACACCGCACAAGTCGAGCTGCACCTGGAATCCGATGTAGACGCTGCTGCGGTTGAGCGTCGGCGACCACCACAGCGTGAAGCGACGATTGGGGATCTGCGAAAGACCCGAACGCTGTGCGTTGGTAAGTCGTTTCTGCTGCATACTCTCTTCGAACGAGGATGATTTCTCCCAGAACAGGCCCTCCCAGGTCGGATGACCCGTCGCGGCAAACAGCGAGTGCTCGAGGATCGTCTCGACACCGCCAAGCGCCGCAATGGTATCGGTACGCAGCTGGTTGAGGTTGTGCAGCTTTCCGTCGTGACGCTGGTTGGTCCAGGCGAACGGTTGCGCTTTGGCGATCTGGTATTTCTTGAACTCCTGTCGAACCCGCCACTGCTTGTCGTACGACAAGATGGTGCGGTCCTTCTGGAAAAGCGTGGCGATACGGGGCAGACCGCGGTGGAACGAGTCCTCAAGGTCCTCGAGCGTCAGACGGCGGTTCTGTTCGTTGGCCTCCTTCCGCTTCTGCGCGTACTCCTGCCACACACGCGCCGAATCCTCAAACTCGGATGCCCACGGGGTGATGTATCGGTAGAGCGCAGGCAACAGCTGATCCTCCTGGTTCGAGAGACCGGCACGGAAGTGGGTGATCCCGGTCGTCGTCTGGCGCGAATACTTCAGGTCCGAGGCGGGGATGAGCACGTGGCCCATCGAAAGCATGCCGAGACCACCGAGCTCCTTCGGCGAGGCGAGGATGTGGATGGGCCAACGCGAAGGCATCTTGCTGTTAACGCCAGACTTGATGCGGTTGATCACCTTGTTCTCGCTGCGTACGAGCAGATCGAGCATCTCCTCGGTGTTGACGACGGCTTCTCGGTAGTACGTCATCAGCGCGATGAGGCAGGTGTTCCATTTGTTCGCGATTTTGCTGAAAGGGGCAGCGCCAGCCGACATGAGCAGCGCACGAACTCGGTTGCTAAAGTTGGCGATCCCCTCTTCCGATACTCGCAGGAAGGCGGTCGAGGTGCGTTCACCAGAGCTGGCCTGGATGAGCGGCCAGACACCGTCACGTGCAACATCGACATCCTCCTGTCGGATCTTGGGCAGGATGCGCACCTCGAAGCCGAGCATCGAGAAGAGCAGGTTGGGGTTGTCCTTGCTGTAGACGGAGCAGAACGTGTCCTCCCACTCGATGGTAGTGAGCGAGCGCGGCAAGCTGTTCTTGACCGTCCAAAAGACGGCGCGACCGAGGTTGACGTCGTGCTTGACGAGACGCATTCGTGCATCGCGCGGCCAACACTTGCGGTTGTTGTAGCCAATGACGTTGCTGTTGTTGGGATCCGGATTGGCCGTGAGGTAGCGCTGCACCAGATCGCGCGCTTCTTCGGCCGAGAAGCGATAGAGGATGTGGATGCGGTCGATGTATCGAGTATAGAGACGCACGGGATGGCGAGTCTCGGTGGCCGTGTCGCGATACTGGAAGAGGCCGTTGGGCATGTTGGGCGGACCCGCCATCTCGTTGGCACGTTGCAGACCGAGGATGAGCAGATCGAGCACCAAGCCGTAGTACTGGAAGACAAAGGCGCTGAACTGCAGACCGCGGATGAGACCGTACGAGTTGACGTGCGACATGTCCTTGAATACGATCGAGATGTTGTTCTTGGCGGTGATGTAGTCGGCCAAGTTGTGGTCCATGATGAGTCGCAGCAGTCGATTGAGCAGCGTCAGGTCCATCTTTTCAAACACCTTGCTGAGCGTCGTCTCCATGAGCACGTTGCACTGCCCCTCGGAGGTGTCCCAGATCTCGTGTGCGTTGTTGATGCCATTGCACCATTTGTACACGAGCAGCGGTGCAGGCTCCGAGTCGCTCGGCTTGATCCATGCGGGGAAGAGCTGGCGCTTGTCTGCCTCGTACGAGAGGTACTGGCTGAGATACGCATCGGTGATCTTTTCGATGGGCTCAATGTCGTAGGTGGGCGTCAACTTGCTGAACGTGTCGAAAAACTCGAAACCGGCTTCCTTGAAAGCACGCTGCGTCAACATGAGTCGCTTAATACGTGCCAGAGTCTCGTGTGGGTTGTCAAAGGCCTGCTCGATGAGGGCAAGCTCTTCACGCTGGCTCTGGTTGAGACGACCTTTGACGGAATATGCCTCCTTGAGCGAGTCGAGCGCCAACACCAGATGCTTGACGTCGTGCTTGTTGTTGAGACTGGGGAAAGGGATCGGACTGAAACGACGCGCTTCGAGCCATTGCACAGTGGCGGTGAAGGCTGCCACACCCACTTCTGAGGTGATGTAGGGACCGCTCTTGAGGTAGTCGGCCTGTCGCTCCTGCTCGGCACGCAGGAAGAGACGCGTGAGGCGGCCCTGATTCTTGCGTACCGCCGTCTTGTCGACGGTGGCGCCACGTGCAATTCGAGCACGCTGCTGGTGCGCCACCGACGTCCACCAATCGAACTTTTGCTTGACGTAGCGCAGGATGAGGTTCTCGATGGGCGGCGGCAGATTGGGACTCCACGGCGTGTTGCTGCGGCAAGCGCGCCATGCCTCCTGGAGGTGACTCATGATGGTCTTGATCTTGTTCTGTCGCATGCCTTCGGGCATTGCATCGAGGATGTCGTGCATCACAGCGGCACGCAACTCGAGATCCATGGATGACTCGACACGCTGCTTGGTGATACCCTGTGCGCCAGTGCGACCAGCTCGGCCTTCGAACTGACGTGCGAGCAGGTTGCCGAGCCAGCGTTCGAGCAGCGGAACGATACCGCGGAGGAAGAAGATCCACACGCGCCATGAGGGCGCCCAAAACCCGACACCGGGACCCTTGCCAACGCCGGCAGCATTGAAGCGGTAGTAGATGACGTGCTTGAGATCCTTGCAGGCGCGAATCTGGCGCATGGAACGGTACTTGTACCGGTAGATGCCTGAGAGCGTAGCGACGTGGTTGAAGAGATACTGTAAGCCATCGGCCAGCTGAAAGGCATCGATGGAACCGAGACGGAATTGGACGTGCGCGTCGACGACAAGCTTCATGATGCGGCTCAACTCTCGCACTAGGTGGAAGGCGTTACCGAATCGACTCTTCTTTCGCTCCTTGGTGGTGAGCGTCTTTGTTGGTTTGAGGTTCATGTTGTAGTCGAGATGGAGGTAAGAAGCGCCTTTGCGGTGGATGAGGAGGTTCATCATGTTGAAGGACTGTTTTGCCACCTGGAGACCCGCCTCGAGCCAGTCGATGGAAGTGTTTTGGAAGAACTTGGTGTTGTTGAGCTCGCGCAATAGGTTGGTGCGCTTGTGTACCTTCTGCTTGGTGGTGTGGAGGCTGTTGTAGACGTAGGTCTTGAGCAGCTTCTGGTAGCTGACGCGTACCTTGACGGGTTGGTTCGGCGGGCAGTGCTCGAGGTACCAAGGCTGAATCAAGGGGACATCGACTGCGCGCCGTGTGCGTCCACTGCGGAGCGAGTAGGGCTTGGGCGCCCACCAGAGGGCGATGGCATCGGCGGTGAGGTCGTTCTCGAGCGGTTCGTGCTCGAGGAAAGGCTCGATCTGTTCCGGCAGAGAGAAAGCCACTTCGTCTGGCAGCTCGTCGTCAGACTCGACGCCAGGGCCGAACACTTGGTCCTCGTGAGCAAGTACGGGCGTTCCGTCGTCATACTCTGGACGGAAAGCGTTGGAACTTGCCAATGTGCGAGCCGAGATGGGGTTGATTGCCGGGTCGAAGTAGAAGGCCTGGTCGATTTCGTCGGATCGGATGTAGACGTTCTTCGGTTCGTGGTAGGTGCCAATGTGGACTGCACGTGGCCTGCTGTTGTAGAGGTGCGGAAAGGCGACACGGTACTCGGTGCGGATCTGATGGCGGATGATGACCTTGCGGAAATCGGTGAAGTCGGTAAAATCGTCGTCGAAGCCGTCCGTATCTTTGAAGAGCGGCTCAAACTTCGGACCAGAAGGGATGGCCATGTTGAGCGCCTTTGCGGTAAAGAAGGCTTTTTTGTCGAAGAGATAGAACGAGTTGCGGTCGCCTGAGGAGGATGCGTCGCTGAGCAGGGTGCGGCCGAGACGATGGAGTGTGGCCATCTGGGGGAGATCCAAATTCCAGAAGCGGTAGGAAGGACCGTTGACGTGCTTTGGATTATTGATGAGCGGCTTGTGGTCGTAGAACCAGTCGATGACAGCGCCATCCTCTTCTTCGTCGAGCTCGAGCTGGATAGCCTCGAGTGGCTCAACATCGAGCAAGTTGTCGGAGTAGTCAACGACGGGCTCTTCATCGTCAAAGGGCGGGAAACGCATGCGCTTGAAATGGCGTCGGTCGCGCTTCTCTCTGCGCATGGCGATCCACATTGTGGCCCACTGTGCATGGAAGACAGGCTCGATGACCTTGGGCACCTCGTTGATAAACGTGATGGCACCTGTGATGTGGTAGAGGACGGGCACTTCGCGGATCTGCTCCCAGGGCATGGGTATGTTTTCTAGCACCTTCATCATTGCGTGCGGAAGGTACTTGAGCGCGCCGAGATGTACGCGCTTGTCCTGTCTGTATTTGCGGTTTGTCATGTCGCCGTGCTCCTTGATGATCTTTCTTAGCACCTCGGGTGGCATCTCCTGTTTGCCCGTGTCGACGAAGCCGGTCTTTCCCCTACGGTCGCCGAAGCGACGACTCTGTGTCTGCTGCCATTTGCGTGCTTTTGCCTGAAGCTGTTCTGATGTGAGAGCAGCAGGCTCGCGGTAAGATGACGATGCGGCTGCTATGGTAGAAGACGGCATGCCGGGAGGCGGACCCCTCATGGAGGAAGGACCTGCTGGAGGCGGCCCTCTGTAGCCGGGAGGGCCGGACATGGCTGTGTTGCGGGAGAAGACCCGCTATGTGCTTCTTATTTGGACAGGGTCAGGAACAGGACTGGATCGTGCAGTGTTGTGGATGGGAAAAGGTCGTGACCGGGGCGAAGTGAGTGCTGATTGATGCTCACTGCGAGCTTGTTCGCTGACGGAGGAAGTGGCTGGTCCTGATTGTGTTCGCTTCGCCTTTGGTTCTGATGCAGGTATAAGAGGGATTGAACGAGGCCGCGATGGAGCAAGTGAGAGGTAGGTGGTGATGGTGTCGAACACGAAGAAGTGCGTTTGTGCATTGAATCCATCAAGCAAAGCAAAGCAGCGTTCGGCTCAGCTGTTGCCAAATCGCACACTGGCGCGCCACCTAATTATTCTCGATGTCCATCTTCCGAAGTTTCGTTTTTTTTGCGTTTTGCGCGTTGGACTTTTTTTGGCCATAGACATTCACGACAACAGGCTCGACGTAACATTGTGATAAAGTGGCTTCGTTGCGCTGCGCGGACCACCAATTCTGCGTTGCTTGCATCTCGGCTGCTGCAATGTGGAGTGCTGAGCTTCTGTTCTCGTTGCAAGCATCTGACCACCATCTTGAGCTCTGGCACTGACAATCTACACGCAAGCACCCCGTCGAGCCCTCCACCAGGACGACGTGATACCAACAATGGCGTCGACAAGTGGCGCATCGGTCTCTGGCGGAAGCGCTGCTCAGCACATTGACGTTGATGATGTCGAACACGGCGTCGGCTCGGGAATCAGCACGATTGCTACGGAAGTTGTGGACGACGAAATGGCTGGAGACGCTACCTCCGCCGCTCAAGGCACGCAGACACCACTCAGCACCAACACAGAAGAGCCACAGGACGAGTCAGATATGGCCGCATCCTTCTATCAGAGCACCAGCACCGGCAGCCATAAACGTCAGAGCGTCTCCAAGCCGGCGAATTCCCATCCAATCGTGGTTCATGATCAAGACGAGGACGATCTGATGGAGCCAGACTTGCCCGGTCGGGAAGAGAGGGTAGGTGCATTTGCCGGTCAGAATCACGCTGCGGTCTTGCTCGCCACAGCCTTCTTCTCACCTCAACACAGCATGACTGACGAACGTTTCGATGTGCGCACAGCTACTCGACGAGAAGATCAGGGCTCGCTATATTCAAGGTACGTGCGCTACATGACCAGGCTGAGGATCTCGAGAAGGCGAGAGAGCGATCACACTGACATGAAGCCTCTGTTGCACCCATTCTACTGTACTGCTCTCGGGTTTCGGGCGCTGAACGGATCTTGCGTGCTTGTCCCTTGTACGCAGAGATTGGCGACATCTTTTAACGAGCCGCAATTTGGTAGCCGTGCTGGTCCAGGCTGGTCCCAGACAATGCATTCCTTTCCGTTTCTACGCATACACTGATTGTGACACGATTTAAAGGCCGCCGCAGACCCCGTGGCATATGTGAGCGACAAAGGTGAAGCGCAGTATGACCAGTATCGAGTCCTGCGCGGCTTGATGATGCTAAAGAGTTGAAGCACCGTCTTGCGTTTGAACTTGGTTTTGCTGAGGGTTTCTGCAAGACTCAAGTGTTGTTGGCTGCGTTATGCGGTTGGTTGGGGTTGTGGTTCTCCTGCTGAGACAGACCAGGCTGAGTTCCGGGATCCTCCTGCTCGTCGGAAGCCTGCCTAGCGTGATTGTGATGATGCGTGTGATGGTGGTAGTGATGCGGATGATGCGCGTGATGGTGACTGTGATGCGAGTCATGCACCGAGCCAGATTCGTCGGGTCGGATTGACGAGAAGGACGACGCGGTGAGGTTGGGGTTGTGCTGCATCATCTTTGCTCTACGAAGCGCTTTGAGCGTCTCCACGTCCGACTCCTGCACGGACAAGCTTGTTGGTGAGCGACGAATCATGTTTGCCGGGACGGTGATGGTGATGGTGGTAGCGGGACGCGTTGGCGATCAAGTGTTGTTCTTTCATATTGTCACATTTTGTCGCCTTGATTTCAATCGCGCTTTTTCAAGGCTCGCGAGCGACATGTGGAGAAGAGCAACTCGAACTGAGCTTGGGTCTCTTTTTCATCTCGACACATGTCGTGCATCTTCTCATCTTGCAACCACAACGCACACCACCCGAGCGCTCACTTTGTGTTCCATCACTTCCGAGTCTTGATCACCACAGCTCAGCTCGTTGGATGCTCTTGTTTCCTGACATCATTACTTTCCACGGTTCGCGCAAGCCTCTGCCATGTCAGCGTCAATAAGAAACCAACACCTCGTTACTCCTTGACCCACCTCGTCCCACGACGAGCATGTCGGCACCGCAACGGAGGCAGCAGCAGCCTCATCAATACCAGCAGCAGTACTATCAACCTCAACAGCAGCATGCTGCGCAACAGTACGCACACGACCCGACCTATTCCGGCTATCCTGCCACACCCTATCATCCACAGCAGCAACAACAAGTATACCAGCAATCGCAGCCTTACCCATCTGCAGACCCATACGCTTTCACACGCAACGTTCAGCACTCGGCTTTCTCCACCTCTCATCCACAGATCACGCCGTATGAAGGCTCGTGGCCCCATCGACACTATGTATCCCCGAGTGGCACATCAAATCATGACCCAGCCCATGCTGCCTACCCGCAAGCCGGTGGATACCTAACCGCCGCCGACTATGCAGCTTCTGCTGGCGACTTTTCTCCAAATCCAGCCTCGACGTCGGATCGGTACGACGGATACAGCCATGGCCAGAGCGCAGGTCGATCACATCTGAACAATTTTGCGTCCCATGGCGCAAGCCCTAGCCTCGAGTCACAGGTTGCGCATATGAACATCAGCGGACCCACCAACGCATTGCCAAACAAGTCGACAACCTACCAGCACGACTTTTCCAACGCTCAGACTCATTCTGGCATGGAACACTCCTCGATTCATACAGACTCGGCCGCTGGTGCCAGAGAACCTCGATCTGAAATCTCGCTCCGATACCCACCACTACCATCCCTACCCGAGCGATGCGTCACACCACCTTCGTTGCAGTCCAAACGGTCCACATCGCACGATGAAAATCCATCAGAAGATGTCGACCCAGCTGTGCTTACGTACATCACATCCCTTCGCACAACCCTCTCCACCTACGAGAAGCGAGACGACCTTCTACGCCTACGCACAGAAGCAGTAGGCTTCCAACCGAGACAAGCATGGTCCGCATGGCAATCCCAACAAGATGCGTCCACCGCAGACACACACTCCTCCGCCGACGATTCGGTCTCGACGAATCCCGTCCTGGGCGTACGCCTCCTTCAGAGACTGGACAAACTTCAGCGCGAGAATGACGAGCTCGGTCGACTCCTCACCGCCCGCACACGGGACGGATCCGGCAGCGGTAGCGTTGAAGCAGTCGAAACGGAGCAACTCAGATCAGAGATTCGCGATTGTCATCGACTGATCCAAGCCATGGACAAGGCTTTGGTGGATGCAGAGGCGAGAGCGACGGCGTCGGAGAGAGCTTTGCAGGTTGCGTGTATGAACCACTCCACTGCCATGGTACCGGCGCCAAACGGAGAGGCAGCAGTGACAGCGGCAGCAAGCGGCAAGAGCCGAAATTCGGAGGAGAAGAAACCGACCGCCGCTACTACGTCAAAACCCCCCGCTAGGAGAGGTTCCAAACAACCGAACCCCAATGCCGGCGCCTCAGTCAAAAGTAGCGCCTCTCAACAGCAGCAGCAACATCGCACCACGAACAAGCCACACAACGCCTCTTCTCCCGCTACCAAAGCTGGCGGAGGCGCAAAATCGACACGAGGCGACACATCTTCGACCGCTTCGACGGACGCGAAATCCAGCAAATCTGTCAAGAGCAAGTGAAAGCATAGCAGCGATGTACTTGGAAGATTTGAGCTTGGGGAATGCTCAAAGATTGATTCAGGTCTTCTGGGATGTCTGGCGTGCTTGCAAAGTGTGTGCGTTGTGTGCGGGGTTGTGAGAAGGTGAGCTTTCTATTGCAGGTGTGAGGTTTTCCAATCCGAGTGAGAGCTGAGTCAACAGGACGTGGGTGCTGTGCTGCATGATCAAAGATTCGCCCTTCTCCCCTCTTCCCCCTGCTCCTCTCCTCTGCTCCTCCACTCCTCGCTAACCAACTCCCTGACCAACCAACCGTACCTCTGCCTGTTGACGCCCAATAGATCGAACGGATCGTTGCGTATCCTCTCGCCGTTCTGCTCCAACCACAGCTTCTTTCTCCGATACATTCCTACCTGTTTCTCCTCGCGTTCCTTGTCCCACTTGTATTCGAACTTGGCGATCCTCTTGGGGTCGGCAGCAGCGAGTTCGTCGAACAGTTGGGCGGCAAAGTGGAGTTCGCTCGGAGGACCTTCGGCGAGGCTACCGCCGATAAGGTGATATCCTGCGTAAGTAGTTGGGTTGGCGGGATCGGGTGTTGTCCCTGGGGTGGTGGTTTTGCAACGTTGTGTGTAGAGGTATTCGAGTCGATCCTTTTCGAATCGTAGGCGGGAATCGATTGAGGTAGGTACGGTAGTGATCTTGCCACTCCAAACACCTACAATCCATGCACTCAACAAATCGTTGAACGAGAACGGCATGTAGGAAACCACCAACCCTACAAACGCCAACGTCAACCGCGGGCTTTTGCAGAACAACGCGTGGTTGTACAGGAACGGTACCCTCGTAGCTCTCAACGCATCCGGCGTCAAAACCTCCACCTCTTCCCCACCATTCGATCGACTCTCATCCGTCAAAACATGCAACCAAGTATACTTCTGTCCATATCCCGTTCCCAAAATCACATAATCTACTCCGGAAATCACACTGCCATCTACCAATCTAACTTCCACTTTCCCCCCGACCAACTTGTACTCGATGATCATACCAACATCTTTGATCCTCTCATCCGGCAAAGCGGGGCATTTCTCGATAGGTGCACTCTTGCTCGACCTGTACACTGGATGTTGCGGTGAGTTGAAGGGTGCGAGGTGGGCAGCTACTTCGTTGGCGGAGTTGTTGTTTCCGACGACGATGACGCGTTTGTTGACGTAAGGGGTGGAGTCGCGGTAGTGTTTGCAGTGGTGGATGTGGGATGTTTGGGAAGCGAGGTGAGCGAGACCAGGTACGTCCGGGTAATAGGGTGTATCGTACCAACCGGCAGCGACGATGACTCGGTCGAAGGTGAGCGTTTCGATGTACGGGGTAAAGCTGATCGTATCTGCAGCGGTGATGCTTTCTCGGGACCAGTGTTTGAGCGTCACTTGCCACCCACGATCTTGGGGCAACTCTTGCACTTTCAGCACTTCTACCCCTGTCTTGATGTACTTGCGATAGGGTTCCGCAAAGTCCCTAAGATACTCGTGCGTTTCTTCTAGGGTCGGAAACACCTCGTCGTTCTTTGGTTTTTCCATCTTCTTTCCCGAGAACTCGAGAAACTCCGGCAGAACATTCCCCCTCAGGTTCAGATACGCCGGTGAAGGCCAATGCGGTTTGCCCGCATGATCGAACAACGGCGACTGTCGCTGACACTTGTCCGCTCCGATCGAACGTTCCAAAGAATACGTAGAGTCGGACCAGTACCATACCCCTCCAACGTCATCGCGACGTTCCACGAGTAGCGGTGCGAAAAGCGGGTAGGATCCAGACGAATCCGAGCCGACCTCCTCGACGATATTGCGCAGCGTGACGAGACCAGTCGCACCACCACCGATGATCAGCACGCTTTCCGGGGAAGAGGATCGATCGGTTCGTCGTGGGACGAGCTTTGTGCCTGTCATCTTTCCGTGTGGTGTTGTGGCAGCAGCCCTCCAATGCAGACTTTTTCTGGAGAGTCCTTTGAGAGAGGTGATGGTGTGTCGTGTGCGAGCAACGTCGGATGTCCGTCGTTGGTAGTCCAGAGGTTCAAAAGAGGAAAGCGGGAGATTGCCGTCAAGGCGTCGGGAAGAAAGAAAGTCGATTGTGGCCCTCGGTTAAACAGCCAACCCAAAAGCACGTTTCCAGGGTCTCACAGTGATTAAGTCACCGATAGCTATCGCGCACTGTGCTGCGCAAGCACGCAATTTTTCGGATAAGCAAGGTTGGGGGCGGTCCTGTGACGCCCTTCTGTTTCGGCTTCGGCTTTGACGCCGTTCTCTCTCTCAACCAGAAAAGATCACGCATGGTTCAGTCGATCGGGCAACGATCTCGCATCCCACTCCGCTCGACATCAAAGAACAGCCTGCCATGCTATTGCCAAAGAGAGAAAAGCCAACTCACAGCTCTGCCAACAACATGGTGCCCAAACTCTGAACAATCTGATCACCCATCGTCTGCTCGACCGCATCCTCCAAATGTCTCTTGGGATCCTGCTTGCCCACATGTCTCGTCTTCAACTGCTCCTGCGTCAAGGTGCTCTCCTCGACCACCGACTTGTTGTACGCCTCGGACAGCGAAAGCATCCTCTCGATCGCCCTCCTGTTGTTCTCCTTGTGCTCGCCAAAGTCCCGCAACCTCAAGCCTTCGGTCCAGTTCCTCTTGTGCAGGTTGTTGAGCATGCTCTGTTCCAGCTCCGTCTTTCGGTAGCCGATGGCGATCGAGTAGTAGTGACGATTCAAGCCGTGGATGAGCGATTGGATCGAGGGTTTGTTGAGGTGGCCAATGTTGGACGTCGTCTGCCTGGGTTCTTGGCCGAGCATGACGGTGGAAGGGTTGATGAGACGGAAGGCGTCGATGACAACTTTGCCTTTGACGGACTGGATGGGGTCGACGACGACGGCGACGGCGCGCGGGTTGAGCTGCTCGAACGACTGCTGCGTGTTGATGTCGACGTTACTCAACCAACATCCGAAGCCCGGATGCGAGTGGTACCATCCCACCACCATCTCGGGACGACCGGTCTGCTTGAGCATGTCGAGCATCTTGGTCTGGAACACGGGGTCGACGGCTTCGACCGATACGCCCGTTCCGGATTGTGGCATGGCGAAGACGTCGATCACCGAAACGGTGTAGTCGTCGATGAAGGAGCCGAGCATGAGCCCCATCACCTCCATGGGGACACCTGCGCGACCGTGTTTGAGCATCTTGATGAGCGCGAGCGAGGAGATGTAGACCATCTCGGCGTTGTCGTTTTGAGGTGCGTCGCCGGGGGCGGATCCTGCTCCGGGTCCACCGCCCATGCGCGCTTGCTGCATCATCGATTGGAAGTCCATCTTGGCTCAAGGTGCGGATGAGGCCAGTGATATGCTGCGATGCCACGAACTGAGCGAGCTGTAAGCCGATGTGCAGGTCAATGGGAACGGGTGGGGATGCGCTCGAAGGTAGTGCGTGCTTAGGGCGATGCTGCCTGACTGCGAGTCGTGTGGGCCGAGTGTGTCGAGGGTGCGTAGATCAAGAGCCGGCAGTTGGTGCGTAAGTGACTCGGTGAGTATGCGAAAGTGAAGGCTACGGTGTTCGTGCTTGAGATGCGGTGAAGGATAGCGAAGAAGCAACAAGATGTGGACGACGTTTCGGAGTTGTTGCTTTCCCAGCTCAAAGTGGAGTGAGCGTCTCGAATCAAGAATCCAGGCAGCAGAGAGGCACAACTCGCAAAAAGCACAGACGCGTCCACTTTGAGAGCCGTGATCGCAGCTGGCAGCCGTTGCTTATATAATCATTATATGGCTGATTTTTACTCCACACGCGGCTGGCTGTGGGTGTTGCTTGGCTCTGATTCAGGCACGCCGAGGCTCAGTCGGATGCGGCGAGGCGAGGCACAACACCACGCGATGATATCACACTCTCGCAAAACCAGCACAATCAGCATCATCAACGCCAACCTTATTCTCATCCTCGTACCGTACCACGCCATCCATCCTGGACCCCGATCTACTCCAGTTATCGAACACGACCGACACCCTCGCAATCCATCGCTTCGGTGCCATTGCCATCGCCATCCTCACCTAGATTCGCCTCGATCATCATCATTGTTGTCTTCGGCCTCAGCATCACTGTCAGCCAAGATCGCATCTTGCACTTCCGTTGCAACTCATCCTTCAGGTGCTGATCGCAGCGTCTCACTGCAAGGCTAACACCGGCACATACACTGCTGCCCTGCCAACGCACGCACTGCGCCCATATCTGCTCAGCCATATCCACAACCTCGACGAGCTAGCCAAGCAGCTGCGTCCCTATCCCCCACTATGTCATCTGGCATCGGATCGCTCTTCTCCTCGCTCTTCCTCTACCTGCGCTCGCTACTCTTCTCCAAGCATCTCGAAATATGCGTCGTCGGCTTGCAAGCCGCGGGCAAGACGTCGCTCGTCAACCTGCTATCTTCGGGCCAGTTCGCGGACGAGATGGTACCCACCGTCGGCTTCAACATGCGCAAGGTACGGTCAGGTAACACGACCATCAAGGTGTGGGACATCGGTGGACAACCCAGATTCCGCAGCATGTGGGAGAGGTACTGTCGAGGCGTCTCTGCCATCGTCTTTGTCGTCGACTCGTCCGTGCCGCTACCCAGTGCAAAGAACGAATCGACCGGTACTTCGACCAGCAAAACCTCCGCACCTACCTCCACCACTTCGGCACCAGCCGCTGCACCAGCAGCATCCACCGCAGCGTCCAAGAGCGAGGCCACACCCGTTCCTGCACCTGCAATCCCATCGGCAATCACGTCGACGTCAGGGCAAAGCACACAGAGTTCGTCGGCGTGGAGCGTGGCCACAGAAGAGCTGCATGCTTTGATCGAGAGACCCCATCTCTCCGGGGTCCCGCTGCTCATATTGGCGACGAAGAACGACATCAAGGGTGCTGCCAGGGTGGACGATGTGATCAGGGTCATGAAGTTGGACACGATCGCGAATCGGGAGGTTAGCTGCTACAGCATCAGCAGCAAGAATCAGGTCAACATCGATGTCACCTTGAAGTGGCTGGTTGCGAGGAGTCCGGTTGGGCAGCGCTGAAGTGCAGCTCTGATGCGATTTTTAGGATTGCACCAAGTGCCGCATCTTTCTCAACGTCGCGAACCATCTATGACGTCCTGATTCCAGCAGACTTTTGCCTACATTTCATTGTTTCTGCACATCAATACCCATTTGCTTTGTCCATCCCGCGTACAAGCTCTCCGACGCCGGAGAAAAGTGTACGACTCGCTGTGGTGTTCTTTTGTGCCTTAGCATCGACAAGTGACGGCTTGCTTGTTGGTCGTTACTGTGTTGGTGTCGAAGTGAAGCTTGAGAAAGCGCGCTGCTGCTGTAAATGTTTTTCCCCTCCAGCAAGCATGCACGCATGGACCAGCCACGCGTCTGGGACCCTTTGGCAACCAACACTTGCAGATTTCCCCATCACATCTTCCAACCACCAACCCATTACCCTCTTCATTCCTCTCGCTCGCTCCGACATGTCGGTCGACGACGCACGCGCGGAGCAACTCGCCTCCAAAGCCACCTCCGCCGCCTCCCTCACCGCCTCCAACTCGACCTCCATCCAATCCCTCTACTCCGCCTCGCTCCTCCACCGATCCCAACAAGAACAGCATCAGGACGAAACATACCTCTCGCTGGCACCCACCTTCCTCTCGTTGCATCAACAGGCGTCCTCCTCCAAACAGCTTCTCTCCTCGCTCGAGTCGTTCCTCTCCACCTTCCAAACGGATCTTTCCGCTCTCTCGACGCACATTTCTGCATTGCAGAACACATCGCATCAGATCGATTCGAGATTGGATGCGACCAGGGATGTCGAGGTGCAACTGGCACAGTTCCTGTCTGAGATCGCGCTCAGCCCGAGGATAGTCGATCTCTTCTTCGAGAGCGAACCGGAGCAGAGGACCGAGTTGTGGCTGAAAGCGGTGAAACAGCTCGAGAGGGTGTTGGAGGCAACTTCTCCCTCGGCTGCGCTCTCATTTACATCAACGTCGACAGCGGGGGATATTCCGGCAGTGCAGGAAGTAAGGGCGGTGGCGGAAGCCTGCAAGAATGTGGTGGCGTCCAAGCTGCGCACGTTTCTGGTAGCACCACATGCGGCGATCCGAGCATCGGTCACGACAAACCTGCAAGTGCTGCAGACGAGCATCCTGCTCAAACACCACAAGCCATTCTATGGGTTCCTGGCGAGGCAAGCACCGAGAGTGGCGATCGACGTACAGCGGAGCTACATCGTCGCTGCCAGACTGTACTTCGAAACCGCCTTTCGAAGGTACGCCCGTAGCCTGAGCACGATACGCAAACGATGGGTCGAATCATCTTCTGCAACACCGATCATCGATTCCATCCCGACGAAACCGGACTACGCTGCGACAGCCATCACCGCCCTACAATCGGGTATGTCGGCGCTCTCCAAAGCAGCGACTCACTCCACATCAACCCCCCACACCGCACCCTTCCCCACTCGCTCTGGCGTCAACACTCCACCTCCCTCCAAAGACGCCGAAACAGACACCACCAACCCTACCGATCCATGGCTTCACCCACCCACCCGTCTGCAGTACTCCCAACTCTATAGCCACTCTTCCACCGTTCTCGGCTACCTCGCCGACGAGTCCGGGTTCAAGGCGTCTCCAGAAAACCTGTTTAGGAGTTTGTCGTTGGTGTTGATGGATAACGCGTGTTCGGAGTACTGCTTTCTGGTGAGGTTTTTCGAAGGGGCTGGTCAGCAGGAGGACGAGATCCCCGTTGCGAATGAAAAGGTCGGTGACGATACGATGGATGAAAGTATCAGTGTCATCGATACGGAGGCAGGTGGGGAGGAGGGTGTGGAAGCGACCGTGGTTCAGCTCAGTTCGGCGGAACAGCAACGCATGCAGAGTCGTGGTGCTACCGAGGAGATCTTCAAGCAGATCTTTGAGCCTTCCATCTCCACCTGGACGACCTTTTCGAAGTCGTTGCTTTCGGCTGCATCGAGCGGTGGTGCGGGGTTGGCTGCTTCAGCTACGTCTGTCGTATCCGGGAGCGTCGGGAGTGGTGTTGAGGGGGGTGGAAGTGTTAGCGGATACTTTTCGTTGCTCAGTATGATTCGGTTGAACGATTCCGTTCTATCAGCTATGGAAGGTAGAGGTATACGCAGCGGGGTGGTGGAATCTGCATTGATGGGGTTCAAGATCACCTCCTACCCCATCATCAAGAAGTTCCTAGACGATCAAATCTCCTCTCTCTCCCTGCTCCTCTCTTCCCCTTCCTCCTCCTCCTCCTCCACTTCAATGTGGTCAATGATCTCATCCACCCTCACATCCACCACCCCTCCACCTCTCACCCCCCACCTCATCTCCACCATCATCATCCGTTACACCTCCCTCCTCACCAAAACACTCTGGATCCTCACCGACAACCCTGATCAAGCCCTCCTCTCCTCCCTCCACCGTCTTCGTTCCCAACTCGAGAAATCCATCCTCACCTCCTCCTCCAAACCTACCGCAGACTGGTCGCTCAAACACAAACGTGATGCAATCCACCTGCTGATCGACGCCATCGAATCAACTACCACTGCAGCAGGTACAGCCCTGGCGAGCAACGCCAAAGTGCAGAACGAATTCGCCTTCTGGAACGAACGTCTTGCTTCACTTAGATCGTAGAAAATTCCGATTCGATTTGCAATGCTTTGCCATTCCCCCCAACGAATACTTTGTCTAAGCAAGATGTGCATGTGTGAGTGATTAGAGAACGATAAGGTACGACTTGTTGCAAAATGTCCGCCCGAGAGTAGAAGCCGTCATTCGTCCGGAAGAGTGCTCAGGCTAGAATCGTGTCGGAGCATCGCCAGCCTCTGCACCTCCTCCCTGTGGTACTGCAGGTCGGCGACGATGGCCTCGGATCCCGGATGCGAGTGGTTCGGATGTCCTGGAACGTGCAATGGTCGTTTTCCCTCCTCCTTTTCCCCCTCCTCCTCGTCCGTCTCTTTGATTTGCTGATCTTCAGGATCCGCATCGCCCTGCTGCCCCTGCTCCCGTTGCTGCTGCTCCCTCAACTGCTGTTGCTGCCTATACCCCAAGCTGGCCTTCAAGCTCATGCTCGGATTGTACGGCGTCGTAATGCCCGTCCCGCTCGATCCAGATCCAGCACCCGCGTCGCTGCTCCATCTGCTCCTCGCACTGTTCAGCGACGAAACGTTCCTATCCAGGCTCTTGAACAGCCCCGTCTGCTGCCGCGCGCCCGCCTCCAACGATCCCGCCCCACTCGACCCGCTCGACCCGCTATCCATCCCCGGATCATACGCCATCTCCCCCGCCAGCTCCGCCGCAGCCTCCGCCTCGTTCGCCGCATCCAACTCCTCGATCAAACTGCGCATCCATTCATCCTCCTTCAACTGGATCGCCGTCGGCCTCTGTCGCGGATTGATCGTCAAACACTGTCGGATAAACTCGATGCCCGTCGGCGACAGCTGACTCGGATCCGGCAGCGCCGGGTGTTGCTCCGCCATGCCGATGTGGAACATGATCGCCCACTCGTTGTCAAAGTTGCTCCATGGTCGTTTACCCGTAGCAAACTCCAACACGACACAACCCAACGACCAGATATCCGCCGCAGCCTGAGGAACGTCAGCCGTACCTTTGATCACTTCGGGCGACATGTACATCGGCGTACCCTGCAAACTCGCCATCGCCCCCGCCGGTCCGCCCTGCTTACCCCCCTCGTTACCCTGCGCCAGCATGCCGATGTTGCCCAACCCACCCGTCTTGCGAGACCGCTGGATCGTACGACTGTTCTTGGCTAGAATCTTTGCAGCACCGAAATCGACATACTTGAGCACACCCATGTGATCCAGCAGAATGTTGTCCGGCTTGATATCGCGATGGATGATGCCCTGCGAATGCAGATAGATCAGACCTTCCAGCATCTGCAATGTGTACACCTGGATCACCGTCTCGTCTTCGATCCTGCCATGCTCGAGCAGCGCCGCCAGCGATCCTCCCTGACAATACTCCTCGAAGATGTAGACGCGGTCGCGATGCACCTCGATGCCGTAGTACTCGACGATGTTGGGGTGGCTGAGCATCGACATGACCTCCATCTCGTCCTTGATCTGTTGATACAGGCTCGGCGTGGACGAAATGTCTTGGAACCGGATCTCTTTGACAGCCATCAGTCCACCGCTGTCCAGGTTGACCGCCAGGTACACGGTACCAAACGTTCCTCCGCCGATGAACTGGCCCTGCTGCCATCGGATCGTGATCTTGGACGCCGATTGAGCCAGGAACTGCAGGTTGCGGTCCTCGAGTCGCGTGTCGTCGAGTACGCGTCCGATGAGACGCTGCTCGAGATCGAGTTCGTGCCTCGCAGCGTCCCATTCGAGAACCTTGGAAATCCAGCGTTCCTCGGTGGCCTGCATGGCTGTATCGAGCTTGTTGAACAGGTTCTGAGCCCCAATTCCTGGTCCGACCAATGTCGACTTTGTCTTTTCCAACAGCGGAGTCGAATCGCCGTTGCCCTGCACTCGCAGTTGCTGAAAGTCTTCCATGAGACTCTGCACCGCGTTCGCTCCCACCGCGCTGATTCGATTGCGATCGGCCTTCTCGCCTTCGAGCCGCTCCTGATCCTCCTGCGCCTTTGCGACACTACTCCTGGCACCCAGAATGTCAAAGTGCGAGATCAATAGCGCCATGCACGACGCTACTTTGGACCGAAGCAGCGCAAAATCTTGCTCGTTGAGCCTGAAGATGTTCTCCATGGACGTGATGTGGTTCGCATTGCCAAGCGCCGTAACAGCCCACTTGAACGTCTTGCGCTCGCTCGGAACGCAATCGTCACAGATGAAAGCGATCCAGTCGATGGCGAGACGGCCCAGCGCCAGCGTCATTTGACCTCTCAGACGTGCTGACTCAATGAAGGGTAAAGCACGGCGTCCGTGTTCAGCCGCCATCGAATAGCAGTTCTGGATGAGCTCGTCGCAGTTACCGCCAAGCGCTGCCACCGGCATTTCCGTGGTCGTCGAGCGTGGCGCGCCGGTTCTTGCACGCGCGCGAACACCTAGGCCACGAAGCCGGCGACGGATCTCGGGGACCTTGCGGATGATGGTATCGGAAAGCATGTAGACGCCCTTGTTGATTTCCTCGAGACCAGACTGGACGCGGCTCATGTGCGCCATTTGGTCGTTGAGGGTCTCGAGCGGGAAGCTAGCCTGTCCATCTTCGCTGTCGACGTCTTCGCCGTTGGCGCTATTTGCGAAGATGCTCTGGAAGTGCTGCTTGGCCAACTCCAGACGTCCTTTGGGGCCATCAGCAATGAGACGTACGCGTCGATCTGCAAGCGTGATGTCGACACGTGGCATAATGTGGTGCATCACCTTGCCCGTCCACATGAAAGGATCACGCGGACTCAGGAGAAGGATGTAGCGCGGACGGTCGTCGGCGTCTTCATCACCGCTGCCTGGTGCACTGCCGTTCGCAACATTGGCGTTCGAGCCCGGCTGCTTTTCGATTTGTTCTCGCAGGGCGTTGGCGTTGCCAACCCCAGCTGTGCCAGTTGCATCGTCGCCTTCGTCTCCGTCCGCATTGAGCGCCTGTGCAGTAGCCTCTTGAACCAGCGCCGAGTCCTCCTCGCCTGGACGGACGCGATGCAAACATTTGCAGACCAGTTCCTGGATCTGATCCGGCCTGTCTTGCAAGCTAGGCTCAGCGACGAGGTAAATTCCGTCCTCTTCGAGAGTCTCGGTGTAAACGAGGAAGTAGTCGTGGTCGATCAGCGTCTGCATGAAGGAGCTGAGCGTCATGCCACCAGTGTTGGTGACATCGCTGTATTCGGCAACCGAGCGATCGTCGGCTTCAAGATAGTCGGACGAGGGTCGAAGGTTGCCGAGGTCGAACTCGGCTGCGTTGTCGAGCCGATTTCGAATGTCTCTTGCGAATCCGAGAAGCTTACGAGAGCGAATGCGTACATTGTCGAACACGCTGTGAATCCACTTTGCACGGTCCTCGAGCGTGATCAAGTTCTTCTCGTGGGCGCCAGGCGCGGGATCCGATTTGGCGAGGCCGACCGGACCGGCGGCCGAATTTGGCAGCCGTCGTCCGTGCTGATCCTGCTGCGTCATGGTGGCTGTCAATTCTCGGTTGAAGTAGCGGGCGATACGATCAAAGAGCTTGTTGACGAAACGGGTGATGTTGGTGGCTACGATGATGTCTCCGCCTTCGATCGACTCGACGGCCGTACTGAGGAAGCGCCACTCTGGTTCCAAAATTTCGGTCTCTTTGAAGTAGACACTCGCTTTGAGCTTGAGGCGCAGCAGCTTGAAGAAGAACTTGAGCGCACTTCTCAGCACGTCGTCGTACCCTTCGGCGATGCATGGGGACAGGTTCCAGCCACGTTCGGGGTCGGCGATGATAGTGCTGGTGTAGTGAAGCTTGACTCTGCACGCCATGGCAAGTGCGGTTCGCAAATCGTCTGTCAAGGAATCGACGATGAGCACGCTAGGCTCGGCGAGTTTGCCAGCATAGTCGAGTCGAAAACGGAGCGCGCCCTGCATCAGGCGTGTCGGGAAGCTGATGAGCGTGACGAGCTCTGGCTCGAATGGAGGCAGCGCCATGCGCTCGAATTCCTTATGATACTTGAGGATGGTCTCTTTGGACTTTGTGATGAGCTGGTATAGGCTGGCAAGCGTGCGCTTCTCAAAGGTCGACTGAAGTGAACCTTCCTTTTGGATCCTCTCGACGAAGGTGCTGTCGTCATCGGCAGTAGTCTGACTGGAGCGTTGCTGCGCGCCCTTTTCACGCGCGTTGCCATAGGCGCGGGCGCCGCGTGGCGCAATCTCGAGGGACTCGGAGCCTGTCCACTTGCGTAGGATGGTGATCTGAAGGCGCAGCGAGGTGGTGGTGTTGTACCAGCTGTAGATTGCGGCGAGCTTGGCTTGGACCTCGGCATCGCCCCATTCAGGAACGATCTGGATTGCGCGCTTGGTGGAGGGGAACTGCTCTTCTGCGCGGTCGATCTTTTCCAGGAGCTCTCCGATCTCTGCGAGAACCTTGTTCTTTTCGGCAAGCACTGCCGCCTCTGCGTCCGATCCGGCCTTCTCGGGCTCGAAACCGCTGGAGGCTTCCTGTGTGAGCGGATCAGTCTCACTGCTTGTTTTCTGCGCGGCCTGGGAGGGTGTGGTGGCGGTCGAGGCAGAGGAGGCCTGAAGGCTTCTGCTATCGGCGAGCGCGATCTGTTGAGAGCGACAGTCTCGAACCTCCCGGACGAGGTCCTTGAGCATCTTTCCGAAACCTTGCTTGAGGCGTTTCTCCTCTTCCTCAGTGGCAACACGGTGGGTGCCGCGACCACGAAGCGTTGCTTTGATATCGAGCCAGCGCTGATAGCTGAGCTCTTGACGTGAAAGATCGGGCGTGTCGACCGAGTTGATACGCTTCGTCTCGGACTTGAGGACTTCCGAATTGAGGACGGAGCCGAGCATGCTTTGCCACTCCATGCGATGCTGAGGATTAAGAATGGGTGTTTCGTCTTCGCCGAGATCGGCAGGAGTGTGAAGATCGAGCGGAAAGCTAGGACCCGGAGTGGCAGTCACGCCTGCGACGGCATCGATCGAAGAGGCCACGGGATCGTGCGATGGGCCCAGAGAACGATCTGCATTGGCTTTGGCTGCGAGCAGGGAGTGCGATTCGCCGTCCCAATCGTCGCTGTCGTCGCTTGCGCTTGCGCTGGACCAGTTGAATGCGCTGCCTTTGGATGGAGGTATGGACGCTTTTGCTTTTCCCTTGTCGTAGGAGTTGCCGTTTCGTGAGAAGTAGTCGCCCTCGTCTGTTGCGCCGACGGCTTCTGCATTCCGCAATCTGCGCGCTGCGACGGCCTCGTCTGCGCTGCTTGCATTGAGCTCTTCGCCATCGGAGCCTTCAACATCGTTGTCATCGAAGTCAGGAAGGAGTGCAGCATCCCGTCGACGTTGACGCTCGGCTCTGCGTTTCTCGACGTTGACCTGGCGCGCGACGAGGCTGGTGGTGGGGTCGTCGTAGTACGTGGAGTCGGTGGAGAGATCACGGTCTTCGGGTAGTGGCTGAGATAGGCTGGTCGTGCGTGCTCGAGTCGTCGTGACGTGACGGAGCGAGGAGCTGGAACGTGGTGCTCGACGAGGTTGTGTGCGTGTGCCTACACCGGCTGCTGGAATGCGTTGCTGCGTGGAGCCATCTTGGGTTGTTGTTGTTGTTGTCGTCATTGCAGCATCTGGAGGCGCTTGCTCCTCGTCTCTGCTGTCATCTGGATCCTGAAACGAGACGCTAGGACCTCGTTTCTTGCGAGGAGAGGGCGTGTCGGTCTGCGAATGCTCAGCGGCCGCTACCGAGGGTTGGTGATCTGATGCCTGCTGCTGCTCTTGTCCTTCGTCTTGATCCTCCTCTCGGATAGGATCTTCTGCCAAGGAGCTTGGGCCAGCATCGCTCGTTTGATAGGAGTCTGACATGGTCGACCAAGGTTCGCGATGGCGTGGGATGGTCGACGTCTTGAGCCAGAGGTGGAGGGCCGATCGACAAGGTTGCGGAAAGTAGCGAGCCAAGTCTCTGGCCAAAGACACGCTCGGATCCACGCCAGTCACACCGTCCCTTGTTTCCAAAAGCCAATTAACACCGATGCAAGAGTGCATACTCGACTCGCGATTCATTTCTCCAGTGTTGAGATCATCGCGGCCAAAGCGCTGTGCAGTTGAAATCAATTTCATGTCGTCGCTCGCCCCCTTTTCCAAACAAATCCAATGCCGCACGCCCGCACTCTCACGCCTGCTCAATCGCCGCTCGTCCTTCACCATCCCTAACCAACACCAGGCGCGCTACTCGTGGCGTATCAAGACTGTCACTTCAGGCTGCGTCGCATCGCAGCTGCTTCGGAGGGCACGCAGCCAGATCGGACGTGCCGAGGCACATCGACTCAGCGGCAGGCTGGCACACTTCGCCGTCATCACAACTATATCGGCTTCGTCCGACTCGAATCGCCTTGGTTGGTTCTGCGATTAGGCCTCTCGCCGTCTTTTCATATCTGCCGCAGCGGGAGAAAGCTAGAAGGCTAGGGCTGAGAATGCGATGCACCTGCTCATCATCAACAAGCTTGCTGTTTTGCTCGGAGCAATCTTGACGGCATTCCTATCACATCACCTGACAGCCATTCAAGCTGGTCAGCCCCTGCAACAATGGCGGCAGCGACACTTCCACTCTCGCGCAGCGTGCGGGTCCCGCTCGCCAACCGCCAGAATACAAACGAATTTGACGACTGGGGTCCGTCTTCCATACCTCCAACAGTGCAGTCCAACGTCCCTTGGGACGAGCAGGTCGTGCCTGCCTTGCGCAAGAAGCTCCAGGCCGAGTCGAACAACCTCAGCAAACGCATCAGTCGTATCCAGGACAGCGACGAGGGTTGGGCACGCTCGCGTCAATCCATCGACCACCGCGATCCCCGCGCCGCTGCTTCAGACCGCAGAATATCACGTGAAGTGGTCCACCATCATCGCGAGTCCTCGATAGACCAGTTCCACAACCGCTTTGCCTCGATGAGAGCACCATCACGACAGCAGTCTGGAGATGTGGTGTCGTCCAGCTTCCCTTTTCAAATTGCTGACTCGCAAGACAGCAAAACAGAAAGGGGTTCTGCTTTGTCTCACGATGCTACGGCAAGAGCGAGGGAAAAGGCGAGACAGATCGCTGCTTCGCGCTCAAATGCAACTCAAAGGCTCAATGGTGGATCGAGCGCTACCAACGCGTCTTCCACCGACACTGATGGTGGAGTGACGAAGGAAGGGATGGATAGCACCGTCGATGCTATTCCCGAGGGAAAGGTTGCAGGAGACGCGGTTCAGAGTTCTTCGGCATCTGAAAGGAAAAGACTGCGAACGCAGTCGACTCCCATGCGGCCAAGTTTGGACGCGATTGATCCGGCCTATTCGGCCACCTCCCGACGCAGTCCGAATCAGCCGTCGCACGACTCACAGCAATACCATCCGTCGAGGGACATCACCGCGAAGCCAGGCAACAGTCACCAGAGAAGCAACTCCTTGTCGCGTCGCAAAGCAGCCATGGATCCCAAACTCATGGAAGAGTTTGGACCTCTCGGAGCCACGCCCTCCCCAACAGCCAAGCTGCTACGTGCGCATGAAGAGTTTCACCCAGCGTCACCTGCAACCCCCTCCTCCAGCCTCCGGTCTCGCAATGTCCAACCAGACGCTTTTCGCTCACTCTCCAAGATAGATCAAGTACGCTATCGCGAAGTATCAGCGCCGCCGGCTTTCGGCCAGGACGGTGACTCGACAATGAGCGAGTTTGGCGCCTCTCCCGGCAGCAAAAGCGTCAATAGCTGGGAGGACCAGATCATTCCGACTGTTGCGAGAAAGTTGCAGCAGGAACAGTTCCTGAGGGCAGGCATGGAGGGTCAGCTCGGCCGCTACGAGGGTTTGATTGACACGTGGGACAAGAACGGGCTGCCACTCAGTAGGAGTGATGTCATCGCGATGCAAAAGGCGAACAAGCAAAATGGACTGCCACAAGAGCAGCAAGCCGGTAATGATCTAGGCGATGAACAAATGTTGATACCTGGTCCAGCGCTGCAGCACAAGAACAGCAATCTCAGTCCTGCCCAAGCGGGCTTCAGCGAGAGATCTCGTTCAAGGGCTAGCAGTCGACGCAGCCAGCAATCTGGACGCTCACAACAGCAGTCGATCCAAGCGTCGCAAGCGCAGCCCGAGCCGCAGGCTCAGAAAGATCACCTGCAGCAGAATCACGCACAGCGCTCCCAACAAGAGTTCGTACCGATGCAGACCTTCGAGTCCCACGCTCCGAGCACTACGGCGCAACCCAGCCAAGCCTCAGCGCCAGCACCACTTGCACAAGGTAAGCAGGGTGCCAGGGACGACGATAAAGTTGACAAGGGTGGCTGCTGCTGCATTGTCATGTAGCTTCATGCTGGCGTCGACCCTACGATTGTTTATATTGGCATTTCTCAAGCCGCATCGGCATCTCGTACATCTTTCGTCGCATCGGAGCGCACACCATTCATTGTCATTACCCTTTGATCAGATCACGACCATTCCTATTTCTTCGCAAAGCATTTGTTCTTGTTTCCTGCATCAGTCGTTCAATGCAAATATACATCTTCACGCTCTTGACATGCGTACTTACGCCCGAGTCCGAAGTCGAGCTCGTCTGGCTGATCATGGCGTGACTTGCATCAGGATGCGACGCAAGCATGAGCATGGAGTAGCCTTCTTTTCGTCAAATGTGTGTCAGATCACAGGCCTAACAAAACGGAAAATAGCAATTGTGCACGTCCCAATTCTGTGCACTTGGTTTTGGAGTCTTCTGTCTTCACAGAGGAGCAGGCGCGCGTGCAGCACAATCATCACCACCATCTTGCGACAGCATATCGGCAACTATTCTGAGAACTCACACGAAGGGGCTCTTGCTTTGTCTGCGGATCGCTGCATCGCCTTTTCATAGGAATCTTCTTGCAGCTTGGCATCAAACCCGTCCCTCAATTCCGAATCGGATTTGGACAAGATGAAGACCGCATTCGTCTCCTCGCTCCTGGCTGCGGCGTCTTTCGCCACCCTCCCTGCAGCGGCAGCGACGCTCGACGGCGGTCCGTCCTACTCGGTCCTTCACCGAATTACAACGCTCGACGCATCTTCGTCGTCCTCTCCCATTACATCGTGGACGCAACGTGGGTTTCTCGAAGTATCGTCCTTCAACACGTCCTTCACGAATCTACTCTCCGCATCCGAAACCAAGTCCCTTCACGACCAGGCATGGGAAGGAAAAGCTAGCGAGCTGCTATATCAACTAGCACTTGTCCCATCCGGCGCCGAAATAAGCGAAGATGCCGGTCTCTACACATCGGTGCGTTTATGCCACTTGCAGCAGGGTCATCGGGATCTACCGTCCATCGACGATGAACTGCTCATCACCCTCCGATCCGATTCCATCGTCTCGCTCGGCTATCGCATCAAGGACATCTCTCTCGATCACACCAACTGTCCGCTCCCTTCCGACCGTAAGATGTCTCTGGTGAGGGAAGAACGTCGAAAACAACGTCAACGACAACTCTCCCGTCGAAGGAACTCTCGTTCCCCCACCACCACCCCACCACAACAACCGCCCGTGGAAGAACTCAAGTTCAACACAGCTGTCAAGTCGATCCAACCGCAAAAGGCAGCAAAATTGACACTGAGAACCGCACAACCCACCAACGAAGACGGAAGCGTCAAAGTTGCTCCACCGGAGAAGAGCTTTGTGCAGAAGTACTGGATGTACGCGATTCCCGTGGTGATCCTGTTGATCATGCCGGATGGTGGAGATGACAGGGAGGGAGGTGCAGAGGGTCATGCGAGCAGCGAGCATAGGGGAACCGGTCAGGGTGCTAAGAGGTTGAACTGACGAAGATGGTGTGCGTGATTAGGATGATTTGGGAATGCAAATGTTTCCGAACGGGACTCATCAGTTTGTGAGGGGGGGATGACGGTGGAAGCTGTGATTTGTGAGTGTCCCGAGGTGTGGTACGAGTGATGATTGACGACCCGGTTAGGATGTCAGACAGCCTCTCATCGTTTGCAGCGCTGCGATCGAGAGCTTTCAAACACACGACAAACATCAACCCTGATCTTGCACACGCACACCACTGATCTCTCTCAAAAGACTGCTTTCGATGGACTTGCCATTGCCGCTCACACCCTTCTACCATCGGCTCTCCTCCCTCTCCCCTCACCCCCCTGTCCCACGAAAAACGTCCCCGCCTTGTACACCATGTACAGCATCACCACCACCTGCCCAAACCTGACCAACGGATTCGCCACATCCGACTGATACTCCCTCTCCTGCATCGTGCTCGCCGCGCTGCCCGTCTGCCTCGCCCTGTTCCTCGCCTCCCTCGCCCTCTGCTGTGCAGCCAGAGTCTCGAACGCATCGCCCCCACCACCGGTCATGCTGTCGTTGAACACGCTCGAATGCGTCTGTCTACCGAAGCTTGCGCTTTCCTGCGCCTTTCTACGTCGTTGGTAGTCCCATGCGTAGGTGGCTCGGGCGCGACGGTTGATGTTGTCCTCCGAGTTGTAGTAGTACCCTCCGCCTCCGCCGACGTTATCCCCATAACCAGAGTAATTGGAGGAAGAAGAGGAGGAAGAAGCAGAGGAGGATTGTCGATCGTACGCCTTTCGGTCTTTTGGGTGCGAGAGCGTGGCGTACGCTTCCGAGACCTGTTGGAACCGTTTCTTGGCGTCTTCGGATGGGTTGACGTCAGGGTGCAGCTCTTTGGAGAGCTTGTAGAACTGCGATTTGATCTGCGCTTGCGTTGCTGATCGAGGTACTTGCAGGGTTGAGTAGAAATCGATCGTGCGAGCAGAGAGGTGGGAGGAGGTGGAGAAGGATCTCTTGCTTCCGCTTCCAGTGTTGCTCGGACTGGGATGAGTTGGGGAGCTGGTGGGACGACGCGTCGATCGTGCAGGATGCGAACCTTCAGCAGGCTCATCTTGAGCAAAGATCGCAGAACCTTTACCCCACGCACCAGCCTTCTTACCCCAATCCTCCCTGACACCCCAGATGTGCGCCTCGGACAGCACCGGTGGTCCCTGATCTCGATTCCGCTTCTTCCCGATCGGTCCTGGCGAGAAGTCCGGTGCCTCGTACTTCTTTCCTCCCTGAGATTGTTCCTGCTTCTGCTGCTGCTGCAACTTCCTCGCGGTCCACTCCTCCATCTCCTGCTCCAACTTTGTCTGTGCATCCCTTCTGCCTGGGAAGGACGCTGTCTCGTACGACGCTTCTTCCGCGAAATCTCCACTCGGATCGACAAATCGCGGCGAATCCGCAGAGACGGAAACGCTAGCCGCAGCACTCGCAGCACGGTCCATGTGTCTCTGCGCTTCGTTCAACTCGTTCGCCACGATCGCTTTCCCCACCGCCTCTTCTTTCGTGGATGTGCCTGCCCAAGAATCCATCTCGTTGCTCAAGAAAGGCCTCCAACCTTTCCGCTTCATCCAGTCCGGATGACTCATCTCAAAGAGGCGGGAAACGGCTCTTTGGTACGAGAACCTTTCGTCCTCGCCACTGAAGATCGCCAGATGTTTGAAACCGATTTTGTCGTCCTTCTTCGACTCGACGGTAGATCGGGTCGAAGGTTTGTCGGAAGAGTAAGCCGATATGTTGGGTCTGAACCCCTCTTCTGTATCCTGCATGGCTTCCGACAGGGTTTCAGCCATGATGAGCGATTCCGTCATGAATTCGTCCCGGTTGAAATCCACGCGTTGGTTCGCCTTTCTTCGAGCGATCTCGTCTTCCTCCGGATAACCCTGACCCGGCGGAGGAGTCAAGAACGGGCTGCGACCACCCTTCGTCGACATGTCGACCACGTCTTCCATAGCATCACCCTTGTACTGGAGTTCGGGGCGGACGTCGCCGGGACCAGCAGCAGGACCTCTAGCTGCGTGTTGTGCAGCGCCCTCGGCATCGGGGAAGAAGAGATCGTCGGGCGCAGCGTCGGCGAGAACGACGAGGCGGCACCCGGCTTCGTAGACGGCGTCGAGGAGGGTGATCATCCGACGGGCCTGGTTCTTCTGCATGAGGGTGAGCTGGGGCACGCCCTCGAGGATGAACGTATGATAGGTGGAGGCGAGGGTGAGGTAGTCCGCGGGACCGAGCGGGGAGTCGCATAGTTCGGAGAAGGTGAATCGGCAGACGGAGGGTGAGGTAGAGGTGGAGGGGATGGACCGGGGTACGTGCAGCTTGCGTCCGTACACGTTGAGCGTGGTAGGACTGGAGGCTCGACCGGCGATGACCTCGGAGACCAGGCGATCGTATTTTTCCGCTTCACTGCGGAGGAAGTACGACGTTTGAGGTGCAGTTGAGACCTCGCCCGCGGGTTCACTGCCCGAATCTTGTGTGTTCTCTACGCTGTCTTCGGCTTCCTCATTCCTAGCGAGCCATTCTTGGCGGTAGAAAGGCTGTCTCCTGAAATCCCTGCTCTTTCTCATCTCGTGATTCGGACATCTCTCCTGCAGGATCTCCAAGAATTGCGTCAACTGTCCCCTCTGAACGTTGCTCGCATACAAATCCTTCGGGATCCTATTGCTCGTCCCCACAACCACGCCTCCCAACCTCCAATACGCCTCCAACGTCCTCCTCAGCAGCCCTGCACTCGCCACATCCACCAACTGAATCTCATCAAACAACAGGATGTGTCCGTGATTCAGGAAAAGATGTGCTGCGGCGTGCAGCGGCAGTGTTGTCTTGACGACGTCTCCATCGGGTCCTGGGATGTACTGAAGTTTCTCGTTGGGGTCATCTGCGAGGGAGTCGGGACGGAAGAACGGCATGCCACGAAGAGCTCTCCTCCACGAGGAAGATCTGTTCTCTCTGGTCCACACGGCACCTGTACCGATCTCTGGTGTTGCTGTGGATCGTGGTGTTCCCTGACGCACCGCTAGACGTCTCCGTTCGGCTTCCTGCCAGATGATCTTGTACAGATCGAGCAAGAGATGATGGTAATGCCGCCTGAACTTGTACTTTGTCGGCAGAGAGTCGTAGAAGATATCCATGACCATGCTTTTTCCCGTCCCTGGTGTGCCTGTGATCAACAATCCCTTGGGCGTTCCCAGTTCCGCCAAACCTTCGCTCTCGCTCAACCATCGTACGAGCTCTCCGATGTTCTCACCTTTGCGAGAGCTCGGTTCTTCTTGAAACTCTTTGGCTCCAGGACGCAGTCGAGCATCGATCGCCGAGGCCAGAGCGGAAGAAGACGAGGATTGCGAGTCGTCGTGGAGGATGCCGAGGAGATGGGCGGGGGGAACGTAGTCGCGTAGAGTTCGGTTGATACGACGCAGTTCGATGAGGGCTCGGAGTTGTTCTTCGTCCTCTTCGAGTTCGCCGCGGGCTACTTTGGCGCGGTAGATGAGGAGGGGGTCGGTGACTTGTAGCGCGTTGGGTTCGGAGTGGGTGGGTGATGCGCCGGTGAAGGAAGCCAGCCCGCGAGATGCACGCTCGATCCGGTGTGTGGAAGCATTTAGCGAAGATCGACGAGGGTAACGTAATGATACAGTTTGTGATGCTGACAGTGTCGTGTAGCCATACGAGCACGATGGAAGTGCAGCAGCAGTCGTCCGTGGTGCACTGGGGGTGCGGAACGCCCGCGTCGCAGAGACCAGCATGATCTCTGCTTTGGTTCGACCTTATCTTCAAGGACGCATGGATGTCTTGTTTGTCCTTTATCGTTCGATGAAGGGAGTTCGAATCTCGAGCTTGTCGATGCTAGCCTTACGTGTATGCGCTTGCCCTCCAGTGCGATGTGATGTGGGAGAACAACACCCTCGGTCTATATCATGTCTTCGAACGAGCTTCCCTGTGTCACACCGAAACCTTGGGCTACGGCGCTTGTCAAGCTATGTAAGCGTGCAGTTGTGCAGCCTAGGAGCCGAAGCTGGGCTCTGTCACGCTCTGCAACCGCAAAAAATCGCGCGTCATGCCTCCACCTTTTTGGGTTCAATTTCGTTTTCGGCCGGTTGACTGTCAGACCTAGCATCAGACCCTGGATTCGGATTTCGGTGCTGCACACTCTCAGGGAAATTTTTGAGAAGAACACCAACTAATGTCCCTCCCGTTCATACTAGTTCTGCCATACATCCAGTCCTCCGCATACACCGCTCCTTCCAGCATCACGCTGAGCAGTTCGCCAACATGTCACGTCCAGAACACCTAGCGCCGCCCGAGATATTCTACAATGACACCGAAGCCTCCAAATACACCGCCAACACGCGTGTACAGACCATTCAAGCCGAAATGACCGAACGAGCGCTCGAGCTGCTCATGCTTCCCGCCCACCGCACTCCCGCGCTCCTCCTCGACATCGGCTGCGGCTCCGGTCTATCCGGTGAGATCATCACCGAACACGGACACGAATGGATCGGAATCGACATCTCCCCGTCCATGCTCGAGGTCGCGCTGGAAAAGGAAACCGAGGGAGACATCATGCTCGCCGACGCAGGTCAGGGTTGCACCTTCCGTGCAGGCTCTTTCGATGGAGCTATCTCCATCTCCGTCCTCCAGTGGCTGTGCAATGCGGATTCTACCTCTCACAACCCCGCAGCGCGTCTAGCCAACTTCTTCACAACCCTCTACTCGTCCCTCTCCCGCGGCGCGAGAGCTGTGTTCCAGTTCTACCCGGAATCGGACGACCAGGTGAAGTTCATCATGCAATTCGCCACAAGAGCCGGCTTTGGCGGAGGACTGGTGGTGGACTATCCGAACTCGAGAAAGGCCAAAAAATTCTACCTGGTGTTGTGGGTAGGTGGAGAGATGATGGTCGGACCCAACGGGGAAGCTGCAAAGCAGGAGCTGCCGCAAGGGCTAGTGCATGATCATGAAGATGCGGAGACGGGAAAGAGCGGCGTCAAGTACGAAAAGAGGAGGCTGGATAGAGACGACAGAAAGGGCAAGAAGAAGAAGAGGAGCGGCGAGACCGCCAAGGAGTACATCGTGAGGAAGAAGGAGTTGAATAGAAAGAGAGGCAAGGAAGATGTTCCGCTCGACAGCAGGTATACGGGAAGGAAGAGGAAGGGCGGTTTCTAGGTAGCCGGCGTGAGAAAACGTGTTGTGCAAGTGGTTCGTACGCTCATTTATACCCTCAAATTCAATCGTCGTTCGTTCTCGTTTTGCAGCGTGCAACGTATGAGCGAACAAAAGACCTGTTTCGGCACATCCGATGATGCAACACAGATGCATCGGCGACATCAAACCACGCCACAAGCAAGGTATCATCCTTTTGCAAAAGACACTTCAACATTAAGCTACAGTTACACCTTTAATCGTCTTCTCATATCAAATATCATCATCCATACCAACCGGGATCTCGACCTTCTGACCAGGCTCAAACGCCGGCAATCCCAGATACGGACAGCTGGAGCATCTGAACGCATCGCCCAGGAAGCAGCTTCCACAGCTGCTGGTCGCGCCCTTGGTATCCACCTGGATGCGCTTGATCGTCTTGGGCTTGCCGTCTTTGCCGATGATGGTCTCTGTGACCTCGGTCCTCTTCCCGCCCGCCGGGGGTTCGCCGTTGGGCATGTCCATGTCTTCGGTATCGAGTTGAACGACGTTGCTGTTTGCGGTACGTTCTTCTTCCTCCTGCATTTCGCGGAGTCCACAGGTGCAGCCTTTGCAGGCCTTCTTCTTCTTGCCCTGACCGGGGCCGACATCGCAATCGGGTCGTTTGACGGCGGTGGTGGCGACGAAATCGGCGTCGCGGAGGAGCGAGGATTGGTCGATCAGGTCGTTGGAGGAGGCTGGTTGAGTGGCCCACAGCGATTTCTTGGCGGAGGCGGAGGAGCTGCCGCCGAGCTTCCTGCGAAGGGGCAGGGCGGAAGATGTGCCGGAGGAGGAACCGATCGAAAAGGAGCTGGAAGCAGTCGCGGGCTTGGATGCAGTGACGACGCCGGTGGATACATTGGTCTGAATATCCGTAAAGCCGGCGATGGTCAGCTCGGCCTTGACCTTCTGCGCTGTGGCGGCATCGACCAGCTCTCCTGCCTCGACGATGATCTTGGCGTTGGGCTGCAGAGCAGAGTGCAGGCTGGAGAGCAGAACAGGACTAGCAGCGTCGGCGTAGTGCACGGCGAGGTGTGCAAGGGGGTATGTGCTGGAGTTGAGCGACGTAGCGCCATCGGTGAGGCGATCCACCATGTGCATCTCGACTTGACGTCCCGAGTACGCTTCGATCACTTTCTGGTATGCACCGCTTTTGGCAGAGGACATGGAGCCTATGACAAGGACGGTGCCGGTGGGATCGACGGTCGTGGACGAGACTACGCCATTCGAGTTGTGTGCGAAGGCAGCGTCGGTAGCTACGGGAGGCGACATGATTGCGAGTTGTGTCGTTCGTCAAGGACTATATACGGCTACGAAACAGCGGGCAAGGTCAGGTTGGCAAGGCGGAAAACACTGAGAGGCGTCTGCCGTAGCTGAGTGAGGGCCTGCTTTGCGGGGTTGTACTTGGATGCAAAGCAAGTGTACGATGCTGACAGTGTCGGTGGTGGAGCCGAAGGTAGAATGCTGTTACGAGTTGTGTAGACTTGCTGGATGTAGTGAAGTCGAGATGATGGACGGAGCAGACCATGCAGAAGCGCAGTCCACAGAGTGTGACTCTGAGCCGTGGAGAAAAATCCACACGGGCAACCAAAGAGAGAAATTTGGCCTGAACTCGAGATAACGCCGAGAGCTGTGCGGTTAATTTCGCGCCCTCTTCCGTCGAATGTGGCAAATCAGTCGAGTCGGATTACCCTGCCTGTGACGCCCTTTCTTGTTCGGTTCGGTCCAGAGAAAAATAGGACTTTTCTTGAATTCTTGCTCAGAAGTGCGACGTAGCCCTCTCTCCTTCAGCTCCACCGCAAAAGGAGACAGGCACTGCACAGCGCGTTACCGTTCCCATTTCGCTTGCAGCTCTAATCTCCGGATCTGCTGGTGGAGTCGAATCCGACCTCCGACGATGGATCTTCGTCCCTTTTGCGGGTGAATCATTCTCAGCACGTACTTTGAGAGCGTCGCTTGGTAATCGAAGTCGATACATTTGGCGAAGGCCATGCATGGTTCGTGAGGACCGAGTTCAGAGGAGGCTCTGAGAAGCCAAATTGCTCGACTGTGGTTGGCCGCCCTCTGCACCTCGTGCAGACACACGCGAGCCAGTCTTATCTGATACGATTTTTCTCCCTCCGAACTCTCTTTCGGCCGAGCCGGTCTCCTCACCTTTCTACACGAGCATCATCGTTCCTTACCATCTCTATCAGTGAGGCACTTTCACACTCTCAGCCTCTCTGTCTGGCATCGCTTTGCGTGTATCAACTGCATTACGATCTCCCCTTCGTCGGCAGATCAATGGTATAGTAATTGGGATAAACCAATTCATCCTCCAACCCTTTTCTAATCACCTCTGCTATGAACTTCTCCACCTTCCCTACATTCTTCAGCACGTGCTTCTCGTGTTCTCCGACTTCGCTCTCGAACGTCAGCTGCGGCAAGATGTTCATCCCTGCTGATGTCGCCTTTTTGGCACCCGCACCTCCGACTCCTGCCGATGCAGCTGCAGCAGGTGCAGCGGGTGTTTCCGCGCCATCGTCCTCTTCGACGAGACAGACGTGAGCACGCTGATGTTCTCCCTCGAGTGCGATGATCAGTCCGGAACGCATCGTGAAGCCTGTGACGGAGAGGGTGAGGGGAAGGGACATGAATGCTGGACTGGGGTAGTTGATGAGCAGGCTGGTCGTGATGGTGAGTCGAAACGTTGTGGTGGGCCATACGAGTGATAATCGCATTTGCAACGAAGGAAGTTGCGAGGAGGAGGATGGGGAGGGCGTTACTTCTCGTTCGTCTCCTGGTGAGATTTGACCCGACAACGAGCGGAACGAGGCTGTTGGGGTTGATCGCATCGACGGTCTCGCACCGAACCCAGCCCCGTTCAATCCGTGGGAAAGGGGCGGATGCAGGCTATCGCTGTCTCGCTTTGCGCCAATTTGACTGACGCTGCTTTGCGGACCAGGTCCGCCACCGCGAAAAGAAGATGCGACGAAGCTCGTCTGTCTCGAGTTATTTGCCGAGTACGGTAGTCCCAGCCCGGACGTTGTGGAGTGTTGTTGCTGCTGCTGCCAGTGTTGAAAGTAACCTGGCGATGGAGGAACCGAGTCGATTGGACTCGTCACTTGCGTTTGTGGTAACGATGCTGCTCCACCCATCCCAGCAGCTCGTATCCCTCTCGACGCTAGCGCAGCCGACCACTGCTGATAGTACCCGTTCGCCCCTCCAAACCCTGCCGCAGGCGTCATCGGTGCACTCCCGGCAATGCTCGCCGAAACGACACTTGGCGGTCCATGAATTCTGTTCGGCGGCGCAGCATCATCAAACTGCGTATACGTCCGCAATGGTATATCGCCGCCTCCCACGACTCCGCCATGATGCGCCGAGAAGCTCTCCGTTGGCGACTCTACCAGCGTCGTCGCATTGCTCGCTGGTGTGGCGTGACGTGCTCCACGTCGACGCAGAGGCGGGTCGTCGATCGAGACAAAGTCCGGCCAGATGTCGGTGATGGACCGGATGGCGACATCAGGTGGGTCGGATCCAAAGCGCAGATTCTCGAAGCGCACATCGCCAATGAAAGAGGGTCGCTTAGAAGCGGAAGTCTCGAGCGCACGGTTGATGGTCTCGAGGAAACGGTCGGATAGGTGGTCGTCCAAGAGGCTCCAGTCTAGATCGAGTGACATCGTCGCCGATGCTTTTGGTCGGGCGAATGCCGGCGAAAGTTGGCAAGCGCTATATGTGAGCGTGTGCGTTCGGTGAAGAAGACATGACCGGTCTTACCGAGCGAGACTGTCCAGCGAAGAAGGCGGTGGGAGTTGGTGATGAAGGTTCATGCGTTACCTTGGGAGAATCGAAGTGGAGTCGAAAGTGTTGTTCTTTTGCTCTGAATCCGTCGATCGGGCAATTTCTCCCGATTCGTTCGCACGCAGTCTTCTTCGCGACGTCCGTGACAGCTTTCAGCCGGTGGAATCAACTTGCCTACAAATGACAGCCTGCCAAATCGGACGTGCTGCCCACTTATCCGCCACTCGCACAAGCACACTCTTTCATGGTTGCTGGGGTGACACGTTTCCAGTCATGTCGAGCATCATGAGTACCAAGGGGGCAAAATTACAACATGTATCGGAATGAGCTCTTGGCCATGGCAATCCTCGTCTTCTGCTTGTTCGACATAGCGTCCGTCGTCAAATGCGACTCTGGATCCCGCACAGTCTGAGTTTTGTCATCGTACACATCGTCTTCTGCAGCAAACGCACTCCCGCGGTTGACCAACTCGCTCTTGATCGCGTCCAACTTGTTGTTCTCCATCTTGAGCATCGTCCTGTGGAGCAAGACGAGGATGATGCAAGCGACGAACATGGAAGCGCTGATGGTGTTGCTCTGCCAGTACTTGGGTCCCCACTTCTTCGGCCACACGTAGCTGGCGGAGATGTTGCCGAGTTGCGAAAAGGCATTGATGAGGGCGAGGGCGACGGCCTTCTTGTACTTGGGGGTGGGGATGGAGGGAGCAATCCAGCCGAGCACGCAGGTGTAGCCGGCGTAGGAAGAGGCTTCGATGAAGAGCGCGAAGAAGCGACCACCCAGGCTGGTAGTGGTGGAGGAGATGATGAAGCCGACGATACCGAGGACGAGGGGGCCGATGATGTGGAGCGTTCGCTCTTGCACTCGATCAGAGTGAAGACCGTTGGCGAGACACGCGAGGAAGGCAAAGAACCAGATGGGCGCGGTGAGGAGCAGCGTGACGGTGTGAGAGTAGCCGAGAGATCCTACGATCGTAGGGAAGAATTGGTTGAAGCCGACACCGGTGGTCACGGCGGTGAGCATAAAGACAAGCACCCAAACCTTGATGTCCATGACCGCCATCTTGAGACCCTGCATGGGTGTTCCGTCCTGGTCCTCTGTAGTCAACGTCGTTCCGGAGTTGACCGAGAGCCTGTTGACAGCCATCTCGCGTTCCTCGGGCGTCAAGAACCTGGAATTGTGCGGCATGTCGGGCAGGATAAACACCGCCATCAATGCGATCACCACCGTGATACTGCCCTCGAGGATGAAAAGCCACTGCCAGCTATGCAACCCGGCCTTGCCTTGCATTCCAGACAAGATTCCGGCGGAGATCAATCCTGAGAATGCGTTGCTGATGATACTACCCGAGAAGAGGATGGCAGTCCTCGTAGCCATTTCCTGCTTCTTGTAGAAGTATCCTAGCAATGCCAACGCACCTGGAAAGAAGGGAGCTTCGACGATGCCCAAGCAGATACGGATGGCGAGCAACGAGTGGTAGCCCTTTGCTGCGGCAGTGCATGCAGAGACGATGCCCCACAGCGCGACAAAGGTGGGGATGTAGAGCGAAGGCCGACCGATCCTGGTCATGAGCAAGTTTGAGGGGATCTGGAAAGTGATGTATCCGACAAAGAGGATACTGAGCGCCGTCTGGTATTCAGTGTCCTTGAGCTGGAGATCTCGGGTCAGGCCGTTGTCTCTAGCTGTCGAGATCGAGTTTCGATCCTATCGGGAGGGAGCGGTCAGAGCGTGGAGAGAGACATAATAGGAAACGTGTCAGCGGACCGTGCCCTGCATTGCATTTCGTTTCGCTTGGAAGATTTTGGGTGCGATTCGCTGCTCATCGCCATCGCCACCAACTTTGATGGCGACAACAACCTCTCCTCAAGCTGCTTGAAGCATAACATTCTACAAACCAAGTAATTCATTATATATAGCACGACAAGGACGGGCATTAGACGGATGTCGATCTTGCGAACGAGTCGTTTTTCGAGCTGCTTGTACTCTTCCGAGCTAGGGTCGAGTGCCGCCACTGGAGTAGCAACGCCGGAGATTTCTTGCACTTGTTCAATAGAGTGCGCATCGTGAGTGTCTTGCTGAGCGTCAGAGGGGCGGTCAGATCCCCAGACTGGATCCTTTGAGAGCTTGTCACCCATCTCTGAAGAAAATCGCTTCGATTGTCGAGAGGAAAGAAGGGAAAGAAAAGTTGTTGGGTCGAAGAAACAGGCCAAGAAATGGACGCGTCACGCAGCGGCGTAGGAGGAGGAAGTGTCGCACAAAGGGAAGAGATCGCGAGGAGGTGAGCGAGAAGAAAGGATCCGTCGGCGAGCTCGCTGCTTCTTATACAAACGCAAGTGAGGGGCACCACATCCACCCCACGCTGGCGACCCCGGGCTAAGCGCTAGCTGCGCGTGCGCATCAAAGCGGGGTACGAGTTGCACCGAGAAGCGACGTTCCTGGAGCCCGCAAGCCACTCGCCACTGGCATAAAAGGGACCGGCGACATCTTTACACCGATTGGCCCTCGGCGCAACCCCCGTGTCGAACCCACGCTGCACACCCAACTAGAGGCGTACAGCGTGCAATGACAACACCGGTCCACCATGACTTCGGCTATGAATTTCTCTTTTTCGATTTGTCAAAACAAAAATCGCTTAACGAACAACTTGGCCCTCTCCACTGTTGACTGCGATGCTGCAACTCCTCTTGGGCTCACGAGAAAGTATGGATTGCCATCACTTTCTCACTCATTGCTGCATCGTGGCAAGAGACTACGAACGATGCGGTAGTGACTGGATGGCTATTGTCAAGTGAGGGACAACGAAGGGGCAGTGAACCCGTCGCTGTGGGGTCGGGTCAATGTTCAAAGTTCAGTGGACGTGGGGGTCGCAAAAACAAAAGGACAAATTTAGCCGAAGCGCGGGGTCGCAGCTGCGGTGCAGGTCAACCGCTTGAATTCCTCCGAACAACAAATCAGCACTCAAGATTTCTACGCGCCCGCGTCCTCGGCCCGCCATCACTTCACCTTTGCAACAACGCTTCGCAGATCACAATTCGGGCTACGACGTAGACTAGCACAGATCCATTCGAGTCTTGTCGTCTGCGTCCTCCGATGACATGAGTCTCGATACGGAGTCTGGTACGAAGACACGAGTGTTCAGGCAGGTGTCTCGAGGAAGGCTTGCTTTGTTACACAGCATCTTCTTTTCTGGAATGGCTTGCTACGTGCTTTCCGGATCTCGCCAGCCCAAGCGCCTATCCCGACTTTCCGACGGAGGCCAAGCGGGGTGCGGTGGTTCGATTTCGGCGAAATTCAAATTCTCTCTCCGCATTTTTTTTGGGTTCTTGAACCCACGTCGATCTTGACAGTGGCGGGCAGAGGTCCGAGCATCGGGTATACCGGTACATCCGAGCCGACGATGCTACTTGCATCGCGAAGTCATGGCAGAAAGCGAGCGTGGGATGATCGGGGCTTCCCACGTGAGAGGCACCGACGAACGTCGTCAGAGGCACGCTCTGAGCAAACGATCTGAGCATGTACACGCTTTTCACAGGGTCGGACATAAGCTGCGGGTTCAGGGCCTGCTGAGACACTTCGAGCGGCTAAGCACAAGCTGCCATTTTCTCCTAACGATACGAATTCTTGTTCATTGCAAAGAAGACAGACAAAGCAGAGTGAGACAGAAGGACGTGCAAGAGATCAGGCCGTGAGCAAAACATCAACCCGGTGCTGGAAACCCGTAAAATCACAACACTACAAAACAAAGCAGGAAAAGAAACCGATACCCATCCAGACCATCTCTAAGCAGCATGAACGACCGGCTGATGAATCGCACCATTGACATCACGCTTCATTCCATCCTCCGAATAGTAGCAGCTCCACAAGCAGTTCGCCTCCGCAGCCTCCGCCGGCGTCGACCCGTTCTTCTCTCCAGCTACAACGAACGCGGCTTCTTCGACGATCTTCGGTGTAGCCGTGACGTTTGGCTGGAAGCCGGAGGTGGTGTCGAAGGGTGAGGTACCGGAGGACGAGGTGGGTCTCCAGGATCGACGTCGTTCCGATTTGGAGGTAGGGGAGGACGAGGCGGTCGAGGTGTGAGGGGAGGATTGGAGGATGGAGAATACGTCAGAGATCGACGATCGACGGCGTTGACGTGTTGCAGGATCGATCGGTGGGGCCGCGGTAGTGGGGAGGGGGAGGGTAGCGGAAGGCTGGGTAGGCTCGAAAGCGGCAGCAAGGGGTGCGGCTGGTTTCGACGGGGCGGAGATAGGAGCAGCAGATACAGCCGGGACTACGCTACGGTTCTTGCGACCAAACGAGATGAAGAAGCGCTGGATCTTGTTCTTCTTGCTAGAATCGACGAACTCCTTCACGGGCGCATTCGCAGCCGTGGTCCTACCGACAGCAGCCCTGGGCGGGACCGCAACCGGTGAGGCCGTTTCAGCACGCACCTTGACACCAGTACGCTTCTTCACATCAGCAACAGCGTCTTTCTTCTCGACGGCAACGAACGAGATGACCGTCGGCCCACGCTTCACCGCCGCATTGTCGCCCATCAATCCAGCGCCGGTCGCCACACGCTGAACCTTGAGCTGCTCCACCTCGATCTCAACTCGCTGGGCCTCTTCGTCGCCGATAGACAGAATGGGCTTGGCGAATTCCTCCCGCGGAGTGGTCGGTGCCGTCGAGGTCGATGTGCGTTGGCTGTCGACGCCGAGAGCCGATACGAGGGTGTCCTGACCAACGCTGTAGGCCCGAGTGGTTCTCGGCGGTGCGATCTTGTGTACCACGAATTCGGGACGGGTCAAAGGCAGCCGCGCGATGGCGTTAGATGGAGGAATGCCGGCCAGATGGTCGAATTCGTCCCTTTCCTCTTCATCAAGACGGTCGGAAGGGACGGGACCGTCCACTGCCTTGGACCAGTCGGCGCCGACAAACCGACGGTGAAGAGCAAATCGCTTCGGGGTCGAGCCGGGAACGAGCTTTCGAACGAATCCCGTGCAGCGACTGGCGAACCTCTGGTTTCGATGAGGATGGAAAAAGTCGAGCGTCATCTGGTCCAGCTCGTTCTTGCGGTAGCGCTGGAAGTGTTCTTCCGACGTGAGCATCCTTCCGTCGTCTTCGCTGCCACGAGAGTGATCGGCGAAGAGGTAGGCCAGGTAGCGCATCTTGTTGCGCAGAATCTGCTCTGACAATTGTGCGGACTGGGAAGCGTCAGCAGACGCGGGTCGCAGAGAGCGAGTCCAAGGCGCACCCGACGCGAGAACACCTTCCGTCATCGACGCTGCTTCCGAAACGGTCGCATCCATGACCTGATTGACGAGCTGCTTGATGGATGCGAGCATGTCCACAGCACTCATCCCGTCATTCTCCAGAACAACGTCGACCAAGCCGATCTGCTTCGCCTCGCGAGAGCTCATTGGTAGCATCTCGCGAGCAAACGTGGCAGCAACGCGTGCACCACATCGTTCGTACCACGAGTACGTATGCCACTCGGACCCGAACAACCCCAGCCCGCGATAATGCGGGTTCAACACTGCCGATTCGGCACAAATGACGAAATCGGCAGCAGTCGCCATTGCCAGACCTCCGGCTGCGGCGTTGCCACGCATCGCTGCAAAGGTGACGATGCCCTTGGGTGCGAGAAGCGCCTGAACGCAGTCGTCGATGGCGTTGATGTTGGCCCAGCCTTCGGCGGATGGATCGTCGGAGCCCTCGATCACGTTGAGCGCGATACCGTTGGAAAAGTAGCCGGCACCACCGAGCATGACGACAGCCTTGAGATTTGGCACCTTGAGGGTCCACTGAATTGCCTCGAGCAGGATCTCGCACTGGGTGGTCGAGAAAGCGCCGTTGTAGAAGTCCGCGTGGACGAAGGCCACCACAGAGCCATTCTTTGGACTCGATTCGATATCGACCCATACCTGTTGGTACGTGCCTGGTCGATGCTTCCAGGGCTGCGAACCATCGCTGCCAAATCCTGCGGTGGCGCTCCATTCGGGAACCTTGGTCGCGTCCAACAGACTGAGCTTCGATGCTGTCTCTGGCATAGAGAGAAGCGCCATGACTGCCGGAAGTTTCGGGTGCAGGTACTTGTCTGTTTTGGCTTTGGGTCGACGAAGATGACCGATCCAGATGGGAAAGTCGGCACTCACGTCGACAAGAACAGCGCCCTCGCGGGTCGCTAGCACCGTTCCGGGCTGATCGAGTGCCAACCTTCTGGCAGCGACCGCAGGAGGGAGAGGGTCGCGCTGAACGTGGGCGTTGTAGAGGAAGAGAGGAGTTCCGAACAGGCTTGACAGCAGGCCAGGCTGAGAGTCGGCGCTGCGAATACGCTGCAGGATGGCGTCGGCGGACAGACGAGGCTTGGAGCTGCCAGCACCACCTTGTGGGAGGAGCGCATAAAAGTCGCGTTGAGAAGCCCGTAGCAAGGGTCGATCATGCGTTCTGCCACCCAGGAAAGGAACGCCGTGGGAGACGCACTGTTTGCGATACTGTGCCGGCGCAACTATCGACGCGTCAATAGGCAGGAATGAGGTAGAACCAGCCTGTTCGGCAACTCGTTTGGCACATTGCGTAATGCGTTCCACCGCTGCCACCACAGCATTGAGGGCAGCGCGAGTGACAGGACCACGATAGAGATCACTCTTCGACATGAACGCATTGGCAGCACCCAGCTCAAACTGGTCGAACGCCCATACGGGACCTGCATCAAACGCCTCGATAGCTTGCAGAACAGTGACTCCCCAATGGCTTCGCATGGTCGATCTAGCCGCCTTTGCACTATGCTTGGCGTCGATGAGAGTGAGCTGCTGATCCGCATCTTCGAGCTCGCCCATGTCTCCAATCAGACACCAATCGATGGCCGACGGACCCGCATCGCCCGGCGGGCCGGGATGGACGATCAGTGTCATCCAGTTGGTGTACACCTTCGGTGGGACGTGCTTGGTGAGAAATGGGCAAATGATGAGGTCCGGCTGGGCGAGCTCGGCAGCCTCGACCATGAGGTCTGCCGACAGCGCGTACTCGACCGTGACGGCATGTCCCTGTTGTCTTAGCACAAGAGCCGTACGCTGTTGGGTGGAAAATGCAAGCCAAAGAGTCGTTGTCAAGCGTCAGCAAATTCGGCACGGAATACGGGAGCCGGAGAATGCAGCATCGCAACCTTAAGTGAAGGTGGGGTTTGCAACGAGCGGGATCATGGTGGGACCTCGATCCGGCCAACTGGTCATTGGTGCTGGTGGGTGGGAGTAGGCGAAATACGTACTTGTGCGAGGGAATTGAAAGCTGTGCAGATGAACAAGATCTTCATGGCAAAGCTGGCCGGATCTGGCGGCGGTACAACTTGACCAAATGGTGATGTAGGAATCGGCTGGTCTGAACGAGTGATTGTAGCCAAGCGAAAGGTAGATCGAGGCACCAAGCGACAAGATTCTGGCGGAGGACGTAGCGCTTCCGGTTGTGAAGGACGATCGATCAGTTGGCGGTGAGGTGATGGAAAGGTTGCGCAAGCTGCAGCCAACTACTTCGAAAGGATGGATCCACGCAGGTTGGAACGGGCGGAAGGATTCGATGTGTCGCGGGGAGCGGGGCGCTATTTGAGGATCGGACAAGGAGTGTGTGAGGGATCAGTATTTGTACCCTTTCAGCTGTCTCTCGATTCGAGGGGTTGATCGCGTGCAAAAGGCAAGGTCCGGCGGCTTGGACAGAAGAGTAGACACCGGCAGGATTCCCCACCCGGCTCATACCAGTGTCGAGCTGCGAGGAGAGTAGGATGCCGGAAAAGGCTGCCTCGATCCCATCAGACAACTGGCTCGGATGAAGACATGAGGCGAGGCAACAGTCTCAATATTCCATGTGACAATCGCTGATGAAGCTGCAAGACTGGACTACGGTAACAGTGCCGGCGCCTCGCATCAATCCGAGGATAGAGGGGTGCATGAACCAAATGTCCGGCTTGGCTTGGCTTGACTGCACTTTGCTTCGTTGACCCTTCGCCCCCTACAGTAGTCAAATGAAGGGGCCAGATGATTTTTTTGCCAAGCGTTGGCGGTGGGTCGAGCTGCAAAAACCGCCGTAACGAGAACAGAGCGACGTCGGTAATGCAAGCGAGCAAGCAGACGATCGACAACCGATGCTCGAAGCGGAAATGTGTCCAATGGCCGAGCGAAGACTTCATTCTCCTAGGGCTGATACTTACAGTGGGTTCAAGCGATGAAGTAGGGATTACAGAGGAACGAGTCGAGGCGTCGACTTGCCGGCGTGAGAAATAGAAAGCAAGGGGCTTCAGAAAGCTCAAAGGACGGTCAAGCTCTTCGAGAGGCTGAGAGCTTGAGGACGAGCAGGAAAGTTGAAGAAGGAGTCGGCTGTGGCGGATTGAACGACGACCACTTTGGACGGATCAAGGTACGCGAACGTCGTGGTTGGAACCCGTCTGCAAGGAACACTTCAAGCTAATTCGCAGTAGCGTGTGTTGTCCTCCTCGATCGTGAGCCAAGTGGCTGGATGCGAAGTGCAGAGCAAGAGGCGTCGAGCAAGCTTGGCGCTTCTGTGTCACACCGGCAAGGGTGCAGGAGGAAGAAAAGAGGGGAGGCGGGATGGCGGCGGACAAGCTGTGCCTGTCAAATGTTGCAGCTGCAAGGGGTCAAGTATTGCAGCTCGGCGTTGTTCTTGAATCGATTTTTTCCCTCTTGGTTTTGTTTTTGGAGAAGAACAAAAAGAAAAAGAAAAGAAAAGACAATTCCGGTGACGGTGACGGTGACGGTGACGATACGTGGGACGGCGACAAGGACCTCAGAGTGGAAACGTTGTCAACGGGGCAGTGCGGGAAGATACGGTGTCGAAGATGGTGTCTGGGATCGGCTTGCTGAGGAGTTCAGTGGGAGGTTGGTGGGCCAAGTTCTGTGAGTAGAGGGTCGCAAAAAAAAGAGGAGAAGGGGTATTCAGAGTGCCCTATCTATATACGAATGATCATCAGCGTCAGCCAGGCAAAAAAGTGTCTCAGCAGTGCGCAAAAGGAATCGGCTGTGATGTGAGTTGGAGCACAAGCTTGTAGTGCGAAGCCGTTACATGTATCTTCATTGGCCCAGATGAAACACGAAGCATACAGCGTAACATGGGAAGCGATGGCAGCCTATGGCATCGTTGAGCAATGCAGACCGCATCCACCGTTCGGTGCAGGACATGACAGCTTCTAACGGCCGTGATTGACGCAATGAGAGGAGACATCTGCAAACGGCATTCATACTGTCTCTGCACGACCCAGTGTGCAGATTCGGGATAGAAGCAGCCCGAGGGCGGCTATACAAAGCTGCAGCGTGGTATGTAAAACATCGGAGCTCAAATAATATGGTCAAACTGACACCTCTCATTTGAGAAAGGACTGCCGTTGATGGTGGACTGACGAGAAGGTCGACACCGGTCCCCACAAGCATGTCTAGCTACGTTGATACGGCGAGCGATGCCCCGAGAGTGTCCTTTCCGCAAGATGGCGTGCAAAAAAATATGGAAAGATGAAGGGGCAATAAATATTCCATTTTTCTGCCGCCGCCACCACCAATTGATTCTCAACTCCGCTAAGCGAGACCTTGCATAAATGCACAGCGTGGGACAAACTCTTTTCGGAAAGCGACCCTGACACGCAGGCTGACACGCCTGTTTTGCGGGTACAGACGCTTGTACGCGCCTCAAGTCATCCGGCCCGTCAACAGATGATCCCGTCAGCAGGCTGCTTGAGCACCTGCATGCAGCACTGTGCGCATACCTTGCTGGACTGCATACATCCTGAAGACGAGGGCGAGGGTGAGCACTTCGAGTGCGCAGTGGTTGTCAACATGTACTTTCCGTCAGGTACGTTGATGACACCGCTTGCCGCTGCACAATGTACGACTGCGGTGCACGTTCCGAGTGGCTGACGCCGAGCAGATACGGCGTTGAAGCAGGAGCAAGTGCATCGACGGCAGAGAGCCAAGCGGCTAGCGGAGACGAATCTGAGCCGTGCGCCTTCGTCAACCACAAGTTTCTGAGCGTGGGAAATGGAGGCGCTCATTCCGAAACTCAGCATCTGTTGGCTCAGGGTGCCGCTAGGCGTAGATCCAAATAACTAAACATTCAAGCTTCCCGTCAGGAGGCTGTCCCCAAACCACGACGCTCGATACGACAGCGACCTCGGCATGTCCTTTGTGTCCCGAGCAAGGGCAACTTTTAGCGTCTAGACGCGTACCAGTCTCGGCAACGAGATCGTTCCACCCCATATCGCGGTACAGAGCTTCCTCACTGTATCCAAAACGCGTCGCCAAAAGAAGCCTATCTTCAAGCGAGCTCGCTTGAGAACTCTTTCGGGTTCCTGCCAGTCGTCAATCGATACACGACAACACTCTCAGCAACGGAGGTGCAAGCTCTCGTTGTGCCCGAGAACCTGTGTGCGCAACAGGCATGAAGCTTCGAATCGCGCCTACCGGAGTTGGCAAAGTAATGGCTCAGCCACGAGCGGTTGGCGTGGTCGGAGATGTGTACCAACGCTTTTGGGCCCGCCTCTACAATGTCCCAGATGGTACAAGGCGGAGTGCGGCGACCTACCGTGAGATGCAAAATCTCGGCTCGCGAGAGGGATTACGACAGGTCAGCGCGCGTCGTGTGGGGTAGCACAATTGCGGACAACCGTCGAAGCAGGAGTTCGGTTCAGACTCCGCTGCTCAAGTCGTTGCCGCTTCCGTCCAAAGCACGGGTCGACTACTGAAGTACTCTCGCTGCACTTATACCCAGGTGCACAGACGGGGTAGCATCTCAGTCGGACGGTGCAGTGATGGCAGGCACACAGACCACACACCGAAGAGGGGAGGGTCACGGACAATTCTATTTCCCGAAATGGTTCGCGATGCCTGTTGCGTGTCGAGCAGACCTATCGCAAATCCATTGCCTCTTCGCCTTCCACTGAAGCAAAACATCCGCTCTTGCCTCGTCTAATGTGAGGGACACCATCCGATACCACGTCTCCAAGCGCAGCTGTTAGGTCCTGAGACGGTGCTTGTCTTACGCTATGTTTGTTTTCGCTTTTGATCCCACCTCTGGGACGGAAGCAGGCGCACAGATTGGAGATGCATTTCGGGTCTTCCGACGCAGCATTTCCAAGACTTCCAGCAATGAATTGCCGTCGTCTTCCACATCAACTTGTCATGGTCTGATGAATGGCAGCCCAGTCCCCACCTTCTTCCTATAATCCTCGTACTCCTTGCCAAAGAATTTGACCAAGCTCTTTTCCTCTGCCTTGATCCTCCTACTGAAAAACAACCACAATGTCCCTACAAACCCAACCATGGCCAACTTATTGCCCAGCATCAGCTGCGTGCCCAGTGCCCAGTAGGTGAAGCCGACATAACTCGGGTGTCTCGTCCAGGCATAGACACCCGTGGTGACAAGCTGATGGTCCGTTCGTTTCTGGTAGGCGAGTATGTGGCTGAAGTTGTTGTGCGCATGGATCATGGCCATACTCCTCATCGTCTGGCCAAAGATGATAAGAGCGATCCCTGCGAACGTATACACCGAGGGTGACTTTGAGGCAGGGTAGAAGTATGCTGTGAGAGAAAATTCGAGGAGGGAGACGAGGTGCGCAATGTGGTAGTGTATGCCGTTGTTGAGCAAAAAGCTGTCGGAAAAGAGTCGAGTTGGGTTGTAGGATGCGGTGACGCTGAACTCGAGCATGTGAAAGATGACCCAGCTGAACAGGTAGGCGTGTAGCTGAGGAAAGCTCCACCAAGTTACGTTCTGCCATGAGGCTGTGTTGAGCGAGGTGAGAGGATTGCTAAGAGCATCGGTCAAGAACGCAATGGTGCGGGGAAGCACCAGCCCGAAGAGGAGACCAAGTGGGAAGGCGGTATTGGCAACTTGCAGTGCAGCTGGCGCATAGGCAGCTGGGATGACGTGTTGAATCGTGTACTTGTCCGCTAGCCACTGAAGCCAGGACTGTGATGCTGCTCGAGCTTGTTTGCCATGTTTGCCCGTCGGTATTGCCGCCGCTGCTGAAGATGTCGCAGCAGGGGCATCGTGTGAGCCGACACTTGAAGCGGGCGTGGACATGGCTGTCGAGTCTGTAGCAGCGTCGTTGCCTGCTGACGCGATGCTCGGATCGACCGTTACGGGGCTGTCCGTGTGGCCTGTCATCATGGAGAGCGATATCAGTGTGATTGCAAAAGAGGATGAGATCAGGTCGAGCCACACTCACGTTTAAGTACTTAGCGCGCTTCCCTCGGTTCCCTTTGTCCCACGATGCGCAGACCTGCACAGTCGTGGTTGTCGGCACTTCCGCTTTCAGAACAGAGGGCGACGGCAGTCCCTTTGTCGTGTGGTCGGAAAAAGGTTCAGGAAGTGCGAGAACAAAGGAGGTGACGAGCACAAAGGGAATCGCGTTTCCGCATCACCGCAGATCTGACTTCTTCGCGGCTGAGTTCCAAATCGCGACTTAAGGGTCCAACCATTCTCGCTTATTTCCCATTCCTCCATCCGTCTTTCCAACAGCAGACGCCCATCCACACTCAAGAACAACTTGGCAACTCTACCAAAGCAAGCTGGTCATCATGTCGTCCACCCTAGACAGCGAGCACGGTCCCTACATTCCAGGGCCTCCTCCTTACTCTCGAGAGCCTCCTAACGCAGGCGTCGAGGCTGCTCAACTGGCTGCAATGACCCTGATCACGCCAAAGTCTTCCAAATGCTGATGAAACTGTTCCACTTCAGCGATACCCAGTTCAAATGGATGGAGTCACTTGACGAGTGGAACAGGGACGTCGTTGAAGGAGCCTTTTGGGCCCTCGACGAACTCGCAACAAGAATCAAGGAAATCTGCCTTGTAGCTAAGCAATCTGACCCTAGCCTTGAGATGGAGGAAGGCAGCGAACCCGATCATGATTCACTCATCGACGGACTGGTATTTTAACAAGCCAGCCGCTGACGCCCTCGACGCGTGCTCTTGCAGCAGTCAGGGTCTCAGAACACACCTCGGAAGTCGGAGTGGAAGGTCACTCTGCACTCTCTCCGCACCCTTTCTCGCCCTTGTAGCTCGTCTTTTTGTGTCGTCCATGCTTCCCACTGTCACTGTATCATCTTCGCGTCCTTCCTTTCTCTCTCTCACACACACCCTTCCTGTTCCATTGCCGCATTCAATCACTTGCAAGCATCCGCATCCGTTCCAGCTTCCTTCACTTTCTTCCACTTCTCAAAAACACTCCACGAAGCAATCGTTGCAATCTAAATCATCGCTCAGCCTGTAGTTCACCTGCCTGCTGTGACTCTGGCGTCTTCATACCCTCCTTTCGCTTCCGCACTAGCGACCATCTGTGCCGCCAAATTGTCCTTTGAGGCTCTCCTCCAACTACAACAATCAATTTGATTGCCTCGAGCGCTCACCTACGCTACAAGTCGTCAATTCTTCCCTCGGGCTTTCGCGCCACAACATTTCCACGATGGATCTCCTCACACAGCTCGATAGCGAGATCGATCTGCTACTCTCAATCATGTCATCCTCCATCGCGTACATCTCCCGCAAAGCACGGCATACCGTCCTTCCCTCCTCCACCGTACCCTTGACGATTCTTGGCAAGACAGAATCGATATCTCCCGAGGAGATGGATGCGGCGATATCCGAGCTCGTCACAGACCTAGTCGACAAGGCGGACAGCATCAAGCAGATTATCCAGCATCTTCCGACCGAGCAAGATTTGGGTGGAGAGCAAGAGCTGATGTCGGATCTGCAGGGGATGGAGAAGGAGATGCGCGTGGTCAATGACGAGTACAGAGCGGTAAAGGAGGAAGTGGCGAGGTTGAAGGGCGAGGTAGAGGAGTTGGTCAGGTTGGTGAGTGAGAGACAGAGGGAGGGAAGGAGCTGGTTGGTGGAGGAGTTGATGGGCGGAGAGCTTACGAAGGCGGGAGCAGCGTAGGAGTGGAACGTAGCAAGATCGCTCCAGCACGCATTTGTATTTGTATCAACACCTCGTCATCGCATCAACCTAATCACAAGGTACCTTCTCTCCGCAAGACACACGAACACTCATATCAATCATCACTCTCTCACATCTGTAAACTGGGGTAAAGCACTGAATCATCATCTTGACCAGTCGAACAGCAATTTGTCGCCACCCCATCTGTGACCCTTCTCGACTCACCTCCTCTCTCCATCCCCAATCAACCATCCCACGCCACGACTGAAAGAGAAGCCACCACCACCCATACCAACACCTTCCGCGCCTGCTCCTGCTGCTTCGCCGTCTCGTTGATGGTCACTCTTCCAGCCGAGGAAGTCCCTTGCTGCGCGTGCGGCTCTTACCGCTCGTTCCGTGGGATCGACATACCCAGCTGTATCGGTTGCGGCGCCAGAGACCGAGTCAAAGTCGAACAGGGCGGCTGTCCTCGAATCTACGCCATGCGTCGATCCTGCGGCAGTCGATGCCGTCGCTTCCGTCGACGTTGTCGCTGCACCTCGAGCGTTGGAAGTAGCTCCGGTGTTTCCGAAGTACGAACCCAGACTCAAGGGCAAATAGTTGGCGGCGGTACCTACCAACCCCGCCCCGACACTGGCGGCCGTGCTCGCACTCAACCCACCCATTCCTCCTGCACCTTTCCCACTTCCCCGTTCTCCTAGTCCTCCCAACCAGCCATCTCTCCTCCCCTCGTCCCACTTACCATCCTCAACCTCCTCCCTCAACATCGCATCCAACCCCTCCCATACCCTCAGCATCCCTCCCAACTGCCCCGCGGGCGCCATCACCATCGCCTGACCCAACAGCGCCACCCTCGCCGCCGTATCCTCCCAGCCCGGATGCTTCGCCACTCCAAAACACGTCTTCCACGCGATCTCCCTCACCACCTCTTTCTCCCCCTCCTCCTCCTTCTTCCCTTTCTGTTTAACCAACTCGATCAACCTCTCGCAGAACCTCGCCGCACTCTCAAAGTCCTCCTCCCCCGCCACCGCCGCTTCGCTCATCATCGCCAACATCCTCCCCTCCACCACCCTCCCCTCTCCTCCGCACAGTTTTCTCGCCAGCTCCAGGATCAGCTCCGACGACCTCCACGCGCCCTGCTGCGTGGACAGCATGATACCTATCAGCTTGAGTCGGTCTTTCATCGTTCGGGTCTCCACCGGTGTAAGGCTCCCTCCTGAGGGGGACTTGATGTTGAACGCAGACAGTCGACAGGAGGCTTCGATGAAGTCTCTGTGGAGGGCTGCAGATTTGCTGTTGTCCGGAAGGGCGAGGAGGACGTCTTGCGATAAACGGATTTCTTTGCTGCGAGCGGTCGCGATGGGTGCAGAGTCGAACAGCGATGTCGAGACGTCCAGCACCAAAGACTCTAGCTCCGCGGGAGGGAGAACCGTGTGGTTGGACAGTGAACGGAAGAGTTGCACGTCACCTGTACAAAGCACTGTGCTGAGAAGACGACGGGTGGCTTCTTCCGAGGTGACCAGCGAAAACGGCGCACCGGGATGAGAGGTGAGCGAGAGATGCTCGTGGAAGAACTTCTCCCAAACAGCACGAAATCTCGCCACTATCGAAGGATCCGTGCTGCGATCCAGTCGTCCACCACTTGACGGTGCAGGATGAGCATCGTTGAACGACTTCAGGATCGAATCGAACGCTGCTGCCTGCTTCTCTTTCGCTCCGACTCGCGACGACGCAGATCCACCGTATGCTGCAAGCCAACACATGTCCACGTCCGGTCTATCCACCTGACCATCTAGCAGCGATGCCAGCGATCCCAACCATCCAAGATGCCTTTCCAAGTCACCCCACACTTCACCGTCAGACTCGCAGGATAGCAACGCGAACAACTGACATGCCGGCACGACGCTCCGCGTATCCAGATCGAGAGCCTGTCCAAGAGCATTCCCAAGCGCGGGACTGCCAGTCACACTTCCGCTGGAAACATTCGTGCCCTTCAACAGAGACTCGGCTCGCTTCAGGAATGCTGGTGGGGTGTTGAGGTCGAGCCGAAAGCCACCGACTGCAGGTCTTGCATACAGGATCGATGCGAGAAGGGGTGCTGTGCGGGAAGCTGCGCTCGCCGATGCCTGTGAAACCACCTCTAGGGCCAAGGTCCGAACGGAAACGCTGTCCTTGGTGTCCACTAGCTGCGTTACGCGACTGAAGGCTGCATCGGTATCTTGGTGTGAGGCGAGGACCTCACGAGCAAGACCCTTGATGGCGGCGTTGTTTGTGCCCGCGGCAGACACTTTTGCTGCGAGATCTTGTACAGAGGATAGGTCGAATCGCTGCTTCACGACGGACGTGATCTCCTGCTGACCCCTCTGCCGATCCCCAAAGAAATTGCTTTGAATTATCACGACGGCTGCCCGACCATCTTCGCCCTGCATCACCTCCTCCAGCACTGCAAGCAACACCCTCGCCTGCTCTATCGATCCGCTTTGCCTCCAATCCTCCAATACACCGCTGTAAAACCCGACCAAGTCGTCCACCGTCCGCGGTCGAACACTCGTTGCTGACTGCCAGAGGCTCGATTCCTTTCCATCCTTCCAACCGATCAGCACGCCAGATGCAGCTAGCTTACTGTACTCCTGCGTAGAACTCAGCAGCTGTGCGACGATCGACAACTTCGCTTCCGCCGACTCTTCCACCAACCAGGCAAAGTGTTGCAGAAGAGGCGCCACTGCTTCGGAAGCCTGCGGAAGTGAAGCCAGACACAGCAGAACCGAGGCACTCGATTCCCTCAACACCAGCGTCAACGGCAGCACCGGGATCGACAGCTGCGTACCGCGCAGCCTCTGATACATCGACAGCCGTCTCGCCAGCCTCTCCCACTCGTCCTTCACCTTCTTCACTGTATCGCATCTGTCATCGTCCGGTCGCAGACTGGCTAGGAACGCCGAAGCGACCGAGTGCACCGCTAGCTGCAGCAGCTGCTGTCCCAACTGTTCGATCCTCTCGAGCTCTTCCGAATCTTCCGGTTGGGTAGTGGGGAAGAGGACGGCATCGATCGCGAGGTGGAAAGCGTCGATGAGCCAGGATCGATCGGTGATGGTGCGACAGAGGGTTTGTGCGTGTTGCGAGATCTCTTCAACGAGTTGATCGCGTGGAGATTCACTGGATGAGTGCCAGGAATCTATGAGATGGATCCAACGAAGTTGGTGCTGACGTGTTTGGGATTTGCGAAGTTTGGTGGAGCGTGGTTTGGTTGTGGTGGAATTGACGCTGGGACCTGAGATTGTGGTCATGGTGTTGGGAGGTGCCGGGTACGATGTCCCTTCGTCGATGCAGTGCTTCTTGCGCGTGACGGTGTCGTTCACCGTGGTGTTAGAGTGAGGCCGAGCACTGCAGAGTGAGAGGAAAGAAAAAAGTTGATGTTGCAGGAGAGCAAGAAAGTGGTACATGCAACCTTGAACCTCATTCGTGTCACCGCCCAAGCCTCATTCCGACTTCCGAATATTTTCGACATTGACGCACAGACACGCTTCTTCCAGCTCTCATCTCTCCCTCACATGATCCCCGACCACCACAAGCAGCATCCTGACGTCGCAAAACACACACATATTCAACCAAGAACATCGTCGAGTGGTATAAGATAATAGATTGAACGGACGCTGCGTAAACAAGCGGTTTCAGATACACGGCCCCAGGTCATTAAGTAAAGGTGCTAAAAGTACAGCGTGTAGTGAGTATGGCATTGTGTGACAGCGCGGGATCGTCACCCAGACGCGCTCGAAATGGACTGGAGGAACGTGATGATCGAGTTGTCGTCGTACGTGTCCCAGTTCATCGGGTATGCTGGCGGCACCAGGCTTTCCGAGAGGTACTGCAGCGTCTGGTTGTTCATCGAAGCCGATTGATGATGTGGCGGACGACCGTGTGGCTGTCCGTGGCCGTGATGGTGGCCGTGGCCGTGGCCGTGACCGTGACCGTTGCTGTGACCGTTGCTGAATATGAGCGAAGGATCGCCGCCGTTGGCGCTTCCGTTGGCGAAATGACTCTGAGCTCCCTGCGGTGACGAGGTGGACACCAGCGATGGCGAGCCCGATGCCTGGCTCCCTGCACTGTGATACATGCCGTGATGTGCGCCGTTGCCGTTGCTGCTGCCATGATGAGGTCCGCCGTACTGGGGCATTGGCATGCCGTTGCCGTTGGCGTTGATGGGAGATGCGCCTGGGATGTACGGAGAGCGGAAGGGCCCGGGCGGCCCCGAGCTGGACGGTGGTCGACCAAACGCATGGTTCGACATTTGCGTAAACGGGTTCATGCCCATTGCCCATTTGGCATCCTCGGAAATGACGAGATCTTCGGCGTTGATGGGCGAGTTCTCGTTGATCGAAATCGTAGACGGCAGCTTCTTGCAGCAGAATCGCAAGAACCGCGCCAGATATGAACCTTGCTCCAGGTGGTGCTCCAACGACGGCGAGGTGGCATCTGCGGCCTGACGGATCGCTAGACAGGCCTGCGTCGCCAGCTCGTGCGGCATGGCGCGCCAATTGTCGCAGATCCATACCGCTGCCACCGCCAAGTTGAGGATGACAATGTCGTGCACGTATCGGTAGTAGCCCGCCTGCCCGTATACGCCGTTGAGCAGCTCAAACAGCCGCACCGACAGCTCAGAGCACTTCTGAAACGCGGCTTGTCGGTCATCCGCGAATGCCGGTCCCGAAAGCTGCGGCGAGCTGTAGATCGAGTAGAGCGCACGGTGGTAGTTGAACAGCGTGTTGGTGTCATGGAAGATCAGGCAGGGGCGTCCAGAGTGCTGACAGGGGATCTCGCTTGCCGGCGGATTCATCCACACAGAGCTCGAACACGTCTGTGCGGTGATGCCCATCTTGATGAGCCTCGCGTTGCGCAGACACGTGGCGCGGCTGATCTGCCCAGGTGTTGGGCTGCGGTTGTTGGAGTGTTTGAGCGATGTGATGAGGTCTCGTTTGATGTTGGCGTTCTCACGCGAGGCAGCGAGACGCACATCAATGTCCTGCACCATGTCGCCGAGCGAGTCGATCCACTCGCGCGGGTCAGGCAAAAGACTGGGGTCGATGGCGGGCGGAAGGTGACGTTGATCGCGGTATCCGTCCTCGAAGCACGAGAGCTGCATGAGGGTGCGCTGTGACTGGATGAAGGACCTCGATGGGCCGGACTTGGATCGCTTCTGAGGCCCGAAAAGCTCGTGCAAGCCAAGCTCGAAGGCTTGTGTGATGGCAAGCCTGACCTTGCGCCAACTGCTACCATCCTTGGGGTGCTTCCACATGGCAAGGATGGAGAGCGACTGGATGATCTCGAGCTGCGGTGCGATGTCATCTGCACCGACGCGCGAGAGGGCAGGCTTGAGGAACTCGAGAGCATCGAGGTAGCGGTCCACCTTGACAAACTTGGACGAGACGGTGCACACGGCGGCGAGAAGGATGCGGTAGTCTGGATTGGACTTGAGCGCCTTGAGCGTGTAGATCTGCGAGTCGAGAAGCGCGATGACGGGGTTGAGGTGCTCGTAATAGAAGCGCACCAGCTCAACCACCTCTTCCTCGTCAAATAGACCGGCGGTGATGACCGACTCGATGAGGGGCCGTCCAACAATGGCGGAGGCCACTTTGACAGCCGGCTCTTCCTGGATGTGGGAATGCATGGTGGACGAGAGGAGCGCCTGGGAGGCGGTGCTCTCGGATGAGGTGGTGTCGAGGAGGCTCTGCACCGAAAAAGGATTGACGGAAGCAGAGGACGAGGCGTCCATGTCGTCGTTGGGACTCGGGCTGGCCGACTCGCGCGACTGGCTCTTGGAGGAACGACGCTTGAGAGGGGTGATGGAAGAGGAAGACTTGGAACGTTGACCTTCGAGCTTGACGCCTCGATGATGCGAAGGCACAACACACTCTATGCTGAGGCGAAGGCAGCGTGTACAGTTGTTCGAGTCGTCCGGGAAGATGCAACGTGACTGCGATGAACAAGAAGCAGAAAGGGCGGAAGTGACAGGTCAGCAGCCGAGTCATCAAGTGGCGCGCGAGGTGAAAAGTAACGCCAGACTCACCTTGATCTTACGACAGCCGGAGCAGGCGCGCCGTTCGGCGAAAGGCGTGAATTGCTCCTTTGGAATGACGTCGCACTTTGCAGGAGGCATTGCGGCGATGTGGGGAAGTGACTGGAGGAGAGCGTTCCTCTGCACTGCAGGTGGCGAACTTGTTGAAGGCTCGACGTCCTACTCGTGCAGCTCGTTAGAGCATTGAACGGCAACAGCGATGCGCTGATACGAGGTCTACAGAGACAAAGAGAGAGAAAGTCGAGAAGGTGTGGCTGACGAAATAGACGAGAGGCGGTGTCACCGCTTGCTTAGTGGACGGTGATGAGGCGAGGTACGCGCTGAATCGAGAAGAGATGGTGAGAGTCGGGAAGGGCGGCGTCGACGAAGCTGGGCAAGTAGCTGGGTGAACAAGATGGTGGCGCAAAGAGATGCTCGGTTGGGAAGGTACGATCGTCCAAACCCTTTTTGTCTAGGCGACGATGCAGGAAATCGAATGTGCAAGATCCGGACGGCGGCAAAAGACGGGCAGGAAGAAGGCGGTTCAAAAAGCGCTTTTCCGGACTTCCTGCGGGCGGGCGAACGGAAGATGAATGAATGGTACAAATCAGCCCAGAAGGGGGAAGGTGCGGAATAAGGGTCGAGACCCTCGAAGAGCGCAAGAAGTGTGAGTGCGACCCTCGAAGTAGGGCAGTCAATTGCACTTGGGTGCGAGTCTGACGAGATGGCAATCAAAAGAAAGCGAGCGGCTGCCACGTTTACGGTTATTACGATCCGGCCGTTGGTGCTAGTGGATATGCCGGCAGAGTTGATGGTGGTGTAGTACGACGAGGACGAGGTGTGCGCGGGCTACGAGAAATCGGAAAGACTTTTTTTAGGGTACCGGTGGCACGGTGCAAGCCGAGGCGTAGGCGAAAGGCGACAGGACGGAAAAAAGGAGCCGCGAAGGCTAAGCTGCGACCCGTCTATGCAGGCTATACAAACCAAGCCAAGCGAACCCAAGCTGGAAGCCGATGTCGAGAAGCCCGTTGCCGAACTCAGCTAGATTGTGAGGGCGGTCGACGAGCGTCTTGTCGAGCGTTGTGGTAAGTTTCGGCAAAGCAGAGCGGCGCAAAGCAGAATAGAAGGGCTGCCAAGTGAGCACGGAACAGCCGAGATGGCCGGATCAAAAGCGCAGTTGGTGAACTGAGCCTTGTGAGACGGGCGACTTGCGCGAGAGACACTACACTGGGAGCTAGTCACAGATGCAAAGGCCGAGGGGCAGAGAGGTGGCCTGTTCCGAGAGACAGAACAGAGGGAGGCCTTGAGCCAGAGATGACTGAGGTGCTGTAGGCGGCGAGAGCGAAGGCGCAGAGTGTCTCTGTCGCGTCTCCGTCTGAGCCGAAGGCGGGGTCAGGCGCAAAAGCTTTGCTGCTTAGCTCGCGCATGGATTTTTCGTTCGGCCAAACTATTTCTAAGGGTTCTACAACAGCCACGCGCGCCAGAGCCCAGAAGCAGCCGAAGAGCAGGTGCTTCGCGCGTGTCCGCTGCAGCCCTATCCACAGGGAAAAAAATTAAGTTTGAAAAATTCTGAGAAAAGGGCGCAATATCGTAGTCAAGACAGTCAACCTGTGCTGAGCGGACTGTCACAAATCATTATTTAGATAAATTGTTCATACAAAGTGGGTCTTCTTCGCCGTGTCCTGCCACGGATGTACCGGCAGTGGAATGAATTTTACAAAAATGATTAGGAAAACACTCATGTCTTGAATTTCGATTGAATAAGCGGCAGGATGTCGCGACGACACTAGTTCCACCATACCCAAAATGAGCCAAAATTACGCCAACCAGCCTCTCATGAGCTTTGCCCACTGTTGAATGAGTCGACGCCCATAGTGCCACGGATCGTCCGAGCGCAATCTGCTCAACGCACAGTATGCAGACAAAGATTGCCTCAAAGCACGAATATGAAGAGAGAGAGAGAGTTTAATGCGAAGGTCGAGGGGGATGTCAAAGCGTGCCCCGCTCTGGCGAATTTACGAATCGTGGCAAGAGCGGAAGCAGAACCAAAAAGCAGGCTTAGGTGAGATGGTCCCTCTCGGTTGGGCCACGAGGCGGGCCGTTGCAGCAGTCTCGCCAAAGCGGACGGCGGGTGGGTGTTTCCGCCCTCCGCTGCAGGCTTTTGCAGCTAGACAAGGCCAGCCATAGTCTCGCCTATGCGTTAGCAGGCGCCTGTGACTTGGCCCGAGTCGTCGGATGACGTGACAGGCAAACTGTTCCGAGATGCAGCGTACAGCAGTGCTCAGATGCTTCCGCACAGCCGCAAGCAAGACACACCTCTTTGTCCTTCGGCACAGCGCGGTCCAAAAGAGGTACAAAGCATTGTATCAAATTATAAAATCATAGACTAACGAGTCCAAGCCAAGATGCAGTGTCAGATGAACTTTTTGGCAGCTTGCGGCAATCAATGCACGTCGTTCGGCACACGTTTGCTGTCTCGATTTGGCGTCGAAAACTAAGCACTGGCGTCGACACGGGATCCGGCAGCATTCCACTCTGCAGTAAAGCTTCACACAACAGCTCGCTCTCATGATTTGCTTGTTCGTCTAGCTGCGAAACCTGGACTGTGGGAACGCAAGACACGTTTTTCGTCACTTCCGGACAGCCCGACAGCTTCCACATGAAAGCTCAAGCGGCCTTCAGCTGTTCCGACGTCGACTGAGACGCTGCATAGAAACAAGCGGTTGCCTTCATTTGTGTCGCATGGCACATGACAGTTCGACTTTTCTGCTCTCAACACCCCACCCTTTCCCACGCGCGATAATCACGCAACGCGCCGATTCTGAACGACAGTGAGTGTCCAGCCTGCTCCTTCATTGACGCGACGAACGACGTCGGTTGGCTGGTTCAAGCCGAGTGACAAGAGTGTCTCCTGATCAACAAGCTCAATGAGATGACCAAGGCGGTTGCCGAACAGGCGTGAGAAAGAGTCGAACCGAGGCTGAACATCCGACCCGACTCTCTGTCGAAGTTTCGCCGAAGAGAAGCCATCTGAGACTGCATGTACACAGCAGGTGTGCGATCTCGCAGCTGACACGTTGTATAAGCGAGCCACTCGTTCGAGACATCGCGTGAGCGCAGTCGATCAAGGCTACGCACCTCCGAAAGGTTTTGCATGATGGCAAAGCTCGAGTTTGGCGGAGTCGGCTTCTTTGGTTGTCCTGCAAATTATTCCGACAGACTAAAAGTCGGTAAGGAGAGAGATGCGAGAGATTGCCGAGAATTTCGGTTCTCTCTCCCTCCCTTACTCTTCGGCTTTCCCTTCCATCCAGACTCCGCCTTTTGCCTTGCTCTGTGACCACATCTTTGCCTGCAAGGTGGCGCCATCCACTCTCTTTTGATGCTAGTGTCGCATCGGATGATGACTAACTTGCTAGCTCGAGGCGAATCAATTTCATCGTCTCGCTAACGATCCCCCCGAAAGTTTGGCCGTGGATTTAGACTGCATGGCAAGCACCGGGACGCGCTTACAACGACAAGCGCAAACTTTCCTTGGATTTTCGTGCCGCCATTTCCAAGCGAGGTGCCACCCTCAAATGTCGGCTCTGCCTTAGCGTGATCAGCCGAACCGCTCGTTTCGTTCCACGTTGTCGCCTTGTGTCCAGACCTCTCGCACCTGCTGCTCCTATTGACACCTGCCTGCTTCACTTGCTGTCATCCGAAAGCCATGCTTCCAATCTGGCGCCTTTTGACCTCCACCGGCGACTCGATCGTCCAGTCCGGATATCACCCTCACCGGTCGAGCGAGGAAGCATACCCGAAACACAGCTGCGAGCCGCTCCACTTGCGATGCCACTCATTTTGACCACGATCTTCGCTCAAATGCCACGCGGCGCCGCAATCAAGGGTCCCTTTGTGTGTCCAACATCGCTCCGATGAGATTATGCGATACAGTTTGGGTCAATCGTCGATCTGTGCGAATGAAAAGACGAGAGCCCTCCGCAATCATGCACATGCCATTGTACTGTTTACATTGTACTCTGTACCGCTTGCTGCAGGATGCGGTGAGTTGACAGTGGCGGGTTCATGCGCGGAAGCGGAACAGCCTCACCTTGTTCTCGTCTCCCCGAGGGTCCTTGCGGGAGCGCCTCATACAGCGGCAGCCATGTTTGTCCGCGACGGCTTCTTGCTCGCATAGGGACTCGGCACCACCGAGTCCACGCTGGCCGCAAACTGCCTCTCAAACTCGTCGACGCTGCCACCCCACACCCCAAAGTTTTGCTGCGTCAGGTTCCCCAACGCATCCAGCTGATGAATCACGTCCTTCATCGCCAACGCGTACGAGTAGAACAGCAGGTAGGCGCTCGATCCGCGCACTGCACGTCGCTTAACCACGGGCAGTTCCCGAATCTGTTCCAACAGCCTGGCCCGGCATTGGTCGGCAGGTGGGAAGTACGGCGGCACGGGGCTCTTCAGATGGAAGGCGGATCCGAGGGTGTAAAAGTAGAGCAGCACGTTGCCCACCATGTCCCTCCGCGCGCCGTTGACGGGCACGACAAAATCTTGGCGTACGTGCTCGTACCAGTCCTGCCGTGTGGTGACGCAGCGCATGCTGTGCAGCTTGTCGAGGATATTTTGACAGCACGAGAGCATCGACCGATAGGTTGCGACTGGGAAAGGGCCTTTTAGGCGAGGCTCGTTCTTGGTCTGCGCCAGGAGCCCCTCCAGCTTGATCAGCGAGACCTGCAGATGCAGCTCGATTGCCTGAAACTCGTCTCCATGCCGCGACGCCAATCTGCCGAGTAGAGCGGCTTCTTCGTCGTCTCGATCGTCGCTATCGTAGGTCTGCTCGTCTCCATCCTCGTTGTCGTTCGCCCCATGTGCGCTGTGTCGATGCGACCGTGCCTGCGACAGGTCTCGAGAGTACGACAGCACAAGTCGCTGATACAGCCACGCCAGTTTGAAAAGCACGTCCGACACGCCTAGCGCAAGCTGACGTCGCGCCTCGAACGGCCACACCAGTTGATTGAGCAGCGTCGCCCACACGACGCCCACAGTGACCGAGATGGTACGTTGGTACGCAATCTGCTCGACCTCTATCTCGGTCTTGCGGAGATTGTAACTGTACAACGCCGTCAGGTTGTACGTGAGGAGCACAAAGCGTCCGCTCGAGGCCAGCTGAGGTTTGCCGACAATGTAGCGGAAGCAAGGGATCGAGAAGAGCACGCCAAAGATCGGCAGCAGAATGTGGTTGTCTGGGAAAAGCTTGTACACCCCGACGGCGGCAACGGCGCCCATGACGGTACCAACGATGCGATGCAGGCTCATGTGATTGGACTGACCCACTGTCGGGGAGAGCACCACAAAGAAGCTGAGACACGCCCATTGGCCCTGGAATTTGGTGAAGATGGGCCGTGTCGAAGGGAAAAAAGCGGGGCTCGCCAGTAGAGCGCTTCCAAGGCCAGCCTTGATGGAAAACTTTGTATCGGGCTGGCGGAAGAATTCCCCGACTGCCCACACCAGTCGCTGCAGCTTGTCGTGCCACGTTGTGGCCTTGGGTGTCTGGTGCGTGTTAACGGCGTGGCGTCGGTTCGAGGGAAAGTCGAGCGGCGTCGTGATCTTTTTGGCTGCTGTAGAAGCCTTGGCGGTCCTGCCGAACCGACGACGCTTGCCATTCGTGCTGCCACCTTTGCCCCATCTCCAGCCGAGCATCGAAGCGATGTCGGACAGCGTGACGCTCAGCGTGCCCATGAAGAGACGGACACGCATCCATCGTGATGTCTGTCTCGCCAAAGCAATCCGCTCTTCTGCCTGTCGGATCTCCTCTAGCGCTTCGACAAGCACTTCGAGCTCCTTGGCGAATTCTTCCAGATTGAAGACAAAGAAAAAGATGAGAAAGACGTCCTCATCTCCCTGCTTGTTCTGCAGACGGCCTTTTACCGCATCCTCGTTATTCTGCACGTCCGTATTGCGCGCGTCGTTGCCGATCTGCTGAGCTAGCTTCTTTGGCTCCATGGTGTAGATGCGCTTGATCGCGACCGTCTGCTCGTGCTGGAACCGGCGCAGCGCCTTCGAGATGTCGCTGTGCAAGCCATCGAAGCTTGTGCCTGGTATGTAAGCGCGCGTTGAAGTGCCAGCAAAGTCGCGCCAGGTGCCAGTATCTCCTGCACTCTGGTCTGCAGGGGAAGCCGCTTTGAGTTCGGCGATGATGCCCGCATCGCGCGCCACAAAAGTGGAACGCAGGCCTCTGAGCGTTCGACAGCAAGAGAAGACGAGACTTCGCATGTGCGGTCCTACACTGGAGATGAAATCCTCGAAGGCGTTGGCCTCGTTGTAGATCTCGGAGGGATGGAGCGCGGGTTCAGCTTCGAACATCGTGGAAAGCTTCGACGAGGCAGGGCGACTGGAACGCGTAGCTGCGCTATCTTGTGTCGCGAACTCCTCGTCCTGAGCTGATGGCGTGGTCTCCGCTCGTTCTCGAGCAATCCGGGCTTTCTCTCTTTGCGCTGCCATGATCTGATGCTGCAGACCACAGCTGCTCCGAAGACCTGTGAGATGCTGTGCAAGCCGATTGAGCGAGTCGGTCGCTTCGACATACTTTGCACCCATACCACGCATTCGAAGATCGAAGAGAGACTCGAGCTTGGCCTCTTCCAAGTTCTTCTTGAGCGAGGTGAAGCTGTCGTGGTGGTCATCGATGGCGCGCTTGATGCGATCGCCGTTGAAATGGAAGTTGGAAGGGTCTTCGAGCAAGAAGGTCTTTGTGAGGACACGCAAGAGCGTCGAGAAGCCGCGCAGATTGCGAACGATGTCGCTTTGCAGGTTGGAGGTGGCGCTCTGCGGCCAGACGAAGAAGCAGACGATGTTGCTGATCAGGGAGCCCACCAGCACGACCAAGGTGACCTGGAAGGTCTTTTCGGTCGAGAAGTGACCGAGGTGGAGCGAGCCCTCCTTGACGACGACAGTGAAGACGATGATCGCGATGAGCGAGCAGGCGGTGTTGAACTGAGGCTTGGCCACCTTGATCTTTGCATAGCCGACGAGCGCCATGCCGAAGCCGAGGAAGACCAGCACGCTGATAATGTCGGAGATGATGACGCGGTTGGTCTCGTGCAAGAAGACGGCGACCGCCATGGAGCAGAAACCGAGCGCGATGGCATAGAGGAAGGAGCCAAGAGCGTAGAGATCGGCTTCGATCATCGCACCGAGCGTCTTGGCTGGATGGAAGTAGACTGCCACCGTCGCGATCATGTGCAAATTCGAGAAGGGCACATCGTCGTTGGGATCGTTGTTGGGCAGAAAGCTCGCCAGCCAGCGGCTGAGGACAGCAGAGTAGGTGAAGAGGGAAGCGGCAAGATACGCGAGTGCACACTTGAAGATGCTTCTTTGAAGAGGAGTAAGTTTTGATCCGTTCAGGAAAGACATCGCTGAACGAACAGCGGCTCGAAAAGATGCGGTCCGGCCTGTCGAGGCACCGGAGGATTGGGCCGACGTCGACGGGTCGCCGCCGTTGCGCACGCCGGAGCCGCTGTAGCTTGCGTATGATATCGAGCGGCTCACTTTGCCAACAAACGCCCTTCCCTGAACATGTCGGTTGTCGCTGTCGCTATCGCTTTCGCTCTCAGTGTCGGATTCCGATTCGGTCTCGCTGTCCAGAAGATGTTCTTGGGTGGAGTACAGGAGCGGGTCCTCGCCGAGCGGAGTTTGATCGGGGTCGTCGGTTAAGACGCTGGTTGGCTCTTCGCTGAGCGAGCTGCGGTGAACAAAAAGGTCATCTAGGCTGGACTGGGTTTTGGGATCGGGTTTCGACGGTGATGGTGCTGTGGGAACCGTGCTCTTGTCTGCGGTACGGTGCTCCGTAGAGGAAGGAGACGGGCGATGGCGAAGCTTGAAGCTTGACTTGCCCTTTAGGGACGAAGGTCCTGCGAAGCTTGCGAGCGAGTCATCAGGATTGTCCTGTTCGTTTTCCCCGGCGTAAGAAGAGCCTGCCCGCTGTGGCAAGCCAGGTCGAGGAGCTGGAGTGAATACGGCTGAGACGAGGGCTGGCGAAGTCGAAGCCGTTCGTCCCGACACAGCCATGGAGAGACGTTTGCTCTTTCTGCTCTGTCGCGGCCTTGACTGGGACGAGTCCGTACCATCGTCGAATAGATGTGCTAGCGATTGCCACTGCTCTTGATATTGCCCTGGTGCGAGCAGATGGTCGATGTCGGTACGGAGAGTGTCCGAGGTGATGCCTTCATCATCAAACGTGCGCTCGTCCTCAAAAGCGCGAGATCGGCGTTTCGAAGGATCGACTGAATCCCTCAGAGCCGACGTGACGCGCACGCGCTGACGTACGGCATTCCACAGGTTGGGACGGATGGTGCCGGTGGTCGGAAGTGATTGGGTGCTGTGCGGATGATCGCGATCCGAGACGATGCGGCGTATGATCGGTCGGGCCGAGGGAGGAAGAAGCATCGAGCCTCCGGACGACGGTGAAACGTCTTGCCGCTGAGTTGGTGCACCCATCGTAATGCAAGGGTGGATCGCGATCCTGCTTTGCTCAGGCGTCGTGGCAGAGGGCAACCAAGGGCTCTCTTAAGGCAAAAGGCAAGGCATCCTCGACCTGCTGACTGAGAGCGATGTCGGGACCTCTCCGACAATCTGAAGCTCGTTGTTCAAGTTGATCGCAATCAAGGGCGATGGGATGATGGTCAAGACGGAAGCCCTTCGGTTGAGCCGCTGATGACTTGCGACCAATGCCAAGAAGTACAAAATGAGCTGCACTGCTTTGACGCGTGTTGCTTTCGTTGTGATTCGGATGCGTGTTGTTCTCCATCTGCAGGGTCTTTGTGCGTTCAAATTCAGCCAAATCTCAGAGCTAACTCACCAAAAGCCCCTGTCTGGGCGATCCAGAAATTAAAACCAACAGAAAGGAAAGTGGAAAAAAAGGCACAAAAAATGAAAGCCGAAATTGGCAAGTCGTGGATGTGACGGGGCAGCACAGCGCGACATGCCTTCGACTTGCTGCGTTGTGGCAGCCGCACGGCCCGCCTTCAAATACTGCCAACCTTCTGATCGAAGCGCCCCATCTTTTCATCATCTCAGCGTCGCCTTCCGTTCAAAACCCTCGTCAACGTTGAAGGAATAGTCACACGGCGACGATAATGCATTGCAAAGGACGGGACGTTCCACACCAGCCGTGATGGGGCTGTTCACAGGTTCATCTTCCGCCTCTCGGAGACCCGCTTCATCTGCACCCTTGAGGCGTCGTTCGCTTGGGCGCAGCCGCGAGACTTTGTCAAACTCGGCCGCATCTTTGCGGAATCCGCAGCCCAAAACAAACGCTGAAACCGACTCTGGTGCTGCCGAAAACGACAAGTCAAGTTCGGCGCGAAGCGTCCACTTCCAGCATACAATCGGAAGCGGAGAAACGGATAATACTCCGAGCGAACGAAAGCGCTCGCTTCAGGATCAGCCTTCATCGATCGTCCTACCCGACCCAGCGACAGCCAAGGAAAAATCCATTGCGCATGACGACGCCGACGCCGACGAAGATCTAGAGCCGGACTTGGCGGACCTGCAGAGCGACAACGCCTTTCTGTACCAAAGACAAGTGCCGCTCGACTCAGCTCTCGGCCTCGAGCCTTCACATCCCACAAGTCCGAGCTTGCTCGAGCGTATTGACGCTTACGTCGCGGACCACTTTCTGGACTGTTTTGGCATCACACACTACAACGAGCTCGTCCGTCACCACAACCAACTCGTTCCCTTCTTGACCAAAGCGCCACGCTTCCTTTCGATCCACTCGCTCAAGCGAAAAGAGCTCGAGCGCGATCATACCGAGGTGCTCGACACGAGCGACACATGTCCCCGTCAAGAGCTCTGCCTCGGCCGTTGTCAGCTGGGGTTCAGCTGTCCGACTCAAGATCTGGTCTCAGCACAGGGTGAAACGCAAAGCGAACAGCCAGATCTGCCTGTACTCCGACGAGAATGAGCTCCCCTGCTTCGTCGGATTGCAGCCTGGAGAGCGGTGAGTGGAACGATGAGGACCAGTCGTTCTACTTTGATACCCGTCCGACGCCGTATGAGTGCTTTGATCCGGATCAATCATTCGAAGGCTACCAACACATCCTTACGACCCCGCGTGTCATTCAAGGGGCGTCCGGGGCACCCTCAACGGCAGAGCCTCTGGGTAGCATTCGCGAGGTCGAGGAGCAGGCACAGCACGCTCAGCAGCAGCGCGTGGAACGACATTGCTTCAACTGCGGCGAAGGCAATCACGCCGTGGCGCAATGTCGTCATCCCAAGGACCCCGAGCGCATCCGCCGGAGTCGACTCGAATTCAACGAAAGCAAAGCCGGGTGCGATGACGACGCGACTGGCGACATGAATGCACACGCAAGATTGCATGAACAGATTGCGTGGGTGGAGCAAAGACTTCGATGGCTGGACGAGTTTGTGCCAGGCAAGCCCAGCCCAGCCCTTATTGATGCACTTTCCTGGCCTTCAGACGGTGATAGTAGGGAAGATGGGTACGGTGGGTCAGCAGCAAATTTGCCTTACCTGCACAGGATGCTCCTGTGGGGGTATCCACCCGGCTGGGTGTCGTCGGAGGATCCGATCGAGCAAGTCAGACAGCGGATTCAGGTCGATTCTCAATGGAGTTCTCTCGACGTGTTGGGTGGCTTCGATGTTGCACCTTTGGGAGCAAGTCAGCGCCATACGTCAGCAGAGATATCTGCCAAGACAGCACCGGACGGAAATGCTGGCACCAAGCCAAGGAGATGGGTCGACTATCGGACCGATCTGTTCGACAGCCAGAGGCTGCAGACGTTCGATACCTCGTTTCGCGCGCCTCTGCCCAAGATGCCAAAACAAAAGGTCAATCCTCTTCCGACCGGACGGGATCAGCCAGGGATTGGTAGACGCTCTCCATCTTCCAGGGGCGTGCCGCAAACACGGATTGAAGGGGCGTCAGAGCGGTCCCGGAAGACCGAGGAAGAGGATCGGGCCGCTCTGTGGAATCGATTGCTGTCCGAGCGATCTCCTTCGCCGCCTGATCACCATGTCGCCAGGGAATCGAGACGGGCACCCGCGCATATCGATCGCCACCACCCATATGCATCTCCTTCTCGTTCTGTGCCAGCACCACCACCACCGTCCGAGCCTGCTCCCTTACCTCCCTCTCCCCCTCCCCCAGCACCGTCCTTGTCCCACCCTTCATCACCTCCAGCCCGGATTCAACGACAACTGTCTCCAATCCAAAGCACTCCAATGTAATACTACTACCAAAGCATTTCGAAACCAATTTTTTTCTGAACATTCTAGCAGAGCTGTGACCGTGTGTGTGTGTGTGTCAGAGTCGCTCTGGGCAATAATATGCATTGCCGATCGCGTGGCAAAGCGCGTGTGTCGTTTTTTGCACAGCAAAGTGGAGGTAAGAGCTCGGACCAACACAATCGAAGATGCTCTCCTCTTGTCAATTGTTGGCTCTGGACCACGATCTACACTCTCCTCTGCACATCGAGTAATAATAACGATGACGGGACGATTTGCACCGCTTTGCGGTGAAAAGCTGACGCTCTCCTCCTCGATCAAGATGGTAGACGGCTACACGATGCCTCGGTTCGGAATTGGTGCGTGGGATATGCGAGGTGGGGAGTGTAAGCGGGCACTGCTGACCGCATTTGACAAAGCGGGGTATCGGCATGTGGATACAGCTCGTTACTACGGGAACGAGGCTGCATGCGGAGAGGCGGTTCGCGAGTGCAGCGTTCCTCGATCCGAACTCTTCTACACCACCAAAATCCGTCCTACGGACATGGGAGGTGGAGAACGCACTCGCTCTGCGATCGAGGATAGTCTGAAGAAAACTGGGTTGGAGTACCTCGACCTCGTGCTGCTGCATGCACCGGATGGCGGTAAGAAGCATCGACTCGATTCGTGGGCTACCTTGACCGATCTCGTCCAAGAAGGCAAAATTCGCAGCTTGGGTGTGTCCAATTTCGGTCCACAGCACATCCAAGAATTGATGGACAGCAAACCTCGGCTGCCGCCCGTGTGCAATCAGATCGAATGCCACCCCTTTTTCGCTCAGAAGGAGCTCAGAGCAGCATGCGATTCCCACTCGATCATCGTACAGGCCTACTGTCCGTTGGCTCGTGGACAGTACTACGGAGATGCGACGCTGCAAAAAGTGGCGGCTGAGACGGGAAAAACCGAGGCACAGGTGATGCTACGCTGGCTCATCCAGCATGGGATCGTGGCGCTGCCCAAGAGCAGTAATCCGCAGAGGCAGGTGGAGAACGCAGAGTCGCTGTCGTTCGAGCTCTCGGATGAGCAGATGAAAGGTAAGTGAAAGCAGCACCGTCGAACAACGACCGATTGTCACGTTCGAGCAAACAGTAACTGACCTTTTCTCGTTGTGTTTTTCGCTTTTGCAGAGCTGGATGCCTTGGACCGCGGTGACAAGGGTTGGGTCGAGGTGCAGACGCAAAGCCAGCACTGTGACTAGAACAGTGAAATCCATCCCAGGCGGGTAGCTATCGGCCTTTCGTTCGTCTCAGCTTCTTGTGACACTTCGGGAATCAGAACTTGCACTTCCATTCCTTGGTCTGTCAGAATCCACAGCCTTGTGCCATGGCAGAATGGCAACTCCATGAGACGGCGATCTACGAATTAAATCCACGCACAGCGCGCGAAGGAGGGAGGGAGCGCTCATAGCTGCCCATATCTCTACGTAGAGCTATCCCGTTTGTACATTCTGAAGCCGCCATTTGCACTTCTACGCGTGGCAAGCTATTCAACCTACGTTTTTGGCATCCCATCGCACATCGTCAGCGAGTCAGCTGAGGGACGTATCCGCGAGGCGCAGAGCGAGGTAGGCTGCACTTTTTGACGCACGTTTAAAGCGCACTTTGGGGTGTAAAAGAGGATTAGGGTTGTTTTGATCGAACAAAGGCTACGTGACGGAATACAAGCGAACCAGCGTTTAGAGAACAAGACCTACTCCGAGGCCAAGGACCACCGAAGCGATGCTGCCGCACAGCGCCACTACACCAGCGTTTCCCATCGCACTGGCGCCGTTACTGTTACCACGCGAGCCAGTGCCCGTACTCGAAACACTAGAAAGCGTCGCACTAGCCGACCCCGTAGCAGCGGTCGTAGCTGAGTTGGTCGGGTTAGCATCCGTATTCGCCGTCACCTGGGCAGGCTGCGTACCGTTGGGCTTGACATCGAACGAATCCGAGGTGTAGTACACCTGAGGATGGTCGAGCTGGTAGTTGCTGCTGTTGACGAACAGCAGTTTGTAGTTGCCAGCGGGAATTTGGTCAATGAAGATCTGTGCACTGCCGTTGGTGGTCAGGAGGGCGTTGCCGATCTGGAAGTTTCCGTTGAGCTGGCTGTTGTTCGAGTTGAGCAGCTGGACCGAGAAGAAGCTAGGGTCCGACGAGTTGGCTACGGATGTGGAAGGAGCAGAAGGCGTTGTCAGCATAGAACTTAACGACAAGCTCTCGTCAAACCAGGATGGGACGTGAATATTCACCTTTCCAGTTCTGTTCATTTGACCGTCGATCAATCAGCACAAAATACGCAAAAATGCAAGAAGACTAGTCAGCTGACCGCTGTCTCGTCAGTGTAACTGGTCGATAAGAGCATATAGACGTACCAAGGTGTTGGTGTAGTTGGTCTGTAGTGCACGACGAACAAAGTTAGAACCACGATGAAGGTCTATGTCAGTATGCGCTTCGTTCATGATGCCAAAGATACGTGCGCAACGTCGCAGCCTCGAGTATGTCGACAACTTACCACCCAGTAACCACCGTTGTTGTTGGGGAAAGTGATCTCGAACGCCTGCGAGAGGCTGGCAAGCGAAGCGAGGACGGCGAGTGCGGAGGCGATCTGCATTGTTGTTGTTCGATGGCCCAGATGCAATGTGATGATGGTGGATGATGATGATGACGAGAAAGGAGCAAGCTGAGCCTTCCGCAGCGGATTGAAGAGGGCTAGATTCTGTACGACACAAAGAGGCGGGTGAACAACACTTGGGCTCGTCTGAGACATCTCCAGATCGACAGGGTCCTCTAGCTTTTTCCCTTTCGTCCCGTGCTGCGCTTCTGTCGACCTTTCGAAACTCCGACACAGCGCCCCAAAGGCGAAGCCAACAGCTGTCAGAAACACGACGTTTGCGGTTCTTGGCGCAGAACACGCACAGCCGGCCATTGCACCAATCGAACACCAGAATAGCTCAACGCTGCAACGTGAACTGGATATGTCGTGCTCTCACACACCTCGTTTCATTTCGCGAGGCTTCCTCTCTCTCGAAGCTCGACATCACAACTCACAGTATCGACGACCGAAACCCTTTTTGCACTTGCTCGCACTTCAATTGGGCTTTGAACAAGGCGAGGCAAAGGAGCCTTCTCGCAGATCACCAAGTGGGACAAATCCCGCCACAAAGCTTAGCTCGATCGGCCAACGAACGCAAAGAACGAGCCATGTCAATTTGCATACTTTTTCTTTTTCCTTTTCTTTTTCCTTTTCTAACCGCTCCTTTCGGAACAGACTTTCGGTACTGCGGCTTCGGCTCCGTGCCGAGCGATCTGCCCCACGTTCACTCTGCGGGACTGTCACTCAACTCGATCCCCACAAACATTGCTCTGCTACGAAAGCACAGCACACTGGAAAGAGGCCCCTCAGAGTACAGTACACTGGTCGCTGGCTCGACCTCAGCTTGAAAGTACAATACAATCGATCATTCGTGCGCTAATGGTGCGAAGGTGCACGGTGCGGTGACTGCGCCGGATGCTGTCCAAAGTTGGCTGGCGAAGCAGGTGAGGCCATGGCAAAGTGCATCTCGTTATACACGCCTGGTCCGCCCGTCTGAGGCGTACCCATCCCCATCAGACCGGGCATCGGTGCGTGGTGACCCCCTTGGCCACCATGAGGCGGAGCTATGGCGCTTCCCGTGCTGCTCGTTGCGCCCGACGCCATCGAAGCGCCTCCACCTCCGATGTCGTCCAGAAACTTGGAAAAGTAGTCGGTCCACGACAGGTCTTCCAGCTGATGCTGCGCTGAGCCCGGATCGTCCGTGTACAGCGGCATGATGCCACGAGCGTCACCAAATGACGCAGGATGGATCGCCGACACCGCGTGACCAGCGCCGCCGTGGCTCGGCACACCCGCTTGACCATTGTTGCCGCCGCTGGGCACGCTTCCCGCCATGTTGCCAGCTGCGCCGCTCATCATGAACTGTGTGAAAGCTGCCGAAGTGATCTGGTTCTCGCTGACGTGACTGCCTTCGCTGATCGAGGTGCGGCTCGGCGACATGGGTGCGCTCGGGATTGGCGACCAGCTGTGGATGTAAGATGCTGCCGAAACCGGATCGTTCCCGAACGTCCCGCTGCCGGTCAAGCTGGCCGCCTCTCCAAGCGGACCGCTTGGGCGCCTTTCCATCCTCTCGTTTCTCGCCGCTAGCCTGGCCGAAGGAGGCAGATCTACATCTGCTCGCGGCTGCATCATGCTAGGGATCGGTCCCATACCGAGCAGGCTCGGAGGCACAATGCCAGACATGCGTTGGTCCGCCCGCACGAGCATACGACTCACCCTCTCGCGCTGATCCGACGTCATAGTGTGCATCGATCGCAGCGCAATGTCGCGCAAGATACGATGCGCGCGGCGGAACAGCCGCGAAAAGTAGCGATCGTCAAACGCGGCAAAGATGCGCAGCGCCGACTCCACCAAATCGTTGTCCTCGGCCAGCTTGTCTACCTCGCGGCACTCGTGCCACACCGTGATCATGAACGTGGCCGTGCTCATGAAAGCCTGCTGGAAGATGAACACGAGGTCGCTCATGTGATTGCCCTCGTACAGCGCAATCACAACGCGCAAGCATTCTCGTGCGTGAAAGACGCATTGCGGATGCAGCATCTTGCGCAGTGCACTGTGCTCCAAGAAGGGCTTGAGGATATAGAGCCGGATGTCGTGCGTGCCACATTGGACCAAGCCAGCTTGCAGACGAAAGGGACTATCGATCGAGCGCAAATGCACTGGCGTTTCGGCCACCCACTCCTCGAGTCGTTTCGACAGGATCACCATGTCCTTGTACTCGGGCATGGCCCTCTGCTTGGAATTTGCTGGCAGCTTGCCGCGTCCTGCGCCATCTTGACGCCATCGTGGCGAGTACAGCACGTGCACCACATCCTGGACGATGACGTTGAGTTTGATCATGTGGATGAATCCGCTCATCACGATGGGTTTGTCGGCAGCGGTACGTGCCGGCGGAGGTGGAATCGGCCCGCCCGCCTCGTAATGAAACAGGACGTCGTCATCGATCTCGAGCGGCAATTTGACATCACAGTCCGACAATTTGAGGGCCAGCGGACGGCCCATGTTGATGGAAAAGATGCAGTCCAGGATGAAGGCGCCCCAAAACACTCGCCTGCGTAGCTCTTGATCAAAAGGCGAAAAGCCACGGTAGGCCTTTTCCTGGTGCAGACCGATATCTTGGAGCGCTCGAATGGCGACACCGAGCACTGTCCAGCTCGCTCCCGGTCCGATGGCACCGTGCATGAATGTAGCCGTCAGGATCATGACTTGAACGTTGATCAGACTCGCCGCATACACTTGGTGGTAGAGACGACTGGCGGCGGCAAAATGGTCGCCCGCGGTGTCTGGGTCGCCCGAGTCGGCGAGCACGCGCGGGTCGTTGGAAAAGCGTGATGCGATGGCGAGAATGGTGAAGACAAAGCCGCGAAAAGCAGAGTCCTTGTCGGCACGACCTGATGCCAGGTCGCGCTCGAGCGAGGGACGGTGGACGATGGGCATGAGGGGATGCAGCTGGCGGAAGAACAGGTCGAGCAGATCCTTGATGAGGTCACCTTCTGGGAGAGTGTAGCGTTCGAACCATTCATCAGTGACAGCATCGTCCCGGCCGACGGCGACGGTGTTTTTCCGGCGAAGCAGCAGGATCCATTCTTTCGAGTTGGTCGGATAGAGCGGACGCGACGTCGAAGCCGATGTAGAGGCAGACCTGGCGACGTGATTGGTCCCTGATGAGCTAGAGGTGGGATGGGAAACGCTGGGCATGGCCGCGTTGGATTTCTCTTGTCGGCTGCTCTGGTGTCGATGCGTCTCGTAGCTGATGCCGGCGTGGTTGGTGTGGCTGTCCAAAGCTCGATGGGAACCCGCGCTCGGACTGGGAGGACGGCTCTCGTCTGCAATGCTATGAAACAGCGTCATGGCGGACGAACGACCAAAGTAGCGCGGTCTCCCGTCTTCGACATCCGGTAAGAGGGCATCCCTATCCTCTCTCTTGGTTGCGTCATTCGAACTGTGGAGCGCAACGGCGCCATTAGCTGCAGCGTCGGGATCGTCGGCATCACTGCCGTCGCCGGCAAATCGGACCGTGGAGCGCGATGGGAGATCGGCGTCGTGATGCGAATGAAGCGAATCTCGTTTCGAACCTTGCGCCGCCCGATGGCTGCCACCTTGCCCATGCGCATCGTCGTCGTCGTCTTCATCGTCGCCGCTGCCACTGCCTTGCTGAGGCTTGTGATGTGATTCGAGCGATTGCCACGAGTTGGCATTCTGGGGTGGTGCGCTTGACCCGCTAGGGCCGGTAACATTGAGCTCTCCGCGTTCGAACTGTTGAGCTACATGTGGTGCCACAGACCGAAGTGCGCTGAGGAGCGTCTCGACCCTGCTTTCCAAGATCTCGTATTTGCCCCTGGATCTATCGGCATCGCTGCTGAAGGTGCATCGGTAGTTGTAGGCGGTGCAATTGTTGCATGTGTTGGTCGGATTGGGAAGTCCCTCGCACTTGATCTTTTTGCGACGGCAGGTGTCGCACGCCACAACGACCCTTCTGCGCTTCTTGGCCTTTGGCTCTGAGGGACTTGCGGCATCGTCTGCCTTGTGTTTGGAGGTCGAAGAAGCCTTGCTTTCGGCTGTGCTCTTCTTGCTCTTCTTGTGTGATGCGCTCGAGGCAGTCGCATTCTTTGACGGCGAAGCAGGAGTTGCGGAGGTGGATGCGATGGCCTTAGCGGGGTAGTTCATCACAGCAGCGGGAGTAGGCGAGTTCTCATACGATGTGCTTGATCGGCCATTCCGCATCGAGACGAGCTCGAAGGCGGCGTGCGTCTCGTCCTCGCTCTTGTAGGACATGGCGATTCAAGCAGAGGCGAGTCGACGGTCGGTACTTCGGATCGAGCCGATGGCTAGCCTGTCGTGAATCACGCCCACCGAGAGTGACTGTTGAACGGATCAACAAAGCTGAAAGACTGACATTGGACGATGCTCTCTGTCGGAGCAGCCGATCTTGGAATGAGGTGATCTGCCAGCGAGGATGATTGTCGATGGAAAAGTTGTATGAGGTGGGCTGCAATCGGCGTGATTTCCGAAATGGCGATTGCAGCAGTCGTCGCCGGCAATGCCGCGGGTTGGGTCGATGAGCCAAAGCAACGCTGAGCTTGCGATTGGTGTCAAACACTCAAACGAGTGGATGATCAAGGTTGGTAAGGCGGATGGATGAAGACGAGAAGAAGGCAAGCTGGCTAAAGCGATCTCAAAAAAAAGTTGGCGTTCTGCGGGGTACAGGATCGTGTATGGTCAACCAGTAGGAAAGCTAGCCTTACCGTCCGTCATTCGGTTATGCTTAGCGAGCGCGATTTGCGTGAAATCTCCACAGGGAAGCTCAATTGTCCGGCTCACCCGAGTTGCGCAGACCTCGCTGAACACTGTCGTAGGCTCACCTTTTCTTTTTGCCTTTTTTCATGCTCGCTTTGCTTTTGGGCTCGCTGCCGTTCGGTAGTGGCTCCCGACCTGTCTGTGAAGTCACCAGTTGTACGTTTGTGGCACACCTCAAGCTCGCCGCCATCTCAGTTGAGGCAGGATCCGTTCAACATGCTCTTCGTGAGCCAAAATGCCAAATAGAGGCAAGTGCTTCAGGAGCTCCACGTACACTCGTACGCTGTGAGAACCTTCTGCAGTCCTAGCCGATACGGCTTCCGGTAATTCCGGGCGTGTGTCCCACGGTGTTTTCTTCGACGTCAGACTGCTTCCCGATGCAACGACCCGCCCAGATCCCTCAGGTCAGCCATGATGCAGGGTCCAACATAAAAATATCGACGATTTGGCCTGCAGCTCGCTTTTCTCCAGATACTGGATGTGATCAACCATCCCTCGACCGTCGCATCGTCGCACCTCAAGCCTTAGTCATGTCGATCCGCATCATCGCCACAGGTGGGCACTCGGGTCTCGGCTTGGAAGCGCTCAAGACGCTTCTGGCGACGCCTGCTCTCGCCTCGGGCGGCAGCCTCACTCTGATGGTCCGAGATGCCAACGCTGCTGCCGTCGTCAAAGCGCGGCGGATGCTGTCCGAACAGCACAAAGCCGCCATGCCCTCTACCGAATCCCGTCTCACTGTCGACACGCACACCATGGACCTGGCTTCCTTGTCGTCCGTTCGCAAAGCTGCCGATGCCATCAGACCGCAGCTGCAAGTCTCTGCTGCTACTGCTTCCGGCCAAGACATCTTTCTACTCAACGCAGCCGTCGCCAAAACAGCAAGAAACACTGTTGTAGACGCAGATCGGGCCTCCGGAAGCGTAGGATATCCGTCCGATCACCTCGTCAGCACCGACAGCTGTATCGAGACCACCGCATGCGTCAACCACGTCGCGCATCTCCTCTTCATCTCCTCGCTCGCACCCACCATCTCGGAAAATGCGAAACTGGGCCGCAAGACTCGCATCGTTTTCACAGGAAGCGCACTACATCGTTCGATCAAAGATGTTGCGGTCCTGGATCGGTTCTTCTCTGCCGCCTCGCACGACAGTCCCTCGCCTTGGACGTTACGCGAGACGTACGCCGCGTCCAAGTTCCTACAGATGCTCGGTGTTCGAGCTCTACGTCGTCGACTTCAGGACGCACTGGAGGCGGCGGAGGCACCCGCAGCAAGTGTAGAAGTCGTCGTGGTGCAGCCTGGCTTTGTGCCACAGACAGGGCTTTGCCGCGATTCAGGTCTGCTGACCCGCTTGGCCATGTCATACGTGCTTCCGTGGGCTCCCTTTGCCACGAGCTTAGATGATGCCGGTCGATACATCGCCGACGCCTGCACCATTGACTTGTCAACCTCCGAGGTGCAAGAGGAGGAACAGGACGGCTTTCACTCGAAAGACAGCTCTGTACCGTCGGCATTGCGAGAGGTTCACGCCAAAAAGCAACGTTTCGGCACGCTCGATTCACGCACGGCAGACACTCAGCTGCAAGAGCGGTGGTGGCCTGCAGCGTGTGATGAGGTCTGATCCGTTCACACAACTCTATCAGTAAGCTATAAATTTATCATCTGGCATTCAAACATCAATCCCCCTCCTCGATATCGTTGCCACCCATGGTCTGCTCCTCCCTCTCGAGCATCTGCGTGGCCAGCTCGATGCCCTCCAATTCGCCTATCGTCGGGCCATCATCCTCGGCGTCGCCGTCCTGCCCCTCGACTAAGCCCACTGCATCGTTGTCTAGGACGCTCGTTCCTCGAGGTGCCGGCGTCGCAGATATACGCAGCTGGGCGGGCGTGCCTCCTGCTTCACTGTCGGCTGGAGTCGCACCGCGGAACAGCGGAGTGACGCCTCTCCCTACGCTTGCATTTCGACTCGACCGCTCCGCCGGCTCGAGCGATGTGAATCGTCCCTGCACCGAGCCTGACCGATTGTTGGCTATGCCTGGTGTCATGGAGCGCGGCGCGACCGAGAGCTGTCGGACCTCGGTGGCTCGTCTTTCGCCGAAGAGTTCGGGATGCGCTGCGAGGGTGCGTTTGGATGGCTCGACTACCAGGACGAGCAGCTTGCCGAAGCTGGTAGGAAGGAGGGATGGGAGGAAGCACAACGTTAGTAAGTTGCGCGGCGTGTCAGCCCAAAATTGAAGGGCACCACTTACATTCGAAATCCAGCGTATCTGACGTGGAGCTTTGGCTTCATCTTCTCTTCGTCTTCTTCTGTGATCACAATGGCGTCATCGTAGCCATTCGTATGATCATCCTCCTCGCCCTGCTGTGGTGGTGCCGCGCCTGGGTCTGCTGTCTGAGCAGGGGCTGGCTCGGGCTTGACATCAATTTCTTCCTGTATGCGAACTCGTTTTGAACGTCGGCTGCCTTCGGGCACAGTTGCGCTGCTTGATCTTGTTCTTCGAGTGCTTGTGCTGGCCGGTGGTGGCATAGCTAGCGCCTCCTCGTCTTCTTCCGCTGGACCCCTGAAGAGGCTGTTGTCGTCGGCTCCAGAGAGCGCTGCCATGCTTGCATTTGGCGAAGATCTGATCGCCTCTTGTGTCTCTGGAGAGTCTTTGATCCTCACCGGCTGTGCATTGCTCTCCGCATCCTGTGCGCCGGATGTCCCCGCAACAACGCTAGCTGCCCTTCCCGGCGCAGGGGTAGCCCTTGGAATCGGTGCGTGCAGATTCCCCTCCCCCTCCTCCTCCACCTTGACCTCACCCAAACTCGGGTCGCTCGGAAACACCAGACTCTTTTCCTTCAGCAGCACCGAATGTCGATCGTCCATCCTCCTGAAAAAGTAGGCCACCTGGAAATCGCGATCCGAGTAGACATCGACCCGCTCCTTCTTGCTCATCGCCGAGAGCTTTCCCGATGAGTCGGATTCCTTACGCAGCTTGGGCATGATACGTGTGCGCAGGATGGACAGCACTTGGGTGAGGATCGAGGGGTTGAGATTCATCCATTCTACGTGCCGGTAGTCGAGGTAGAGGATGGTTTGCAGCACGACGTAGGGTGAGGCGCGGAGGTAGAAGACGTTGCGCTGGGTGAAATTCTTGCGCTGCACGGTGCTCATCTTGCGCGGTCCAGAGTGGTCCTCACCGACTCGGGATGATGTCGTGAGCCGAGGAGACGTTGGTGTCGCGGAGAGGGGTGGGAAGATCGAGGGACCCCGCATTCTACATCTGTGCTTTGGCGAACGCCCTTTCGGGGGATTCACCTTTTCGAGGGAATTTGACCCTCCTCGCCCGGCACATCGGACCCTAAGGGAAAAGGGGCAAGCAGCTAACTTGGGAAGGAAGGAGGTTATATATGTTCAACATTTGCTGCGCATTGCTCTTTGCTGCCCCAGCATAGCTCAGCATAGCTGTGCCAGTCAGCCAATGAATCAGCCAGGCTCTGAAGGATGACTGTTGAATGATCCTGGCGCCGCGGCATGCTATTCAGGTGAATCAGCATCAGGTGGCCCATTCGCGTGAGATGACTGATACTGGGTAAACGTGGGCAACTGTTAAGCCAGGCGCAGCCCCCCGCGTTGCGGCGGCGGACCAGTCGCGCTGGAAAGTGTTCCTCCGAAAAGGTGAATCCTTCTGAGCGTTCGCCAAAGAGTGAACCCTGATGGCATCGCCCTATATCTTTCTCTCTCACCCCAACTCCTTCGAAGAAGACCAGCGAACACGATGCCTTCCGAAAAGCGCACCAAAAAGGTCGCGCCGTACGGCTTCTGGGACTCGCCCATCTCGACCGACCTCCTGCTGCAAAAAGCCACCGGTCTATCCGAAGTGTTCGTACCTGCCAACTCCGAAACGAGTCAAGATGTCGCCTGGGTCGAACTGCGCATGAGCGAGTCCGGCCGCTACGCGCTCATGCACTCGACCGACCTCTCCTCCGACAAAGCAGTCGACGTCACCGCGGGCAAGTACAGCTCGCGATCGGGCGTTCACGAGTACGGCGGTGGTGCAGCAGCTAGTCTCGCCGACGGCAGCTTCATCTTTTCCGACTACAATCCAAAGTCGTTCGACGTGCTCACAGCCAAGCAGGGGGAAAAACCGCAGGTGGTGACGCCCGAGAATGCAGCGATTAGGTATGCTGATTTCGGACCTCATCCTACGGACGCAGCGCTGTGTCTGGCGGTGCAGGAGGACCATACGGAGGATACACCTTCGACGGTGGTCAACTCGATCGTGTTGCTCGATCTCAGCTCGAAGCCAGCCAAGATCCATACGCTGCTGCAGGGTAGGAAGGCGGAAGAAGGAACCGACGAGGAGGGACCGCAGAAGAGGGATTTTTATACATTCGCCCGCTTCTCGCCCAACGGCAAGTACGTTTGCTGGGTCAGCTGGAGCCATCCTAGCATGCCTTGGTGGGATACGCAGCTGTGGGTGGCCAAGGTGGATCTCTCGAATCGTGCAGCGCCGAAGCTCGTCTCGCCTACGCGGATCAGAGTGGCTGCGACAGAGGTTGGGAAGCAACAGGTGCTGCAGCAGCCAGTATGGGCGATCCCGGCGAATCCCAAGGACGACGCTGCCAAGTTGTTCTTTGCATGCGATGCAACGGGTTACCTGAATCTTTACTCGTCAACCGTGACCTCAACCGCACAGGATGACAGGTTGGCGGTGAGCACTCCGCAACCCATCCTGCCCGACCCCGTCAAGCACGACTTTGTAGGTCCTGCATGGACGTGCAACAACTCGGACTACATCCCCCTCTCCCCAGACTTGTTGATTGTATCCTACTCGCAGGGTGCAAAGGAATCCCTCGGACTCATCAACCTCCGTCGACCGCGTCTGATCCCTCTCACCTCTCCCTTCGTCTCGGTCTCGCAACTGCGTCGTCTCAGCTCCACCTCGTTCGTCCTCCTCGCAACGCGTCCTGACGAACCCACCTCGCTCATCCGCATCGACCTCCGCAACCTCGCCTCGAACAACTACACTATCGCTCCCTCGAACATCACCGTCATAAAACGTTCCTCGACTCTGATCTCCGATGGAGTGATCGATAGTGCTTACCTCAGTACGGCCAGAGAGGTTGATTTTCCGACGACGTTGCCCGGTGGAGGGAAGGCTGTGGCGCACGCGATCGTCTTCGAACCGGTGAACAGGGAGTTTGTGGGGCCGAGGGGGGAGGCTCCACCGTGCGTGTTCAATGTGCATGGGGGACCGAGCGCTAGTGCAGGGATGGGGTTCAATTTGCAGACGCAGTTTTGGACGAGCAGGGGGTTCATGGTGTGCAGTGTGAACTACGGTGGCACGACGGGCTACGGGAGGGAGTACGAGGAGAGGTTGAGGGGCGAGTGGGGGGTTACGGATGTGGTGGATTGTGTGGCTGCGGCGAGGTTTTTGGGTAGTAAGGCGAGTTTGGAGGAGAGGAGGTTTGGGGAGCTGGCGGAGGCGGAGCAGGAGGAGGTGAGGAGACAGTTGCAAGAGGATGGGAAGGGAGAGCGGGCGGTGGTGGAGGAGAGATTGGACGGAGGAGGGGTGAAGGTGACGGTGCGGAATACGGAGGCGGCGTGGGGGTGGACAGATCTGGTTGTGGCCGGGGTCTCGGTGGGTGTCGCGGTGGTCGGGGTGAGGTTCGTGGGGAAGGTGATGCAGGACTACCCGCATTGCATCCCGAGCATCGTCCGGCCTGCGACGGATTGGGCGAGGAATGCGGTCAAGCTCGGAGTCGCGAGCCTGTCGGTTTTGCCGTACCTGACAAGCAAGCTCGGCAGGATCGTCAGCGAGAGCGTCGCCGTCCTGCCCGGACTCGGCGTCCAGGTCTCCACCACGCGTGGCTTGACTCTATCCTCCTCGAGCAAACCGGTGTTCGAACGAAGCAGTGCCAGATTGATCCCGGAAGATCGGGTTGTAGACGTCTACGTTGGCGAAGGGTATAGGTACTTTAGCGTGGTGGATTATCTGGCGCTTGTCACCACCTCGCGTAGCGGTGGGGCGACCACACAACCGCTGTTCTCGCATCTTCTGCCTCGACTTTCCACCATCCAACGGATCTACAAGACGCTTCACCCCCATCTTCCCACCAACCACACCTCAAAAGACCGTTCGAAGCGAACCGGTCGAACATCACTAGCCGACCCCAACGCGATGCTCATCAGCGGTGGAAGTGCAAGAGGCTACACCGTGCTGGCCTCTCTCTGCTTCCATCCGCACATCTTCTCCGGCGGTGTGTCTCGCTACGGAATCTCGTCCCTCTCGCTCCTGGCTGCGGAAAGTCACAAGTTCGAATCGCGCTACCCCTTCCAGCTCATCGGTGGAACACCCGAGTCTCATCCAGACGTCTACCACGACCGTTCACCCATCTTCTACGCCAGTCATATCAAAGCTCCCATCCTCCTCCTCCAAGGTTCCGAGGACAGGGTGGTACCCAAGAGTCAGGCGGATCAGTTCGTACAGGAACTCAAAAAGGGCGGTGGTAAGGAAGGAAGGGATTGGAGGTACAAGGTGTACCAGGGGGAGGGTCATGGATTTAGAAAGGGGGAGAATGTTAAGGATGCGTTGGAGGAGGAGCTCAGGTGGTGGAGGGAGAAGTGTCTCAAGTCGTAAGCCAGATCGAAAATTGCGGATGTGATGGGCAGATATTGAAATGATATGCAGATGGCTGGTAGTGAAAAGTTGACATACGGTTGTGTGACGAGCTTCAGCTGAACAGGGAGGAGCCAGCACTGGCGCTCCTCATACCGGACATACCGGGTACGACGCTGACTCGACTCGCTTTGACACGATTGCCCACACCGCTCGATCCGAGCTGTCCCGGAATCGCCATGCTTCCCATGCCTCCAGTCCCACCTCCGACGAGCAAAGGGTTGCCCGCGCCCGCGACGACCGCCACGCTCGTCCGAGTCCTTCGACGGATCGGTCCTGGTCCGCCCGCGCTCGGTCGTGGGAACGCTTTCTTCACCGGCACCGCTCCCGCCGCGCTAGCATTGAACGAAGCTGCGTTGAGACCTGTCTCGTTTGCTGGGAAAACGGGGAACGATGAGCCGTTCAACAGGGCTCCGGTCGCGGTGTTGGTGGTGGTGTTGGTGGTCGTGCGAAGCGGTGGGCGCGATGAGGGGAACGTTTTCAGCGGGGCTACGGGCGAGGCGTTGGAAATGTCGGCTTCGTCAGCCGAGCCTGCACTGAAAGCTTTCTCCTCGCGCAAGGGAGACAAAGCTGTACTAGCACCGCCGCTCGAAACGGATCGTTTCTCCGACGCGCCGTTCAGGCCTTTCGAAGAGGTTGTGCCGAGTGACAACGACCTCGGGATCGACTTGGTCGCCACCAATTGCGCCGGAGTGCTCCTTCCGTCGCTCAGATCTTCCCATTCCGTACCTGAGCTACTTCCTGCACCATCGACGTTGGCGTGTGCCAGACCCTTGTCATCGATTTCGCCTTCGCCTGCCTCATCTGCCCATCTGAACTTCTTTTTCTCCTCCACCGGTGGCAAGGGGACTGCGATTGGTCGGGTAGAACGAGCAGTGCTGAGCCTGCGTGTGACTCCCGCTGAGCTGACTCGACGTACAGCAGCGGACTTGCGCACTGGATCGCTTGCCGTTTGTGATCGTGCGGACGAGGACGAGGTTGGAGCGGCGAAGCTCGGTCGATTGGATGATGGTGTCGTGGAGGAAGTGGAGGGGGAGCTGGTGGCTTGCATGCTGGTCGAACGAGCAAGTGCTGGCGCTGTCGATGTCAGGCTGGAGGACGAGGCGGCAGCGCGACTGGAGCTAGCAGCAGAAGATGAAACGGATCGACTCGAAGCAGCAGGGACGGCTTGGTTGGAAACGGTCCCAGAAGCCGGACCTACTGCCAGAGAAGCGCGTGACCGCCGCAGGGCAGAGCTTGTGATTGGTTTTGCAGGCCTTGCTGTCGGGTGTGTGCTAGCAGCTGCTGGTGCAGGCGCAAAAGTGGGGAGGCTGGCGCCGTACATTGTCTCAAAGACCTTATCGTTCTCCCCGGCGATGCTGCGCAGCTGGGAAGCAAGCAGTGCCAAGGTGGACGAGAGATCTTCTGCATCCTCTGTAGCGCCTGTGTCGCTGCTGTGAGTCGATCTGTACTCAAGCTCGCCGGCGACCTCTCGCAAAGCTATGGTGCTCCTTGTGGCCACCGAGACCAGCTGCGTCGCATCGGTCGTCGAGCGTCGCAACACATCGAGCAATCCCTTCAATTTCGTTTTCGCCTTTTCCGCCTCGACCTCTGCCAACATCGCATTGCCTAGCGTCTGAACCGTGTCGGATGCCTCTGCGTCAAACTTCTGGTTGTGAGAGGCGGCGACGATGATGCCGCGTTGCATCTGAAGGCTGTTGAGCAAGCTTCGTACACCAGCACAGGTGACTTCGTCGTGCAGCGCCTTCTCTTCCAGCAAGACCATCTTTTTCAGAACATCGCGTTCGCCCTCAAGATCCGAGGGGAGCACCTCGCCTTTGCTACTGAATCGATGCAGATCCGCTTCAACCATCGCCAAGCGCTTACGCAGTTCCACCAGCTTCGTTTCGGCAGCTGCTGTGGTTGCCTCGAAGCCTGCTTTCTCCGAGACGAGCCTGGTGACGTTGTCGGTGCTCTCTCGCATACGCTTCTTGGCTTCGTCCATCTCTCGTCCCATGTCTGCGCGTTTGCGTTTCTCGGCGGCGGACTCGAGCGAGCCACGTTCTTCGAGCTTGGCACGCAGCCGCTCGTTCTCCTCCTTGAGTTCGTGGATTGCTTGAACGTACTGAGCGACGTGACGATCGACATTGATCATGTTGCGGCTGACCTTGGTGCGGATGTTCTTGGCTTGGTTTGCGTACTTGAGCGCATTGTGCGTTTCCTCGTAGTGTGTGCTGGAGGGGCTGATGCAGACGACCATGACGGTCTTGCAGTTGCCGCCGAGGGAGAATTTGAGCAGACGTGTGAGCTTGGAGTTGCGGTAGGGAACGTGCTTGACTACACCGCCAGACTGGCAGAGAGCGTTGATGCAATTGCCGAGGGCGAGGAGCGACTTGTTGATGTTGGCACCTTCCTTCATGCGTGCGCCGTTGTTGCGAGTGGCCGAGGCGCGTTCGGAGCCGGCAAGATCGATGATGTTGAGCGAAGCCGAGGTGGTCTGTTCGGTCATGCTTGCGGTGCGTGGCTTCTGCGTCACGTTGATCTGAAGTACGGCGTGAGAGCGAGAGCTGACGGCATTGGCTTCGGTGGGGCTCATGGTGCGTCGAAGATTGCCTTCCTGAATGGACTCGAGAACACTTTCTGGACTTTCGGGGACGAGCTCGGTGATGCCGACGACGGATATGCGGTTGTTGGCGTCTTCGCGAAGCGCAAGACCGGCACCAGGCGGCGTAGGCTCAGAGCTGAGCAGATCACGGATGGTTTCGTTGTAGATCTCGAGGTAGGAGAGGCGAATCTGCACGTCCGAGTCGTCACGGGCATCCTGAATGCGATCATAGAGCTCCTTCATGGTGAGAAAGATGAGACCTGGGTCGTCGGGTGTTCCACTGATGGTGTGCGTCTTCCCGCAGCCTGTAGCACCGTAGGCAAAGACGGTTGCATTGTAACCGTTCAGAATGCCATCCAAGAGGGGTTTACACGTCTCTTGGAACACATCGGTCTGGGATGCGGTCGAGTCAAAGACGCGGTCGAAAGCATATCTGACGTCTTTGCTTCGCTTGCCACCGCGAGCCAGTGGATTGCTGTTGTACAGTCGAGTGAGTGGATTTGTGTCGGGAGGGTCAAAGACGAGCACTTTCTGGTCCATAGGTTTCACTATCGGCCGGACGAAGCGAGTCTTGAGTGTGGACGTGGATGCTGCTGCGGAGGACAAGAACTTGTTTGGAGAGATACCGCCGGCGAGGCCGCCGTCGCCGAGAAAGGGTGTATGATCTTCATTTGGTGCGAGCTGAGACGCTTCCTTGTCGCTGAAGGGACGAATTCGAACGCAAACATTGATCGAGGACTCTGCCATCTTTGGCGTGCTGGATCCTATGCGTCAGGAGACCGGCTCCTGAGGCGAGATTGCTCTGTGTAGTGTGTGTGTGCACGAAGCAGTGCAAGTGTGTCCGTACGTGACCGCCAATGTCGCGAGGACGGAGGGACAGCGCTTCGGCCGTGCCAATCCACTCAAACTGAGTGCGAGAACTTATGCGTCAATCCCATTAGCTGGCGTGAGTCAAAAGTCCAAGTGTGGGGATGTGATGCTGATGCTGGAATTGCTAGAGAGGATTTCTGCTTGGTTGTTGTCGTCTGCCAATGATATGAAGTCTGAAGGCGGGATGGATCGACTGCGATGTGAGCTTGGAGGTGTGGATGTGACTATACAGAGGGATGAGGGTGTGATGGGCGAGACGTGTGATTACTTGTGAAAGTGCGGAACGCGGAATCGCAAACTTGATCGTTCTCCTAGCACAATGGCATCGAACCAACACCAAATGTCCGACACCGATCCGCTTTCCAAATCTCGCCAAGTCTCATTAATCAAGTACGACTACGACCTCATTTGGCTCACCCTGCAATTGAGTGCACACTGGATGCGCTGAAACTCGGTCTGACGGTGATGCCAGGTCCACTATCGAAGAGGCGAGGACGAGATGCAGTGTCGGTGTCGCCGACTGCATGCAAGCGAGCCCGAGACCAACACGGGCAGATCTTCGCTGTACACTGCGAGCACATCGAGCTGTACAGTCTCGCCATTTTTTGACGCTGCTCCAAACGCGTTACACGGTCAACCCATGGTCATTCGAAAATGATGGTCACGTGCTGTTCCAATTTTTTGGAGAGTTGTGAGATCAGCAAACGGCCCCCTCCTCACACACAAGGTGGCTGATCAGGCTGATGGCGCTTGCTGCACAGGGCGGAACGTACACAGTACCGTTGTAGGGCACTCGACATGAGTGACAACTAGAGTACGTTGCATGGTATTGCATTGCCACGATGCGTGTCATACCAATCACGCCGCTTCCTTTTGCTTGTTCCTCGCTTCTTCGGCCTCCTCCTCTTCCACCACTTCAATATCGAGCGGATAGGTCAGGATGGCAGCGATACCAGTCAAAGCATTGAGTTGACGTCCGCTCTCGTGCATCGAGCTGAAGATGGCCACCTCGCCTCCCTGCGCCCGCACATCCTCGACCAACTCTACAAACTTTTTCCTCCTTGCCGGATCTGCTGCACGGAATAGACCGTCCGAGATCAGCAGAACGCCAACAGCACCTCGTGATGCAGCTAGCAGTACGTGTTGCTCTCCGTACCATGCTCGCAGCTCGTCGCTCGCCAACTGCTTCATGAAGCGTTCCAGCAGCTGGCCCTCTCGGGCAAATTTGGTGTCTTTGAGTTGCGCGTTGACTTCTGGGCTGCGTAGCACTTCCATGAGCGAGTGGACGTGTGGTGAGCTGCAGTGGATCTTGAGAAACTTGCGCCGTGCTTCGCTGCCGATCAGGATCTTGTCGCCTCGCCGTGTCGCTTCTTCGAACAAAAAGTCGTACACCGAATCTCTGGTGAAGCCGGGTGACGCCAGGATGATGAGTCGCAGAGCCGGGAGCTGGAGCAGTTTGACGACCGCGTTGTACACCTGGACGTAGAATCGAGCCGTTGCCTTGTCCGCCGCTGTGGCTGGAAGCCCTTTGCGCTTGCGTGGGATGGGCACGTCGATGCGTTGCCTCACCACCGTCATGTGTCCCGTCAGCAGACACACCGCCGCCGTACCATCTCCGAGCACCACCGCTCCCACTTCAGCACGCTGACTCACATCCGTGCTCTCGCCCAATCGCTCCAGATGTACTGCGTCCCAGCTCTCCTTGGTGATGGTCAGCGCTCGGTTCACTTCGAGATCCAAGGTGTGGTATGCTCCCATCTTCACGTGCGGATTCTCCTCCACCACCCTCCCCGCTACCTGCAACGTCGCACCTTCTCCACCCGAGCCACCGACCGCTGCTGATCGGCTCACCTCTTCCTCTGCTGCTGTGGACGATGTCGATGCTGCTGCTGCCGCTGCAGCTGATGGATCTGGTGGAGCGCTTGAACCCGTCGCATCGAAAGTAGTTTTTACCACCTCGATGGTGAGGTTGAGACGCACCCGATGCGACTCCATCGATCCGGTGGATGATTCGGATTGCACTCGACGGACTGCTGCTGCTCGTACTCGATCGCCTTGCTCGATGAGGTTGTAGAGGTGGTACATGTCTTCGTCTTCTTCGGGGACGATGGTGATCCTTCCGGACCCGTCCTTTTCAATGTGCCGCGACGTAATCTTCATTTTGGCTGATCCGGTCGATGAACAGGTTATGTTCCGAGGTGGATCCAGTGTAGGTCTGCGAAGGGATGGGATGCTATGGTTGTATGACGAAGGGACGCAGCCGACCAAGTTGGATGAAAGCTAAGTTACCTCCACCTCGTGCAGCCTCGAGCCAGATTTGGCAGCTAAGATTTCGTCTCGCTGCAGCGAGGCGTCACTCACATCTACGTGCTAACACTCTCGCGGAAAAATCGAATCTGGAAGTGGCTCTCCTTAGCGTTCCCACACTGCCGATGACGGTCCAACTCGACTACATGGGGAGATTGACCGACCTTTCCTCACCCGGCGCACTCAGCAAGTGTCGGTAAGGCTGAGCAGATACTGTAGACCCTCCGCATGATCGTTGAGGCACCAGATCTCACACTTGCCATACCTCGCAACCCGATGTGGACTTGATTGGCAGCTGCGACGCTTCCTGACGCTCAGTGCTGCTACGAAGTCCGAAGCACACCTCATGAGGCATAGGCATAGTATCACAAGCAGCTCAAAGAAGCAAAGCGGCGTGCGAGTAGTGCCGGAGAAAGGTCTGAATTGATTTCTAAATTGACGACTATGCCGAAGAGGAGAGCAATTCGCCGAACTTCTTCTCGACGTCAGCCGAGCTCAGACCGTCAAGCTCGACTCGCTTCTCGACTCCACGCTCTGTTGGTTTCGATAGACAGCACGATGGGTATAATGACGCAGCATCAGAAAGGTCAGTATCGTTTTTCATCCTATTTGAAGGAGTCGTGGGTGTTCAACCTACCGAAGCGGGCAAAGGCGCGGGCGGGGGTGCCGCTAGCTTCTCGGACGAGGAAGGGGAGATCTGGGTTGGACTGCTTGATGGGCTTGTAGTTGGTCTCGAGGAACTTCCTGTTTGTTTGTTGCAAGATGAAGTTGCAATTCGCATGGGAAAGTCGGGGAAGCTGGTCAGTCGTCGTTGGTCTTTCGGGTCACTAGTTTTGCTATGAAAAGCTCACCTTGCTCCAGCGGAAGCCTGACCGGTCTGGCAGAGATGCAGGCGCACCTCCTTTAGCGCCTTGGGCAATGCTTTCGTCAATGCGTTGGCCGACATGTTGTGTGTATGAATGCAATAGGGTGCAAGGTGAAGGATGCGGCGTCGACAGATGGGTGTCGAAATGCAGGAGCGAGGCTGTTCCGGAACGCAATCGCCAATTCCACTCGACGTTGCAAAATGACCATTTGTCAGCATTTGAGAGCAGGGCAGCACTTTATGGGTCTAACATGTTGCAATCTTAATTACGAGTCAAACCAACACTCTCTTGACATGCACCGCTCCCACGCACTTTCAACCAACACTGAGTGCTCGACACCGACCAGCGTCACCTGTCATCCGGGCCTTCATCGACAATACCAGAGGACATCGAGTTATCCTTCACATCGAGCCCACACGTACGCTTTCCTAGCCACACATCGACTTTGTCAATCCGTCGTGCACATTTGCACATCCCTCCCAGCAGCTCGTTCATGGCGTCGTGAGGAGTCGCACCGCCCACTGCGGCTAAGAGATGGAGTACTTGAGCCGTCTTTCCGGCTTGGTGTCCACTCCCGCCAAAGCGGCAGCTGGTATCTCCGGCTCACCACGCCTGCGCAAAAAGCCTTCGCTCCATCCCGTCGGCAGCGTCGATATATTCCATGCCGACTGGCTTGCGGTCCAGGCCGAGCTCGAGAGCCCCGACGAAAGAGCGCTCTTCTTTGGCGTAGCACGCTCCGATCTTCCGCGCAGAATCCAGCGGATCATCGATGCGCTCGTCTTCGAGAGCAACCGCAGTAATGACGGCCACACCGGTCCCTGCATGGAGTACTTGCTCAAGTACGATATCCTCACAGAGCTCGTTCACCTCTCAGTCGATGATCGACCCAAGGGCATCCGTGGTGAAACCATCCGTGCGCTAAAGGACCTCATCATCCTGCTAGACGAAAAGTTCTTGTCGCGGCAAGCGGCCAACAAACCGATCTCTCAGCTGATACAGCTCTGTCTCGACGAAGATGCCGTACGATATCAGCTCGACGACGACTCGTTCGATATGAGCGGTCCGGATGCTCCTCTGCCTGCAGCTCACGATCCCGAGTACGAGGAGGATCTTGTCGACCTCATGTGCCACATTGCCAGTCGTATCCGCAACACACCCGACCTCTTGCAGATCTTCTTCACAGATGAGCCCGTCGATGATTTCGATGGTCCCCAAGACGCACGCAGCTTGAAGGACGGCTCCATCATTGTCAGTCGCGCTGTTTTCGACGATCTGACCCTCCGAAACCAGGTGAGCGAAGACCAGCGAGATATCCAGCCTCATTCAGAAGATACTGGCGTCGACGAGCGGCCACCGTCGCCAGCTAGGTCCGTCGATTCGACCGAAACCATCCAGCCATCGACTGCCCAAGCAACTCGCAAATCCTCAAAACGTCGACTCAGATTCCCGCTTTTCTCGTATTTGCTCAAGTTCGTCCACCGCGAAGGTCGAATTGGCGAGCTTTCTCGAGCCGGACTCTTGTTCCTCATCTCGCTCGAGAGCGGCCACCCCTCAACAAGGAGCACTTCACCCGGTGCTCCAGCCCGCAAGTCGGCAAAACGCGTATCCTTCCCAACCGAAGACATTCGTCGCTCGCTGGCCGTCTTTATCGCACATTCCGACTTTGCAGACGTACTTGGAGCTGGACTTGGCGCGGCGTACGGCCTGCTTCCATCACGCATACGGACCGTGCCGCGGTACGACCCGACTGAGATCGAGGCCGATGCCTCTTCAACGAAGGACAATCGCGCTACGATCACACTGGCGAGCAGCTCTGCTTCCGAAGCAGCAAGCGCGGTCTCTGATGCGCTATCGACAGCGACGAGGAGCGACGACGCCGAGTTGCAAGCGCAGTTGCGTCTGCTTGTTGATCTTGTCGAATTCTGTCAGGACGTGCTCGACTCGCTCTGGGTTGCGTCTAAGAATCTCACCGAAGCTGCCAGCATCTCGAATGATGTGGACGAAAAGTCCGCCGATGCACCATCGACAAGCCCAATGACTCCACCTTCTCTCGACCCGATGGTCCGCAAGCTCGCAGGCGCCATCGCCATTGCCATCCGAGACACTTTTATCCGCAACGTCGTCTATCCATCTCTGATGGAGAGCAGTGATTTCGATGGCAGCTCCGCCGCCGTACTCAATTATCTCGACGTGATCGTCATCGTACTGCGCAGCGGCCACATCTTGACCGACGTGGCACTCGACTTTCTCCTCCCAGCCGACCTTGACGAGAGCCGCCAAGACGGGTACGGCTACAGCATCGACGTGCCCATCGATAATTCGGATCGGTACAGTGTGAAGGACTTGATCCTCGACAGCTTCGAGGATGCAAAGAGCCCGATGACCAGAGTGGCAGCGTTGCGGCTGGCCAGAAGTCTGGTCGTCTGTCACGGCTTTCGAGCGTGCGGCGGTTTGCTGCAGCTGCCCCCACGTCGAACAAATGCACCTGCACCATTGGACGAGTGGTTGCCAAAGAGTCCAGGTCCTGACACACACGAGGACAGCTCATATATCAGCAAGATTGAGGCGCACTTCCACTCGATCGACACACTGTCCTCTCTTGTCGCTTCGTTCGGCTCCACCAACAGCAGTGAGTCCTTGCAAGGTTCGCTAAGCAGCTATCTTCTGGACGCCGAACAAGCGTTGCGCCGAGATAGCACCTTTTCTGTCGCTCTCGAGATCGGCGGCGGTCAGATTCCGTTGGTCCGAAGCGATCCTTTGATCCAGCAGCTGTTTGCGTGTCTCGCCAGCTTCTTCTCGCAGCCTGTTGAAGTCAACCTCGCGGCGAGTGGAGTCCTTTCTGCATTGGCTTCCTCGCCGATAATGAGTCTGGATGGGTGGCTGATCCATGCGAACGCCAACGAGACGGACGGAGAAGAACCTGGGCTGGTGCAGCTCCTACAAGGATTGGTGGAGCAAGTAGATGCATATCGAGCCTGTATGCCCGAGTTTGATCGATACCTGACGGAGAGGAGGAGGAGTCTTGTGCTCACGGACGATCTCTCCGCCGCTCTCAGGGTAGCCGAGCCTGCCGGAGATGATGAGGAGGACTCGGAAGAGACCGAGTCTTTAAGGGCGTGCTTGACACTACCCCCCTTTCCCAAGCAAGCCAACGGCTCAACTGGTCGGCCCCAGAGCAGCGAACGGATTCGAGCGGCCGAACGTGAATTTGGCGTTGTAGAAGACAATCGTCCGTCGCTCCCAGCGCTCTCACCTCCAGCTTCCGCGCCTGCAACTCTACCAGCAACTTCGGCAGACACAGGTTCGATCGGACGCAGCAGCGCTCTAGCCCGACTGTTCGGAGGTCGTCCTGCTCGTACACCCTCTCATCTCGGCAAAACCTTCCCAACACAGGACAGCACTCCCGAGAGCAGACCTGGCGTAGACCGAAAGGTGTCAGCATCGACGATCAACCCGTACGCCGAACACTTCCGCGAAACGGCCGCTGTCATCGTCAAGACCCAGATTGCGACGGGAGGAGAAGATTGGAGGCCGTCGGCGAAGACGAATGGAAACCGGGGGACAGGGAAGGCGACGCTTTCGAGCGTGCTGGACAACACGATATTGTTGGAAGAGATGATCAAGGAGTTGTTGGCTACGGTGCAGGTGAGGAGGAGTTGGGGGATCGATGCAGTGTCTTTGTTTTAGGGAGATCAGTGATGCGATGAATATACCCTTCAGCTATCGGCGAAAACGTTGAGTGGTACCATATGAGCTTTGCTTTCAGCCGGACCAAGCGCTGCCCTGAGTGCTACGTCTGCTCGGCATCAGGTATGGTTGTATGAGTGACCAAGACGATGAAGGGTATCTGTCGGGAATTTTCGATCTATGTTAGATTCGAGACACGACTTCACGCACAGGCCGGGTTTGGATTTCGCACGGTTGCTCTAGCCGACTTCCGACAGGGTCCTGCCTCCTCCATGCTTGGCCGGGTGAAGCCGTCCATACGAACAGTGACTGGTCTTTACTTCTCTCTCCCTTTCACTTATCGACAGGGGCCTTCTTGAAAACGTCGAAGGTGCCGCGCAATTGCTCACACGCTCTCGCTCTGGTACGACGCAGTCACATCGGATGCTTCTTCCGGCCTCACCGCATTCAGGCCGCTGTGCCTTCGGACGCTCCGAAGCATAGTTTCACGTGAAGCACAGGTGCTGTCCGACTTTCTGCTCCGCTTCGAGTTGACCACAACAAGAAGAATCCGAACCTCGCGCAAGCTCGGCGGCGGTCGCCCCTTCCGCCATCATGTATTGGCCCACCGCCTGCGCAGAAAGGATCCACCTTTCGCCTTCGGGGCTGCATCGACCAACCACCTTCCTCCGCTTTGACAAAGATGCAGCGCAGCAGCTTGCAAATCAGGGGGCTGGTAGAGATGATGATGCTGAGGATCAGACCATACAGATCGCCCGCTCCCGCAACGGTATGATGTGGGCTGCGCTCAGCACCTCCACCATCTCGATTTGGTCCTCGCGTCCCGCTCAGGTCGTTGCTGCTCTCGTTCGCACTCCACAAAGTATCGCCGACTACGGCAACAACACCCGCATCGAATGGCGTCCGGATGGAAAGGCATTGCTGGTACAGACCGATTCCAACTTCCTCCTGCTCTACAACATCGTCTACCGTCATCAGGGCTCCTCGATCTACAGCTACATCCCACCTTCCGGCTCCGGTGCTCGTTCGCAATCGGGAGAGCTCCTTGCACCCAATCCGAATGCACTGCGCAGCTCCTTCTCTCCAGGCGCAGGGGAAAGTGCCGCTGCTGGCGACTTGGGCCTTGGCGGTCTCGCTGGAGAGGCATGTGAGCTTCGCTTTCGCCTCGTTCTCCGCATCGACGCGGGGTTGCGCTTTGCCGCGTCAACAGAAACGCACATGCTTGTCAGCACTACGTCGCCCCCCGCGATTCAGTGTATCCGATGGCCCAATGACGACGCGGACGCACCACCACCCGACTTCAACGACCCCTTGGTTCGCACTCGCACCACATTGACAGACCAGCTGGACTGGTTCGTCGGTGAGACGCACGAGGGCCCAGAGTCCAGCACGGAACAATCTCGAGTGCAGATCACTTATGTGACCTACTCTCGCCCAATGGACGTCTTTGTCTGGCTCACCTCCGATGGTCGAGCCTATGTTGCCAATTTGGACCTGTTGGCCAGCGGCACAACTCCCTGGACCGGTCGCGGTTTCCACGGCGCGCCAAAACAACGCAGACGCCAATCGTCCAATGCAACACGCGTCGCAGCGCCGGAGACACACCCAGAATCAACGCACACGCACCAGCAAGACTCGATACCAGGCACTAAAGATGGCGAGGGCCCGTCAGATGCACAGCCCGAAGGCACACCCCCGGTCAATGGGTACGTTGATGGAGATTCGGCAAGATCTGGGGTTCCAAATGGCGACGATTCAGGGAAGCCAGCAGTCGCGGCTTTGCCAGCGGAGCAGCACGCCATCAGCGTATCTATCAACGCCAAGTTCAGCTTGATCGCTCTAGGTCTGGCTGACGGTACGGTCGCTGTCTACACTTATCGAGCGCCAGGTCGTACGCCACTCCATTCACATACCCTATCTGTGCGACAGGCGCTCAAGTCAACGGCAAGCTACCTCACAACCGGCCCTGTGCGTTCTGTTTCGTGGACGAGTGACGGCTATGCGCTTGCAGTTGGCTGGGAGAAGGGCATGTCGACCTGGTCCACGTACGGCAAGCTTATGGCCTGTACGCTACGAGAGGACTGGGAATTGGCGTCTAAGAACTTTTCCGATTCTTTCATGTTCGGATGCCGCGACCTTTTCTGGGCACCAGGCAACACGGAGCTCTTCATCCTTGCGCTCGCCAAGAAAGACCTCACGCCTTTGCGGCCCAACAGCCAGCTCTTCGTGCTGCCGTTCTCCAAGTCGGCGGTCGCTGGACAGCATTCGCCAGACAACACCCGGTTCGCCTTCTACCAGACCGACGACAGCTTGCACGTCTATCGTGGTGCCGACCAAACCGATCTCACCGCCATCACACCAGAGAGTGACGTCTGGCAACACATCAAGATTCCACAATCGTATCTCGCAGCCAATTGGCCCGTTCGGTACGCGGCCATCAGCGCCGATGGCAACTTGATCGCTGTCGCAGGTCGTCGAGGTCTTGCGCACTATTCGAGCACCTCGGGTCGATGGAAGCTCCATAAGAGCGTTGCGCAGGAGCAGTCGTTCGTGGTGCGCGGTGGTATGCAGTGGTTCCAACACGTCCTCATCGCCGCTTGCGATTCCGGCGGAGAGTATCAGCTTCGTCTCTACTCGCGTGATACAGACCTCGACTCGTCCCACCTGCTCGATCTGCAGGTGCTTCCTAGCCCCGTCATCCTCACATCGCTCTTCGACAACAGCCTGCTGGTCTACACGGCCGACAACACGTTCTACCACTTTCTCATCGATCTCTCGCAGGATCGCATACGGCTGCGCCTGTGCGGATCCATCACGTTCGAGGGGATTGTCGGCGAGCCTGCGAGGGTGCGTGGGATGAGCTGGATGATTCCCGAGAGTCAACAGCGCTTTGGCGATCCGATGGATGATCTGGCTGTCGCCACCATTATCTTCTTGATAGACGGCAAGTTGGTCTTGCTCAGGCCACGCAAGGTGAGCGGCGGCAGTCGGGCAGAGTTTTCGCAAAATCCGCTTCAAGACTTTGATGAACAGGATGTGTCGTATACGGTGCATGATGGCGACGATGACGACGACGAGGTCGCCTACGACATGCAGATCCTCTCGGACAAGATTGAATATTACTGGACGCATCTGCAGGGCATCGGGACGCTCGAGAATTCGCTCTGGGGCTACGACGGAAGCGGCATCAAGCTGTGGCTCGATGCGCTGCGTATACCGTCGTCTGACCCGGACGAGTCGTTCCGAACGGATGACGACGATGATGACGAGCAAGATCTGGCGCCGGAATACAAGACGATCGAGTCTTCGGTTTCCATGCCGCTCGACTTCTACCCGCTGTGCGTTCTGCTGGAGAAGGGCATCGTGCTGGGTGTCGAATCGGAAGCCTCGCTGCGTCGATCATTGGACTTTGCCCTCTGGCGTACTACGACCAATACGCACCTGTTCCTGCATCAGGTGCTGCGTAACTACCTTGAGAAGGGTCTTATCGAGGAAGCCGTGTTCTTTGCGGCGTCGTATCAAGATTTGGTGTACTTTGCCCATGCTCTCGAGATTCTGCTGCACGCGGTGCTGGAGGACGAAGCTGATGCGGGGCTGGGAGATGCACTGTATGCTAGGAGAGGGTCGGGCAGCGTTTTGCAGAAAGAGAGGAGTCCGAGCTCGCTCTTGGCTGACGTGGCTGAAGAGGACGATGATGGTCACCAAAACGCGGCTGGCCGTCAAGACGAGGACAACCCAGACACCAGCGGATTGCAGAACGGCACCCACCTCGAGCCACCATGTCGGCGCGGTTCGAGATCGCCGTCGCCCACACCTCGCGCCGTCCTCCCGCTCGTCGTCGAGTTCCTGGACCACTTCCCCGAAGCGCTCGAAGTCGTCGTCCGGTGTGCACGCAAGACCGAAGTTGCACGCTGGGCCTACCTCTTCGACGTGGTTGGTGCACCTCGCGTCTTGTTCCACAAATGCATCCAGGCGGATCAGCTGCGCACAGCGGGCATGTATCTGTTGGTGCTGCACAATCTCGAACCATTGGAAGTGTCGATCGCGCACACGATTCAGCTGCTCAAGCTTGCCGTGCAGAAGGAGGACTGGTCGACGTGTCACGATCTGCTGCGGTTCTTGGCGAGTATCGATCCGAGTGGAGGGGCGTTGAGGTTGGCGGTGGATGAAGCGGGGATTTTGGAGGAAGGGAAGCAAGGGCAGGGTGGGGAGCAGCAGACGCCTCCGAGGTTGCTGCGTGCCGCATCCGCACCGATCAGCTCGACGCCGACGAAGCTCGACACCATGACGGAGGAGGAAGAGGAAGACGAGGCAGAGAAGAGCATCAGCTCTAACCCCGACCTCTCGCTCGACACGTCCACTGACCGCCCAACGCTGCAACCAGGTCAACGGTCAAAATCAGCCACACTCAACCTCCCCACACGCAACATCCCAGACGTCATCATCAACGGTCAATCCCTCACCCCCGGCCTTGCAGCCATGGGCATCGGTTCCCACAAGCAGCACCGTCAGTACGCCCACGGTATAGGGATGAGCCTCAGCCGCGTCGGGTTGCGCAGCAGCGATCGCATCTGGGATAAGAACCGGGAGGATGCCGAAAGTCCCACTTCCCCTAGGAGTGGGTTTGGTTCTCTACCGAGGATGGACAGGTTGAGCGGGGATGGCGTGGGCATGGAGGATGATGTTGATGAGGCAGAGGAAGGCGGATCCAAGGTTGACGAGAGGATGTGAAATGACGGAATCTCACCACACTGCGAAACACGACTGTGAAAAGGTTGTCTGAGAATCCAATCGCATTGCTGAACAAGTCACTCAACAGCGCCTTTGTGCCGCCACGCCGCCCACTGGCCCACGATCATGAGATCAAAAATCAATGTGCCACCACTGCCCAGCAAGAATGGCAAACTCTCCTGGAGATACATCCTCGATCCTTCACCTTGCGCCGACGGATTGGTCAATACGCTGATCGTGTAGAGCAGGTTTCCCGAGAAAGCGGCTATGAAGAGGAGGATGGAAAGGCCCGCTACGGAGCGTCGGATGTGGTTTTCCCAGATCTGTGGGATGCGCGAGGTGATGTAGAGCAGCGCGCACAGCCATGCGCTTATACGTCCGACCACGCGACGCCAGGTAGCACCTCCGTCGAACAGCGATAGCATCGAAAGCGAGCCGGACGAGGGATCCGGTATCGCTGCAGCCGAGACGGTCGACGAGGGTAGCGACGTGACCATCATGATTCCGAGCAGAACCATGCCGATACTCCTACGCATGGAAGCGGGCGATTTGGTCCCGGTACGTTTCTTTCCGGTGGACGAAGACGGCCCAATCAACCCACTAGAAGCCATGCGTTTCGAGTGCGATCGCGAAGAAGAACTGCGCACCATGCTGCGCTTCCTACCTCCATCCTTGACCAAAGTGTCGATCGAGCGGTGCAGGGGTGCTGCGGGTGAAGACTCTCGTGTCGAATCGTGCGTCCGCCGCTTCCGTGTCTTTGCCGGGTTCAGCGCGGTATATTTGTCAGTAATCTCTTCGTCGGAGTCTTGTGGAACGGCTGTCGTTTCATGCGAGCCCAGCTGGTGAAGTGATTGGGACATTCGATCCGTGACATCTCGTGATTTCGAGTGGGGCGAAGCATGCCTGGCCGTTCCATCCGAGGAAGAGTGTCCAGAGAAGGGTGAACACGCATCACGACGTGCATCACCTGCAATGACGGGTGTCACTGCGCCGGAGGGAGGGGCCGTGTCGATGCGAGTCGCTGTGCGCATCATATCGCGTCCTCTAGGCTCTGCGGATGCGCTGCTCGAAGCCGTTCCGACGCTCTCCAAGCTGTCGATGCTGTTCATGAGATTCTCAGCCTCTGCTGCCTCGTCCCGCGATGCAGACTCGGCTTCAGAGACCGATTCGGGTTCGGTCTCTCCATCGTCTTCTGCTGGCCTTGATACTGTTGCTGCCGCGTCAGATTCGTCGATGTCCTTGCTTTCCCTGGTCGGGCTCAACGCCGAGGGGACAAAGTCGACATTGCCTGCAGCCGCTTTCCTACGAGAGCTCATGGATCTGGTGGCTCGCGATCTACGAGCAGCAGATGGCGCAGTTTCGCCTGCGGCCTTCAAAGACTGCGTTGAGGCGGTCAGGTCAGTCTTGAGATCCCGCTGTAGATCGACTTCGTTGCTGTTGACTCTTGATCGCGTCCGCGAAGGAGGTAGGGAATGATTGGGCGAGGAAGACGCGCGAGACTTGCTGCGATACGAGTGCGATCTTCGATGCGAAAAGTAATCTTCGTCTGCTCCATGCACTTGATGCAGCATGGCTTCTCTCCGTCTTGCTGCCTCTTGAGCCAACTGAGCTACCGACAGGGCAGCGTCAGAGAGCGCGCGGTAATTGGCGACGGAGCCACTCGCAGCTCCTGAAACGGTGTCGCTTGAGCCGTTTCTGCTGATGGGAGGTGCGTGCCGTGACCTGGATCGTGACGATTCGTAGCGTGGCCGCTGAGGCCGACGATCGATTTGTGGCGCATCGGCAGGCGTATCTGTCGAAGCACGGGGTTCCAATGGAGCATGTGGATCTTTATGGGGATGTGCATGCTGTGCTGCGTGTCGATTCGGATGCGTGAGCTGTTGCGAGTGCGAGAGGTTGACGCGACGCCTGCTCGTGCTGCGGAGGAACGAATTGTGCCGACTTGATCTGCTTCCAAGCAGCTCGCTGGTCTCGGACAGCACCGAATAGGGATTGGGAGGGTACGGTGAGGTGAGACTGCTGGATCGCTGGCGGGATCTGTTCTTGAGGAGACGAGCTCGCTCTTTGCGAGCTTTGCTCCAGTAGTAGACGAACTGCACCATGATGCAGACATCTATGCAGCAGAAATAGGTTGCGACAGCGATCTGGAAAGGCAGTTGCTGGGTGAGAACGCTTCCGATGAGGTTGGTAGCATCGCCGAGCATCCATTGCGTGAGAAAGACGGCGGAGAGGCCCTCGACTGAGCCGCGGCGATAGTTTTCGTAGAGCTGAGGTGATTGAGCGAACAACCAGATGCAGAATGACAAGGTGCCGGTGAGGTCAGATACGGTCTGCCTATCGACGGCACCTATCCAGCTGACCATGGCTACAGCTCGAGCGGTCGGAAGCGCGCCGACGTCGTTACTGCGCCAGCGCACTCGTGTCGGTCTGTCTCCGATAAAGGCAACTATAGAGTCTGGCGCACTGAGGCTGGCGATTGCTCGTCTATGATCGTCGCTCGCTGAAGAAATCGTGTTGCCATATGTTGCTTGTCGAGATCAGAGCGACACAACGAAGTTCGAGCAAGTCAATAGGTCCATACCCTTGATCACTTGACTTGCGCTCCGAGCCCTCGAGCCAGCTTTGGTCCGAGATAAGAGTCTGTCTAGCCGCCCGGACCGTTTAGGTAGTCCAAGGAGCAACACGACTGCGAGAAGGCCAGAGATATCGGAGTATCAAGGTTCTGATCTGAACGAGCTTCTCTTATTGAGCCTGCTCAGCGTCTTTTCAACGCTATTCCGCCAGGTGTGTTGCGTATGGGAGGTCGAGGAGGATCGCAATGCTGAACCTTGACGCTCAAGCAGCCGGGGTCCCTGCTGTCTAGGTTGCGTGAGCACCGACTGCGATCGATAGGCGTCCCGATTCAGCCGTGACGGACGATGGTCTGGCAGTAAAGTTGATGGTTGCAGTCAAAAGATAATCAAGGGCTCGATCGGCCACCTAGGCTAGTGTGCATGTGATGCCGAATTAGCCGTGGGACACCGAGCGAAAATGATAAGCATGTTAAGTCACGACATCGAAGAGCTGAGCAACGCGCCCGCGACTCAAATGTGGAGTGGCGAAACGCACACGCGAAAAGTAACACTTTTGCAACAAACTCAGCTTGCTCACACCTGCCATCATCCTCATCATCACCATCATCTTTCTTGGATCTTCTTGCTCGCCGCAGCTCTCGTCTCGGAACATTGGCGCTTGCATACGATATGTCCACCACGGCTCCAGGCGATCACACCCTCCTACCGTTGTCCGCTCCTCGAATCGCCCACAACGGCGCCAACTCTTCTTCTACATTGGATGCGAATCAAGGCGCTGCTACATGGCCGCCATCAGCTGCCTCCTCCGCAGTCACAATGCACGCGGATAGCTCGGCGCTCGTGCCTACTGCACCCACTACGGAGATCAATCTGGTATCGTCGCCGCCAACCAGCCATGCTACTTCTCCCACGCGCGTGCGCTCTTCACCCCTAAGGCCGTCGTCAGCAGCCAATGTCGTAGTCGAAGCTTCTTCTGGCGGACGTGGAACCGGAAAGTCTGCCATTGCTGCATATTCAGTCGACCCAGTGGAAGCATACGTAGCCAACAGCGATCCGGAGGACGACGACGAGCAAATCGGCCACTCGGATTCTGCCCAGGCCTCACAGCCGCTCTCCCTTCCGTCTTCACCAGTCCGGTCTGGCAAGAGAGCGTTCGCTGCAAACATTGATCAAGAGTCTTCGTCTTCTGTATACGTCCAGATCCCGGCCGCCTCTCCATCTTCCAGGCCACCGCGGCAGACACCTGGCTCTACCAAGAAGAACAAGAAGAAGCAGCAGAGCGACACGTCGCGCAGTGGCGGATCAGATGCTTTCGACTCGGCCGAGCAAGATGCTCCGACAGCCGTTGAAGATGACGACGCCGCCTACGCAGCCGCCCTAGCCGCACAAGAGGCGACACTCGCCCGTCGACGTCCTACACGCAATGCCAGGAAGGAGGTGAGCTATGGTCCGAATTGCGATCTTGAAGGACGACCACTTTCGTCAAAGAGGCAGAAGGAATCAACCACCAAGTCCAAGGTAGCAGCGAAGGACTCTTTGACTGCTCAAAATGCGAGAGACAAGCGAAGATCCAGAGACTTTTCGGATGATGACGAAGAAGCTGTCGAAGGCGCCAAACCTGGGCCTAGCTCATCCAGCAAATCGAAGCGGGAACTCGGGTCAAAACACGCTGCAGAAGACGACGAAGACTTGACAGACGACGACATCGGTTTCGCTGCGCGGGATCGTAAGAAGGCGAAAACGAGCAAGCTTATCACGGCGATCAGTGACAGCGAGGAAGAGGCGGCAACAAGTCGGACGACGAGAGGAAAGAAAACACAGCCGGAAAGATCCTCGCGTCGGGACAAGATAAAGGATGATGCTCGAGTCTCGGACGAGGGCGAGTCGGAGCGCGACAACGACATCTTGACACCGCCAGCGCCGACTTCGCCGCGTCGTTCGACGCGTAGGAGCGTTCCTTCGCCGAAGAAGAAGCAAGCGAAAGAGGCCGCTGAAGACAAGCCCCAAAAGAGCGCAGGAAAGGGCAAGAAGAAGCAGCGCAAAACCTTCGATCTTGATCGAGACGGTGAAGAGGAGGAAGAGGCAGAGGAGAAGAAGGACGAAGGCGAGACTGTCGAAGATGTCGCCGCTCAGGCTGACGAGGCGTCCAGAAGCTCAGGTCAGAAGATTGCTGAGGCAGATGGAGAAGAAGCAGAAGAAGAAGAAGCAGTCAACTCTGCACCTCCTGCCAAACCATCCGCCTCTCCAACCATTTCCAAAGCTTCATTATCAACCTCTTCCCCTGCCCTCACTTCGACCTCTACACCTCGCTCCGCACCGACCACGGTGGCGATCAAGCGAATCGCAACTTCCGGCACTTCGTCCCCCACCCTCCATGCCTCGTCTCCCACCACCAGCGCATCCCCACGCTCGTTCTTCGGCAAACCGCTCACCACGCTCCTCTCAACTGGTGCGGCGAGACGGCCCGGTTTGACACGCAAGCACAACATCCCTTCGCTGTTGAACCATCGCGGAGCACCGAAGGCGCCCGTTCGCGGGCTGGTGGTGTCGAAACGCAGGATGCAGGATGACGATTATGAGTACGATGCCGAGTACGAGGCGCTGATTGCGAAGGGGAAGAAGGGGAGTGATGATGAGGATGCGAGTGATGCGGAGGTGGTGGAAAAGGAGGAGGAGGAGGATGAGGGGTTGGAGGAGTATGATTGAGTTGGGCTAGGTTGGCGGATCTTTCATTAAGGAAAGGGATCTATCAATGTTGTATTTGAGTGAGAAGGACAGGTGCTGTTGTACAGATAGATGTGGTGTTTTGATCAGAGTGAGTTTCTCGTCGAAGTCCTTCTCGACCTCATCCTACTCTTTTTGCCTGCTCTTGTCTCCGCCAGCTCCTTGAGCAGCTTGACTGTGGTTACGATCAACGGTACCAACAGGGGCGCGAACAGCGGGGTGTAAACGGCATACTTGTGCTCGTCTGGAAAATACAGCAGACCCAACATATCCGGGTTGAAGAAGGCCCTATTGCTCAACGCATGAGCTTCCCTCGTCCTCTCGAACAACTCGCTTAGACTTTGGGTTTCGTTTTGGGCAGCAGCGAGGGATTGGATGATGTCGAGGGAAGATTGGACGTCGGATTTGACGGGGGGACCTACACCTAGGTTTTCGATGCGATCGACTAGACGGGTGATGGCGGTGAGCGTCGAGGTGGTTTCTCTGGCTAATTCGAGCGTTCGTCGTTGTTGGAGCGTTGATAGTCGAATGTTGCGTTGTAGGGGTGAAGTTGGGATGTCGGAGAGGCCGAGAAGGATTTCAAGTTGACGAGAGAAGAGCGTCATTGCTCCGACGACTTTTGCCTCTGACAACTCGATCACCTTCCCCCCACCACCACCACCTGCTCCCTGATGGTGAGATATCAATCCATTCTCTTCCGCCGGATCGTCTTCAGCGTTCAGAATCACAACACCTCCCCATTGAGGTATCAACCATCCACCTGCCTCCTCCACCCCACCTTTGACGATATCACGGATGAACAGTGGCGTATTGGATTTGCTCGGAATGTAAAGCAAAAAGTGCAGATCGTGCGTCTGCGAAAGAATGTCGTATGGTCGACCATCGACGGTGTGATTGCGTTGTGAAGAGGAAGATGATGGTGGGACGGTGGAGGTGAGACTCCATTCCTGTGAGTTGACAAAGACCTTCAAGTCGTCCCATTCGACGACGTTTCGTGGCGGTAGCGGTGTGCGCTTCTGCTTGCGCGTGTGTTGAATGCGTGGGACTTGGATCGTTCGTTTCTGCGTCTGTTTGATGGTCTTCTTTCGACGACCTGTTGACGGTGCGGAAGGGAGTTCTCGTTCCACCTCGGAAGCCTCCGCGTCTGCTTCGATGGTCGAAGCCGATGCAACCTCACCCTCGGCTGGATCTTCATTGTCAACCTCTACCTCCACCACCTCTTCCACCTCTTGATCGACCATCACCTCTTCCTCCACATCGATCTCCACCACCTCCTCCAAGATCTCCCTGGTAGGTTGAAATTGCAGCGGTGCAAACCACTGAACCTGCGTCTCGACATGAAAGTCGTGCAGCCCGCTCAGCTCGCTCGTCAGCCGTGTGATGGGGTTGCTCGTCGAAGCGTTGGCGCTCGCCAGATCATGGACAAGTTGACTGTCGTATGCACTGCCGTCGGTGACGTCCTGGTTCATGATGCTGAACACCAGACGTACGTGCTTGCTGTACTGGATGACGCGAGGGTCGTGTTGCGTGTCTGAGATGGTGGACGCGGAGGTGTCGTCTGCGGCGGTGGAAGGTGGTTTGTCGCCTCGTAGATGGAGAAGCTCGGCGATAACAGCAGCGCTAACGGTGTCTGGTACGAGTGGAAGCGATGCCGGTTCGTCGGTAGGGTTGGGAAGGTAGACGGTGGGAACACCGGATTGATGTGCGTCGGCGTCATCTGACGATGTCTCGCTGGCGACTCGTACCGCATATGCCCCTGTCTCGAGATCCAACGGTGGCAGTGATCCTGCAGAGCTCGTCGCATGGACGTCGACCTTCCATCTCGTGCACTCGAGACTGGCGGCCGCGGGTAGTCCCGCCTTGATCTCGAGACTCTGCTGCACAAGCTGCTCCACTTGCTTCAAGAACGATGCTTGAGCGTCCTTCTCCCCTTCCTCCTGGCCTCCATCTTCTGATATTATCGTTGGATCGACCGACACTGTAAGACTAGATTGAAAAGCGACCGGGCAATCGTCTGGATAGTGAAGCGCTTCCACCTGTTTTGTAGGTAGCGGCAACCGTTGGATCGTGGTCAGCCGAAGCCAAGAAGGGATGCTCGCCAGCAATGCGACCCAGAAGCAAGTCAGGACGGCTATGCGTGTGCCGAGGCTCTGGAACATCAGCGGTGCCGCCATCTTGATCCGCTGTGCCCGGCAACTTGCGTGGAAGAATGCGAGGGACAGGAAGAAAGATGGAAGGGCCTTGCTTGTTCACGTTGGCGGATGCTATGCTTTAGCGAACGTCCGAAAAGGAGGTTCACCTTTTCGAGGGAATTTGACCCTCCTCGCCCGGCACATCGGACCCTAAGGAAAAGGAGGGGGATCATTTTTACTTGGGAAGGGAAGGTTTATATAACTTGGCTCTTGCTGCACATTGCTCGCCCGGCTTGCCACCTCCCTCTCTCTAGCCAGCTGAGCACCCTCGCTACCTCTGCATAGCTGCTCAAGCCAGCCGATGAATCAGCCAGGCTCTTTGAATGATGAATGATGGAGGCGCCGCAGCAGAGGTGGCTGGCTTTGGTGCGATTTAGATGAATCAGCATCAGGTGGCCCACTCGCGGTATACAGCTGTCTTGCACGCTGAATGCGATTTTCGCATGGAGAGGCTTTTAGTTCAAGTGTTACATCACTCGATGCCACACCTGTTGTCCGACGCAACTGATTTGGCCATCCAATTTGAGCAGAAGCTGCTCGTGCGTGAAAGCGGTCTTTCGCCGCTTGGAATGCACCGACTGGCGACTGACATCACATGCAGTCCGCAGCTTGGCCCCGCATTCCACTCTCTCTTCTCTTTTTCTCTCTTTCTCTGTCCGACCATCAGCAACCATCAGTCACCTTTCTCCCTCGCTCTGATCTCATTTCGAACATCACCGACGAGGTCACCTCTCCTTGATCGTCGCTTCTGACGCAGACAGGCCTGCCTAGAACATCCAAGGCGATCCGAAATCCTGGCCCAATCATGTCGTCGACATCCACAACCACCCCGGTCGCGACACCGATCAAAAAGGAAAAGGACACCAACACCGCCTCACCAGCACCCCCATCCCTGGTGACCAACTCTTCTCGCGTTCCATCCACGGCCTACTCCACCGCCACTTCGCTCTCCGCTAGCTTTGAACCGCTCTCCTCCTCCGAGATCCTCGAGCGCGTCCCCAGCCCCGTCGTGCGACTGGCCGCGGCGCTGGCACCCGCCATCCATGCCTTCCACCGCTTCATCCGCCTCGCCACGTGGACTGGCGGCAAGAACTCCACGTCGTCGTCCGTTCTGCTGCTCGTCTCCTTCTGGCTGATGTGCGCTTTTGGATACGAGCTTTTGCGGTATGCTCCTCAAACCCTCGTTCTCGGCTGGATCGCCTACGCAGGTATCAGGAGACAGCTTTCCTTTGCCAGTCCTCGCAAGCACACTCCGGCGAAGATCATCGAGAAGCACGATGTGGTGTCGGCAGCTTCGCTCAATGCGACCTTGCTCGAGTTGAGCGAGCTGGCGGACTTCTTCTCGTCGTTGAGGAGGAATGTGCTGGTGCCGGCGGTGCAGCTCGTCTCGTGGGATCCGAGTCCGATGAGTACAAAGGCGGTGGCGGCGTTCGTGCTGTTGACCTGGCCGTTGTGGTTGTTGGCTTTCCTGCCGTTGAGGGAGAGTGGGTTCCCTAGTCTGGTGCTTCCCGTCTCGGCGAGTGGCATTGTGGCAGCGATTGTCAGGTGGGATGTCTACGTCTACCATCAGATTCTCAAGCTCATCGGTCCAGACCACGTCGCCGCTTTCCATACCAAAGCAGCACCTCTCTACGCGCACTACGACCATCTCTCCGGATTCGTCGCCAAAACACCGGTGCCAGTCGTCTATGCCCACCTCGCAAACCTCGCTTCTCGCGTGCGTTGGGAGCAGTGGACCGAATTCAACCTCACCCTGCTCCCACCTTACCCGATCGGAGCACTCACCGTGCGCAGTCTGGTCTGCTTTGTCGGAACGCTCGCTCTCACCTGGTGCTCACCCTGGTGCAGTCTGTTCCGTCAAGCCGTGTGGAAGAGCGCTACGATCCGACGCGTTGTTCGTGGAACGGGCAGGTTGCTCAGTGGACAATTTTCGGCGAGGGATGCGTACGGCAAGGGCAACTTGGATGATGAGTGGGCGCACGGGTTGTATCATGAAGATGGATCCGAGTTGCTCTCTGCTGGTAAGGGTAAGGTCGACACGGGGGTCAAGGTGAAAGGGAAAACAGATGGGAAGGAGGACAAGGTGGTTCGACACGAAGATGTCGTATACGAGTTTTCCATTTTCGAGAATCAACGATGGTGGGTAGGGTTGGACTGGACGGCAGCGCTTTTGCCGCAGGAAAGACCTTCATGGTCGGACGAAGCGAACAATCCTGTTTCGCCGCCCGCGTCGTTCAGTCTGCCGGCGACCAAGATCATGCTGACGCCAGCACCGACCGCTGCCGACCCGAAAGCTTTCACCCGGAGGACGATCAAGTGGCAGTGGGTGGATCCGGAGTGGTCGATCGCCGGCGTATCCAGCCGTGGCTACTACCCGAGCTCGGCCGTGTACAAGGGGAGTGCTAAGGAAGCCGCGATCAAGAGCGCCAGCGCGTTGGGGGACAAGGAGGCGGTGGCGGCAGCGAAGCAGGGGTATCTGGGTGATGCGTTGAGCCGGATCCGTGCGAGGACGAGTGGAAAGGAGGAGGAAGAGGTGGGAGATGTCGGCACTACAGCGCACAGGGTTGGGGGCGAGGGAGGCGAGGAGGAGTGGGATGTGGATGCAGAGGGTTGGCAGTACGGCGACAACGCGTGGGACAAGATGAGCAGGAAGAGCGGCATGGGGAGGTATACGAGGAGGAGAAAGTGGGTCAGGAGGGCGGTGCTGTTAGAGGTCGTAGAGTATGGTGTGCATGGGCCTACGGCGGGGGACAAGGTGAAGGGTGCGGTGAAGGGGGAAGGTAAGAAGGAGGAGGAGGAGCAAGCAGGGGAGGAGAAGGAAGAGGAGAAGAAGGTGGATGGCGTGGATTCGTCGACTACGCCCAAGGTGGATACGGACGTTGTGACGGCTAGTACGACCGAGGCGGGGGAGAAGGAGGAGGGTGGCGATGTTTCGCCGTCGAGCGCTGCGTTGGCTGCAAAGAGACCGAGCATCTCGGATCGCTTGGCACAGGCAGCACACTGAGAGCGTCTTTGCTTCTTCGCAGGCAGCGCACCCTGGTTCAATTGCGGCAATCACCCGATGCAACCACCACACACACACAATCAACGGATTCGAGAACCTCAATCTACTGCTGAGAGAACCAAAAATGCATGCGTGCCGTTGGGTTTGTTTGATTATCGATGACATGCGTCTTAATTCCTAACGGTAGCAATAGCCACGCTACCGAGCGTCCTCCTCATCTCTGCCTGATCCACGTCGTGGCTGTCCTCGACGCTACCCCATCGGTTGATCTGGCTCTGGACTTCGACTTCTGCTGCGCTTGCTGCCTGCTCTACGCTCAACTGTCCGCTGACGAGCGCTATGCTGACGAGAAAGCTCTTTGTGAGCATGACGCTCCTTTCGAACGCTGCGAGGTCGAAGTTTTGAAGGTTTTCCAGGTGGGACTGGAAGGTTTCTCGTGTTCCTTCGGGGTGTTCGCCGCCGAGAAGTCCGGTGAAAGGTGCGATCGAGGTGGAGTAGGTCGAGTTGATGTAGTCGAGCAGAGGTGTCCAGTGGAGTTTCTGGAGTTCGACGAGTGCTGCTGGTTGGGTCTCTTGGAAGCACACCGTTTCGTTATCCAAGTACCTCAAGAGATCTCCCTCGATCTCTCTCCTCTCTGCTTGTACGGAACATGATTCCAATGCACGAGCTGCCAAGCTCGTCAAGGGCAGTGTGTGTGGTTTGAGCGTTTTACCCTGTTCCGACCATTCTTGTGCGATGCACGTGGCGAGCAACTCCCTATCAGCTGGGATCACGATCGGTTGACCGGAAGGTGTCTTGATGGATCGTCCATCGAGTAGAATCTGATAGCCAGGGTTGGAGGAAGTGGGTGGTTGGAGGGTGACTGTCTTCCAGAAACGTGCTTTGAGTCGCTCGGCTCGGTTTAGCGCTGCTTCTTCGAGGTTGGGGATGGAAGTGTGCAGCGAGCGAAGAGGGAAGGTTTGGGATGTGCGCAAGGTGATCCGGGCGGATCGTAGTGCGAACATTGATGCTGGGCGAGAGAGACGGTTGAGAATGATGGGTTGAAAGAAGACGATGAGGAAGAAGTGCGAGAGCAGGATCTTCCAACTGTGCTTTGGCGAACGTCCATAAAGGAGGTTCACCTTTTCGAGGGAATTTGACCCTCCTCGCCCGGCACATCGGACCCTAAGGAAAAGGAAGGGAAAAAAGTTTACCTGGGAAGGCAAGGTTTATATAAGGTAGTACTTGCTGCGCATTGCTCAGCCGACTTGCGAACCACCTCTATCTAGCGAGCTGAGCACCCCCGCTACTGTGATACGGCTATGTCAGTCAAAGGGTGAATCGTTCTGACTGATGATGAATGATGAATGACTGAGGCGCCGCAGCAGAGGTGCTCTCTTCTCGCGCGAACTTGACACATTCTCGTAAAAAAATAATATCTATTTATCAATAAATATTAATCTACGCTATGCCAAGATCAGGCACAGCCTTCGACGCCGACGAAGAATCGATGCCCAAGAAAAAAAGCGCGGTTCAAGATGGCGATGATGGAACATATTCGAGGATTGCAAATTGCGGCAAATGGGTCCGTGGTGCAGATGCAGCAGGGTTCACCTGAGTTGAATTTCCTCTTGATATTTGCCTGCCAGAACTGTCAACTATTCACATTCCGTCCGTGGCAGCGGCGTCTTGGTGGGTTGATGCACGTCTCTCTGCCCCAGATCGTCGTCTGCAACCTTCATCTCCATCATCCTTCATCCCTGTCTCTTCGACGCACTCAGCGCGCTCGCTCGCTCGCTCTCGTACATTGCAGTAGCCGATTGTCGAAGCTTCTTTCGGTTCTGCAGCTGGGCAGTTGAATTGCACTCGTCTTGAGGCGTCCGTCTCTTGGTGTTCCCCGTCAACCTCGACCGGTCTCTTGGCGATATGGCGATGCCACTCGTCTCGATGATTTGAATCCCGTCTCGTCTCATCCGAGCTCGACATCACACCGTTGCAGCAAAAGGCCCACTCTGGCAGCAACGGCAGCAGCCGCGTCCCCGCCATCGGCTTCATCCGAAATGCTGATTCACACCGCACGGTCGAGCCGCAGCAGCAGCAGCCCAGCGGCCGCGTCCAGCAGAGCGTCGCAGCTATGCTCGTTGCTGCTGCTGCTGCTGATGCTGCTGGTTTGCCTCGTCTCGCTCAGCTCAGCTCAAACCGTCACCGAGGTCATCACCCGAACCACCGGCTCAGCCTCTCTCAACAGACCCACACGCACAGCCGCGCCCGCAGCCTCCGACGCCACTACCACCAGATCCACGCCGGCAGTCACCAGCACCACCATCCCCGACCTTCCGCTGTCTGGCCCGCAGGTTCCCTTCCTCCTCCAAAAACCCATCCCAGCACAGTACGATGATCTCTCCCGCAAAGTCGTCTCCCGCATGAAGGATGTCTACTTCACAGGCTGTCCCGCAGATCAGGTCAACTACGTCGATCCCACCTTGCGCATCAACATCTCCGCCGTGTATACCCAATTCGATCCTGTCCTCGGCAGCAGCAACCATCTGGCAGATCAAACCTCGTACAGCTCCGGCGTCCTCAGGATCGTTGCCGTCGGCGCCACCGACAGCGTCGGCAGGACCGTGAATACCAATGTCGCGCCTCAACTTCTCAGTACATTGTCGGTCGAGACGCAGTTCCTCACTTTTTCCGTCTTTGGCAACGATTCCTACCTCTGCGATAGCCTCTATCCTGTCGCCCCCGATCCCAACGGCACTGTCATCAACGGTGTGGTCATCCAGCCCGCTGGCTGCCTGTACGGTCCCGGTCAGGTCTCGCTCGGCGTCGGCATCCCGCTCAACGACACATACACGCTTGGAACGCTCTGGACGCGCATCCGTCTCAGTGACACCTCCAGTCCGCCCCTCGACATCGCCTGCATCGAAGTGTACGCTAACCCCTACGACCGCGAAAAGTGGTACTGGAAGCTCATCTTTTGGTTCCCTGTCGCTCTCGCCATCGGCTTCCTCGTCGTCATCGCATTAGCCCGCACCTTCTGTGCTATCACCTCCCGCGCACGAGCTTTCAAGAACAAGGCGAGGGAAGGCAGCCAGCCCAACATCATCAAGGACACCATCGCCCCAACCCTCGTCTCGGCCCTCTCGGGTCAGAAGTTGGCTTTGAGCGCTGCACTCCTCCGCTTTGCAACTCCTGGTTGCTGGGACATCATCATGCACACCCAATTCGTGGCTGCCATTTCCATGGTTGCGGTGCGCTGGCCCGAGTTTTCCTACGCCTTCTTCAAACAGGCTTCTTGGTCCACCCTTACCGGCAACGTCACCATCATCCGTCCTGCCGAGTTTGACGCCCAGTCCGACCTGCTCTACACCAACGCCTCCCTGCCATCGGGAGACATCGACGCTCAGTTCTCCAACGCCTCTTCGCCATTGTACATGAATCAACAGGCGCCGAACCGCTTCATGAATCTCGACGGCGCACGTGCCGGTATGGATGCCTACGCCCACGCTGTGGGGCTGCGACCGCGCGATCTGTTCGGCACGTGCCTCAGCATCTGGCTCTTGATCGTCGCCGCCATTGTCGGTCTTTCATTGCTCGCTTGGCTCGTCGACTCGTTCCACGACACCTTTTTGCGTTTGCAGAAGCGTCGCGAGGATGGCTACAGCCTGGACGTCGCCGACGCACCATCTGCCGCCGAGACAAAGGAAGTCGTTGATGCCGATGACGACCGGCCGCGCTCGTCGATAAGCCGGCGTGGCGGGTATCGGTTCCTCGGTGTGGGCGGCAAACGCCTGTTGGGCTCGAGCGACAACACGTTCCATCTTCGCATGCTGCACGGCAACATCTTGCGCGCCGTCTTCCTCTTCCATCTGCCCATCACCATCTTCACCACCTTTCAGATGGCCAACGCCGACATCTTCTCGGCCACCTCCGTCGGCCTCGCTGGCCTTGCCTTTGCCTTCCTCTCGGTGCTTGCTCCCTTCTACGTGGCCTTCTCCATCAGTCGTGCTCCCACTGCAAAGCTTTACGACTCGATCGATACTCTTGCTGCGTTTGGCCCCGTCTACAACAACTACAGCCCCGGCTCGCAGCTCTTCTGCATCGTTGATTTCGCACGCACCTTGATCCTCGGTGTCGTAATTGGCGCAGGACAGGGCAACGGCAGTGCGCAGGCTATCATCATCCTCGTGTTTGAGATCATGTTTGCGCTCGCTTGCGGCCTGTGGTTGCCCTGGGGTGAAGGTGCCATGATGGGTCCTGTCAGCTTTGTTGTCAACGTTCTGCGCATCTTCACCGCCGTGCTCGTGCTGCTGCTCAGTCCCTTGGTCGATTTCGGTCGCGAGCCCAACGGCTGGTTGACGTACGTCATCCTGCTGATACAGGGTATCGTCTATGTGTGCGCTGCTTTGATTTTGGTCGTCAAGTTGGTGGAGGGCCTTGTGCGCTTGCTAGGACGTGCCTCGTTTGACGAGCGGGCGTCAACGCGTTTGTCGGGTCTGGGAGGTGCCGTGCGCAAGATCCGAAAGAGGAAGGAGGGCAAGCTGCAACTCAGCAAGAACGGCAACAAGAAGCGCCTCTCGCAGACCCGACAGCCGCTCAATCGCTCCGCATCGAGCAACACACAGACGATCATGCTCAACGCCCTCGGCAAGGATGGTTCTACAGGCGAAAACACACCCGCCGTGCCGTCTTCGCCCCGGAGGATGAGCACCCCTCTGCCATCTACCATGTCGACGAATCGCATGCCCATGCACTCGCGTCAGGCCTCGTACGCTTCGTACCTCGACAGTCAATTGCAAGGAAGAAGGTCGCCAGCGGACATGCTAGCAGATGGCAACGGTCCTTACTCGACTTATTTGCGGGGCGATCCGCACGACGAGGGCTTCATCATGGCCGCCTTGCCGTCCACTGTGGCGAGCGGCAGGGCTGTGTCTCCGCCCCCGCAGCTGCATCAGTGGAATGGACGACAGTCGCCTCCGCTGCCTGCACCGCAGTCTGGATTCGTTCGCATGAGTGGGGGTCGCGCTACTGACGCAGCTCCGTACCAAGCGTTGCAAGGCCGCACCCAGTCCTCTCAGCTACCGAGACCGTTGAGCAGTGGCAGCATCGAGCGCATGTCACCGACGCAACAATTCCAGTCTCTTCCTTTTCAACGTCGACCACGACCGCAATCGCAGATCGCTGCGGTGGACTCCTACTTTGACCCTCGTCGGCAGTCCATGCCGCCTGCGAACCAGGACGACGGCATCGGTCTGTCGAGCACCGAGGCTGCCGCACGTAACGCCACCATCCGGCGCTACTCGCAGGGCGCGCAGCTGCGCGCGAGCCAGTCGATCGCCGGCATGATGGCGGTGGATGAGGAAGGCCAGCCGATTGAGCCCGCTAGCAAGAAACCCAATGGCAAATTCTGGAAGCGAGGCGGTGCACGTAGCGACTCGGACAGCGACGACGATGACGACGACAATGGAGCTTATGCATACGGCGCGGACAACGCGGCTTTCCGATCTCGTGGAGGATGGAGAGGGTTGAACAAGATGAGTGCTGCCATGTCCAGCTTGGCCGCGAGGTTGGGATCTGGTAAGCCAAATGGAGCTGTGGCCGAGGAGGGCGACAACAGCCTCGAGCCCCCCGCATCGGAAGCGGAAGGGTCGGGCACGAGGCAGGGTCACGGCGGATTTGAAGTCGTACGTCCGCAGCGGCCGAGGCGAAGCTCGGCGGCAGCAGACAGAGCACTGGACTCGACAGCGCTGGCAGCGGCGTCTGCTGGTGCTGTAGCAGGCTCGATGACGCACCCGTCACCCACGCCTACCGCTGTGCAGCCGGCGAGCAGTGCTGAAGCGATTGGTGCTCGTCCGGACAGCCGTCGTGCAGTCGCGTCTGCTGCAGACGCCTACTCGATGCCCGCGTACGAATCACAGCAGCGCGCTCTGCTGGACGAGCTTGACGATTCGTCGGGCACGCTGCCGCCAGGAGCTGCAGATCAAGCGCTGCTCTTGCCATCGCGCAGTTCGAACCGCCCGTCTTCGGCTATCCTCAGCTCAAGCGCGAGCAGACCTGCCGCTGTCAACGAAGACATGTTCTGGGTCTCGTCGTCGTCTCCCTCAGCGTCGCGGCCACAATCTTACGCGGCGTCTCGACCAGTCTCTGCATCGTCGTCGCGCATGATGTCGGCGGCGGCGACGGCGCTCTCTACGACAGCATCGAAACGCGATTCTCGGCAGCAGGTGTCGACGTCGTCGTCGAAAGGACGGATCGCAGAGCCGATGCAGGCTGAAGTGGTCAACGCAGCTGCCGAGGATTCATCTTCTGCGGAGGGATTCGCAACTCCTCCTGCGGGCATGGTGGACGCGTCTGAGCCGTCGATGTTCGATGCGGATGGCAGACTGGTTTCGTCTGCTATCAACTTTGATCGCGCTCCCACTCACGCCTCGGCGGCAGCGTCGACAGGGCCGATGCAGAGGTCGACAGGGCCTGATGGCGGTACGCCTCAGGTCTGGGACGCTGCGCAAGCATACCAGTGATGACTGCCGACGTGCTTTGCATTCACTCGACTAGGAACATTTTGTCTCTCTCTCTCTCTCTCCTTCTCTCTATCTCTCTCTCTCTCTCTGTGTGTTTCTCTCTTACTGTCTTTCTGCTTGTCGTGCATTCTGCTCCATCTGCAAATATCTGAACTTGTTATTGTATTGTTGCTGGCTGTGCATTTGTGATTTACCAACCAATGCAGTCAAGTCAGTGTGTGCAGACAGCGTGTTGGGCGTCGTTGAGCGGGAAACCCGACCGAAGCGCAAGAGACCCAAGACCTAAGACGTTGCGGGGGTGCGAGACTGTTTGACCGGTTACTCCGAAATCTCGTTCAGAGTGTCGGTCGGTCAAAAGCGTCGCCGGACTAAAAATTGGAGAACCGGCTGACGGGGTCCTTCTCGCTTACGCTCTATCCCCATTCATCGGCGAAAATTGAAGAAAACCAAGTGTTCTGACCTCAAAAAGGAAAGATGGCGGGCTGACCGACCCCCGGCTACAAGACCGGTCACCATTGCAACTTATCGCGCCGCCTTCGTGACCGGTTGAAAGCGAAGAAATCGAATTCTTTTTACGTACTCGTTTTTTTTCGGTCCTATTTCTCCTCGTCGCGCAAAGCTGCAACCCCGCAGTTCTGACGATATTCGGAAAGACAAAAAGAAGCCCAGGAGAAGCACGATCCGCAAAGAGGGAGCCGAGGGAGGTGAGGTGTCTCACGTTCATTTCTCTTCCTCTGCCGCCCCGACTTCTTGCTTAGTTCCTGTTTTACGCGATTCGGGAGCAGCTATCACCCTATCGCGAAAAGTGTCACTGTGATTGTGACTGTGCCTTTTGAAGCTGAAATGTGACCAGTAGGCTGCGGGTCGAGGCGTCGAGGCGTCGGCTTAGCCACGTCTCGAGTGAGATGCGATCCGCTGCGGAAAAGGAGAGCGACCGGTCGAGAAGCACGATCGAGTGTTAGACAAGGAGGAGGAGCCAAGCGGGATTGCCGCCGAACCTTTGCACCGGTCAATCTGAGAAGGCGAAAATCGACAGCTCCGGAGCTGCACGCACGAGGCCTTAGCATTCCGGGGACGCTTTTCACCGGCAAAAGCCTTTGTTCGCCGTTGCCTTTGCTTTCTCCACGCTCGACGGATGCAACCCGAACACGGAACTAGCTTGTAGTCCAGCGCACTGGGAGCAGTGGTTGCTCATAACGTCGAATCAAGTCGCTTTCTCGTGTGACTCTTGCTCGCTATAGCCGCAACAGCCGCTCGTTGCGTTGAACTCAATCACAGACAGAAGGCCGACCCTGGCTTCCGTCCCACCATCTTCGTCCCTGCACCCGTCATCTCATCCTCAGGATCGCAAGCAAACCCGGACTGGATTCAGGAGCATCAGGAGCAACAAAGACTTACCGTCATCCCCACACGTGCATCGCTCTCTTTTGCTTAACCGCCATCAGCCTCCCTCGACAGCCGTCAAGCTCGAGCTCCTGTGCAGCGGATCACGTCTCTGCCAATCGTCCCACTCCCGAACCATCTCGGATTTCATCTCGGAGCGCTCCCACCGTGTCTGACACTGGCTTTCATCTTCGGTCAACCTTATCTTGCAACCGCATTCTCATCGGCAACCAAGGTCGCTTTCCCGCTTCATCCTTCCCGCGACCCACGCCCCATCAAGCTTCCCAGCGCCACTTGCGCTTTCATTCCGTTGTCCCCGCGTGCACTCACGCTCGACGAGCCACAATCGACTCCAAAGCCTAATCTATCTCGTCCGTTGACCGGTGTCGTAGAACCTCTCCATCTCATTCTCTCACGCACGCTCTCCCAGCCCGCAGGCTCGTTTCCCAACTTGCTTGCAGCTAAGCACCGCCCCACCCTCTTCGGCAACCACAAGCGCGTGCTCTTGTGCCCTTCTTCGACAGAGCATCAGTTGACCTTTGCTGTGCAGTGTGCCTATCGGTCACTTGATCGAGTACGAGCAACTGCAAACACATCCGTTCTACCTCTACACAAAACTCTCTCCCACTCGGCTTTCGATTCCACAACAAGTTCTTCATGATTGCGCAGCGGTACAGTAGGTCTCTACGACGCTGAAGCCTGACTCCCTCCACCCTTCCTGGCCTCATCTCATTCAAACCTAATCTGACCCGCGACAGCCGCCTCATGCATTCGTCCTTTCTCGACAGCAGCGTCGCACTTGAGCCATCCCCCGCGCCAGCCAATCAAAAATGAATAGCTTGGCCGATGCTGCGGCTCAAGCTTCTGCTGCCGCTGCGGCTGCAGCTTCAGCGACCGCTTCGTCTTCGGAACAGACTGTAGCTGCGCCTTCTCTGCTCACCACTTCCGCTACAGCATCAACCGACACTCCCTCGCGTCCAGAAAGGAGCTCGAACCTTCCCGACCGTCCTCTTTCTTCCTCCTATCCCGCCGACGATCGGCCAAATACATCGAATCGCGCACACGCTCACATCGATGCATCGGCCTCGCCCGTCTCCTCGCCAGACTCTGCCTCCGACATGAACAGGAATTGTGCCGACACCCCCGTCCGTCGTGCACTGCTCGACACCGAAAAGCCCGAGAAGCGCGGATCCAATCTCGCTTGTCTCAAGTGTCGTGCCATCAAAGTAAAGTGCTCGCGCGCAAATGCAGACGACGAGCGCTGCAAGCGTTGCAATCGTCTCGACCTCGTCTGCGAATTCAAGGAGCATCATCGCGGCCGAAAACCCAAAAAGAGACCCAGAAGCGAAGCAGACAGTACGGGCGCCGACGAAGAAGATCAGCTTGAGGACGACGAAGCCGAAGCTTCTTTCTCTTTCAAGGCCGACGCCACTTCGCCAGTTCATGGCAAGCCTGCGGAGCTTTCGCGATCGCCTCTTCCTTCCAACTCGGCGAGCTCGCTTCAGCATCATCATCACCATCATCATGCATCGTCCTCCTACAAAAAGCCCGAATCCGGTCGCTTTGATGCCAAAGAGCCACCGCCGAAGCTTCCCAGTCCAAAGGGCTCGATACATGGAAGATGGTTTGGCCCGTATCTCCAACCCATTCCGTCATTTGAGGATTCGCTGTTTCCACGCAAGCAGCATTCGCACTCTGCTTCACAGCATCACTCGCAGCAGTATCGCGGACCATCTTCAAAAGGTCAGCAGCAACACCAGCACAATCATTCGTATCACCACGATCGCAGCCGTGAACTTCCGCCGCTTTCGATACCGTCTTCTTTGTCTTCCAACCGCAACGGCGTCAGTCCCAACGACTCGGGCGCTTGGGATCGCACTTCGGCCTGGACTGCTACCAAGAATAGCAGTAGTAGCACCCACCGCATGCAACAAAGCACATCTGCACCCACCGCCATTGCCAACGACGTGCGCGAGGATGTTGTGTGTCAGCACATCATCACCAAGGAACAAGCTCACGAACTTTTCGACTACTTTTTCGCAGAGCTCAATCCGCCGCTAGCTCTGTTGGATACCTCTCTGCATACCATGGACTACTGTCGACAAAACACGCCCATCCTCTTTTCCGCCATCATCTCCGTCGCCTCTCGATTCTTCTCCCCACAATACCATCGACAGTGCCACCGCGTAGCCAAGTCGATTCTCAACCTTGCGGCAGCAGAAGAGATCTGCACAATTGACCACATCCAGGCGCTCATCCTTGTCATCACGTGGAAGGACCCGGGAGACCGCACCATTCTACGCAAGGCTGTTCGTGCGATCGGCTACGCATACGAGCTCGGTCTGCACGCCGCTTTCGGCAATATCGACGCGGTAGAGCCTCTTGCCTCGTCCAGCAGGACAAGCGACGCCAACCGCGACAGATCGGACAGCTACTCGCAGCGCTACCGCAAACGTCGGGAGCGCGATCGTCAGCGCACGTGGATCGTGCTGTGTCTCATCCACGAACTTGTCCGTCGTGATGACCGCAATCCGAAACCACGAGCGCGCGTGATCCCCGTCGAAGACTACCCCGATCCCTACGCCTGGATCAAGCAGGGAGGCGACGTGCTGCTCTCTGTCGACTCTCGACTCGGGTGGTCGCTGGGTATGTCGATCTTGGTGTCGGAGAACGAGCCGTTTCTCGAGATCATCAATCGGTCCGAGGACGCCACCTCCTTCGCAGGCTTCTTCGAACGCTTGCGAGGACGTCTCGACATCTTGCGGCAACAGTACTTCGATGTCAGGGAGGGCGTGTATCACCCACGTTTTCCGATGGACAAGTCGGCCGTGGTTGAGCTGCCTTATCTCGATGCATTCCGCGACTACTACATTTGCCAATCAACGTGGCACTGGGCGGCCAAAGTCGCATCACAGCGTCGGACCCGGCGAAGCGAGTTGGCCGAGCAGCAGGATAGCGCCCGATCGGCGTTCTGGTTCTCACAAACCGTCGACTCGGCGATGAGGTGCCTGCGTATCTTTGCTCAGGATCTGTGCAAGGATGGGCACGTACGCGTGGGGCACGACTATCTCGTCATCACGGCCAGCGAGATCACCAAGTGGTTCTACCTCTATCGAGAGCACCTCGATGCGTCTACACTGACTGCAGGTGTCGAGCATCTGCGTGCTGCGTTGCGAGAGTGTTCTCAACCGCAAAGGCTGGCCACGGGCGAAGTGGTCGACACGGAGAGAGAGGCGCCCGGTTACTTTGTTAGGTTCCTGGAAGCCATTTTCGATGCTGGTCTCAACGAGAGCGTCGAAACGGCCAAGAAGAAGCTGGCGGCCAACGTGGAAAGGTTCAGGGACAAGAAGCGGTCGTGGGAACGTGCGGCGAGGGAGCACACAGTAGAGGAGCAATCGGAAGCGAGGCGAGAGGGTAGAGACGGTCACGACGGCAGTGCCAGCGCCAACAGTCGCAACACTCAAAGCAACAGCAACACGACCGGAGGTACAGGATCACGTCGACTACCGTGGGCCGGAGCTCACTCGTCATATCAACAGCAGCAGCAGCCGCAGCCGCAGCCGTCTGGTGGGTCAGCAGCTCTATCCGATCGACCAAACGCATACGCGATGCCGGCAGGCAACAGTCCGACATTCAGAGACACGGCATCTGCCGCAGCAAGATATTCAGCAGCGCCTTCTCTGCCTCGTGGTCGTTCGGAGGTGGGACTTGACCGATCGTCGGCGCCTTCTGTCTCAAGCGGATCGACTTCGTTCGAGCGCGGCGGGACTGTGGAAAAGATGCCACCTTCGCCGAGCATGTTCAACGGGCTTGCAGAGGTGAACAGCATGTCGACTGGTGCAGGGTCGTTGAACTCGACCAATCCGATCGCGCCTCATCCCGCTTACCTCGCCTCGGCCGGAAGTGCTGCTGGCAACACAGGCCAAGCTTTGCAGACGGGTTTTGGCTCGAGACCCTGGTCGTCATTGACTCCCATCACGCCTTCTTGGAGCAACAATGGGGGTGCTGGTAGTGCCAGCATGTTGCCGGCCAACAACAACAACAACAACAACCCCGTTGGTGGTCTACCTGCTGCCTCGAATCCGGATTATAATCTGACTTTCGGTGGCGCTGAGATGATGACGCCAAGCGCTGTTGAGGAGTCGATGGGTACAACGGCTGGTGCATCTGTTGGTGGTGCGAACGTAGTTCCACTGGCGGGCGACATGGGCAAGAACTCGATCGAGGGTCTAGCAGCATGTCTCAACGCGCGTGATTTGACCTACTGGCAGGACATTTTGGGATTCGATCTGCCTGGTACTGCCGAATAGGTCGACGGTGATTCGGATGAAGATTCAGTTGTATGGCTCATATACCCTGCAAAGCTGTCAATATACGATCAGCAGCGCCAGACACATTGGGTGCGTGTGCAAACAAATCCGTGAGAAGAGCTCTGTGCTGTTGAGCAACCAAACACATTTGAGACTGTCGCCCGACTTTCCCTAACATCATCCAAAGCAGACGCTGTTCTTGGAAGATGGCAACAAGGCACCTGTCAGAACCACGCGACAGGGACTGAGTCGCTGCGGTTTCTGCAAAGAAAGCTTCCCAAAAAAGGCCAAAAGGCAAGCGGCCAACATGGAACGAAGAGTTGCGGGGGAGTCGGATCCGAGTCGACGGTGAATAAGAGTGTGCTGGATAGTTGGCTTTCAGGCGCATCTCGGAGGTTGAGAGTGCGGGGGGGGTTTTTGCAATTTTGATTGGCGTGGCTGGCTCGGGGTGGAAACTTGGGGAAATGACAGACGGAAGCGGGGCCGTGAGAGTGAGCGGGGTAAATCCGTGCATGGCCAGACAAGAAGGACGAAACTCAACGAACTCATCATCGTCGCTGTTCTCAGACATCTGTCTCCCCTCGACGACATCGGAAAGCGAATGTGTTCGAAAGCTCTGAGATACATGAAGAGATTTGTGAGTTACTGGAGCCTAACGCAAAGGCAGGTTTGCGAGCTATAACACTGCCCGCTTGGATCGCCTATGGGTGAAGTGGGTGCAAGAAGGCCAGCGCGCAAATGGGGGATTGGCGGGATGCACAGCGCCTCATGTGTCTCTCTGTGCAACCTGTAACCGTGTAAGCGAGGAAAGAGTTCGGCGGCGTGCACCCGTCTGACCTGCAGTTGCGGCTGGCTGTACGCCCCACTCGCTCGCTGAGAAACAGACCACTTTACGCGAAACAAGAGCTGCTGGGCAAAAATAACCTTCTCCGTTTGTCTTGGGCGTGCTCTAAGCTAGCTCGAATCCAGTCAAAACGTGTGAGCGTGGTGCTCAACCACTGTCCACGTTGATCACTGTTGCAAATGCTCCTATGACTGTCTCGGTGACAAGCAAAGACGACGGAACAAGCCGACACTACCTGCTGCTGTCTCGTCACAAGATGCTCGTTCAGTTGACCCATCTTTGAAGCGTCACGGCTAGAAACAACCAAGACGGCAGAGGCACCAACCGACCGCTGACGTGCAAAGGCCAGCTGATGCAGTGGCGGAGTCTCAAACTCGCAACGGGTCGGGCGTAACTTCACAGTTGACAGGCTTTTGAGCTTGAGTTGTCGGCAAGCGACCTGCGTGTCGAGACGCACAAACCCACTTTCTCCGTTTTTTCTCCGCACGTTGGTTGGTTGGTTGCTCGACTTTTGCGAAATCAAAAGGCACAAGACGAGTAAAAAGCAGAAATCGGCCATTCCGTCATTTCTCTTCTGAAACGCACGAGGTAAATCCACAAACAGCTGACAGACCGTCTGTCACTGACCTGAACCAGGGACGATTTGCATTCTGCGTCTGCATGCTCTGGCCCCACTGCCGCTGCTCTGCGGGATGCTTCTGCCGCCGATGGTCGAATAGAATTGCAGCTAGCCTACGGCGAAAATGGAAAAAGGCCCCACACTATTCAGACCGCTTGCTCTCTCTTCCTCCTGATTGGATTGGCTCGCACCTTTGTCCTCCTTCTCCTCTCCCGCCACCGTTCCATCCTCGTACCTGTACTTCCCACGATCACGACGAGTTGTCCATCTCACACCGTCTAATCAGTAGCAGGATATGACTAGCGCCGCCGTGCTCAGGATGAACGCCGACAACCCTCCGTCGCGCATGTCGCTCTCTGGCAGCCGCAAGAGCATCCTTGCCGGCATCGACGTCAGCTCCGCCAAATACGGCGGTCGCAACGGATCCGCCATCAACGGCGACGCTTCCTCTGTGCAAGACGATGCGACCGGCGACAACAACTCCCATCCGATCCCCGTCTCTACCACCGATGCATTGCTTCGTCGTCGTCAGACCTCCAACAGCGACGCCGCCAGTCTCAAGCAGAGCGTCAAGGGTCGTGCTTCTCGAAGCGCTTCCATCGCCTCTCGTGCGCAAGCTTCGCCCGGTAGAAACGGCACATATTCCTCCTCCGCTCCTCCTGCCGACGATGCTGGTGGATATCTCGCACCCGCCATTCCCGGCGCTGCTGTCGGCTCGCGTTCCAGAACCTTCTCAGCTGCCAGTCTCGGCCTCAAAAAGAGCAACTCCAACCTCTCTCAGAGCGACGCACGCTCCATCGACTCGCGCAGAGGCTCTTCCGGCAACAGCTTTGTCAATCTCATCCGCAACCGTAGCCGCAACTCTTCACAGACCAACCTCACCGTCCCCGATCTAGCCGACGCCTCCTACGCTTCCAATGGCAATAGCAACGGCGCCTCGCAGGGACGCTTGCGCAAATTTAGCACTTCTTCGCGCAAGATGAGCCTCAAGATGCCAGGTCTCGGCTCGCGTTCCAGCTCTGCCTCCATTCGCAGCAACGGCTTCTACGACGAGCCCGAACAGCTCAGTCCAGAGCCAGCCACATACCCCACCACTTCAAAGCCCTCGGTCGATGGCTACAAATCCATCGGTGCTGCTAGCGGCCTCTCGGCTGCTGGTTCGGCTCGTTCCAGAAAGTTCAGCAGGTCTGCCAGTCTGTCCAACGGCATCAAAGCCGACAATCAGCTCGATGGCGATGCTCACAGCACACCTGCCAGCCCAGTCGCTGACCCCTTCGCCAAAGCGGATGGTCTTTTGGCCCGTGCTCGATCCAAGCGCTCTTCTAGCGCTTCTCAGGCTCGTCAACGTGGCGCATCCGCGCCTCCCGAGACCAGCACTGCTACCCAGGATTCCACCGCCAAAAAGGGTGGCTTCCTCTCTTCCACCACCGCCAAGATGACCGGCGCAGCTGGTGCCGGAGGCGCTGCCATCATGGGCCTGGCTCGCAGGAAGTCTTCCCGTAGCCTCCGCGATCAGGACGAGGAAGAAGCAAGCGCTAAGCCCAACGGCTTGGCTGCCGCTCACTCCAACGGCGCCAGTGACGTCGAGCAGGACAGCTTTAGCGAGCAGGAGGAGTCCGAAGACGAAGAGGAGCAGGCGCCACCTCAACGAAACGCTCGACCTGTCAAGGGTCGAAGCGGTGCCGCCGCCGTTGCTGCAGCATCGAGCGACGACGAAGAGGACAGCGAGTCAGAGCAAGATGACTCGGAACAAGAGTCCGAGGCAGACTCCTCCGACGACGACGCCTTTCATGATGCTCCTCTTGCTGACATCTCCGAGGGTGAAGAGGAGGAGGACGACCATCACCACAGAGGTGCTGTAGCCGGTGCAGCCGGCGCCGCTGCTGCTGTCGCTGGTGCTGGTGCCGCTGCTCGTCACCGTCGCAACAGGTCTGGCGCCTCTGCACGCAAGGTGCCCAACGGCGATGCTTCTACCTACAAGCCCAAGGGTACAGCCGGCGCGAATCGCCGTGCCGGTCCTGCCACCGATGCCGCCGTTGCAGACAACGTGACCGACGCACGTGCCAGCAAGGACACCTCCAAAGCCGTTCAAGAAAAGGCCGCTCGCGTTGCCAAGCTCACCGCCAGCGATGTGGCCATCAGCGCTGATCAGCTGCGCGCCGACATCGAAGTAGCACGCAAGGCGCTCAACCTCTTCCTCAATTCGCGCATGATCGAGGCCGAACGTATCATCGAAGAGTATGCCGACAGCCGTCTCTACTACGCGCTCGGCTATGCGCTCATCGCCACCATCAAGGGTTTCATGACCTTTGAGCCCGCCGATCTGGCCATTGCCATTTCGCTGTGCAAGGATGCCCTGACTATCGCCAACTTGCTTAGGAAGCCCTCAAGCGCCGTCTCCAACTTTGGCCGCTTTGTCAGGGGCACCGGCCAGAGCCCCAGCGCCTTGTCGCAGATGGACGAGGTGCAGAGGCATGCCGAGCTCGTGTATGCCGAGGCGGTGTTGCTGAAGGCCGTGCTGGGTATTGCGTACGCCGGTGACTTCTTCGCGTTCGTTAGCGAGGCGCTCAACATGCGAAATGCTTATGGCATCTACAGGTCGCTCCAGAAGTACGTCGATTGGTCGGCGGAGAAGGGCGAGGATCTCGACGAGGACTTCAAGAGTGGTGTCTACCTCGGCAACGGATTGATCAGCATGATCCTGGGTCTGGTTCCTGGAAAGGTGCTCAAGATCATGGAGGTGTTTGGCTACACGGGCGACACGGCGTGGGCCATGAAGACGCTCAGCAAGGCGGGTCAGTGGAGCGCCGATCCTCGCCAGACCAAGCCGGGCATGTCGATCAAAGAGGAAGGTGTGCGTCGACAGATTTGCGACATGTCGATGCTCGCCTACCATTTGGTGATTTCCACCTTCATCCCCGTCACGGGCGTCGACATCGACTTTGCCGACAAGGTGCTCCACTACAACCTGCGACGATACCCGGAAGGTGTCTTCTTCCTTTACTTCTCCGGACGACTCTACTCGACCCAGGCGCTCGCCGAGAAGGCCATCACGCAGTTCGAAACGGCGCGAGACGTGCAGAAGGAGTACGTGCAGCTCAAGCACATTTGCATCTGGGACCTGTCGCTGTGCAACATGTCGCTCTGCAATTGGAAGGAGGCCTACACCCAGTTCAACATCCTTGCCGACGAGAACAACTGGTCCAAGGCGGTGTACAACTACGGCCGCGCTTCCAACCTCTACGAACATGCTGTGCAATCCGACGACAAACGTGGCATGGATCAAGCCGCCGAGATCTTCCGAAAGGTGCCTACACTGACGCAGAAGATCGCTGGAAAGTCGATCCCCATGGAGAAGTTCGTAGCACGCAAGTCGAAGAAGTTCACGCAGTACGGAAGGTTGCTGCTGCCAGGTCTGGAGTTTGCCTACGTCTACCACTGCCTCTCCAACGCGCCGCGCTACGTCCTGTGCGACGAGGCGTTGGTGCTGGTCAGCGAAGCGCTCGCCGATCTGCACGACGTCGAAGATCCATCGCAGTACTACTCTGGAGACGAGTACTACGACGACCTTTGCCTCGCGCACTTCCTGCGCGGAGTGTGTCTCAAGTTCATCGCCGTGCCCGAAAAGCACTCCAAGGTCCGACCGAAGGAGTCGCCCATTCCCGAGAAGGAGGCGGCGCAGCAGGCCGAGATCAGCTTCAAGACGGTGCTCGAGCACGGACACCAGCTCAAGCTCGACCACTGGCTGGTGTACTTTGCGCATTACGAGCTGGGCAGGCTGTACGCAGGTACGGGCCGGGTGGCTGAGGCGAAGGAGCAGCTGAATTTGGTGCTGAGTCAGAAGAATCTGGAGGATAGGGGTAGGAAGGGTAAATACAGTCTGCAGAACATGGTCCATTTGAGAGCCAATGGTGCGCTCAATGGTATTGATGGTAGTGGCAAGTAGAGAGGGTGTGTAGCCTTTTGAAGCGGTTTCGGAACTTGGTTTTGCTAATCTGTCTATATGTATATACGAGGATTGATGTTGGTAGGCAAGAACGTTGTCGTTTCTGTACATTGATGTGCGTTGTGCCTTGCTTGATGATGAGCTGAGAGGGAGGCTGGCATGGCGAACGAAAGGTTGTTCGAGATCTGTCGTGCGAGAAAATGGACACGTGACGGAGCTGCAAGAAGATTCCCAATTTGATATTTCCCGCTTGCCGATTTTTCTCGTCATCCCTGACTTGCACCACCATCATTGACCTACCACACATACACATCTGCAGCTTTCACGATGAGATCGACGAGCGTAACATCGCTACTGCGAACCAGCCTCAGTGCTGCCTCTTGCTCCACAAGCAGCGGTAGAAGTGCCCTGACACGAAGCATCAGCACCTCGACCACGCGACGATCGGAGAATACCACCGCATCCTCGGCGCTGGACGAACTGTCCTCTTCTATCGAAAAGCTCGCACGAACCCGCGCTGCCGCTGCTGCTGCCGCCTCTTCCTCCGGCACCTCTGCATCCGGGGCAGTCCACACCCCGCGCTCCCCCACCAAGGAACGTCAGACCGTCTCCGGTCGTGCCTTCATGAACGGACACTACTACAACCCGTCCACTCTCACCTACGACTCGATCACCCAACGTCCCGCGCGTCTCGCCCGCCCTCTACTCGGTCCGTCGAAGAAAGAAGCGGTGAAGAACGATCTCATCCACATCAACAACCTCAACCCTGCCAAACCGTCCCTCCACGACGACTCGTACAAAAATGCAGCGATCCTCGCGAATTATGTGACCGAGATGGGGAAGATCATGCCGAGAAGCAGCACGGGGCTGACGAGGAAGAGCCAGAGAAGCGTAGGGAAGGCCGTGAGGAGGGCGAGGAGTATGGGGTTGTTGCCGGTCATGAGCCGCGGAGGGACGAGGGTTAGCGGTGCTGGATGGAAGTGAAAACCCGCATCGTTTGTAGCAAGAGAAGGACAGGGAAGGCGAGAAGGGAGTCGCGGAGATAACTTTGGAATGGAGATTTTCCAGCACATCTGGCGTGTATGTACGTGTGTGTGTGTTTGTGTGCAGCAGGGTCGACATGGTTGTCGTTTTCCGCAGCTGTCTGTTTGCGGGTTGAAAGGAAAGATGTTGCTTTTTAGCGGTGGACCACAGTGGCCCGCACCGAAGCGCTGTTCATCGACTCGACTCATCTCAGAGCGGAGCACTTTCAACTAATGGATGAGGATGCAAATTTGGTTCAGTTGTTGCCGACCTCATGCTGTGTCTATTGTGCTGCGTGTGCTGCTTCCATTCACCTCGACCTTGTGCTCCTCCTTGACCTTCTTCTCGTCGGATTTCAACCTCGACGGCTTACCGCTGATCTCGTTCACCGCCACCTGCGTCTCTACATGCTGCAGCAACCCGAACTCGCTCTTCAACAACCCCACCCGCTCCTCCTCGCTGCTGATGACTTTGTCCACCTTGACCTCGTCCCCCACCCTGACTAGATACCTGTCTCCTACGATCAACCTCTGCTCCACTACACTCGGATGGTACGGATACAGATCCTTCGCCAGCCCATCCCTCTCTACCAGTGCCTCGGATTGTGATACGAGCTGCAGGTGTAAGAGGTAGCGTACGACGAGGATGGTGGTTGCAAAGGGGACAGACTGGGCGTGGCTGGTGGCTTTGTTGGTGGCAATGTAGTCGGGTGTGAAGCATTCTAAGGGTGAGAAGGAGTAGCAGTTCTCCCAATCCTTGTCTGCTTTCTTGCGATTTTGCAGCCTCCAAGTGGTCTGATTTGAAGCAATCGCGAGCACTTCGGCATCGTCGGTCTGCTCATCACTTTCCTCGAAAATCGAGCTGGGATGAACATCTGCTTTAACGAGTCGAAACTTTTCCCCACCCCGACCGAACTCCTCCCACCCATCTCGCAGCAGCAACGGTCTATGCGGACTACTTCCAAACCCAACATCCGACAAGTAGTAGACCTTTTTGCTGGAGTCCACGTGCGAATCCAGCAGAACCAGTGTCGTGGTATGCGTCAACCCGCTCCAATCGCCGTTCGCGAAAACCCGACCCATCACTCCGATCCATCGAAACCCTAACGCAGACAGCATCTCGCGGTACAACTGGTTCACCTGCAGACAGTAACCCCCACCCAAACGGCGTTCGACGAAGCGAGAGTAGATGTCAGGGAGGTGAGGAGACATGAGCCCACCAGGCTCGTAGTTGAGGGACAGTGCTTCGAAGGGAAACGTTGTGAGGAAATGGATGTGCAGCAGAGAGAGGGTGGTTAGCGTCGGTGGTGGGAGGGAGGAGGTTGGGGTGAAATGTGGAAAGGAGATGGTGGAGAGGACGGTTCGGGTTTGCGCTTCGGTGAGCCGGGAAGCGAGGTGTTTCGGACGAAGGTTCGGCATGGTTGGAAGCAACGAGGGTGGAAGACGACGTCGATTGCGGGATGGAAGGATGTATAGGGTTTGTGAAGCTGTGATGATCCCCGGGTCGGTTGCCTTATCGAATGTCGGTTCGTTTCGATCTGGAGTATGTGGGAAGGATCAAGATTCGGGACAACGACGTCTATTTGTACTCGGGATGGTGTTGCAGCAGATACTTGCTGTTTTGCGGTGGTCATGATCCAAAGGTGGTTTCTTCTGACAGTTGCCGCGGACCGTGGATGACGGCCGATGACCGAATTCTGTTTGTTTTCGGCCAAAAAATGCATATCCGATCCGATGCCGAAGAAGAAAAAAGTGTTCGTCTGTGCGCAGGGTCCTTTTCTTCTCTCCTACATTCATGATGCCATGACACCCAAGCCATACTGGATCTTGCGCCATCATGGCTCTTCATCCATTCGATCCCTCCACCACGCCCACGGCTTACTCGCTATAGGAGATGAATCCGGAAAAGCATCCCTCGTCGACTTGAACACGCTACGACCCAGGTTCTTCTGGACAGCTCACACCGATTCCATCTTGACAGTCGTCATCGTAAATTCGGATCAAGTCATCACCCATGCTAGAGACAACAGTCTGAAGCTTTGGAAGCTTCCTTCCGCACCTGCTTCGCTCGGAATGAGTGCGCTCATCGGCAGTACCTCGAACGACAAAGATCCTTCTACCGTATCACCAGAGCTGGTTCGAACCATCGGAGTCAACGCACTCAACTTCGCCAAATGCTCCCACCTCTCCTCCCTCCTCGCCGTGCCCAACGCCCTCGATGCAGCCTACATCGACATCCTCGACCTCACCAACGGTCATCGCACATCCGAAGCCGTCGGTAGGCCCGACATCAAACCTCCTTCGCGAAATCGTCTACCCATCGTAATGTCGCTCCACCTGCTCTCCCCGGACGAACTCATCGTCGGCTACGAAGACGGCTACGTCAAGAGGTGGAACGCCCGCGAGCTGGTCTGGGCGAGTAGGTGTCACAGCGAATCCGTCATGAGCGTTTCGATCTCTGACAGAGGGTTTGGTGTGTCGGTGGGGGCAGATGATCGAGTAGCCAGGTTCGACCTGATAACGGGAGAGGTGCGGTTGTCGCAGACGAGGACTGCCGGAAAATCGAGCGTCGAGATCGCTCCGGATGGCGAGACCTTCCTCGTAGGCGCTTGGGATGGCTCGTAAGTGTCTTTGACCCTCCGCTTCCTGACGCCGAAGCCCGTTTCGCTGACCTTTTATTTTGTTTCCCTCCTGTCACCTCGGACTGCAGAATCACCGTCTACTCCGCTTCCAACATGACGCGTCTCGGCTCGCTCGACTACCACCGCAACACGGTTGAATGCCTCACCTTCGCCACAGTCGCAATTCCAGCCGAAGACGAGGAGGAGGAGGACGATGATGCGCTGCAAGACTCGGCGCAGCAGCTCGTCTTGGCTGCTGGTGGAAGAGATGGCAAGGTCTCGCTGTGGAAATATCACTGAAAGGTCGACTCACTCGCAGCCCAATCGCACGCATCACTCCGCACCATAGCATCTACACGAGATCACCGCGTTTTGTCTCCGACAAGCAACGACCTCTTCTTTGCCTTTTGACCACGAAAACCAGAAAAGAGACAACCCCAACATATCTCTGCCTCCCTCTCCCCACCCGTCTACTTACGATACCGCAACCGCTTGAAGTTGAAATGCAACTGCAGCACACCCCTATCAAAGCTATTCCTGAATCCTCGCTTGTGACCGTATTCCCACTCCCTATTCACGATCCTAAACGCAACATCCTCGTACGGCGGTCCCGCGCTGAAGCGCAGCAACACGGTATCCTCCTGTCCCGGCTCCTTGACGATCTTGTACGTCGGCGCGACGTTCTTGTCGATGAGATCCGGATAGAAGATGTTGAACTTGTAGCCCTGCACCGTCTTGGGCGGCGGGTTGTCCGAGTCGTAGTGCGTCTGGTTGTACTTGTTCCAGTCGAAGCCCGTGTGGACGCGATTGAAGAAGCGCGGTTTGCGCGGACGGTACTTGTCCTCCCACTGGTACGTTTGGTGGCGCAGCTGCTCTTCGCCGCCCTGCATGACTTCTTCGCTGACGTCGAGCGCTTTCGACGCCTCTTGCAGGAACATGCGCTCGGCCGGGTTGTCCGATGAGCTTGGGTCGAGCTCGTTGTGGCGCGTTTTGGGAATGAACGATTGGCCGGTGACACGACGTCGTGCCGCCACCACTTCTTCCAGATGCTCGCGAAGCGTCTTGATTGGTAATCGACGGTCTTCGTAGCTGAGTGACGACGCGTCGATGGGCGCTGGTTCCATCTCCTCGGGATCGAAGAGCGCCTCAAGCGCTGCTGTTTCCTCATCAGCTTGGTTGCTTGAGCCAGCTGCTGGTCCATCGACGTCATCCAGCGCCTCATCGGCAGCGTCCGAGTCGTCGCCGGTCTGTAGGAGAAGCTCGTGCTGATGCCGTGTCGCTTCGTCTCGCTGTTTGCGTCGCAGATACTCGAGGCGATTGGAAAGCACAGCTTCGTGCATGTCACGTAGACGTGCTTTGGCTCGCCACACGACGATTGACTTCAACACCCTCTCCCAGTACTCGACATCCACTGGCTCTCCCGAAGCGAGCTTTGATCGCACCTGATCCTGGAGCTGTTCCAGTTCCTCGGACGTCTTTGACGAAAGCATGTTGTTGATGCGTCCACGTTCCTCTGGATCTTGGCGAGCATTGACCGCTAAGGCGGCTCCACCCACGGCGTGCTGCTGCTCTTCCTGCAATTCTTCCAGCTTGTCGTCGCAGACAATCAGCATCGACCGCCAAAAGTCGAGATTCGAGTCGTTCTTCTCGAGCTGGAGATACATCTGGATATCTTGGTGCAGCTCTTGCGTGTCCTCGAGTGTGAGGTCTTCAAAGATTGTGTATGGCTCATCGAGGTCGATCTCTAGACCTGCTTCGTCGTCGTCATCATCCTGTTTGCCTTCCTGCTCGGCGATGATGTTGGGATCCGCCCATTTGAGGTTGATGCTGAGCAAGTCGATGGGCTTGGCGCGATTTTCCTTGACGCGAATCACAGCTCGACGTTGAGCCTGTTCGAGGTGAAAGTCGTCTTCCTTAGCCACCCAGCTGGCCATTTGTGCCGACTCGGCGAGACGTGCCATCCGCGCCTCTTCTTCTTCGCGCAAGGCGGCTTGCTTTTCTCGCTCGGCGCGTTTCGCGTTGAGCTTTTCGATCTCGGCCATTGCCTCCTGCCTGCGTTGGGCGTCTCGCTTCTCAGCCTCGTCGCGAGAGAGGCCTTGCTTGCGCTCCTTCTCCTCCTTCTTGCCCCATTTGAACTTGTGCCCGAGGGTGGGGTCGTTGAAAGGGTTGTCCTCGGCAGAGTACATCATGAGTTCTGCAACAGCTGTACGCTCGGCTGCTCCTTGCTCTTCGTCGAGAAAGGTCTCCTCGAGTTCCCTAAGCTTGTCGGAGCGCTTCGCGGCTTTCCGGATACGACGCTCTTCGGATGTCTCCCGACGTTTCGACGAACGATCGCTTCGGTGTTCCCGGTCGCGATCGTGTCTCGATCGACTGGAGCTGGCATGCTCTCTCTCCCGCTCCTTGTCACGGTGTTCTCGGTCTGAACGGTCGCGTCCGTGGTGATCGTCGCGATATGACCGTGAGCTGTGCGATCGTTTGCCGTCATCCTCTTCTCGATGTCGCTTGCGTCGGTCGGGGGAACGATCTTTGTCCCGGCTACTGCGACGATGACCGTCATCTGCATCCGTCAGGTGACGTCGCTTGTAATGCGATGAATCGCGGTCGTGTCGAGATGAGCTGGTCTCTGCGCGATCCTCGTGTGATCTCGACGAAGACGGCATGGTGCGAAAGCGCACCGTATGCAAATGTCGAGGAGGAGGATGATGGTGAAATGAGAGTGTCGTTTGTCTGCTCAGTCCAAGATGCAATCTCGAGTTGGAATAAGAGCGGAGAAGCCGAGATCGCATCGGCAAGTCAGAAAATTGGATTCTGCATTTGTCCGGTTTAGAAGCTCGATTTCGGTTCAGCCGAGACCGACCAAGTCAGAGATCTCGTCTCGCCTCGACTCCTTCTTCTAATCACGTTGTCACACTCGGCCACCTCGTCGCACCTCTCCGTCATCACGCCCGCTCATACGCTCACGGACGATATCAAGCACTTATGGCGGCGGCTAGTTCTGCTTCGTCGGCAGGTCGGAGCAATCCAGCAGCATCAGCAACTGCTAATACACCAGCGAACCAGCTATCCAACATTGCAAAGCTGCTTGGATCTCATATCACTTTGACTGTCGGCGACAAACAGACTCGGACTCTTTCCGGCAAACTGTGGGCCTATGACCCCACCCTAGGCGTCGTCGGTCTTGAATGCGAAGCCTCGCCGCTCCCATCACATCTGCTCTCGGCCCCAGCAGCTGCCGCTTCGGTAGCTCAAGCTTCGCAGACATCTCGCAACCGCTTTGCGCAGCCGACCAATGCTGTCGGCTTCACCATCGTCAAAGTATCCGAGATCAAGAACATCGAGTTCTCGCAGCAGACCTCCGATTCTGCGAACGGTGCCGCCTCTGCCACCAAAGCTCTGGCGGATACTCTTACACAAACCTATCCCGTTTCGCTCAAGGCAGCTCAGTTGAGAGAGGCCGACGCCGTCAAACAGAGTCTCACAAAGGTAGCGCGCACCGGCAAGGATGTCTCGCAGCTTGGACAGCAAATCTTCGATGCCCTTAGCAAAACGTAAGTATCGACTCTTGTCATGGTTGTCCTCACTTCTGTGTCCGCGGCGGTTCCAAGTGTCGCTGATCATCTTGTCTCTTTGAATGCCCTTACAGGTTGCCTTGTCGATGGCACGAGTCGCACATTATCGTCATGGAAGAAGTCGTCATCTCCGCACCTGGCTACGATCCAGCTTCTACAAATGTTCCCGGCTATACCCAAGAGCAGCTTCAATCCTTCATCGACGGTACTCACAAGGGCAACGTACCTGAGGGTGCCCAGTCCAAAGCAAATAGCTGGCAGCGCGTGACCAAGGTCGTGAGTATCCAACTTGCTATGGCTTTCGACATCGAAATGAAAAGTATCAGATTGCTGACAGCGACGATCCGACTTGCTTTGACCGGACGACAGCTGCAAGGAGAGAGGCGCAAGATGAACGCTGCATAGGACCCTCCAAGTCCGCGGCGGGGATATCAAGATGCAACCGGCCAGCCAAACCCTCAGTTTCGCTCTGTTCAATCACAGCATGCTTAGACTTTGCCGTCCTGTGAACGCGCGGTGAGCAGCTGCATGTGTCTACTTCGAGCCGAATCCAGCGACAATCATCTCATGTCTTTCGGTGTCAAAAAATCCGCTCGTTCACAATGCGCGGAACTTCTCGCCCAATACATCGTCGCGCAGCCTTCAATTGAGCCATGGAAAAAACACAAGCATCCACGTCCACTGCTGTGCAAGTCATTCAATTTCGCAAAAGGTATTGTCGCTGCCCATTCGTCCTTCCTGCTATAAACTTGTTCAGATGTCTTCTTCGTCGTCACTTTCCCCTGGCTCTGACGTCATCATCGGTCGATACTCAGACCCGGCGCGGTTCAGGCGACGCTTGACATCCGATTCGTCTTCGCCGCTCGACCATCCTCGACCTCCGAGCCAGCTGAGCAGCACCGGCAGCAATATCAAGCCGTGCAGAAGGCCTCCCACGATCAGGCAGAGCCACGTCTTGGCATAATACAGCTTGAGCAGGTCCGACTTGGTGAAGATGAGCACGCCGACGCCAATCAGCTTGGTCGAGAAGATCCCGTTGACAACTGCGCCACCAACATCTGTGAGAGCAAGCCAGGCTCTCTCGTCGCGCTCCTTCTGCGACATGGGATGCGATCGTGGCAGAGCGCCTGGTGCACGCATGAAAGCACGCGCAATGTGAGCGCAGAACTCGACGCCGATGGCTGCGCATACGCTCAGGTTGACCAGAGTCAGTGCATTGAACTGGATGCCCCAGAAGCCCATCGCACCAGCCACCAAGAATACTGCGCTCGCCACGCTCAACGTCACCACCGCGCCTGTACGCCAGCTTCCGAGCAGCACCGTGTTGATGGCAAAGATTGCGATGGCTGCTGATCCAAGCACCTGGACGGCCATCGAGATAAGATATGTGTACTGCTCAAAGAAGATGAAGAAGAGACTGTAGGGGAAGACGCGGTAGCCGACGCGTTCCGACACATCGTCCGAAATGCGCTGCGATTGCTTCAGCGCGCTGATGAAATCCGACTGCGATCTGAGCGGCGCAAAGTAAGTGCGGAAATGCGACGAGCGGACGCTCTTCTTGCCAGTCTCTGGATTCGTGACGATGCTGAGCGCTGAGGAATACGCCGCTTGGCCGCCGAGCGGACATTCTTGATCCGTCGGGCTTTCCAGCCATTTCGTAAGATAGCGGTAGAACTCGTCGCCTTCGGGGAGGCCGTCCATGGTGATGTTCCACGCAGGTTCGCGACCTTCAAAGCATGGCTGACAAGAGAAGGGACTGTCGCGAGGGCCACAGAAGACGGTAGGATCGGAAGTCTTGACCCGACAACAGCCATCGAGGATGGGATTGAGCCATTGGAGGAAGTCATCGATCCAGCTGCTGGTTGGCTCCGCGATCCAGGACACTTCAGGTCTTCGACGCTCTCCCTCCAGAGTGTTGGCCAGCGACAAGGGCTCACAAGTGGTGAATCTTCCGCAAAGGTCTCTCTGTCCCTGACGCTCGGACACCTCCTCCCCAGCAGCAACAAAGTATAGGGGCGGACCAACGTCAAGGAAGACGTCGATGGCGTCAAAATAAGGCCTCAGGTATGATGTCGATGGGAGCGCAAGGCGCTGGTCGAGGCCCATCTCGATCCTTCGGACCCCGATGGAACTGATGACAGCAATTGCACCAAACGCTACCACGACCAGCCGCTTGACATTGGACCGCAGCAAAGCGGGCGCAAAGCGGTAGCGGATGAAAGAATCAAGTGTGCCGTCTTTGGCCGCCGTGGCTGCATCGGTGGGGAGCTGGATCTGACGTTGACGAGGCGTCGCCTTGAGGAAAGGCAAGCAGTCGATGCGTCTGCTCTCCACACGATGAGCGTCTAGCGTCATTGCCGCAATGAAGACAGTGCAGTGCAGTATTGCAACGATGAGCATGCTGCCTGCAGCATAGAGGGCAAAGTTCCTGACGGCAGGCATCGGAACCACCGCGCCGAGCAGGAATGCCACAATCTGAGTCGTAGCGCTGAGCAGGATGGAAGGACCGACGCGTGCCAGGCAGCGCGCTGCTCGCTCCTCAACAGAGACGGATGCAGACGGACTCGCTGACAGACTGGCATCCATGAAGATGTCGCCTCTGGCCTCGACTTCTTCTGTGGGAGAGAGCGGCGGTTGACCGGACGCACTGATAGATGGCGCATCCGAAGCCGAACGAGTCATGCCGGCGATAGCAGGTGTGTGTTGAAGGTTTTGACGATCCATCTCGTTGCAGAGCAAGAAGATGTTGTCGACTCCAACGGCGAGGAGCATGAAAGGGATGACCTCTGCAATAATCAATGTGACTTTCACGCCCATCGCGCTGAATATGCCAACAGCGCATGAGACGGAACAAAGCACAATGACAATGCCGAAAAGCCCCAAGCTGAACTTCGAGGATACGCAGTAGGCATCGACGAACAAACGGGCTCTACGAAGAGCGGTCTGGACGAATCTCGACCTGCCGTTGTTCGAGTTGGCTGACGCTGCGTTGATGCGAGGATAGGATCCTGGCTCGGCGATTGGCGAGTCGCGCTCTTCATCGTCGCTGTCGGCCTCGTACCTTGTACCGCTCCTTCCACCAAGAGTGAGTGCCACGTAGATGAACATGGTCAAGTATGAGAGGACCACGATGCCCACATCGGTGTTGCTGCTGCTACCGATCTCGGTTTCGAGGCTGACGCCAGTACTGAAGGCGATCTGAATGCCCAATTCCTGTCGTCGCGCTGACAGCGGATGAACTTCTTTTGCCTGGTCTTCTGTTTCGGCGTCTTTCGCCGAAGGAGCGGCTACTTGTTGAAGGAGTGCAAGCAGCTCGCGTTCCCATTTGCCTGCCTTTCCAAGGGAGGTGCCATCGAGACTGTTGTTCAGAACGTATGTCACGACGACAGACCGAGCCTGACTTGGCCGGGCATCCTGCGGCACACCCCCCAAGACGATGTTAGGCTTGAGCGGCTGTCCGAATGAGGGCAAACATTCGACAGGATTGTCGCCGCATTGATCGAGAGCTTGATCCCAGTTGTCTGCGTCCAGTCCATTGCCCAGCGGATCGTCTTGGAAATAGCCAAGGATGCTTTGCACCACACATGGCGTGCCTGGACCAGCGGGAGCAAGACATACATCCTGCAAGGTGATTCCTGACGACGTCTTGAGCTCGCGGACCGCCTTTTCAAGATCGGACAGCCACAGAAGTCTGTCCCACGACAACGCAGGCGGAAGGGTCGAAAGTTGAGCGTCGGACGAATTGTGTCGAAGTGAAGGTAGATCCTGGTACGAATGCTGGTCCATGAGGAAGATCTGCTGCGGTCGATAGAATGGGCCGAACTCCTGATCGAAAATGTCCTTTTGCATTTTGGCTGTCGAGCCAGGCGCTACCCAAAGGCGAACCGGGTCCACCTCAACTTGAAAGTCCTTCCAACCAATGTTGGCGGCACCGACAAATACAGCCGCTGCTGCGAAGGTGAGCCATGGATGGCTCGCGCAAAAAAGGCCGAGACGATAGAAGAATCGGGTCAAGAGTTGGTTTAGGGCGTACTTTCGCGGCTGAAGCGCTCCCAGCGCGGAGAGATTGTCATTGCGCTCCAACCCTATGCCGCGGTAGATGCCGTCCGGAGCGGAGCTCGACGAGCTTTCCTCGCCAAAGTGACCGATACCTCTTGCTCCGACTAGGCTGCTCGTGTTATGTTGAGCGGCAGGCGGTCTGCTCTCAACACCGTCAAGGGAGTCTTCGGAGTCCAGGCGAACGCGCTCAAAGCCGCTGGATTGACTGAAGAGGCTGAGGCCGCTCGTGCGATGAGGCAGGGCTATTGTGCCACGGCGGCCGCGCAGGACGTTGATGATGGGTCGCCAAAACCATACCAGCACGACGAGCAGCGAGTATAGAAGAATAGCTGAAAAGGTGAAGCACGAGACAGCGCCTACCGCGCAAGCAGAGCCGGATTGGTTTGATGGCGGAAGCGGCGGAAGTGCCGCGCAGGTATCCGGACAGTCGACGCAGGCACACCGCGACAAGAGATCAAGATCTCCGCATTGTCGCGGGTTGTGGTCGAAGGGGATCGGCGGTGCAATCGAATCATTGCGAAGACGCTTCGCTGGCGAATGTGTCCAGTCCAAGCTTCGATCCGAGCGCATATCGGGGAAGTTGATTTGGAAGGGGCTACCGAGCAGCGGCTTCTCATCGCCAAGAAATTTGAGGAAGGCGTTTGGAGTCTGGGCGCCGCCGCCAATCAGATCCATGGCGAATCCGTTGCTGGCTCCGAACTTGACATCCTTGCAACTATCGAAGAATTTTTGCTTCCAGTCGGCATCGATGTAGTACTCTACGGTCTTGACGGCTTCCGACGGCTTGCCATTACTGTCAGTCACCTCTTGTGTTTCGACAACGTCGACGTACTGCGACTGGTTTGGCGAGCAGGTGAAAGAGCAGAAGAGCGATCGAAAGTTGTTACGGCAAGCAGGGCATGAAGAGACCAGAGGCTCGGCTTGCTGCAGATTCGCCGACAGATTCTCCACCTGGGCTTGCGTGCAGCAGACGGGACCTTCAGCAAAGTCTGCACCACACGTTGCGATCAGCAGATCTCGAAATCCTGCCTCTTGCGGTACTGTTGCCTTCTCGTCGACTGAGCATGGCAGTTCCGGGCTGAAGACGCTCTTCTTGCCGCAGTTGCCCTTCATGTGGCAGCGCCCGGGCGGACGCTCCTTGATCTTGAGCTGGTCCATGGCGGCGATACGAGCGACCAGACGAGCGGTAAGAGTCGGCTGGGAGTGGTTGCTCTTTCTGATGATGGTCGTGGTGATGGTGAGTCTCAACTACCCTCCTCGCAGAAGCCCATGCGCGGTTGGACTCTGTGTGGAGGCATCGCACCCTTCCCGGACACGGCATTTCACTGCGCGTCTCCTAATGGACCCTTGAGCTTGCGAGTCGCGCTACATTTTCGTTTCGCGCCACTTGTCTATTTTGACCCTAAAATTGTCGTTTTTGCGCGAACTGAGGCTGAAGGGTGATAACTGTTACGTTACTCAAAACATTTCCACGTCTGTCTCCATTGATTGAAGAACAACGCCAGAAAATACGTTTAATCTCGCTGGCAGCGCGACGACACACAAATTTGCAGCAGACAAGCGTGGAGCAAGATGACAGACAATGCCAAAGCAATTCATTCGCCATTGCATCCCAAACCGCATCGCATACATATCCAGCGGCATGTAAGCTAAAGCGGCTTTCAGCCCTCCAACGATTGTACATAACGGTAGCCATCTGGCACCCGTTTAAATCCAATTTTGCCAGACAGACACGCATCATCAATGCCGAAGCGATGCCTGAAATTGAGTAAGACGTTGCTTGCTGACTCAAAAGTCTGGCTGCGACAATGATCTTGCCTTTTATCGGTAGTCTGCAACCGATTTTGTCGGGCAATTTCACCATCAAGGACGTTATTTTTGTTGCAAAAGTGTGCCAATGACATATTTTGTTCTGAATTTGAGTAAACACAGGACGATTGGTCTCATTGATTGGTGACTCTCTTTTCCGCTCGCTACAAAATGATGAGCAAAGGTCGCTACGTTCGCTGATAATGCAGACTTCACAAATCCTGTGCAAGCTACCCTGACTATGTCGATCAGTTCGGTCCCAGATATTCGCAGCAAATGCGATTGCACGAGCATTATGGGCAAAAAAACTAATATCATTCCTCATCGAGGAGTTTTACTATCGTCAAATTGCATCTTACAGATGATTCTCACGTATTTCTAAGTGAATCCCAGATTGTTCTGTCAATGTTGATGTTGCAGTTCGTAATTCACTCTAGTTGCCTGATTTTCTCAATCCCGTGTCTCAGTGTCGGATTTTGGGTCTGTGATCTTTGTTCGCCTCGGATTACTGGTATTGTCAGGGGCAAACGCAAACAACAGCTTCATCTGGATGCACAATCGCTCCGACAACTGCTGCTATGAATTGCTTTGCTCGAGTTCATTATTCATCCGTCACACAGCAGTGAAATGGTCGACTAAATATGCTTTCGTCACACACTCGTGTTTTGAGTCCGTAACTCCAACAAAAGGTCGCAAATTATAGCTTCAAGCGACAAATTTGCTTGAATGCCGGTCAGAATTTCGACATGGATCCTTCAGAATATATTCGGTTTATAAATCATCGCGCCGGATCCCACACAAGTATCACGCAATCTCAGTGACAGCGTTATCGTAGTCCAGCTAGTCGATTACGATGGGGGTACAGCGCGCACGATACAGGGCGAGACTATCCTGGACGAGACAGCGATCGACGTTTCTGAAACGGTCGTCGAGGATGCGCAGCCGTGTAGCGAGTTGTTCCACGTCTTGGATAGCAGCGTCGTCTGGCGACATGAAGGTCTTGTTACCAAGCAAGGTTTGCAGTGGCCGTAGAAGGTACTCTGGAGTGACGAGACGATACGTTTCGCAGCTGCCATCATTGCTGTGCCGAAACGTCCCAGACCGCTCCGAGCAGTTGGCGTCGGCGAGGGTGACGAAGCCGTCCTGCATCATTTTTCGGACAGCCCATTCGAAGAGCCGGTGAATCTTGTCTAGCTGCTGCTCGCTGGTGCCCGAGTTGATGCTGTGCATGGCCCCATTAGAGCGAGAAGCAAGACGATGCTGCAGCCGAATGCGAACGAGGCGTTGAGCGAGCGTGGAGAGGACGGAGTCAGAGCGAAGATCTGAGACGGAAAAAGGCTGGGAGCGGTAGTGCTGGCTGATATGCTGCTGAATTTGGAGCTGGAAGTAGGATTCGGTCAGATTGCGATCCGGAACCTTGGTCGGCGCGCGTAGCTGTCGAGGATTGGACTCGGATGATCGAGACAAGATGCTCGGCTCGCTCGAACGGGGCAGCGACGGTGATGACATTGATGATGACTCGGGGGGCGACGGATAGGCGGTCCCGCCTGAAAGCAACTTGCGGGCAAGCTCTTCCGGTAAGCGTCGCCTGTGTGAACGATCCATCTTTGGCTCTGCATCGTCGTGCATCGCAGGTGCAGTGACGGAATTTGCGTCCGGCGACACGTCAGATCTAAGCACACGTAAAAGCGGTTTTCGAAGGAGGCGACGAGAGGCGGACTGCCTAGCTGCGGGCTCCGTTTTGGCGAGCTCGACCATGTTCCAATCGAAGGGTCTACGGTAAAGCTCGATCTCGCTCTTGATCACGTCACGCTGATGGTATGATTCCATGTTGATGTCATCGCAGAGCGCTGTGAAGGGTGGTTCGGGAGAGGTAAGAGTGAGCATCACTGCCAGAGCTATCTATACTTTTTTTCGATGGCATTTGGAAGGTGGTCCTCCTAAACTCACCCATACGATCAGCCAGAAGATATCTTTGGCCACCACGGTCAATCTGTATCTTGCCGGCGCAACCAATAATGTCTGCGACTTTGAAGCGTGGAGCCATCGATGGTAGAAATGCTGCGGGCGCCGGATTGTCGAGCCTGTTGGCGGAGGTGGACGCCTGAGGCTGCGGTGGCATGATGTAGCATTCCGGGATCCCGCAGGACGCAGCGGCGACCGCACCTGCCTGGTCGGCGAGCGATTTGGTCCGACGTGACAATGACTTGCGGGTTTCGACTATACGAAGCACCGACGTACCATCATCCACTGTGAAGGGAAAACGCAAGGCGGTCAATTCGCTGAGATCAGGCATGATCAAGCAGGAACATGAAGAAATCGACCTACCTTCATAGTGGACTTGATCTTCTTTGGCGGTGACTCCAACAACCATGCCGTAGACTTCCGCCCGAAGTGCTGGTCGCTCGTGATGCAGGAATAGCGTCTGACCTGAACACAGCAGAGCGGAACGAAGAGCTCGAGGTCAGCTCCGCCTGCACGTCGCGTTAGCTTCTGCATGCTGAAGTTTGTACTCACCTCCTATCGCGTAAGACAGCTCTGGCAGCGTTTTCATACTTCGGACCTGCTGACAGGTGCATTTGAGTACGGCAGAGGGATCCCGCTCGGTCCATTCGTACAGTCGGACTGCATCATTTTCGGAAACCTGCCTGAGCGAGAAGTGTCGCATGCCGAATGTGGGGATTTGACGATCTCGGAGTAAGGCTCGTGATAGCAAACGGATCAGTTGTCAGTTGTGCTGATAGGTCGCGAAGGCAGCGGCAGCAACAGCATCGTGTCCGTGTTGCGAAGGCATTCCGGCCGACCGGACCTCAGGAGCTTGGCTGCCCTTACGACAAGGCTGGCTGAGCTTGTGATGGATGATGAGCAAGAGCCAAGCGCGGTGAGAAAAGAACAACACTTTCGTTCGACCCCGAATTCCGAACGAGGGGATTCAAGCAACAAGGCGCGTCCACAGTGGCTCATGCCACGCAGACAAGAGCCATGCAACTCAGCCCTAAATTACTGCATCCAAAAAAGAAAGACACAAGACGGATGGATGGATGTGTTGGTCTGCTGGGACTTGCTCCACGACGCGTCCTGAGCTGGAAAAAGTGACGAGGAGAGTGCGCAAGGCAGGACCCTTTTTCTTCCTGGTGCCTCTGGGAAAGCCGACAGCCCGTTTGTCGACGTCCATTCTTTCGACATCACCAACTACTATACGATCTACTTTCCTCCGTTCACACGCCTTATTTTGGCAAGATGAGCGACGCAAAGTGAGTCAGCGGCTCGGATCGCCAGCGAAACACAGGGATCCCGGCTGAACGTCTTGCAAGTCTCTCTCTCCAACAGCACCTTTTCGGTTTCGGACCGTCCCGAAGAAGCTGCCGAACACCAGCAGCCTTCTACGCTCGACAAAGGCAAAGGCAAAGCGCGGGCAGTCGAGCCAGGTGAGCGAATGCGTGAACCAGAACAGTTCCCACATTGAATCGTACTGACGACCGACTTTCTGCGCATACCGACACTCAGAGGAAAACGACGACGAGGATGAAGATGACGACGAAGACGACGAAGAAGAGGAAGGAGAGGATGACTACAACATTGACGATGACGAGGTATGTGCATCGTCATTTCAGAATGCGTATATGCTACGCTTCGGTCCGCTGACAAAGATCCTTACGCACGGACACAGCTTGCTGAATTGATCGAGGACGACGAGGAGCTCGCCGAGATCGACACTTCCAATATCGTATGGACCGGACGCAGACGAAACGCGCCTCTGGACTACAGCTCGGAGGAGGCGCTCAAGCAAGCAGGCCTCGACTCGGGTGCTGCTGCTGCCGCTGGTGAGCAGGAAGAGGAAGATGCAGAGTTTCGTGTAAGTGAACTGCTCGAAAGTGATTGGGTCCACAAGTCTCAACCAACCAACGCATGCTAACTCAACACTCTTTCTCGACCCTTTTCCCACAACCCTGATTCCCACAGGGCGACGAGGTGGACGACGAGTAAGCGGAATGAAGCCACCAGCGTTCCACAAGCGGAGGTCGCTCGAAACGTTGCGTTGCAAAAAGGTACAAATACAGAAAATGAATTACAGCTACCATCCGACTGCCAGTGTGCTCGCAATCAAGCTAATCATCGGCGTCGGCATCTTCGACCCCAGCTCCGCCCAGACCTTCGTGAACGAAATCGTCTTCGTCCATTTCAACGTCCGGATCCTCTTCATAGTCGAGATCCGCTGCTTGTCGCTCTGCATCTGGCTCGGGGACGTGCGCGAGTCCTTGTTGATCGGAATCACCCAAGTCCGCCGCTGCGGCTACCTGTCCGGTAAATTGACTAATCTGTGCGGGTGTGTCTGGAAGCACATCATTCTTGGCGCCATTGATTGCTGCTGAATCATGCTGAGCACCTTGTGCTGCATAGGCGTTGACCTGGTTGGAAGGGTGAATGGGAAGGTAGGTCTGTACGAGCGAGATGAGCTCTTGGATCTGATGCGGATGGAAACGCTCTTCAAGCTCTTCGACGAGTGTATGCAACTCCACCATGCTTTGCGGAGCGTGGTTGACAATTTGAAGTCGTTCGGATCGATTCAAACCGAGAGCGCCTCGTCTTGCTTCCGAATCGTTGATCGAGTAGCCGCGTGCTTTGAGCTCGTCGAGGAAGGCAGCTATGTTTTCGGCCTCTTGGTGCGCGCATGGCTTGGTCGTCTGACTCAGCGATGAGATGGTCTGCCAGAGTAAAGAAGGAAGGAAAAGGAGAAAACGGAGACGATCGGTCAGGTGCTGATCGAGCTTCTCGACAGACCGGATCGAGCCGTTTACGAAGCACTTACCTCGTACTGAATCGTTCTGAGGTTCTCGGGAACTTTAGAGAGCCAAGCATCGTCATCGATATCTTCTGCTGTTGGCGCTGATGCGTTGCGCAAAGCGTCGTCGTCATTTTCGTCGTCTTTAACCACTTGGCTGGTTTCTACGAGAGGCTTGACCCGTGCTTTTTGCTCCGACTCCATCTCCTTGAGCACCTTGAGCACTTCAAAGTCGCTCAAAAGCGCCGATCGCGCCTTGAGAATGCGCATAATGTGGTGCTGCTACCTGCAAAGCGACCGCATAGGATGTTTGGCCGGAAAAGCCAAGATGGCAAGAGTTGATGGACGAGAGAGCAAAAGCAAAACTGCAATTCCAGTCGTACTAGTGAGGATTTCAGAAGAAAGTCGAGAAATCTGAATTACGTAATCAGGGTGCATGCCAAAAATTTCGATACTTCACTCTTGATTTCCGGGCTGCAGCCACTTTTTTTGAGTTTCTCCACAGAAGTTCAACACCATTCCTATCTCCTCACCATCACACAACACGCCACTCGTTCGTCCGTTCCACCAATCGGCTCCATCAACTGCCGCCTCAGAAGGACACCGCGCTCATCAAAGTTGGATTCTCGAAGCTCCGGCTTGACCAAGAAGTCTGACGTCCATTGCGTATATCCACCAAGATGGTAAGCATTGCCATAAGATACTAGAGAATGGATGTTTCAACAATCAGCGCACAAACTCTGAACTGACTTATCTTGGGCTTCATGCTCTCCTCCCTGTAACGCTCAACAGAAGATCAAAGCGCTTTCGAGATCGCTAGACGTGCACGCACCCGCTCGACAGGGCGACCCTGCCCCTCTTTCACGCAACCTCGATCCAGCATTGCATCCCTTCGACAAGCCAAGAGAATACACCCGTGCTCTCAACTCCGCCAAGCTCGACAGGCTCTTCGCCAAGCCTTTTATCGGTGCTCTCGAAGGCCACATCGACGGAATTTACTCGATTGCCAAGGACACCAACAGACTCAACGTCGTAGCTTCCGGAAGCGGTGACGGAGAAATCCGCCTTTGGGACTTGGCCCGACAGAAGCCCATCTACGTCTATCCTCGAGCGCATTCCGGTATCATTCAGTCCATCTGCATTTCACCTTTGACCTTCATGTCGCCCACCGGCAATTCGTCGGTCGGTCGCAGGATGCTATCCTGCTCAACAGATCGAACCGTCAAAGTCTGGGATGCGGATCCGCGACCCGACGGGCTGGGACAGACAAGTTTCGGCGCTCTGGACGACGACGAAGACGATGAAGAAGGTATGGACACAGATATGACCACTGGTGGCAGCTTGAGGAGAGGTGGCCTTCTCAGCACGCGAGACAGGGATGTGCCACCCAGCGAGCCATTGACTGTTTACAGCGGCAAAGCCGCCTTCAACTCGCTCACTCACCACGCCTCGAATGCGATCTTTGCTTCGGCCTCCTCGTCGATCCAGACCTGGGACCTCGAGCGTGGCGGCTCTTCCGATCCGCTGCTGTCCATGACCTGGGGTCCTGACGCCATCAACGTCGTGCGCTTCAATCTCAGCGAGCGCGAGGTACTGGCTAGTGCAGGTAGCGATCGCGGTATCGTCCTTTACGACCTGCGCAGCGGTAAACCTTTAACCAAGATGATCATGCAGATGCGGGCAAACGACATTGCATGGAACCCTACAGAGCCCACCGTGTTTGCCGTTGCGAGCGAGGATCACAACGTCTACACGTTCGATATGCGTCATCTCAACTCGGCAACACAAGTCTACAAGGATCACGTGGCGGCCGTCATGTCGGTCGACTTTTCGCCAACCGGCACCGAGCTTGTCACCGGCTCGTACGATCGGACGCTCCGCATCTGGGATTACGGCAAGGGTAATCACTCGCGCGATGTCTACCACACGAAACGCATGCAGCGTATCTTTTCCACTTCTTTCTCCATGGACGCTCGTTTTGTGCTCAGCGGTTCCGACGACGGCAACCTGCGTATCTGGAAGGCCAGAGCGAGCGAGAAGCTCGGTCTGCTCAGTGGAAGGGAGATGGCCAACAGAGAGTACGCCGAGAGCCTTCGCAAGAAGTGGAGCGGCGTGGGCGACGTGTCAAAGATCGAAAAGCAGAGGCACGTGCCCAAGGCGATCAAGCAGGCACAGAAGCTCAAGAAGACCATGATCGACGCCAGGAAGAACAAGGAGGAGAACAGACGCAAGCACTCGAAAGCAGGAGACAAAAAGCCCAAAGCGGCACGAAAGGAATCCATCCTTTCTCAACGCGAATAGCTCCATCCCTCGTCCTTGCTGCTCGTATCCTGTTTTGTTCGCACGCCGACTCTTGCATATTGTACTTGTATCATTTGCGAAAACAATCCCTCTCCGTTTATCTCATTCTGGCCGCATCCAACAAAGCGCCAATCGAACCGTGTCTGCAGCTTGTCGACGATTTGTGACGCTCTTGATCCGGGTCAGTAGTCTGCTGTCCTCAAGGTTGATCTTGGTAAGCTCAAATCAGAGACACGCAAGTGGCTGCTATTGCGTGAAAGATAGCAAATGGATTAAGAGATGCGCTGGAGAGATGACAGACGTGCCCGGAAAGGGATCAAAGATGGCTAAATGAATACAACAATGCATACTACACGACAAGTGAGCAGAGGCAGGAAGTGGAGGAATGGGTCGAGTCCGGACATGGGGTAATGGGTCGAGTTCGAAAGGAGTATGGCAGAAGCAGTCGCTCCGGCTGTGACGAGGCGACGAGGTTTTGCAACGGGGTTATCCTAGAGTACAATTTGATGTGAGTCGCTTCCTTTGGTAGTGGCTCAAGAGGCTGTGGCAGCCGCTTGAGCCATTTCGGCTTTGGTGAGGAACCTGCCCCCGGGACCTCTTGGCCTTCTGACGGCATGCCTGTGCCTACTCTCGTGGAGATAGGGTTTCTTGCCGTCTTCATCAAGGCCGTCGCCGTCCTTGCGTGCCTTGTCACGAGTGTGCATGTACGCGAGGAAGTCCTTCTTCCTCTGCTCCTCGATCCTGGCGCGCGTGGCTCTCCTCTTGAGGATTCGCTGATACTGCTTGGCATTGACGTAGAGAGGCTCATCCTCTGCCGGAGCAGCATCGTCTGGAATGGGCTGAGCTGCTTCGGATTTGGTGTCGACGGCATCGTGGTCATGTAGCGACACGCTGAGGCCGAGATTGGACGGACCAGAGTGTAAAGCCGGGGAGGCGTGGTAGGCGAAGTCTTCGGAGCCCACGACGGATTGCGCACGAGAGTTGGAGAGGGAAGCAGGAAGTGCTGATGCGGTGGCAGAGCCGTGGTAAGGGCTTGCATGGGAGGCGTCGTTGGGGATGCCCGGACCAAAAGAGGACCAGAGGCGAGAATGATCTGCGGCAGCTACGTGGGAAGAAGCAAAGTCGTCTGCATCGCCGGCGTTGATCCAAGCCGTGATGTCGGTCTCCTCTGGATCGGCATGGTAGGACGAGATGCTGTGGTGGAAGTCGCTTGCTGGGCTGTTGGCATTGGAGAGCGCACTGGGAATACGGGGACGGGTACGGCTGCGGCTGGAGGAGGAAAGACGCGATCGCGGCTCTTCCTCTGCTCGAGTACGCTTGCGTGCACGCGGACGAACGTTGCCTCCTGAGCCGGAATCGTCGTCGAAGCCCAAAGCGCTCGCTGTGGCAGGGTGAAGCAAGTCAGAGGTGGAGTAGGGCGAGCCGATATGCGGAGCATCGGAGCGCATCGAGGCAGGATTGATGTCCCAGGGATACTTGTTGTTAGCAAGGCTGGAATGGCTATCGGCGCCGCTACTGTGAGTGGTGGCATTGGAAGGCACACCGTGGTATGAGTCGGCAGGGGAATTGGCCCAGCTCAAACGACCGCTGTTGGAGAAAGCGGCGACGGAGGCGCTTGAGGAAGAGTGATGATCGGCGCCGGGCGAAAAGTGTTGATGCGGGGTGCTTGCAGAGCTGGTGTACGCATCGAGATGATGTGGGTGGTGACTGGACGAAGGGCCGTGGTTGGGCTGGGACGAGGAGGGGTGTTGGATGTAAAATGCGCCAAAGGACAGAGGATTCTGAGCCATGTTGCCCGAGCCTGAGTTGGGTGCGCCGAGGTGACTGGCAGATGGAGAACCAGTGTAAGGGATATTGAAGCCACCAGGAGATGTAGGATGCGGTGAGCTGGAGCCAGATGCGTGAGCCATGGGCTCATACAGATGCGAATACGACTGCATGATTCTCCTAGATGCGATTTAGGACACCCTACTGGGGGCGCTTCGCAGATGCGTCTAGTCCAGGATGGTAGCAGACGTAGTCAGTGCGACTGAGCGACAAGGTACTAGATGCGGATAAGAGATGAAATGGAGATGAGGAAGAAGAAGAGGATGACGAGGACGAGGCGGACAGTTTGAGCGTGCCCGATTCGAGTGTGATGAGTGTGACGAGAGCACGAAAAACTTGCACATGCTCACACGCTCATCGGCTGCTGCTGCAGTACTACACTACGGCCCCTTGCCTGCCCAGCTCGCCCGCGGCTCAAACCGTAAAAAGCGAAGAAAAGTCAAAAGTCAAAAATTTCAGAAACTCCACCTTTGTTCTGGCTGAACTTTTTCCATACGGTCTGGAGCTCTGTTTCTTACACTATCTGATTTCTCGGGACCTGTTAACCGCCCGAAGGGTGCTTGTGCCCTGCAGTGCCAAGACGCTGTTCGACGCCTGTCGCCAATCCCTACAGACGACACGCCCTCCTCCCGAAAAATGTCTTTCGTACGTGTGACTCTATAGCATGTTAAGTCGCGACTCGCACACCTATGCCGTAATGCTCTTTCTTCGACACTGCCAAAAAGTGCGCGCTTGTTGCAATTTTCCGAAGCCGACATGTAGAGAGGCTGTCAAATGTCGAGCATGCATCAGGAAGAGCCGCCAGACGAGCGAGATGTGCTTCATAGTGCCGTCATGACTGTTTGTTGTGCTGCTGTCGCGTGCTGATGCCACTTTTGGGCTTGGCGATTCATGCGTCTGATCCAATGCACCAGCTCGGCTCAATGCATCCGGTCAGCTGAACGCGGTAACTTAGCCGTAAGTATGTCTGCTTGTGCTATTCAGAGACTCCACCAGTCGACATCATGACATCCCGTCCTTCTCACCCATCATACTGCACACAGTTGTGCCTGCGACTCGGTCACGATCATGTCGATATTTGCTCTCCCTGTCCTGGTCCTGGCGGTGCTAGCCGTGCACACGATCAATGTGGCAGCACTCCCCCAAGTCCTCGTATACACCAAAACAGCAGGCTACCGGCACGAGTCGATCCCGATCGCCGTCCAGACCATCACCTCTCTCGGCAACGGCTCACTCACACTGCCTTCTTCTGCCATCGATCCCTCCATTTCAGCTGTTCGATGGTCCACAGTCAATACCGAAGACGAGACCCGATTTCACAATCTCACCTTCCTTTCGCAGTTTGACGCCATCGGCTTCGTCAGCACCACCGACCAGGATCCTCCGCTCACCGGCACCGTACTAGACGACCAGGGCCTGCGCAACTTTGCTCGCTACATCGAACAAGGCGGGGGCTACTTTGGCATCCATTCTGCAGCTGCTACCTTGTTCGGTGCTCCCTTTTACGGTCGACTCGTCGGCGCCTATTTCGACTATCATCCACAGATTCAGAACGTCTCTGTCAAGCCAGTCGATGCGTCGCATCCGTCCACATCGAGATGGCCAGCGGATGGTCTGCGCATCTACGAGGAGGTTTACAACTTTCGCTCGGATCCCAGAAATCTGCCCTCGCCTGCACATGTTCTTGTGACCAATGCCTCTACCTTCTCGGATCCCGGAGTCAATCCGCAAGGCTTCAGGAACGGCACCAATGGCCCCTCACCTCATCCGCTGGCTTGGTGGAGGCAGGGCGGTCTGCTCGATACCAATTCTTCTACCGATGCAAGTGTCAGTGGAGTGGGCGGAGCCGACATCCAGGCGGCCGGAGGGCCAGGTAGAGCATGGTACACCAGCTTGGGTCACGACGTCTCCACATGGCAGCTCGATCTCTTCCGAGGACACGTTGCTGGCGGTATCGGCTGGGTGCTTCAGTCATCCACAGCAAGGTCGGCTCACGGCGGCAGCAGCAATGGAAGCACCGGCACATCGAGCCAAGACACGACGCCGGCTAGCAGTAGCGCACATTCCCTGCGTCCTGCGCGTCTCCACCTGCCTGCAATGGCCGTCACTGCACTAGTTGTCACTCTGCCAGGCCTATCTGTACTTGTAGCGCAGATCCGAATTCCTGTCTAAGAGCATACTGCGTCTCACATTGTCGACACACATCGATCCTACAAACCTGCCCGTCAACGCACGTCACCGCACAGTTGAGATGAAGTCCGACAAGTGAGGTGGAAGACAAGCGGGCGTAAAAGCCGGCAGGTCGGTTTCGATGAGCCTGAGCCCTCGAGCCGGCAACCCTCCACACACACGCTCCAGCTCGGCCAGTTTTTGTTTCTCTAACTGCAACGCCGTGGAACGGCGACTTTCAAAAATTCTCTTTCAAAACTCGGCAGTCGGTCAATTACCATCAACTTTTTTTGGATTCCGAAGCTCGAGGCCGCACGACCTTGTCCTTCTTCTTCGCTCGTGTTGGCGATCCCCGAAACGGCGTCTCTTCATCATCAACCGATCCCCTCTAAACGTCGTTGGATCGAGCGGCATGGCAAAGAAAGGAAAGGCTTCCGCCGGCAAGGCTGCTGCGAAAGCCGCCAAGAAGGAAAAAGCCGAAAAGCAAGCCACTCGCAAACTCACAAAGCAAGCCGCAAAGCAAAAATCCCAGAGCAAGGCCACCGCATCGTCCACAAATACCAAGCAGAATGGCAAAAAGGGAGCTGCAGCTGCAGAATATGACGAAGAGGATCTCGATGCGCTCTTGGCTAGGTACAGGGAGCAGTGGGAGCAAGAGCACGTCGTAGCCGAAGAAAAGGTGGGCGGACCGCCATCTCGCAGAGCCAATGCCACCTTCACACCTTGTCCACTCGGCAACGATCTCTACCTGTTCGGCGGCGAATACTTCAATGGCGAGAGAGTCGCCTTCTACCAGGACATGTACCGCTATATACCCGAAAAGAACGAATGGCGAACCTATGCATCCAAGAACCAACCCGGCCCCCGATCCGCCCATCAAGTCGCTGCCACACCAGCACAAGGCGGCATGCTCTGGCTCTTTGGAGGCGAATTCTCGGGTGCAAGACAGAACGCCTTCCATCACTATCGCGACCTCTGGGCATTCAGCATCGAATCAAAGGCATGGGAGCGCATCGACACCAAGCTGCGTCCCAGCGCTCGCAGCGGTCACCGCATGACCTTCTGGAAACACTACCTCGTCCTCTTTGGCGGCTTCATCGATACCGGTGTAAAGACACAATACCTCAACGATCTTTGGATCTTCGATACCCAAAACACCTTCAAGTGGACAGAGATCAAGCAGAACGATCTCCGTCGTCCACCTCCACGCTCCGGATTCTCTCTCCTATCGTGCCCTGAAGGTGTCGTTCTTCACGGCGGATACTGCAAAAAGTACGTCAAGGGTCAACGCACCCAGGGTGTAGCGCTGGAGGACACATGGCTGCTCAAGATGGACGAGGATCTCACCAAACTCGATTGGATCAAGAGGAGGAAAGTCGGATACGCACCCAACCCGGCTCGCAGCGGTTGCACCATGGCTCTTTGGCAGTCCAAGAGCATGGGCATCCTCTTTGGCGGTGTCACCGACACCGAGGCAGACGAGGAGACCATGGAGAGTACTTTCCACAAGGACTTGTACGGATATCAGCTGCCAGGCACAGGTCGATGGATCAGCTTGAACTTGAAACGTCCCAAGAAGAAAGGAGGCGGAGGGAGAAGGAAGAAGAAGCAGCAACAGCAGCAGCAACAGCAACAACAGCAGCAGCAGCAGCATCAAAGCAATGGACATGACTCGGATGAAGACGACGAACACGATTACGGGTCTGACGATGAAGATGCCGATGAGCAAGCAAAGAATCTTGCCGAGTCGACAGAGAAGCTTCAGGTCCAGCCTTCGCCACCATCACCACTTCCAGCGCAGGAGGACGAGGAGGAAGACGACCCGGACGATCCACTCAGAACCATCCCGCTCGAACGGTACAACGTCATGCTCGCCGTCCAACGCAACATCCTCTACGTATACGGCGGCATCTTCGAAGCCGGCAATCGAGAATACACGCTCGACGACTTCTACACGCTCGACCTAGCCAAGCTCGAACGGTTCAGCTGTCTCAAAGAGTGTCCGATCGATGCGCTCGAATGGGACGAATCCGAATCCGAGGACGATTCCGAGTCCGAATCCGGCTCCGACTCTGACTCCGAATCCGAATCCGAATCGGAAGGAGAAGAAGGTGACGAGATCCCGGAAGGGTTCGAGTTCGACGAGATCGACTCGGACGACGAAGAAGCTCGACGAGCCAAGATGTCGGCAGCCGAGAAGGAAGCGCTTCGAGCCAAAGCACAGGCCTTCATGGGCGTCGCATCCGACAGTGCTCGGACCGAACAGGAGATCCTCTCTACCCCACAGCCGGGTGAAAAGCTGCGTGCCTTCTACGAACGTACCAAGCAACACTGGGCCTCCACCGCACTCATCGAAAGCGAGGGCAAACTGCGTGGCAAGGAGATGCGCAAACGAGGCTTCGCTCTCGCCGATCAGCAGTACCAGGAGTACAAACCCATCCTCGAGGAGATCGAGAGGATCCGCGCCGAGGCAGGCTTGGATGCGGCGGAAGCAGCGGTGAACAAGGTCGGTGGCATCGGCGCGGGTAGCACCGGTGTGGATTCGAGGAATCGCAGGTGAAGAGAGGGTGAGGAAGAAATCAGACGCAAAACGCAAAAATTGCAGACGAGTTTGCGCACGCAGAACATCGAGAAAGTCGGATCATGTGCGTGAGTGCGTGAGAAGAACTGTGCGTGTGGACATTGACCAGAAAAGCATGACAAGAAGCAAAGACCCGTGCCTCGAGAAACACCCTGCAGCGGCGATCGGCAACCGGCACTCGTTCTCGCTCTACAACTTGTGACGTGCACCACCAGCGATGCTCTCGAACCTCTTCTGAGGAGCGCCCGAAGCAAACACCGTCTCTGCACCTCTCAACTCGGCCTGATTCACCGCATCCACCCCCGCGTACGCATACGCAGCGTCGTTCAGCAGCTTTTTGGTATACAGCAACGAGAACGGACTGGCGTTGGGAGGCAAGAACTTGTCCTGGACGTGTTTCACCACGTCATCCAGGATGGGTGGGGTGGCTAGCTTGTCCTTGCCATCGTAGGTGGGCGGTTTGGTGTAAAGTCTGGTGATGAAGCCGCTTTCCTTGAGGTCTTGTGCGGACATCTTTCGGCCTTCCAAGAGCGCTTCTGTCGCTCTACCCAGACCCATCTTTTTGATGAATGTGACGGAAGTCAGACCTTCGGCTACAAGGGCGAGGGACATGAAGGGAGTGAAGAGGAAGAAGTCGTCGTAGGCGTACACCAGGTCGCAATGGCTCAGGATAGCCGCCGAGAGTCCGACAGTTGGACCGTTAAGCGCAGCGATCAAGATCTTGGGGTGGTTTCGCAGCGCAAGAGCTAGCTTGCCCTGACCAGCGTGGGTACGACCAGCGTAGAAGTCGGCAATGATGGCTTTGCCCTCGGCAGTGTTGCTGTCGGCGCGGGCGACGTGATCGGGCAGGGTGCGGGAGGGATCCTTGACGTTAGCTCCGGCGGAAAAGTATCGTCCTTTACCGGTGAAGATGGTGACGATGATGTCGGGCTGGAGGGCGATCCATTCGAGACACTGGGTGATGCATTTGTAGTCTGCCCAGCCGAGAGCGTTGAGCTTCTCCGGGGCGTTGAGGGTGATAACTGCAACTCGGTTGTCGCAGTTGGCAACGAACGAGAGTGCTACGGGTGCAGAGTCGGGTTGTGCCGGTGGAGGCGAGGTGAACTTAGTTGAGGACATGTTTTGGCGAGCGCTTAGAGGGACTGGATGTAGATTTGAGCGATGACGATGGGGAATGCGAGAAGGAGCACCAGTCGCGAAGTGAGTGGGGTTGTGGTTTTGAGGCTCCGCTTGGGCTTCGCCCAGCGGCAGACCTGTTGGCCGAAGGCCAACAGTGTGGGGTCGAAGATGTGCCGGTATCCAAACCCGAAAAGAAGCCGGAAAGTGAATAGCCGAGACTGTTTGCACCCACGCGGACGAATAAAGCGCGCTCGAACTGTGTCCGCCATTTTTGACGTTTATCCGCCGCGACTTGAACCTTGCACTCACTTACATCGTCGTCACAGGTCGTCCTCATCCCCGCTTTATCTGAACCCGGGAACACCTTTCAGCTTTCGCCTGGGCTTATACAGGCGTGTGACCTGCCTTCTACGCTTGATGACTGGAGGAGCAGTAAGAAAGCGCGATGAAACTTCTCCTACACGTCTCTTCTTCCACCGCTGCTGCTCAAGCAGTCGGTCGCGAGTGCCCTCAACAGATAGTGCCGCAGTGATGCACTTATCGGCGACGATCATGTACTCAACCTCCATCTCGTCATCTTCATCAGCGTTTTCCTTGTTCAGGAAGGCGCTCGTCTTTGAACTCGCCTTCGTGTGTTGAAAGTGTGCTGATTCGTCCAACTCCAGTCTGACATCAAGCTGAGTAGTTTCTTTCTCGACTTTGGCTGTACCACCGGTGAGCATACCAAAGAGCTCTCCGATTTTCTTGAGCATACCGACGGGCGTCACAGCACTCTCCGTGGGATGTGACACACTGTCTTGTGTCCCGCTCGAAGACGCTGAACCTTCGCGGGACGGAGGTTGTGCAAGCAGCTGATCGATCATATCTTCGTCGTTTTGAGCCAATTCGAGATCGAGTCTGTGCTGTGCGGAAGGTATCGAGCGGAGGAGAAGCTCCAGCAGCTGATCTCTGTCTAGGATGGGAAGGGATGCCAGAGCCGTGATGGCAGCTGTTGAAGATCGCATGAATGCCCGGTGGGCGTAGTGAGCGTGATTCCAAGGTGCGTGACCTGTGCGGGTTGAGCTCGAGAGGTGAGATGCGGACCTTGCATGCTGGAGACAGGAGGACAATTGAAGCGGTGATCATCCGCACACTTGATTGCACCACGAAAACAAGCATCAAGCAGCAAGTCAGGACTTTGCTTTGCCGACAAAGCTTTCGCAATCGCAATGCGACCCGCACTTGTTCCCGCTCTGTATCATTCCGTTTGAACACGGCCTGTCCACTGACTAGATCGACTTCGCTCAGCTTTGCGATTCGGCAAACCTTCTTTTTTGAGTTTGGGCGTAGTCTTCAATAGTGCGGAAAGAAGCGAAGTTCGCCTCAGCAGTCTTGTCAAACAAAGCTATATCACCTTGCGTTTGTGCGATCGGGCTTCGTCTCTTATCCTCCACCATCACCAATCGTCTGAGCCCGGTCAATACATCGTAGACGTCTTTACCAGCTCCCACCTAGAACAAGCGGTTTGGAAACATCGCCCCCTTCGTTGAAAATGCGGTCGACCTCGATGACACCGCTGCCAGACGCTCCTACTCAACCCGATGCGATGATGCAAATCGACGACAGCGACGACATCATCTTGGTCAGCGAGAATTTTCGCACGCCTCGCAGCAAGGCCGGACCTCGTTCGCCTCCGGAGACCCCTCCTCCTACGACACCTTCTCCGAACGTCAAGCGCCGCCGCACTTCTGCTCCTTCCCAGAAGAGCAGCCCCAACAAGCGGGCCAAGCACAAAGAACGAGAGGACGTGAAGCACGGAAAGAAAGGGGAGCAGCGTCGATGAGGATGACGAGGATCGCAGGGACGAGCGGCAAGTTAGTGCGGAGCTTCAGGTCGAGAAGAAGGAGGAAGAGGACACAAAGGCCGTGGGTGAAGGAGGAAAGTCTCCGAGGAAGGTAAGTGGTGATCCTGCGCCGCAAATAATGGCTCGTTGCAACACTACTGACTTCCTGACTCGTCTCTGCGATCCGCGTCTTGTCACACAGTTGTACCAGAGGTTCAATGTTGAGGAAGACAGGCTCATCGTGCAGCAGTGAGTCAATCTTCATCCGCAACACTTCCCAAGGCCAACTGTTATCGCAAACTGACCACCCTCACCACAGACTCATCGAGAATTTCGACGCTCACCCAGTCAAGGAGGCCACCAATCGCGCTTGGAACACCGTCATGCAACGAAGTGAGTGACACAGCTTGCGCTCACAAGCAATGCGATACGATGGTAGCGAGCGCCAGACTGACCCTGCCCCTTCTCTCTCCTGTTCTGTTGCCCTGATCCAGTGCGCGTTATCCTCAAGGCGGGTTTGCGAAACCTCCACGGAGAACAAGATGCGTTTCTGCCGGGCGAGAAGCGCTGAGCGTCTTGTCAGGAGATGAGCTTCACTGTCACACAAGGATTTCGGCTGGCACTCCGTTCGTGACGTTTGTAGAAAGGCGGTGGGTGTTGCAAAGCAGGGTATCGGTGACATTGCATTCGGAGCAAGCAAGCCTCTCAAAGATCGATGAATCAGAATGTCTGTCAAGCCAAAGAAACAGAAAGCGAGAACGTCAGTAAACCTTTGCTCGTCATCAATACCAAGATCCGTGTCCATCCGCGCACTCGCACTTACCTTCTTATGAATCACATCCGGATCCTCATTATACTCCTCGGCACTAACCCACATCCTCTTGAACGTACTCAACCCCGCCAAGATGCTGCCCCCAATCCACGTCGCGTACTTCCTCTCCGGCGGAGCAAAGATCTTGATCTTCATCTCCCTCACCGCCAACCTCTTGACCTCTGCCAACATCCTATCGCCGAAACCCTTCGTCAGGGTCGTTCCACCGCTGAGGACGATATTGCTGAAGAGGTTTTTGCGGAGGTCGAGATCGGTTCTGTTGATGGAATCGACGATGACTTGGTGGATGCCGGGGAACTCGTGACCGATCAGTTCGGGGTTGAAGAGGATCTCGGGTGCACGGAAGCGTTCGGCACCTAGACGGATGGTGTTTCCGTCGGGAAGTTTGAACTCTTCGTGTTGCGGGGTGTCTTTTTCCTCCTTGGTGGGGTTGAGGGCTACGTAGCAGGTTTTCTCTTTGATCATCCTGACGAGTTCCTTTTCGGCGCTGGTGTGGAGGTGGTAGCCTGCTTTGCGAAGGTGTGTTTGGAGGTTCTCGGTGACATCGCGCCCAGCGACGTCTACCCTGCGTATCGCGTTGGGCATGGAGAAGCCTTCGTACACCGGCACCGCGTGCGTAACGCCATCGCCCGAATCCAACACTATCCCCGTCGTCCTACCTGAGGAGTACAGACTCAACACCGCCTGGATCGAAGTGAACAGCGCTGGGACGTTGAACGTCTCAAAGAAGATCTGTGCAGCCATGTCACGATTGCTGCGCGGATTCAACGGTGCCTCGGTCAGCAGCACGGGGTGTTCCTCCGACAGCGTCTCGAGTTCATCGCTGTAGACGTGGTTCCAGATGCGTTCCATATCCTCCCAATCGGTGACGATTCCGTGCTCCATAGGGTATTTGATCTTGAGAAGACCACGAAGCTCTTGGGCTTTGCGACCGATGAAGAGGTCCCCTTCGATGGCGCCGGCCATGACGCGTGGATGTTTGGGTCGACCGACGAAGCTGGGGAAGAAGCATTTGGGAGCGTCCTGACCTGCAAAGCCGGCTTTGATGGAGCCGGATCCGTTGTCGATGACGACGGGCTGGTTTGTGAGGACATCGTCGAATTCGTTGCCCGCCATGGTTGCTGAGGAGAAGTGGGGCCGTGGTCAATCCTCGAAGGAGCAGATGCGATTCGTACAAAAGTCAATGCAGGTGACGGGTCAAAAGCGATTGCTGTTTAGGTCGGAGAGTGCTGCGGTGGTGCTCGTCTTGGGAGCAAAGCAATCCGGATGTGACAGCGATTGGGATCTGTGCTATGATGTGTGATGTGATGAGCAAGAAGGAAAGGAATTCATGAAAGCGCGCTGTGAGTCGACAAGTAACTGTCTGTGCTCACTCTTGGAAAAAGTGTTGGTTGGAAACAACGCTCGCGTGTCGGTGTGTTGGTTCACACACAGTTTAGCTGCTGCGCGCAATACTGACTGACACGCTCTGCAACGCTTTCTCTCTCTTCTCGCTCAACCGCGTCCAGCTTGCATCCCGACTTCCGAATTCATCATCTCTGTTCTCACTCTCCATTTCGTACCAAGATAACACAGACAAGACATGTCATAGAACTCAATGCCATTCTTGTCGTGTGGAAGCTACTCTATTGAAGATTGACAAAACAACCGCCGTCCACTAGTACCGAGCTACCCGTCATGAACTTCGCCAGATCCGAAGCCAAAAACACCACGGGCCCAGCGATATCATCCGGCCTGCCCAACCTTCTCAATGGATGCCTCTCCACCATCCTCCTCCTCTTCCCTTCATCCCTCAGATCGTCCTCGTTGATCGCAGTCTCGATCGTCCCCGGTAGCACGCTATTGCACCTAATCCCCAAGGGACCTAGCCCGATCGCAGCAGACTCCATCATGCTCTTGAGACCCGCCTTTGTCGGCGTGTAGTGGCTTTGAAACTCGCCTCCCACCAGAGCCGAGATGGAGGCGATCGCAACGATCGATCCTCCGCGTGGGGTTTGACGCGCCATCAGCCGGGCGGCTGCCTGGGTGGCGAAGAAGGCGCCGTTCAGGTTCACGTCTTGCACCCTTCGCCATGTGGAAGCCTCCATCTCGAGGAAGCCCATGAAGGGGCAGATGCCGGCGTTGGAGATAAACACGTCCAGACGGCCGAAGGATGATTCTGCTGCCGAGGCGATGGCTTGTCCCACGGTGGGGTCGGAGATGTCTCCGGGGATGAGGATGGATTGGGCTCCGATTTGGAGGAGTTCGGATTGTAAAGAGGAAGCTTCGGACGTGGTTTCGGCGTCTCCGAGGTAGTGGACGATGATGGCTCGAGCTCCGTGTGCAGCGCATGCTAGGGCGCACGCACGTCCTATCCCACGGGATGCGCCCGTGATGGCAACGATCTTGCCTGGCAGCAAGTTCGACCCCGCAACGCCTGGATTCACGGCTGCTGCAGGAGCGCCGGTCGAACTCGAACTCATCGCTATCTCCTTTTTCGTCCGATCTCAGCTGGAAGCACCCGTAGCGACCCGTTCAATCTCCGATACCTCGGTATGATCCCTCGTATGTCTCATGCGATGAGCCCAAACAGGCTTTCCCTCTTTATCCCAGACGAATTCACCACCCAGCTGCTTGAAATCGCCACCCTTCAACGCCAACGATCCAGATTTGACGATCTCGGCCACGCTGCTGAAGAACGTCTGCGCCAACCCCTGCTGATGATGCGAACCGATATTGTCCTTCTTCGCGTCGCCCTGATCGAGATTCCTTCGGGTGACTCCGAGTGCGTGGTAGAGGTTCAACTCTGGATCGGCGTAGAACTCAAACGGTGGACTGTCCACCTGCTGCTTGTAGTGTTCCAGTCCTTCCGGTTGACCGGGTCCGACGACGACGAGCGATGCGCGAGAGGCGTCTGTGAGGACGGTGGATTTCGAGAGCGCTTTGACGTACTCCTTGCACATGCCACAGTGAAAGTGGCGTGTAAAGATGAGCACCAAGGGAAGGTTGTTGGTGTTGGCGCGCGTGAGGAGAGTGGTGAAGTCGATGCGGTTCGATTGGCTGTCCAAGACGTAGGTCGAGTTGGCGGCGGAAAGCTGTTCGGACGATGGGAGCGCGTCGTCCGAGGTGGAAGTTTGCGTGGTGGACATGGTGGAAAGGGGAGCTGAGGCAAGTTACGCTACAAAAGTGGATCGAAGAGCAAACCCTTGGTGTTATATGCGGATGGGAACCGCGACAGCTGCAGGTGCTTGTGCACAGACTTACGCCACCGAGAACCCTTGCTTGCAGTTCCCGACCCTCGACTCGATGTGGGGGGATCAACGGAAATTTCACACGTTGTGTTAAGACTTTTGCTCACAGGTCTCGTGGCTTCAACTCCCTCGCACAATGCTCGCGTTGCCTCATTGTATCCTAACTCAAAGTGAATCGACCTCGTATTCGACTCTGACAGGTCGATCAATCATCACAGAATGCTCAAGTCACACGGAAGTCGGTCGATGAAAAGATAACCATTTCGAGCCTGGTCGCTGACTGTCTAGTGAATCGGGGAAAACTCGAGCGGCTGTCGGAAAGAAAGGTTTGCGTCAAATGAGAGTGCACGTAAGTCAGCTTCGGGTCTTATATCGCTTGTGTACTTGCCGCGAGAGCTTTCGGGCGAGCAGCAAGATCGGCTCTGTAGCTTAGGGTCGGATTCGAGCAAAGAGATGGTGGAACTTACCGTCCGCGCCTGCCTCCAAGCAAGCCAATCGCTCGTCTCCGTAGGCAACAACCCCATGCTCCAACACTTGTACAGCCCCAACGCGATCGCTGCAAACTGACACAACACAAACAAAATCTTGGGTAGAACCAAGCTCTGTCCTGGAGAGGAGAGTCGATCGAAGGCTGTATCCAACAAAGCACAGGAAGCGGTTCTGTCAGTTCCCTGACTCTTCCCTTTTTTTTCACGGATGCTGTAACCCCGGCGGGATGACAAAACTTACAGCTGTTCATGGTGGAAATACCCTTCAGTGGTCCAGTGATGAGCATACCGACAGCCATCATGCTGAAGATCTGCACACCCGACCCGGACATGTACAGCATGATGGCGTTCATGGGTAACGCTTTTGCTGGTGAGTACGCCAGTTCCCACGCTTTGGCCATCTTGAGTGCTGCTGGATCCGCGCGTTTCTGTGCTACGGTCGATGATGATTTCGATTTGGATTGCTTCTGCAAGAGGGTACATCGTCCAGAGGATCGTTGGGATGTCAGTGAACCTCTCTCGATGGTGAACTTGAGAATGGCAGGAGTGGTTCTGTCGCTTACCTTGCTGACGGCATCTGGATCTGTAAAGCCGATCGGATCTGGTAGGTCCTGTGCCTTTGCTCTGTTAAGCAAACCCGAAGATGCACAGAGGTTCTGTGGCGTCAGTACGAGAGCTAGAAGAACGATCTTGCCTCTGGATGTGCGACTCACTTTGATGTGCCTGCATAGTTGACCCGGAATGCCGAGAGCGGCTGCTGTTGTGTCTTTGACATGGCGAGCCTTCGTACGTCGTATGCTTTCCTCGTTCGCAGTGCTGCCGATACCGGATGATCGGAGGTAGGAAGTAGTTGGTAAGAGTGTTGGCAGCAATTCCGAAGTGTCGCATTGCGGTCAGTGCGCGTGTCGGTCGGTGTGTTGGTTGGATTCGTTGAATTCTCTCGCGCGGTTGAACTTGACTTCGCTGCCACCGTTCAATTTGACAATCTCCTCCTCATCCTCCTCCTTCATCCATTGCTCAAGGCAGTCCGCTCTTCGGCGTTCCAAAACATGCTGCTGGAGTGTACCTCTCAGAGACTGTTACAACGAATCACAGACTCATTTCCATCTATGTTGTTTCATATTAGCTAGTCGAATGCTGCTGTTTCTTGTTTTGCATTGTTCAAATAGACACGAGACACTTTACATCTGATGACATCGCCACCCTCTCATGCGGCAACGGCGCGGGCAGCCTTGGGTGCGACATCCCTAGCAAGCTGCTCAGCAGAGTGGCTACCGTTGATACGCGTGGCCTCGGCCTTGCGCTCCTTGATCAGAGCCTCGGGGTCGGCACCAAGGTCACCGGCGTCGGCGTAGGCGTCGAGACCGACACCGTCACCACGACCGATCTTCTTGACGTACGCCTTGTGCACAGCGAGCGACTTGATGAACTCGTCCTCCGAGATGTCGTTGGCGAAGACGCACTTGCCCAATGGCTTGGCGAGAACGAATCGCTGCAGACCGTCACGCGTCTTCTTGATAGCCTCGTTACCCTCGAGAATGAGTGCATCGGTCAACAAGGGGTGATCGACCGAGAGGCCGACGCTGCCGGCCAGACCGAACCACTCGTCACGATCAGCATCGGTGATGTAGCCGCGCATGTGTGCCAACGTGACCGACCAAGCCATATCGATGGTGACGGCGTGACCGTGGCGGAGAGGCGGGAAGGGAGCGAGCTCCAGAGTGGGCGAGATCGAGTGACCGTTGGCAATCACACGGTCGAGACCGATCTCGTGCAGGTTGGGCGACTCGAGGTCGAGCATGCCCTTGATCGCATTGCGGCAGATCTCATCGGCAGCCGCCTTGAGCTCCTTGGCACCAGGGCCCGTGGCGTTTCGGCCGTAGGCGGTGTTGACAAGGTCCTCACCGTACTTGACAAGTAGACCCCAGGTGTACTTGTCGGTGCAGTGCAGGATCTTGATGAGCTCGGCGGTACCGTTACGGGTCTGGCCAATGGGCAGAGTCTTGAGGAAGTCAAAGTCGAGGAACGTGTGCATGGGAGCGTGGTAGGCACCCAAACGGTTCTTGAGCTTCTTGTGGTTGATGCCGACCTTGATCGAGATGGCAGCGTCGATCAGCGCAATCAGGGTGGTGCCGACACGGATGTAGTTCGTGCTTCGTCGGTACGACGCACATGCGTAGCCGAGCACATCCGAGGCGAGTCCACCACCGACAACGAGCACGGGCTCCTTGCGGATGAGACCAAACTTGTCCATGGCGTCGACAAAGCCGAGCATGGTGTCCATGTTCTTGTGCAGCTCACCACCCTTGAAGACGTGGAGAGTGGGCTTAATGTTGTGTGCGTTGAAGTCTATTCGTGGCAGAAAAGAGGTCGGGTAAGGACAGGACAGGCAAAGGTCAGTCTCAGCGTTCAAACTGTGGAGCACACGAAGCCGCGGCTTGTCAAAGGAAATCACTTACAAGCCTTGATCGAAGGGCCATACAGCTCGTTGAGGTTCTCGTCGAGGACGCAGAGGACACGACCCCACTTCTGGTAGTACGAGGCGAGGTCCTCCTTCTTCTGGTCGAAGACGTTGTCAACGAACGAGTAGGTGTACTTGAGGTCCTCGTAACCCTGAATGCTGTAGCCGGGGCCAGTAGCGTTCGAGGTAGCTGGCACCTCGGTGACGGTAGCCCGCATGTCGGAAGAAATAGCACCGCCGCAGCAAGCCATTTTGTCTAAGTTTGAATGGGAATGGGGAAAAGGTGGTAGCGGTTGAGCGAAAGTGCAAGTGTATACACAAGGAAGAGTCTTTGGGGACAGAGAGTGTTGAAGCTCTGAAAGGAAAGTGACTAGGTGGTGGGGGAGCAATCAGGCCGGAGAAGGAAGCTCTGTGCTCATCTTTATAGTACGAGGGGTTGTACAGGGTGTCCCGTATGTCCCGAGCGGGCCACGCCGCAATGCCTCGCTGGAATCCGGCTGGGAAAGCGAAGAAGTGGAGGAGCTGGGAGAGGGGGAATGGATGCTAGAAAGTGTATGCGATTCTGTGAGGCTTCATTAGGCACTTTGTCAGTGACGGATCCCTACCTTTAGCTCTAGGTGGGATGTGTAAGCCGGTGTTCGCGTAGGGCAAGCGCCTCCGTGCTTCTCATTTGTGGACCGGCACGTTGAGGCTCTGGCTGCGAACTAGGGTGCTAGGGCGGGGACGGGCGACATCGATGCAAGACAGCGTCGGGAGGAAGGATACCTTCAAGGGAGAAGGCACATGAACGGAGTCCGGGCACTTGAGCACGGTCAAGGGCAAAGCGAAGGGTGTATGAGCACATGGGCAGAGGGGATATGGATCGCCCAGAGCGTGAGTGGGAGTGGAGTGGCTTCGATGGCGAATACGAGGATGTTTGGAAGAACTGGCGGACGGCTGTCGAATAGGGCCGTGCACAGGGCAGCGAGCAAGAGGACCCTTGGTCTGGAGAAGGATGGATGATCCAGCTCACGTTGCGGCTCGGCAGGAAAGGGAGGAGGAGGAGGGGGAGGAGGAGTCGTAGCCATCAGATCAGTATGTTTCGACGTATGAGCGAGAGCAGAGGCGCAAGAAGAGAGGGAGCGCCAGGGCTGTCGCCCCTGCGAGAACTTATTCAACGTGCTGCAGTGCTTACCCAAAGACGCGATCTTGTGCGCTTGTGGTTGGTAACAGCCGGGGTCGCCTAGCCAATACGCTACGCACATGTGCCTGACGAGTCGTCAACCTCATTGTGCCACAGGTCGAACATAATGAGGTTGCCTTCCTTCGTACTTGCCTTAAGGCGATATCGAAGACCAGGTCGCAAGAGTCAAGTCGGTCGCCCTCTCAATGTGCACCAAAAATCTTGGTCCGACTGAGCAGTGTACTTACTAACACTTACGGCCAGGTGGCGGAGCGCAGAGTGCCAGAACGCCAGCGCTGTTCTGCTATGGTAAGGGTCAGGGGCGGAGACGTACGTTGCGATCCTAGACGAGATCTCGGCAATTGAGGAATAGTAGCATCACATCACTCAGGCCGGCAGCGGGCGAATTCAGGGTCCTTGTCATAAAGGCGATCCACATGAGCAGCGCAGACCGGAGGATCTGTACGTCTGCAAGGCGCAGCATCGCGGTCCGATTATCGTCAGTAAATTTTCGGTGGCGTTCAGGACAGTTCGAGTCGTTCGCACCGACAAGTGGTTGTCGAGTGGAGTAGAAAGCACTTCTGTAAGCCGATGCTCGAGATTATGGAGTCAACGACCGTGACAAGTGAGAGTGCGAGCTTTCGGAGATTGTTTACGGCTTGCAATAGCAGCCACAACTGCCGCCAGAAAGGCCGAACCGGGAACGACAAAGGGCGTCCATTGTGCTTCCGCAGACCCGTCGCCGTTGCCTCGAGCACAGCAAATCGGCTGAGTGGAAGATCGACAGGCGGGCAAACAGACAGACAGCTGGCAAGATTCGCCGTTGAGGGTCAACAGCCACTGTCGATCTACGATTGCAGCACGCTCACGCAATCAAGCTGGAGCAGGCACAGCGTCCGTGTTGCTCGTCGCTCCGTTCGCCCGTCTTCGTTTCACCGTTGAATAAAATCTTTTCGATTAATGTTCATACTGCAGTAACACTGCACGGTAGGATTTGATGACAGAAAATGAAAATTTAGGATGAATTTACGCCGCAATTTTGGACACGGGGCCTTTCACTCGAAACATGTCCGTCGTTGACCAACCTGTCCGTGCTTGTATTAATAATATTATACCTGTGTCTAGGTTTGACATCGAGAGACTCAAACTGGACGGCGGTCTGTGATTGTGCTTAGAATGTGTGCGATTCCTCCTCTGGCTGGCTAGGTCGAAGCATTCACAGTCCGAAGGTCCGTTTGCTGAGGTCACGGGGTCAGTTCGAAGCCGAAAGCTGGAGAGAGAACCTCAAACGATGCACAGCAACGGCGATGTCGCCGTAGACCGCGGGGCACTTGCACTGCCTCGGACAGGATCAGAAGAACACATGACCGACTTTCTCACGTCCACACCTCTTCGTCTAGCCTCAGACGACGCTTCTTACCTGGCGTGTGCGGGGGCGACATGATTCTTCCGTTGCAACATGATCGCGAAACAAAAAAACCGACCAATACCGTACAACGCACGGTCAGGGTCCATGTCGAGGACGCGTGCAGATTCGGTGCATCGTGCTTGCATCATCGAGCATTGAGCGAAGCCTCAGCGAGTCTCCGTTTCCGACTACGCCTGCCTCCCGTCTCGCAGGTGTGTGCTCCACCCGCGTCTCAGTTGTGATTCTTTGGAGAGTAAGAAGGGAAAAGAAGGCGGAGGGAGACTCAGCTGCTCACGCCAAGTATAATCACAAAGTGTGCCAAGGCTTCATCCCGCGAGTCCGTGCGCGCGAATGTTCGGGTCAATGTCCGCCACCATGAATAGCCCGCGCTCGTCGAAAGGTCAACTCAAGACCTCTTCGAAATGCTCCAGGCTTATAGCAAAAGCTGCTCCAGCATACCGCGGCCGGTTACACAGTGCAAAGCACGCCATGCAGATGCTACCCGCTACCGAGCCGTGATTACTGCATCAATTGCAGAACCGCTTGTTGGATGACAGCAACATATCGCCAACTTGACCCGACAAAACGACATGCACCGTGCACAAACCCTCTACGAGTGATCTACACGGAAGCAATGGAACGAGCGCCATACGACATCAGAGCTGCAACAAGGCTCGCACTGCCTCGCTCGTCGGCACAGCGGATCGACAGAGGATCTATTCGTGAATCAGCCTTGCAGCATGTTAGACCAAACTTGGTGTAGCGAGGTCGAGCCGAATCTGCCACAAAGCAAGGTACGAAGTGGAGTCGCGGCACCCCAGCGTCGACACGGGCCACACGCCAGCAAGCTGTGGCGCAAGAACACTTGTCCGGCGCCACGATCTGGATTAGGAAAGCATGCAGAAATTGACAGCTGCGACCCCACGTTTTCCGGAACGTTTCTTTTTTGTCGGCTTTTCTTCATGGGCCTTTTTCCCGTTTCCTCATCTGCAACACTCTTCAGCCTCTCTTCATGACATGGCCGTCCCGTCGGATGGCTTTAGGTCGAGTTCTTGCTCCAAATGACCAGTGGAATGATTGCCATCTAGCTCTTCATGGGGGCACCATTGCAACACTCAGTCACAAAAGGACAGAGCTGCCAGAAGATCTCCTTGAGCCACGCTGAACCTGCTCCGGACTCCGCACGACCACTAGCGCCTTCGATGACGGACGAACGACATCTTGGAGCGACTCGCGAACGGATCCTTGACGGCACTTTACGGCACTTCCGGATCTGACACCTCGTTATGCAGGTGACCATCGGAAAGGTCAGCATTCGCCGGACGCGTTCCGTTAGACACGCTAGGTGCAGCAGATTGTTTGTTTCTCGATTTTTCCCATCTGGACCCTGAACAGAAGAAGAGCGGCAATCAATTGAACGGCAGCATCGAGCCCGATGTTCCGCTTTTGCAATTTTGGAGCCATCTTTTTCGGCCCCGTTTCTCCTGTCCTCTTTCCCTTCAAGAAAAGTCCTAGTCACGAACACGATTGGCGACAAAGAATGAAAGATGCTGAACATGTTCGCATTGATAGCGCATCAACGACCTCCACTGCCATTGACAAACTTGTCGACCGTTTCCTTCTGCTTCTTCACGATTTGCAAGGCATAGTCCTTGTCGTACACATCGTACCAGCCAGGCGCCTCGTGCGGAGGATCACCCGCCCACCACATGCCAAACTCATTGGCTTGCTGTGTTTCAGGACGATAGGTACCACCGTAACTCCAGGGACTCGTTCCTACGAAGCCTCCTCTGCTGCTCTTGAAGCTCTCGACGGCGAGCCCGATGATGTGCGAGAAATACTCGTCCTTGCTGTGGGTCGTCGCCTTGGTCGCATATTGATACTCGCCTGCGGTCACGTTGTTCTTCCAGTTGTCGCGAGCCATGCCAAACTCTTCCAGAAACACCGGCTTGCCGATGTCGCCAGCCCACCTCGAGGCATTAGCCATGAAAGCGGCCGCAAACTCCTCGGCCTGTCTCAGGTTGGCTCGCGACGAATTGAGCATGTCGTAGACACCCCAATTCTGGACCCAGACGTGGATGGTGCCGTAGTCGATGTTCTTGGGCCGGTGGACAGCCTTCCAGTACCACTCGCCCTGCTTGCCCTCGAACCCGGTCGAGATGAGCTGATGCGGCGCCAGCGAGCGGATGTAGGTCGAGATGCGGTCGATCCAGGGCAACAGGGGGTCCGAAGGGTTGGGAGCGTACTGCAGCTTGTACGGACCCAACAGATTCTCCTGGTTGGCTGGCTGCGGTTCGTTGGCCAGCTGCCACGTCATTATCGTGGCATCCTCCTTGTAAAGACGGCCGTTGACCGTGTTTCGTCGGTTGATCACCTTGTTGATGTGTCTCTTGAACATAGCTTCTGCCTTTGCATCGGTGTAGATGCGATTGCCATAGTCGACGTAGTCGTTAAAGCTGCCGGTGGTAGTGTAGTTGCCCCATCCCCTCCCCGGCGGGCCCTTTCGCTGCGGAGGAGCGGTAAAGTTCCACGACGGAGGGTAGGCATACGTCTCGTTCCCATTGGCCCAGCTGACGTACTGCGCAAACCCGCCGGACCACTGCCACTGATCGTTGAGCGTCATGGTCGCCCTCATTCCCCGCTGAGCCATCTCAGCCAGACACCTATCCAGGCCCTTGAGGATCTTCTCGTTGTACACGCCGGGCGACGGCTGCAGCGGAGGATTCATACGGAACGGCTGCTGCGTAGGTGCTCCTTCTGAGCCGGCCATGATGCGTAGGTGATTGACGCCCACGGCGGCCATCTGGTCCAATTCGCGGATGAAGCGGTTGTAGTCACCGCCGGCGTCCGAGTCGGCGGCCAGGTTCATGCACGCCCAGTAGTTGAACCCTGTCAGGTAGTAGTTGCGTTTGGACGAGTCGCGAAGACGGAGCTTGTCGACGTGGATGAAGTCGTCGGCAGCTACTGGAGAGGCGACGCGCGGCAAGAGCGTCGAATCGTATCGGATGCTCGCCGGTCCTGCGCGTGCAGTGGTCGCAACGAGGCTCAAAGCCATTGCTGCCAGATAAGTCGTCAGAGAGGGCTTCATGTTGATGGAAGTGTGAGAGTTGGCAACGAAGGTGGGAAGGGAGTCCGATCCTCCGAACCCACCGTGGCTTTTATAGCTTGGCAACTCACAGTCAACCCTCGAATCATGACTGTATGAAGCCTCGTCGCTTGCTTACAAGCTCGACCAAACAATACGCATCGACCACAGTCAGCAACTAGCGACCGCCGAAAGCTTCCCAACTCACCGTCACCTGCCCTTTTACGCGAGGCATTCCAATCCAGCCTTCGGCCAACTTAGCCGCTCGGCCCCCACCCCCCACCGCAACAACAACGGCGATTCACCGTCGTCGTCGACATTCCACCCCATCTTCCACATGCCATCGACGTGGGGATTCTCGAAAACAGAAGATGGCCGAACGCTAGCCACTACCCAACGCACGCTAAAATTGGAATCGCAGGCTCGCTAAAGACACCTCCGCGCAGATTGAGGTCGGTCAAGCATCGAAGCGAAGTCGGCTAAGAGCGATCCAAACTCATTTTTTTTTGCGGGGTTCGGGGGGCGATTCGGCCAAAATTCGCCGACGGACCAAAAGAAAAAGTTTGTCCAGATATTTGCTCTTTCAGCGGTCCGACACGAAGAACGAGATCCTCCGCTGACCTCGAGACGAGAAGAGCGAAGCAATTTACTTGAGCATGCAAGAGATGGATCCATACGAAGCAGCGAGTTCATGGCCAAAATTGGGAGGTTCGCCAATCGACAATTCCAACGTACCGTATCGCTAGCCTTCAGAACTCCAGATGCTCGACTCGCGAATCGACACCGGTGCCTCATCTCGTCACCCCACGAACAGAATGGCTCGACGAAGTGGAGATCATAGGCCGGCCGAATATTGGTCGGATGGCTCAGACGCAACAGCTTTGCGTCGACCATTCTTCGTCATGTGCGGACACGCGCTCACCATGCACTCACACTCGCTCGCACCCATCTCAAATTCAAACCTGTCGAAGCGAAGAGCTGGCATTATACCATTACGCACCGTGCTTCTAGAACTCCCCAATATCATCATCGCTCAAGATCAACTGTTCCTCAACCCCTACCTCCCCGCCTCCATCTGCGACCTTCCTCTTCACCCCACGCTTATCCCCACTCGAAGCCTTCCCCTCCACCGCTTCCCCCTCCTCCTCATCTACAACCCCCGACTCGTGCTCACCCAACATCCTATCCGCCATATCCGCCACTCCCGCATACTCGAACCTCATCCTCGTCACCTCACCCACCTTCCCCTCAAACGCATCTGGCTTGATCTTCGCCAACAGTGGCAGGACCTCCGTAACCAGCGTCACTGTATCGCTACGCATGAGCAACGTATCGATCGAAGCATAGCCCAGACCGGCATCTGATCTGTCCATATCGTCGGTGATGGGGAGTGATACTTGAAACTTGGTGCGTTTCAACCTAGTCACGGTCGAATCCTCTCTTTCGATGCTACCCGTGACCCTGGTGGAGCTCGATTTGACGTCCTCTACATCGTGCATGATGCCACGAAGCTTCTTTTGGACATCCCACCACGTGGCTTTCCCCAGCTTCTGACCTTGCCGCTTGACAGGACTCGGCAAACCCATCAGCGTTCCTTGCACCGAGATCAGAAACCCGTAGTACGCCGACAAGGTGGAAAACCTGTACCCTTCGTGCAAAGGCATCAACACATCCGCCGTACTGAACTCCTCCAGCACACTTTCGCACTCCTCGACTTCGGTCGTGAACTGCGGAAAGTTCTGGTGGAGGTACAACTGGAATATGCTTGCATCGACCGGTAGGTCGGCCCACAGTTGATCTGGGTGCACGCGCGATGTCCGTCGGAAAAGGTGCGATAGGTGATCGGGAAGTGTTTGAACCACTTCATCGTCGTCGTCGGAGGGTGGTATGATGGACCGCATGGCTCGAGTCAGCCGTTCTTGAAGCCGCGTATTTTCGGTATCGGATCTGGCTTCATCGTCTGAATCATCCTCGGTAGCGAATCGAGCATTTCGAGTCTCATCGCCGGCATCACCCTCCCTCTTATTGTACAACACTTTTCCCAACGCATGAAACAAGGCCAACGAACTCTCTCTCCCCGACACCAACGGTATTAACCTCCTCACCCTCCTCCTCCCCTCCTCACCCTTCATCCTCACCCCTTCCCCCACCCCCTTGACCCCTACAAACTGCAAACAATTCACTGCAGCCCTCAAATCACCATTCGAATCCTCAGCGATCGCCTGCAGCAGCTCCAACCACACCTTTCCACCTCTTCCGGACTGCTCCATTGCCCTCTTGAGACCCTTGAGTACGATCGTCGGTGCTACGGGGTTGAACCTCACCTCTGTGTACGCTGGGCTTTTGCGAATCGTTTCACCTAGTGCAGTACGCGTATCCATGATGGAAGCAATCCTGTCCTTCCACGTGGCACCTGCATCTCCTGCCCACCGATCCTGGTCCTCTCTGGGAGTGCTTTCGGTGACGATGAGGATGATGGGAACGTTGGAGAAACCTCGGCTGGTGAGTTGAGTCGATTGCTGGATGTGATGCTGCAACGAGGCTTGAAAGAGCTGTTTTGTGGGAAGGTGGTGTAGATTGGGCAAATCCTCCAGGAGGATCGCTCTGCGTCGATTGGCGGTGTCGAGTGTCGCAGTCGAGCCCTGTGCATCTTCATGTTGGAAGTCCAGTGTGGGGAACTTTGCGGCTTTGGAAAGAAAGTCTGTGAAGCGTTCGGCGAAGCTTGAAGCAGGTGCATTTGCATCGAAAGAAGGTTGGTCGTTTTGCCATTCGAGCAGGTCGAAGTCGAGGTGGGCGGCAAGTGCACGGATGGTAGCTGATTTGCCGGCCCCTGCTGGACCTGTCAATGCGAGCAACTTTCGAGGTCTGAGCAGCGAAGGGTTCGAGGAGAATGCTTCTTCCAACCATGTCCGTACTTGAGTTGCTTTCTTGGGATGAATAGCCAACTCCTCGGCGCTGTTTGGAGCAAGTCGTTCGGACCAGAGTGAATTTGCCTGACTGTACCGGTCCCCATCGTCGAGTTGTGTAGAGAAGTCTTGTTGCTTCTGCTTTCCCGTCGCGATGGTGGATTTCGGAGGCGCTGGCGGAAGTGGTGAGGCCGTACGCTGCTGCCGTTGCGGTGGTGCGGCTGGAGCAGCAGCGGTTGGCAAGCCAAACGAAGGAGTGCTGCTGAGCGGTCTTGATCCAAAAGGACGACTTGAATTCGTCGTCGTCGTCGTCGTCGAGTGAAAGGAAAAGTCAAGCTTGTTCTGTTTGAGCTTGGGCTTGCTGGCGGAGGACGACGAAGAAGAGCTGTTGGATTTGTTGGAGAGGGTCCGTTGAAGTGACGACCTGTTGGATCTAGGCGGCATGCTTTACTGTGCTAGCTGCCTGACCACGTCCGAGGGTGGGACGCCAAGAAAGCGATGTCGATCCCTCTCTAGCCCTTGTTTCCTCGTCACACTCGATGATGATGGTGATGATGCAAGAAAGGTGGGGACGGAAGACCCTTTGATGAACACCGAAGTGGAGCAAATGAAAATGGCTTAGTCGGCCGGTTCGCTCTGTGGTTATTTGGTGTTGGTCTCTTTCGGACAAGCCGAGACGCGATAGGCAAGTGTTGTTCTTGGAGCGAAATTCTAAGGCAGCAGCGCGCAGCATTTACCATTTTGGTCAAAAAGTAGCCCACACTCAGCTGCCGCCCACACCTCACAAAGCTTGGACCACATCTCAGCCACACTCTGTGACCTACCTACCATATTCTAAATTTTTATTCTGATTTTTTTCTTCTTCTCGCGCTGCACCCGCATCCTCGAGCACACGTCGATTGTTCCGCAACTCGTTCCCTCCTTCCTCCTTTGTTCACCACACCGTCCATTCCAGTCACTTTACAAAGTCACACAGCTTTCTCTCTCTTTTGGAGGGAAGATCCGACTCGAAAATGGACGCTCTGGTGCAGGTGTTCTCCCATTCGTTGGATCCTAATCCAAATGCTCGCAAGGCCGCCGAGCTCGAGCTCAAGAAAGTCGAAGCCCACGATGGAATGCTCTCGTCGGTCTTCCAGATCGTATCGTCCGCTCAGGTCGACGCTTCAGTAAGGCAAGCCGCTGCCATCTACTTCAAGAACCGTGTTCGCAGACACTGGGACGCGACTGTCGTCCGTGGTGCTCCCAGTGTCGTCGTCATCCCTCAGAGCGACAGGGATGCGATCAAGGCCATCATCCTCCAGACGCTCGTCGAGGCTCCTGCTCCCATCCGTGTTCACGTTGCAAGTGCGCTGGGTACGATTGCACGATGTGATTTTCCCGATCAGTGGCCACACCTCATGGACCAGATCGGACAGTTGCTCCAGAGTCAGGAGCCGCAGCAGGTGTACGGAGGTCTCAGGGCTTTGCTCGAGGTGGTGCGAGCCTACAGGTGGAACAACGGAACAAAGATGATGGAGCAGCTCGCACCCGCCACTCTTCCGCTCATCCTGCAGACCGGAAACAGTCTGCTCAACTCGGACAACGCCTCCTCTGCACAGGTTGGCGAGATCCTCTATGTCATTCTCAAGATCTACAAGACTTCGATGCACGCAGAGCTGACCAAGCATCAGCAGTCTCACGAGTCGATCGTTCCCTGGGGCACGTTCTTGCTGCAAGTGGTTCAGAAGGAGATCGACCCTTCGCAGCTGCCCTCGGACGACGACGGCAGGGAGGTGGCTCCCTGGTGGAAGGCCAAGAAGTGGGCTTTCCACTCGCTCAACAAGCTCTTCTCTCGCTACGGAAACCCATCTCAGCTTCCCTCGGACATGAAGAACTACAAGCCTTTCGCAGAAAACTTTGTTCAGACCTTCGCTCCGGAGATCTTGAAAGTCTACCTTCGCATCGCCGATGCCAACAGCCAAGGATCGATGTGGATCTCGAAGAAGGCCTTCTACTTCCTCTGCATGTTCTTCACCGAATGCGTCAAGCCCAAGTCCACATGGGCGCTTCTCAAGCCGCACGTTCTCCAGCTCACCCAGTCGTTCATCTTCCCGCGCCTCTGCTTCAGCGACGAGGATGACGAACTGTGGGAGCTCGACGCTGTCGACTTTGTGCGTGCTAACCTCGACCCTTTCGAGGAGATCGGATCGGTCTCCGGATCGGCTGCCACTTTTGTCCAGACGGTTGCGTCGAAGCGTACAAAGAGCGCCTTTATGCCGCTGCTCGAATTTGTCACCTCGGTGGTCAACGCCTACCCCGCCCAGAGAAGTGCAAAGGAGAAGGACGGCGCCTTCCACCTCTGCCGCGCCATGGATCTGACCATGGTCAACCACGAAAAGGTCTCGGGGATGCTCGACTCGTTCTTCGCCCAGCACGTCGTTCCCGAGATGAAGAGCGAGCACAAGTTCCTGCGGTATCGCGCGTGCGATCTGGTCAAGGCCTTCGATCACAACGGTATGCAGTGGAGCGACAATGCTACGCTCGAGGCGGTGTTCAGGGGTGTGATGGACTGCATCGGGGATGCAGAGTTGCCCGTGAGGGTGGTCGCGGCCGAGGCGATCGGGTCGCTGATTGACCATGACGAGGTGCACGCTGCTATGGCGCCAAACGCGGCTAGGTTGATGCAGGAATTGCTCAAGTTGAGCGACGAGACGGATCTCGACATCTTGTCGCCGACCAAGTCCAAGGTGGTGGCCAACTTTGGCGAGGAGCTTTTGCCGTTCTCGATCCAGCTGACCGAGCAGATGGCCGAGTCGTACATGCGTCTGGTCAACGAGAACCTCGAAAGCGCCGAACGCGATCCGGACGGGACCATGGAGCTCAACATCGACAACCACGAGGACGACAAGCTGTTCGCCGCCATGGGCTGCCTCAACACCATCTTCCAGATCATCGCTTCAGCCGAATCCAAACCCGAGATCCTCGAGAAGCTCGAAGCCGTCGTCCTGCCCATCGTTGCATTCACGCTGGAAAAGGACTGCGTGGAACTCTTCGACGACTGTCTCGAACTCACCGACACGCTGACCTACTACCAGAAGAAGGTCAGTCCAGGCATGTGGCACATCTTCACGCTCATCTACAAGTCATTCAAGGGCGCCGGTATCGACTACCTGTCCGAGATGCTACCCACCATCGACAACTGCGTCTCGTACGGCGTCGAGGTGGTCCAGCAGAGTCAGGAGTACAAGTCGATGCTGGTGGACATCTTCCTCACGGCGATGACGTCGGATCAGTTGGGCATGACGGACCAGGTGGCGGCGTGCAAGTTGGCAGATGTGATTCTGCTGCTCTTGCGGGGAGGCGTGGACGAAGCGCTGGAGAGAATCGTGGAGGTGGTGCTGCCGCATACGGTGGACGAGGAGAAGGTCAAGGCGGATGTAAGGAAATGGTCGGTGATCGTTGTGCTGGATGCGTTGGTGTACAACGCGGGAGCGACGCTGCAGGTGCTCGAAGCGAAGGGTGCCACCGCGGCGTTGTTCGGAGCGATCACGAGCTTGCTGCCAAAGCTCAACAGGGTCCACGAGAAGAAGGTCGCGGCTTCGGCCATCATCCAATTGCTGGCGTTGGAACCGGCATCGCTTCCGGCTGCGTTGCAGAACAACCTGCCTGCGTTTTTGGTCGCACTGGCAACACAGCTGGATGGACTTCCCGAAGCGATCAAGAAACGCAACGAACTGCTGGAAGCCTTCGAAAACGACGAGGACGAGGAGGAAGAGGACGAGACGTCGTTCGCGTTCTCAGCTGGAGGCGGTGGGGATGCCTCTGGTTACGAAGACGTGGACGACGACAGGGATGTAGTGGACGAAGACAACGAGTACCTGGAGATGTTTGCACGCGAGAGGGCAAAGTTGCGGGCGAGGGCGAACGGGGAGGAGGTGGAAGACGATGAGGATGAGGAGGACGACTTTTTGGAGGAGGACGATGAGGATGACGAGCTGAGCTACGAGAGTCCGATGGACGCGGTGCCGGTCTTCGAGCAGTTCAGGCAGCTGCTGGCGAGCTACCAGAGCGAGAGGCCGGATGTGTGGGCCAGGATCGCGGGTGAACTGACGAAGGATCAGATGACGTTGATCCAGCAGGCTGCAGAGGGCAAGGATGAGAGGGTCAAGACGTTGTGAGACCGCAGCGCAGACAAGGTTTTGTTTAGAGATGAATGTAATGTGGCATGATAAGTTACGCTGAGAATCGATGCTGGTCGGATGTGGATCGAGTTGACATGTGGGGGATGTGCGTGTGGGCGTGGGTGGTCCAGTAAGCGGAACGGACTTTTAAGTGGAAGGCTGACCGTCGGTGGCTAGCAACTGCACCAACTCGACCTGCCGCTCATCTCCCCATCTGAACGCCAGCCCATCTTGACCTGTATCTTCGCCGTTGACCAAGCCTCTCAACGAGATATCGTAGACGATCTCCTCGATCTTCTTCACGTCGTACTGTTTTCGGCGCTCAAGAGAATGTGTTTTGTCAGCCATGTTACTTTTGTCTTTTTTCCTCGGCGTGTGTGTGTGGGGGGTAAGAAACACATACCTTTAGACTGTCAAACCGTTTTCTGAGACTATCATTTTTAAGATTCAGGAGCTGGAAACCGCCATGGACCTCTTTTACGAATCTGGCTAGTCTGACGGGGGTTCGGAAGTCACCGCCGGTGACGCTGTTGACGGCCAACCTAGGCAGTTCGTTGATGGCGTTGATTAGTCCATGCAGATAATCCTCCGTGACGAGCTGAATCTTTCCTTCCTCGTACCTATCCAATCCCATGACTTTGCCTACTTGAGCCTTCGTGACCAATCCGCCCGATCCGAGCAGCACGATCAACGCGATCAACGAGGTCAAGTTCTTCAACGGATACGAGAAATCGTCGCACCAGCGATAGAACGAATCCTCCGGTAGCAGCGTTGCCAGCTCAGCTATCGACGATCGAACTGTCGTCCACAGCGGCAGCGTTCGAGCGACGATTCCAGCGAACTGGTCAGGTGAGGATGCAGAGTGGACAGAATTGAGTTGAGCGGAGAGCGAGCGGTAGAGTCGATCGAGGTCTTTGGATTTTTCCCGCAAAGTGTCGGAGAGGAGACGTTCGGTTTCGAGCTGCTGGAAGAGCGGTTCGAACTCGGAGATGATCATTGAAGCGGGTAAGGATGATGAGGACGACATGATATAGGGATAGAGGGTGAGGATGAGAGTCGACGATGGGTTTCGAGGAGAGGGAGGAGCAAGTGCAATGCAAGCATTAAGGTTTGTGTTTGCTCTTGACAGAGCTGCCCTGAACCGGCCAATTTTTCTTCTTGTCGACGTGCATTCACTTCTGACGCCAAAAAGGTGGAGGTTAAGGAAGTTGTATTATGTAATCATTATAGGCCCAAGTTGTTCGGGGTGCAGAGGAATTTTTGAAAATTTCCCGTTTGCTTCGCTGTTGCAGGGTCACGAAACACATTTTCTTCTCGACTGGCGGCGCACACCAGACCCTTGCTTTCCACCTCCCTCCCTCCCTTCTCGTTCTCCGCATCCCTGCCTCATCGATCGCATCGTCCCTATCTCCCATCGGTGCATCCGACGCACTCCTCTCGGTTCACTCAGCCATGCCGACCAAGACCAAATCCACCGCTTCCGTCTCCGCAGCTGCGGCGGAGAAACCCATCATCGCCACCCCTTCCTCCTCCCAAATCGGCGTCTCCAACTCCAACCTCGACCCCACGCAGGTCCTCAAAGCCTTCCGCGCACTCTCGGCCCACATCGCTCGTCGATCCAAAACCTCTTCCACGGATCTTCCGCTCGACGGTCCTTCCGGTTCGCTTCGCGATCCGTCCAACACAGTGTACCTTCAACTGACCCTTTCGCACCTCAGTCCGACATCGCACGTCAAACCGGTGCGGATCAACCTCCCGCACGCGCTGCACACTCCGGGGGACGTGTCCGTTTGTTTGTTGGTGAAGGATCCGCAGAGGGAGTACAAGGATCTGCTGGTGGAGAGGGGGATCAAGTCCATCTCGAGGGTTGTCGGTGTGACCAAGTTGAAGGGCAAATTCAAGCCGTTCGATGCACGTCGGGCGTTGGTCCAAGATCATGATCTGTTCCTGGCCGATTCTCGCATCATTCCGACGCTACCGAACCTCTGCGGCAAAGTGTTCTTCGATGCCAAAAAACACCCTATCACGGTCAACTTGACCAAGAAAGGGTTGGAGGAAGAACTCGATTCCGCCATGTCCGCGACCACTTTCCTCCAAAACAAAGGCTCCTGCACAACGATCAAGATCGGTTACATGGCCAAACACTCGCCCGAAGAACTCACGGAAAACCTACTCGCTGTCATCCCCGCCGTCCTGAGTAGGGTCAAAGGTGGATGGGAGAACGTCAACAACATCGACGTCAAGACGGGCAACAGCGCCGCCCTCCCCGTGTGGAACAAAAAACTCGGTGTAAAGACACACGTCACCCCTTCTGAACCCCCAAAGGTGGAAGAAGCTACACCGACCAAGACAAGCAGTCCGGTGAAAAAGGTACAGGTGGCGGAGGAGGAGGAGAAGACTGCCAGTCCTAGTCCGAGGAAAACCCGTGCTACCGCGGCGATCAAGAAGGCAGGTGCAAAGGTCAAGCAGCAGGACGCTGCTACACCCACCAAAAGCACGCCGAAGAAATCCACCTCTAGCACCACAAGAAGCACCAGAAAGCTCAAGTAGATCGCAACTTCCCGTCCCCCCTCATGTACATAGTGTCAACGTTCCAACTCTGCTTCCCAGTTCTGCAATTACCAGCTTCAATTCCAACCCCGTCCCTCCGATTGATCTTCCAAACCCCCGCGAAAAAGTCTCCCTGAGCCCCTCCCTGTAACCTCTCCCTCCCTCTCTCATCGCGTGAGCAAGACACGTCAAAACTCTCACATCTCCGACACACACAAATCTCCACAAACTGCAGAGTGTGGAAAAACACCAATCATTATGAACAAGCAAAACAAAAAGTCATATCAAGGTCTGGTGCTCGAAATTTTTCGATCATAGCATGTCCTCGAACGCTCCCGAGCCAGCTTTCCAGATCAGCCGGTCTGCCGGGTAACAACAGCCGACCTCGTAGATCCGTAAAACCACCTGAGCGATCAGGGCGTTCAGCTGGCTGGCCCTCCTTCAAAACATGACGTACGTGATAGCGAATACGGCAAACGCAATAGCAGCGACAATGTGCACGGGAACACCCTCAGCAGAGGCGGTTTGCACGTTGCCAGACGACGAGCGTTTGGCAGCATCGAGCTCCTTTCTGAGCCGGGCCACCTCGGCCTGCAGTTCCGAGCTGGAGAGGTTCGAGGTGTCCTTGTTGGCAGCCGAAGCGCCCGACGTGGCACCGTTGACGACGCCCGATCCGGCGTTTCGCGTAGCCACCGCGGCTGCACCGACACCGGCAGCAGCAGCACCGCCAGCCGCATACAGAGCCTCCTTGGCCTTGACGGCCGACGAGCCGTCGGTGTTCGCCGAAGCGTTCTGGGCGGCAGCGATGGGGTTGTACGTCTGCGAAGAGTAGCTGTCGTCGCCGTTGAACTTGCTCGGTGTTCCTCGCACCGTGCTGTATCGCTCGTCGCCGTTGGCCTGGCTAGTGTTGCCCTCGTCCTCCTCGGCGAGCGGAGCGGTGGTAGCGGGGAGGTATGCGCATCGGATCTTTTGCTCGTGGATCGCCGACTTGTTCTCCTTTTCGATCGTAGGCCAGATCTCCTGGAGCGAGGCCGTCTCAAAGTCCGGAGTGATGATGGTTGACTGCACAAGGAACTTGTCTCGGCACTTGGCGGATGAGGGAGGCTCCTCCTTCATGGGCTGAAGGAGGACTTGCACCTCTACCTTCTCGCCCGGCTCGATACGACCCGAGTTGGGACGCACGCAGTACTGCTTGGGTGCGGTGGTCTTGACCTTGAAGGCAACGGGCTGGTTGTTGGGGTTCGAGACCGTCAGGGTGCGCTTCACCAGCTGGGTGAGAGGGCCTGTTTCGCGGGTGCAGTGCGAAATATGCAAAGGAAACACACAGCGAGGTCAGCAAACGTCACGACAGATGCATAGAGCGCATGCTCAAAAAGCACTTACGAGGAAAGCCGAGCTGAACGTGGGGACTAAGTCTGTGTAGAGGAAGAGAGACGAGGGGAATCAGAAAAGGCGGAAATCGTCAGCAAGTCTGTAGTTTTGCACCAAGCGTCGATGAATACGATCTGCCGCTGTCACAGGTGCTTTCTCGTGACAGCAACACCGGCTCGCCCAGTCCTGGCTGCGCAGCACCGCAATCGGTCTTGGAAGACTGATTCTGTACGCCATCGCAACATGCGTGTCGTGACAGCCTTGATCGATTTCGGCTCGACGGAAGGCGTTCCAGGAGATGTGATACGTACTCGACGGACATGTTGGGCGATCGATGCTTCTGAGCTTTTGAGCTTTTGCGGGTAGCCGGGGTACGAAGAGAAGAAGAGCCGCGTGGACGCCGTTCTAGCTTGAGAGCCAATGAAATAGAAGCTGGTTGGACAAGATTCGTCTGCTTTCAATCGTTGGAGGAGGAAAAGTGCGAACCAGAGTCAAGGTTCGAGACTGTACGACAGCGTTTTGAGGTCACCGCCGTTGGTTCGGAGGGATGCCGAGAAGTTGCGACGACCGTTGAGGACGAGCAGTGCAGGGTTTGCTTAGGATCGAACCACGGTCGAGGCTAAGCGGACGATGTGTGAGGATGGTGATGAGGTGAGGTGCACGATGTGGTGGGGCACGGGCAAGATCGACTTGAGATGACGACTGAGTGTGAGAGTGCGGGGGAAGATTTGGAGCAGGCGGTGACGGGGCTGTCCTGTCCTGTGCTGGTGGAGACTGACTCTGACGTCGAGAGAGGACACAAAAGAGAGAGCGAGAGAGCGAGGAGAGTATGCGGCTCAGCGAGCCGTCACTGTGCCATCTTGGACTTTGGCTCAAGCTCAAGTCAGACCGAAGAAGCGCGGCAGCGGCTCTGTTTCACAAAAGGCATCACAAGCACAAGCACAGGCACGACCAAAGAAATAAATGACGCTCGTCCAGGCTCCACGCTGCAGATTTTGTATTCGCCTTCCACATGTCACTGCTTTGAATCAAATAGAGCCGCTCTGCTGCCTTTGACAAATTGACAGGGCGGAAATAAGGAGGATAAATTGATTTGCCTCCTCCACCAGCACCTTCTTTCGTTTCGAGTTTGAAATGCGCCCTCGCTTAGGCAGCTGTGTGGTTCAAGGTCAGTTGGGCCTTTCTTTGCAGCTTTTCTGCGTGGGAGCACGGCCAATCCAATAGTTGGCCCGAGCCACACACACTATGGCCTGGTTCTGAGACATGAAGCTTCTTCTTGCCTATCTCCTCAGCCCGAGTTGAAGTTTTCGGGTTCGCGTCGCTTCAGTTCGAGCTGCATTCCTCCGCCTTCAGCCCAGCCCTTCGTTCCGTTCGGATGACGCAAGTCGAGCTTCCAAGGTTAGACCGTGGACGCGTGAAAGTGACGCTTTTGAGCCCGATGGTGCGAATCGTGGCATGCAATCGAGATACATCGCTGGTGCAACGCAATCACACACTGACCTTCTAAGCCACTCTTCATGTCACACCACGCCACATTTCACAAGTGACTAGCAGCGAGAGCACAGGGAAAGCCGCTGTTGCTGCCAGGATCGTGACTGGAATGGCAGAAAAGGCGATTGATCGAAGAAAGATAGACCACCGTATCATTGTCACTGCATCGAATACTACAGACCCTGTCGAATCACGACGACTTGAACTTGGAGCTGCCATCGGCATTAACATACTTGCTAAATGCTGCTTTCCAAGCTTCCTGACCATTGTTCTCGATAATATCGCCGTGCAGCATGATGATGCGTCGGAAGTCCCACTGAGCCACCGTCGACGCCGCATCGGCAAAGTTCTTCTTCCTCTCCTCCGTAGATCCACCCTTGGCTACACCGGGGATGCCATTCGCGATACCCGCTGTGCCCAGGAAGGTCTTGTGGAAGGCGGCATAAGGGTTGAACAGCTTTGAGAACCAGATGATGCCTGGAATCCACGACGTTGCTTTGCCCGACGGTGTGTTGCGGTACTGCTGGTTGCACGGCAGGTTGAACAGCAGATCCGCTGTGATGAGCGTCTTGCTGTCCTTGTGCAGAAATGCGACGTCCCTGTTGGCGAACGTGGGGAAGTACTGCGGCACCAGCTCCGATTCGTAGCCGTACTGGGTGGTGGGCGGATCCTTGCCGTAGATGCCGGTGAATTTGACATCGGGTCGCTTCTCCTCGTGACCTTCGGTGCCTACCACCTTGGCAGATGGATAAGCCGCGTGGAAGTCTTTGAGAAACAAGTGATGCACGTTATCCGGCGCGACGAGGTAAGCCACCTCGCCCAGGGCGTCGATCTTGGCCTTGGTGGGCTGGTCCAGAGGCGTAGAGGGGACGATCCACAGTCGACCGTCGCGCATCTTAATGGCGATGCTGCGACCTCCGATAGGCAGGATGCCGAAGCGACTGAAGGGGTAGTCGAATGTGGTGATTTCGGGCGTCACCTCCTGGATGTAGACGGGCGTCTTGGTGGGCTCGGTACCCGATGGACCGGGCTTGTTTGATGATGCCATGGTGTCGATGCTGCAGCCGCACTTGGACGAAAGCGATCTGGTGGTCGACGATGACGAGGCGACGGAAAACGAGTTCGCTGGCTTGAGGTTAGCTGTGCGATCAAGACGAAAGGCGAGGTTCGATGAGCCAACGCCAGATGACAAGAGATCGGGTCGCGCGGGTGAAAGTGCTCTTGAACGACCAATACGAGTGGACACGGAGAGTAGGGAGACTGCCGTTGGCTTCATGCAAGTGTGGGGCGATGGGAGGTATATGATGGTTGACAAGACAGCCCCGCTTCTGATATGAGAGAGCAGCTGCACTTTTGTGAACCAGCTCGTCGAAGGCTTAACCGTGTGGGAGCTGGGACGCAGGAAAGGAAGCGGATCGGCGAGCTTTGTGACCGAGAACCTTCCTGAGCGGCAGACGACATCCGAAGGCGCAGTTGCAACAAGCTCGCGTATAATCTCGAAGCTCGCATAGGCGATGTCGTGTTCGAGTGGAGGAATGGCACACATCACAGCGCCTCTCTGTGACTCTCTCTCGTGCTTCGGCTATCAATCCAACAAAAAAAAAACGAAAAAACCAGGCACGCCGCTTCTTTCATCATCACCGTCACACAGAGCCGCCGATTGCTCTGCATTTGTTTGTCGGAGTTGCTATCTTGCAGCCAATGACCTTCGCAGCGTCGGGAGATCGACATGCTTGACCTTGACACTTCAGACAGTTGACTCGATCTTGCTGTGTCATTCGCTCGGACATATCGAAGCAATCCTCCAGGAGAGGCTTCATCGGCCGTTTCGAAGTTCAACCCTGCGATTGCGTCCTCCAAGGCTGTGTGACGAGTCGCGACAGATAGGGTTCGCGCAGCGATTCGACGCCCAAACCATTTCGCTTATGCACACTCGCCGAAATTCAGCAGAGCTCCAACAGTAGGAAGAAGTGAAAATCAGGTCATTTCTTCGCATTGCCTTCCGACCCCGAAGCGGTCGGTATCACCGGAAGATGATGCCGGGGGAGCGTTTCCACATATCATTCGAGATCCTTGCATTCGGAAAAAGCCCTTGAAGGCAGCAGTCCTTGTTTGAAAAGAACGGCTCGATCGGCCCGAGTTGGGAGCCGGGTTTGACTGAGTCTGCGTAGGCGCGACAGTCAATCTCTAGCAGGTAAGATCGATGTCACGCACCAGACATCCCGATCTTCTTCCGTAACAAGTGTTCTATCAATATCGCCACGATTGCGAAGGATTAACGCCGATTTCCTCTCACGAACGGGTGTACCAACAAATCGCATGCCACATGGAAAGCTGCCGATCCGAGGCAGAAGACAAGGGTGAGCTAAGGCTGCATGCAGCTTGACAGGGTCCAATCGTGTTCACGTTGGAAGGAGCTCACCGCTTCCACCTCCGCAGACAAGTTCTTCCGCAGCTCTGCTCAGGGATTGCGTCCAGTCAGCCCAATATCGGCGGATCAGCCGACGGCAGCGACAGCTTCTCTGATGTGATCTCGTGTGGTACAGAGCGTCGTGGATGCGAGTCGGGAAGGTCCCGAAAAACCTACGGAAGCATTTTGTCTTTGGATCTGATCCAGTCGCTTGCTCCACATGCGATTTTTCCGAACTCCTGGCGTTCTGCAGCTCAGCTGTCAGCGCGCCGTCAGGGTCCTGCCTCTCTCTCACTGTCCAGGCAGATCGGCGTGGCTTTGGTCATCCGGAGGTGCCGACTTCTTCTCGAAGCTGAATCACTCTTTGCATGCAATGATCCTATTGCTCCGTTCTCATCGAATCCACGCAAACGCATTCGCTACAGAAGCAAACTACCTCAGCGCACCTGCTCTTGCTTCCGACGTGACCACCATCTCTAATCGTCGGCCGGTATCCTCCTCCTGTTCGTCTCTCGGCAGCCGCGATGGCGCAACAGCTTCCAAATCGAGTGCAGTCGACACTTTCGACGCTGCTGCTGTTGGGTTTGTCGCTCGTCCTCGCGCCCGTCTCCTTGATCGTTTCGCTCTTGTTCTCCCTCACTCACGCCGGAGCCCACAAGCATGTCCCCAACCAACATCGCTCCCGATCGTCGGGATCATTCGCAAACGGTCACTCTGATGCTCGTCCCACCCAACGTACGGTGTTGGTCAACGGAGCACGCATGCAAAAGTCGCTCGCCATCTGCCGCACATTTGCACGCAACGGCTGGAAAGTCGTTCTCGTCGAAGAGCAAGGTTGGGGGAATCTCGCTGCCACCCGCTTCTCAAACTCCGTTTCCAAGTTCCATCTCCTGCCATCTTCCTCGCTCCCGGCAAGCAAAAACTCGCGTCATCAGGTGACACCGTACATCGAAGCGCTGGTTCGAGTGGCGGTGAGCGAAAAGGCCGACCTATTCTTCCCATGCTCTGGCGCGGGCAGTACGGGTCAAGATGCCATCGCTGCCCAGATCCTGCTCGAAAAGACGCGCGGAAGGGTACGGAGCATGATCCAGCCCCCTCAGCTGGTAGAGGCGCTGCACGAGAAGGATCGCTTCATCTCGCTGCTACAGCGTCTCGAGATGGCAGCTCCACGCAGCGAGATCGTGTTCTCCGTCGACGAGGCCCTTGCAAAGCTGCGAAGCGAAGGATACCCGCGTTCTATTCTCAAATGTGCTGCCGAACTGGACGATATTGGACGGGCGGATATGACGCTTTATCCCTTGCTGGATGCACAGACGGATGAGCCGGACTGGGAACGAACTCGCAAACGTCTTTCCAACCTCTCGATTCCATTGTGTGCGCGAACACCGTACATCCTGCAAGAATTCATCGGAGATCGCACAGACAAGTCTCCACAAGCCCGAGGCGACAAAAAGACGGCAAAGTCTTCGGAATGGTGCACGCACGCCACGGTGGTAGATGGCAAACTGACAGCCTTTGTCTGCTGCCCCAGCAACGACATGCTCATGACCTACTACCCTGCGTCGCACACCATCGTCGGCGAGCTTGCACTACGTTGGACCTCGACGTTCCTGTATCGGCTCGAGAAGCTGGGCTTGTCTCCTTCATCCAAATCCGCGATCCCATTGAGCCCTCTCACGCGAGATACGCAGTGGAACCGTGACACGTTGGTCGGCAAACACGCTCCCCTCGACGCAGGCATCACGGGGCAGTTCAGCATGGATTTCATCTACCAACCTGCCACGTCCGATCAGCCGGAACGACTCGTGGCGATCGAATGCAACCCACGCGTCCACACTGCGATATGCCTGCTCGTCAACAATCCGAGGCTGGGCGAAGCGTTGGTGCCTGCGTCAATGTCCAGGAAGGGCCATGCAGCCTTAGATGCTGTCCGAGTGGAGTCGATGGATGAGATCACCTACCTGTCTAGCCTTTCGCTGCCGGTGATGGAGTCTCCACCAGACGCTCACTTGGCAACCCAGGCCGAGCTGAAAGCGCTCACCTCGCTACCTCCTACATTCGCTTCCTCTCGCGTTCGATTCTACCACGCCAAGAAACTGCTCCAACAAGCCTACTTTTCCGACAGCGCAACCCTGCCGCAGAGCTGGATCGGCCACGACCTGCCTTCCCGCATCCTGACCTCCTCGCGCTGGCTCTCCAATCCCTGGGTGCAGACGATCATGCGATCCATCCATCCATTCTGGACCACATCCACAGCTGCTGACTCGGACGTAATCACCATCCCCAACGCGAGCGGAGGGGTCGAATCCTTCGATCTGTCAGCTTCGGCTCCCCTGCCACCGTTGACAGATCCGAGCTTTGCCAAGGACGATCCTTGGCCGTTCTTCGCGCTGTACCATTTGCAGTGGCCGCAGCTGTTGCTCTGGCAGCTCGTGGTCAGGGGGAAAAAGTGGAGCAGGATCAACGTTTCTACCGCACGCATCTTTGAGTGCTGAAAGGAGAGGTCGTCTACCGAGCAGGCCTCACTGCTTGGTCCTCTCCAAATCGGATCGAAGACCATCACAACCACGCTTCGCTTTATCTTGTGATTCACCAAACCACTCACTTTTTGATACCAAGATCAAATCACCATTGCATTCCATACGCAAACAAACCCACCGTCTACTCGGACTTTCACCTGTCAGACCCCAACTGAGCCAACCCTTGCATCCCCATCCTCTCACCTGCCGAACTCTGGTTGCTCCCCTGTCGACTCTTCCCCCTCCCCTGCTGCTCCTCACCCTGCTGCCACATGCCCCGCACGTACTCCTTTGCCAGCTCCTCTCTCTCCCCCTCCTCCCTCTCCACCTGATACAGTTGCGCCAGCACCTTCCTATAAAACCTCTCCAACTCATCTCTATCCGCACAGAAGGTCGTCAACTCCAACCTGAGCTTGTCCGCGTCAGCCGCCGCAGCAGCCGAGGCTCCCTCCACCGCCTGCTGCTGTCTCGCATTCTGCTGTCTCGGGTTGTGCGAGTGACTGTTGAACAGACGGTTGTTGAGCCAGAGAAAACCGTCGAGACCGCCGAGCACTTGGACGAAAGCGACGCCGGATCGGTGGACGAATTGACTGTACTCAAAGGTGTTGGGTCGACTGCTGTAGGTGATCTCGACGTCCTTGGGATAGCGTGTGCTGGCTTCTTGATCGAGCACGAATCCGAACTTGCGGAGAAGCGCGTATTCGAACCACAGCTCCGGTAGCGTTCCACGCGGCAGGCGGGATCGATAGGTTTCAGGACCGGGCGGCGGGAGCGAAACCTCGATCTGCACGGGTGCTTGGAACGGGTTGTGCAGCGAGACGTCTTTGATCTGACCGATGGGCGCTTCGATGAGACGTAGGCCGTAGCGCTCGAGGGTTCGCGTCCAGGATTGGACGGCGTCCTCGATGAAACGCGCCGAGGTGGAGAGCCAGTGGATCTGGAAGTTGAAGCCGTTGGCAGGGTTGTGGGCGATATCGTGGTGGAGGAAGGCCACTTCGGCGCGGTCGGATCGTCGACCGGGATCGACGTCGATGACGATGCTTCGCGACAGTTGCACCTTTTTCTTCTTCTTCGTGCCAGAAGACATCGTCAGAGAGGGAGGATGGGGATGATGCAACGAAGAGCTACGAGAATGTCCACCAGCAGACGATCGCGAACTCGTCGGTGCAGCAGAGGCCACGTTCTTCTCAGCTCCAACCTCGCCACCAGAGACGCGCCTGGAATCGCTCGGGTTCAACCCAGAATGCTGGGTGGAAGAATGAACCAGCGGTCTCACCGAATCCTTCTCTGCGAACGACCCGCGCTGACTATCCGTGCCCCTGAACCAACCCTTCGGACCCCTCGTACCAGCATACTCGCTCTTGAGCCTGTAAAAGTAGTGTCCATCCAGGAATCCGTGCACCTTGTGCACATGTTCGAACAACCCATCCTCCATCAACCTGATCCCCCATTCCACAGCTTCTTCTCTCGAGCGCACATCCGCATACTCGCTGCACATCCACGAGACCATATCGGCACCCGTGAAGGTGTCCGAATACAACATCCTGTGCCAGATCCTATCGTTGATCACCAGACCTCCGGATCGCATGTCGCGAGCAACCGCGTCGATAGCGCGACCGGTGAGCGCCTTGTGCATGCGCTTCTTTGCCGACGCAGATTGTGCACGCTGCTTCGCGTTCTCCTCCGCGAGCTGCTTCATAAAGTCCTCGTCTTGCAGCGACATGGCGGGATCGAGCGAGGTCGGCAAGAACCTCTGTACGTGCGACTGATCGCGCTCCTCTCTGCTCCTTACGAACTTTGCGCGGTGGAAGAGCTCCGCCAGCTTGTCTGTGCCGATCAACCGGATCTCTTCGTCATCCAGCTCTTCGCCCGTCGGCGCCGTCATCGGCGGGGGCGACCCTTCGCTCGGTACCAACACAAACCTCGTGCGCCAGTACCTCAACGACTCGACAAACTTTTCATCCACGTATCCGGCGATCAACGAGTCCAGGTATGTCCAGTTATAGCTCGCTGAGTCCGGGTAGTTGAACCGCGCCTTGACGGTTTGGTACCCGGGCAGGTGTCGAGGCCAGATGCAGCACTCGTAGTCGATCGGGTCGGTCGAGTAGTCTGTGTTGCGGACGTATCGTTTGACGTTGATAGCATGGGTCGATCGGTCGTAAGAGATGCGGTGGATCTGGTTGGTCACGCTGAGGAAGATTGGATTGCCCGTCGCCAAGTTTCCAGGCTGAAGCAGTTCGGACGGCCATCGTAATGTAAAGTGCTTGGGGTCGACGAGCTTGCGACTCGACACGGCTCGCGTTTGCTTGCTAGCAGGAACGATGAACTGGTAGCCCTGCGCCAGTCGGTGAAAGGTCATCTCGCGAAGCACCGCCAGCGCCGGATGTGTAGAACTCGACTTCTTCAGCAAAAACGAAGCCGTCTCTGCCGAGATAGACGTCGTATGAGGGTGCTCGCTCCACATCGCCGCCAAGTCGCTCTCCGTGGGCAGATACAATGTAGTCAGAGGCAGACATGCCGGCGTCGTCATCGATCGCCACTTGACAGCGTGGTGGTTCAAGCGCCTCGGGAACAGATGCTGCCATCGAAGCAGCTGCGACGAAGCACCTTTGAGATTCTTGCTCGGATTCGACGGATTGACCAATGTCTGCTTTTCCACCTGCGCGCGTTGCGCGTATTGCTGCCGAGCTTCTTCTTCCTCCAACTGCTGCTCGTACGCCTCCTGATCGCGGAGGATCTTTTCTTCCGTCTCGAGCTCATGTCGAGAGCGTGGAGTCTGCTGAGCAGGGATCTTGATGGGCGCAGGACTGGACGCCTCGTGCACCGACAGAAGCGAAGAGGTGCGCGACATGCGGCCGGGCATCGGCGGTCGTCGAGCCGGGCTGGAACTCTTGCTCGGCCCACCTGCCTGTTGACGCAGCTGTGCACTCAGCACTTCTTGCATACTGCGTGTGGCGGGCGTCGAGAAGTCTGGGGCTGCTTCATCGTCAACTTCGCCCGAGCGCTCCGAGCTGGCGGAGCGTGATGGCGTCGAGCCGGTCAACGTCTTCCACAGCCAGCTGTAGCCCTTTGCTTTCGACTGCGCTGGCGACCTCAACGCGCCGACACTGTCATCCATTTCGCTTGGCTGCTTTGCACCGGCACCGGAGTCTTCCTCCTTATCAAAGGCGTGCGATGTCGCAGATAGCACGGCGTCCGTCGAGGCGACGATGGCCATGGCCTTGCCGATCGGCTCCATGGGCAAGAAGCCTCGTGAAAACGTGTTGATCGATCTGATCGATCCAGCTCGTGACTTGGGCTTGGTCGTAGATGTCACAATCTGCGATATCGGTCTCGCTAGGGGAGGCCTCGAGGGCGTTTCATCGAGCACCGTGAACCGTGATTTGTTCGGCGATGCAGTCGGCGATGCAGGCGCTGAATCACTTCGGTCAGCCTCGTTTTCGCGGAATGACGCTTCTCGACCTAATCTTGACAATCGCGTCTGCAGAATCGGCGGTCGAGCTGCCCCAGCTTTGCCCGGCGAGATCGAGGACGCAGCCGAATTCGCGTTGGTGCTCGGCAAACCTCCATAACCTGAGCTCGGATTCCGACGCAGACCTGGCCGATCGAAAGGCTTGTGCACATCGCTCGTCGCTGGGCTGCCCGTGGTTGCGTTGGCATTGGCATGTGCACCGGACATCGGCAATCCACGAGGTTTCGGTTTGAGATACGGCGGCACGTCGCGAAACACATCTCCATCGAACCGTTCTCGCGCGATGCGTCTCTGCTGTTTGGGAGAGAGGCCGACGAGAGCAAGATCCGACAGCTCGCTGTTGCGGGGCTCGGAATGAAAGCCCGAGCTCGACGGTCCGACATGTCGAGGGAGATAGAAGGAAGATTGCACCGACGAAGCCTTGTTGACCGTCTTGAGGTCTAGGTACGGGATGGCGATATCCGAGATCTGATTTTCCATGAACCCCATCATCTGGACATCGTACATCTTGCAACGCGGCACGAAACGGTCAGCCCGGAATGGCTTGTCCTGTTGCAGATTGTAGAAGCTGCAATCGATCCAGTGCGGCATGGAATAGAAATCTTCCTCCTCTTCGACCGGCTTCCTGGAATCGAAGTAGAGCGGATCGGGAGGATTGGCAACCGCCATTGCTGTCGCAGCTAAGCGAGAGGAGGAATGACGGGACAGCAGTCCGGCTTGGCCCGGCCTGTGCACCGTCACGCCTGGTCCGACACCAGGTCCTGTGCGACGCTGCGGTCGATTTTGACTGGCAGCTTTGCTCTGCTTGAGCTCGCTCGGATCCGGGTAGTGTGACTTGAAGTGAAACAAGGGCACCGAGTGAAGCGGCATCTTGGTTAGGCAGACAAGATCCAGGCCGGTGCCGTTCTCGATCATACGCTCGGTGGTGATGCGTAGCAGCTTCTTGTCGGCATCGAAGTGACCCGTTCCCGCGGTAACAAACACCATGGATAAACCTGTGCGGTTGAGATCGCGATCGATGTAGTGCTCATCGAAAGGGTTGAGGGCCAAGTTAATGGCTTCGAGCAAGTTGCCTTCGTACGAGTACGAGATGCGGCCCGCCATGTGGACACGATCGCGGATCAAGTCGGCGTGCAGCTCCTCGTGCGAGGCAGCTGGACCAGAGATCGGCCTTCGTATCAAGAGAATGTCGTGCTGGAAGCGGAAGAACTCTTCCTTGAGCGTCGTCATGACCGCGTCCCAGTTACAATTGGATTCTAGGTCGACGACAACCTTGTAGTAGTCGATGTAGTACCGCCCCCTCGCATCCTGCCGAATAGGTCCTTCGAGCATATGGATTTCCGATTCGTCGTAGTGCACGCGAGCGAACAGTATCACGGTCAGGATGTGATTAGTCGGAATCGATCTCCATCGCCTCAAGAGTTCCGGTATGAAACCTTGAAGCGCCTTCTCGTAGTAAATCTCACCATCCTCGTCAAATTCCCACATCTCCCTGGCCAGCTGGATAAATAGGTTGTACTTTGCCGACTCGGAGCGGAAGATGGCTTTGGTGGACGCAGAGACGTAGCCGCTGGTGACCTTTTTCTCCTTGATAAAGATGCGACCGATAGTAGCTCTGACGCTGCCTGCCAGAGTGACCTTCTGACCGCAGTACACGCAGGTATCCTCCAGATTCTGAAACACCCTCCACATCTCGGCTCGACCGACATACTGATCTCGAAAGTAGAGCTCGACATGGTCGATGGTAAAGTCATCCTTGGACACCCTGGAGAGCACAGCTTCGGCACGATTGTAGAATCCATAGTTGTTGGCAATGTTCTTGGAAACGCTGACCTGCAACTGGGGCTGACGTGCGACAAAGTCGGCATCGGCAGTGGCCTGTGCAGCGCGAAAGACAAAAGTCGCCTTGGTGGAGAATTGGCGACTTCGATCCTTCGGACCAAAGGGTATATTGTTGTGTGGCAGTCGGGAGCCTGCTGGCAAGGTGAGCTGTAAAAGGTCGGATTCGGCAACTCGGGGCAGCGAATACTCTGGATTGAGCACGACCTCGTTGCGTGAAAAATTGGGTGGGTCGTGGGTCCATAGCGTGATGGGTCGATCGTTGATCTGCGGACGCTGCTGGCGTGTGGAAGATGAGGAGGAGTGACGACGATCGCTGGCTGAGGAGAAGCGGTCTACGCTGAGCGACGTCGCCCGGCTCGAGGGGTATTGAGGTGCCATTACGAGCAGATGGGAGCAGGCTTCTGCTCACGCTGTTGACCCAGCCTGCGGAAGATTGTTCCTTTGCTCGGAGCTAGCTCGCTCAGCCGAGCAGGAGGGGTGTGCTGTCTGACAGCATGGCACTCCGCGCGAATGGTGAGGAGAGTTGTTCGATGACTGATGCCGAGATGAAGAGCGGTCGAAATGTGCCTGGGATAGTATGCTGCGAATCAAAGGACCACCGACGCCGTTCGGCGATCTTCCGACGATTGGTGGGACCTGCTTGTCTCGGCCCAGCTCGCTTCTGTCCAAGGATCGGCGACTGGCTTCAAGGTGCTACCTCTGCACCGGAAGCTTAATGTCCAAGGGTCGTGGGAAAGTGACTGTGTAGAGTGTGAATCAAAGGTTGAGCATAAAACTGACCAGTGCGAAACGGGGTCCACACCGTGAGCGAGCGGCTGCAGCTTCGGGGGGTCGGAATTTCCGAGCGACTATCGGTGAAAATGCACCCGATGGGCACAAATAGCGGCAAGGTCCCGATTTTTCTCACTTCTGACAGCTCTGTCGCAACACACACACGCGCAGTCTCTCGCGGCGCTCAACTTTATTCTCTGAGGGCAGTGTTGGTCGGCTCGCGAAAAGCGGTGGCATCTTCCTTCCTCTTTGTCTCTCCGTTCCTTGTCACCCTCATCATCGGCATCGCACTTGCTCGCATCGCCAGTCTCGGGCGAACGTTGGCCTCTTCATCATGGCAGTGGCCTATTCGAACGCGAGGTCCTCCACCACCGGGCCACGCCAAGCACCCGGCGCACCAGGCAACTCATCCTCCTCCCCCACCGCCGTCTTCCAACTCCCGCCCAAAGCACGACTCTATCTCCCATCATGGCTGCACTACCTCCTCTCGCGCATTCTCGCCGCCGCTACACGCCTGTCCTTTTCCACCTCGATCCGCGAAAACCTCGATCGCTTCCGCGCATGGTCGCCCGGTAAAGGCGAACGCTTCAAGTATGGCTTCCTGCTCTTCATCGCGCTCTTTTCGCTCTTCGTCATGGAAAGCCCCGCCTTCCCCTACAAGCTCATCATCCCGGCACTGTACACGACCACACTTCTGTTCCCCGTCACTTCGCAGTTCTTTCTGCCGGCTGCACCGATCTTTGCCTGGCTCATCTTGTTCTATTCGTGCAAGTTCATCCCCGCCTCGCTGCGACCTCACATATGGGTGTCCGTGCTGCCGACGCTCGAAACGATCTGGTATGGGGCTAACATATCGGACATCTTGACCCAGTTCGGTCATCCGATCCTCGACATTTTAGCTTGGTTGCCGTACGGCGTGATTCATTTCGCAGCCCCGTTCTTCGTCGCCTCGTTCCTGTTTGTCTTTGCACCACCTTCGTCGGTCAAGGTGTTTGCGCAGGCGTTCGGGTTCATGATGTTGATCGGCGTTATGATTCAGATTGTCTTTCCCTGCGCTCCACCTTGGTACGAGTTGAGGGAAGGTCTGACGCCCGCCAACTACGGCATGCGAGGTTCACCCGCGGGTCTAGCGAGGATCGATGCGCTGTTCCACGGGCACGGATACACGCTCACGTTCACGGGCGCACCGGTCGTCTTTGGTGCTTTCCCATCGTTGCATGCCGGAAACGCGACGATCATGGCGCTCTTCTGCAGCTACTTTTTCCCTCTGAAGCTCAAGTTGGCGAGGGTGAGGCTGGACGCGAGGGTGTTGTATTGGGGCTACTGCTCGGTGTTGTACTGGGCGACGATGTATCTGATGCATCACTATCTGATCGACTTGGTAGCGGGGGCTTGTTTGGCGACCTTCAGCTTCTACTTTTTCCTCACCGACGAGATTCGCGAGGCGATGGAGCAGAACTATCCCTACCGAAATTCGAGCGCTGCTCCGCCGAGTGCAGCGCCGCCTAGCGATCGACCGGATCTAGCTTTCGCATCGACGGGAGCGGGGCAGAACGAGATCGCGTTGGACACGCTGCGCAGCAACGGCGGTGCACCGTACATCGGCGGGCAGGGTGGTGCCGATGGGGATGTGGAGAGTCAAAAGTTGAGGCCAGAGGTGATTTTTTCGATCGACGAGACGGCGGGAGCTGACGCTGGAGATATCGCCGGGTCGAACGCGGACGAGGAGAGGAGGAGGGAGATGGCGGCAAAGATGTTGGCGAGGACAAAGAGTCCGGTGCAGAGGGTGAGGAGCCCTGCGATTGCGAGGGACGACAATGCGTGAAGGTCGGAAGGATGGAAAGAGATGAAGGATACGGAATGGGCTCCATCTGTACAACTAGACTCACCTTTTGCATATACACACACACAAGCATAACAATCTCAGACAGGTTTTCACGCACCCGGCTGCACACCAAAGCGTGCAGATCTGCATCCTCTCTGTTTTGCGTCCAGACCTCTCCCGGCTTACAACAGACGTCTCCAGCAGCGTACTTAGTCGGCGACTGAGGATCGATGCAAACAGCCTGATACTGCCATGGTACCTCGGCTCATTCGTCCTAGCTCAGACCCGCTTCATTCTTCCCGGTTCCGCAGCCCTCAACAGCAACTTCGACCAATTATGGAAACACATCACTTCATCGAATCTCAGACATAATTACACTTGAACCGTTCGGGGAGGATCAAAGATCCACGTCGAAAGCGTCGGACCTCCAACCGCTGTCGTACCTCTCCTTTCTCTCCTGCTTCTTGGCCTCGGCGGTCAGCTTATCCGCCTCCTGCTTGACCTTTCCACCCTTACCCCTGGCTTCGCCCTCGAGACCCTTGACGCCCTGTCTGACCTGCTGGACCGCCTCGTTGGCGCCCTCCCTCAGCTCCTGTGCGCCCTCCTGCACCTGCTGGACACCCTGTCTGACCGACTCCTCGATCGACTGGTATCTCTCCATCTGCTCCTTGGCATACCTGAACGGCCCTCCCTTACCGGGCAGGAGCTGCTTCGAGTAGCTCGCACCGATGGCCAGCTTGAACTCGTCGTTGGCTCCTTCCACCCTCCATCCCTCGGCCAGACCGACTTGGCTCTTGGCGTGCTTGCTCTTGCTGCCGTACGGCTCGAATGCGTCTGTGTCCGGGGCAAAGATCGCCTTGAGGTAGGCTTTGGTAGAAATACCGCTGCCGTTTTGGATGGCGGTCTTGCTGTAGCTGTTGATGACCTTGGCACGCTGCTGAGCGGCCCAGAGGGAACGGTCTTGGTTCTGAAGGTAGTTCTTGATGTTCTCCTCCAGAAGCTGTTGGAAGACGCGCTTGAGAACGGGTCGGACGAAGGGCATGAGGAAAAAGTTGAGGAACCAGTGCTTGGTCTGTCGCACTTTCACCTTGAAGCTCGACATGTCGACGCGAACACCGCGGACCTTGTAGAACGACTCGTCATCGTCGTCGTCAGCGTTCTCGAGCTTGACGACGAAGCTCGTTCCGTCTTTGCCGCCGAGATCGAGGTCGAGGAATCCGTAGTCCTCCCATCCCATCCACCCGGTCTTCTTGTTGATGTAGTAGGCTACGTCGGCAGCCTTGACGCGAAGACCTTCGATCTCGAGGTAGAGGTAGGCGTCAAAGTTGCTGCCGAACGAAGAGCGACGCTGGTCGAGGGTCAGATCGTTTCGGTTGATGATGCGGACACGATCGGGTACGAAGGATGCGGTGGAGGCGGTGAGCGAGAGATCGTCGATGACGACATCCGCCTCTCTCGAGATGTACTCGATCCTGGGGAACGGGATGGAGCGGATCTCGTTGATCAGACGAGGGATGAACACTTCGACCGTGTCGCGCACCAAACCGCCAGCCTGGTTGCGCAGATCGTTGAACAGGTTGAGCACGCCTTGGCCAGGACCGTTGGCAAAGATGCGTTCAAAGTCGATAAAGTTGACGTCGGAAGCGAGCTTCTCGAACCGCTGGCCGAGTTCGCGCAGCTCGGCATCCTCCTCGAGACCGTGGACGAATTCAGACATCTCGTCCATGGTCTGGTTGAAGTCGGAGCGGAGCTTCGAGAGCTGCTTGTTGGCCTCCTTGCCGGTGGCGTTGAAGAGGCGTTGAGCTCGGTCGTACAGGTCCGAAGCCATGCGGTTGGATCGGTTGGTCTGGATGAAGCCGTCTTCGTTGAGCGCACGGTCGATGAAGGCCTTGACGTCCTCGACAAAGTCGCGCAGTTCCCGGCTCTCCTTGGACGCCTCCTCGTCGTAGATCTGCTTGGCGTGGTCGAGCAGGTTGCTGACCGACTCTTGGACGGGGTCGAGCGATCGACCGGCAAACGTCTCGAGGATCTCTTTGAGCTGCTGGAACGCCTCGCGCATGTCCTCGTTGGCCTCGGCCTCGGGGCTGTCAATGTCGACGTCGGTCTGCTCCTTGGCCTTCTCGGCAACATCCTGAACGATGTCGGTCCACTTGTTGGCGATCGAGTAGAGACCGTTGAGCGCGCTCTTGAATTCGGGATCGCGTTCGACGCTGTCGACGATCTGCTTGACCCGCTCGAGGAAGGCATCCTTGACGTCATCGGGGGTCTGCTCGTCGACCCACTTGGCAGCCTGATCAGCCGACTGCCTGAGGTTGTCCTGGGCCTGCTTGGCACCCTTCTTGGCCTGGTCCTTTGCGTTTTCGAGGTCCTTCTTGCCGGGAGCACGAACCTCGACCGCGTCGCCGCGTTTCTTTCGCTCCTCCTCGCTAGGACGCAGCTTACTCTCGGCACCGCCAGCCTTTTGGGCGGCAGTAGCGGCTGCATCGGCGGTGAGATCGCGCAGCAAGAACTGGATGTCGGCCAACAGATCACGGAAAGCCTTGGATGTGAGCAAGAGCTGGCCGATGTGCTTGATCTCACCAAGAGCCTTATTGGCGTCCTTCTTGGCTTGATCGAGCAATCGGCCGTCAGCACCGACCGAGGAGGCGCTGGGAAGTTGGGCCGAGATGCCGCCTTCGTCGGTGACGTTGATCGAGGCTTGCGAAGTGTGGTAGAGGAACTTTTGGATCTTGTCGTCGCCGTTCTTGCTTTCGCCGATGCGCTCGATGCAGGCGAGGATGCCCTTGATGTCTTGCAAAACGGTGGCACCTTGCTGGCTGAGCTTGGTGGAGCCAGAGACGGAGCGCTCGTCAAGGACGGGGCTGGACATGATGGCCTCGATAAAGTTGTTGAGCTGCTTCTGCGAAGGAAGCTTGCCGGCCTTGATAGCACCGATCATCTGAGCGACGCGGGCGAGGGTCTGGCGGGAGGGAGCGATTTGACGGGCCTGCTCCTCGATGTTGTCGGGGTCGACACCATAGTGACGGGCGGTGGCCTTTGCGTCGCGAGCGGCCTGGTTGCCGAACTGCTCGACGCTCTGACGCGCCTGGCGGCTGTGGGTGGGAAGGAGAGGTTCGCGTTCAGACGACATGGTGACAAAAGAAACGCTAATGGAGGGTGCCGTGAAGGAAGACGGATGACGTTTCGCCGGCTACTCGTGTCAGCGAGGGAGGAGAACTGATGGAAACGAAGGTGCAGCTGAGAAGCAACTCGTCCGAGTCGAGTCTAGCTGGGCTTAGCAAGTCGAGAGCTTGCAGAGGAAAGGAGAGGAACTGTAAAGCGGGCTAAGAGCTAGATGGAGGAGGAGAGGAAGATCGCTTGTGGACCCAGACCGAAAGAGGATGCCACCTTAAGTACTCAGCTTGGGAAGCACGCCCAGGCTCGTCGCCACTCAAGACCTTCACAAGGGCTGAGTTGGACGGGGCGGTGCGAGCGAAGCTCGGTGAGCCAATGGAAGAGGGAGCACGTTGAGAGTCCCTACGTCGGAGCTCTGTGTGCAAGCGGAGCCATGGCAGGCGCACAGTCACTCTGTGCATGAATCACGGGAGAGCACGCTTCTCACCACATCACGAGATTCGCTCGAGCTTTTGCCTGTAGATTGCGATGCGATGTTGGCTCAGCCAGCATGTGACGCTATGGCTTTGGTGCTTCGGTAAAAAACCATGCTGAGTTGCCTTTTGGCGGACAGGACGCTCAGGGTCTGGTGCGGGGGGGCGCATGGATGGCCGGGTCACGTCGTCATCGACGGGAAAGGCAAGGAAGGGTGCAGACCAAGGGTTCCGAGCTGCGCTCGCAGTTTGCCTCGGCTAGAGCCATGCAAGGATGACAAGGTTTTGTGTTTGAGTTGGACAAGGTGCTGCTGGGACCGAGCTGAGGGGCGGAGGATGAGCTATTTTTGGCATGGTGTCAGGTGCTTTCTCATTTGCTGTTCTTGGATCGGCATTTCCCTTTCGACGCTCGTTTGCAACCCAACTGTGCGGATGTGAACTGGCTTGGTGCGAGTCTCGTCTTGCCAGTCATACTCAGAGGCATCGCAATGTAGCGTAGAAGCAAAAAGGTGTGTCGGAGAGCTAAAACAAAGAATCTCCAAACTAGGGCGATGCGGGTGGAGGCATGCCCGCTCCGCGTTGCGGTGTTGGATCGATGACGACGTTGTGCCTTAATTTTGTACTTCCGGAAAGACAGCTTTGTGAAGCGCGCTGAATCGGATCTGCAGCAAGGCTCTGTCCCTCGATCCGTTCCTCCAGCCTCGCTCTGCATCGCACAGAACGCGTTGGACGGGACGATCCTCAATCCGGAAACTTCGACCCCACAGTCTCGCTTATACTGTTTTCTCCTTTGTTCCCTTGTGTCCGGTGCGCATTCCTGCCACGAGCTTCGAACCTTTGGCCAAGGGATTTAAGGGCAGGAACAGACGTAGCCTTTGTGCGAAAGGCACACGGGATCACGAGTCTCCGTCTCCGCTAGGGACGAGTGGTACTTGCAACTGAAAAGATTGTGGCGGCGTGCTATGCGGGATGCGATGATGAGAGAGCGTTGGAACTGTGTTGGTCTGAGGACGATGAGTGAGCATCCGATCCGTTTGGATGGCAGCTCCGAATAACCTTGCAACTGTTACACTCCTTGGTAAAACATTTCTCGAGCAAAATCGGGATTCGGGAGGTCGCTTGTCAAAGAGCGAACCCATGCATGACAAGCGTTGACACAGGACCCTTAGTTCTTCTTTCTTCCACCCGTCCTCATCGTCCTCTGCGACGTTCAGCACTACCGGACACCATGTCTTCACCCAACACCACCTCCATCACCTCCGACATCACCCTCCATCCCTACACCGGCGAACACCAGATGCCCACCATCATCTCGCTCATCGAAAAGGAACTCTCCGAACCCTACATCGTCTACACCTACCGCTACTTTGTCAACCAATGGCCCTCCCTCTGCTTCTTCGCCCACCATCCCTCCTCCCCCTCTTCGGCGATCGGAGTCATCGTCTGCAAGCTCGATCGACATCTCAAGGGACGTTTCCGACTCATGCGCGGGTACATTGCTATGATTTCGGTCAAGAGCGAATTTCGTGGACGCGGGGTTGCGAAGCGATTGGTCGTGAAAGCGGTGGAGGAGATGGTGAGGATGGGAGCGCAGGAGGTGGTGTTGGAGACGGAGGCGGATAATGAAAAGGCGTTGGGGTTGTACGAAGGGTTGGGGTTTGTGAGGGAGAAGCGGTTGCATAGGTTTTATCTGAATGGGAAGGATAGTTTTCGGTTGGTGTTGCCCATTCCGAGGAGCGCGCAGAGAGAGGTCGCGCGCGGGATGGAAGGTCCGCCGCAGACGGGGCTGGTGCAACCGCCGTACGCCGAGGTCGCAAATGAGCGGCTTGACGGCCAGAACGAATCGTCAGCAAATACCCAAATCGACCATAGCATACTCTGATACCCTGCATCTTCCACAGTCCCAACTCTGTATAACATTCCAAACAATCGCATCTGCCCAACTGCTATCTATTACATCTCGAAGAAGCTACCATCTCTCCACTCCGACCTTGCCCACACCGACGCAGAAGTGTTCGGCCGTCGCTCCACTACCGCCCTTGCCTTCCTCTCCCGTTCTGCAGAAACATCTCTCAAAGACATCCCCACCACCGTTGAGGACAGTATCCTGTCCGAGATCACATCCATCTTCCGACAACACTTTGCACACGTGCACGGCGCACCTGCTGCGGTGGAAGGTCGACCCGTGGAGGCGGTTGCTAATAGCAAGCAAGTTTTCGATCGAGGCTTGGAAGTCGAAGTGGAAGTCGAAGTGGAAGTCTTGCTGCGCTGTGGTGAGCCGCGTCGAGGTATCAGAGGAAGCGGTTTCATCACGTTGACCTGATTTGCAGCGGGTGATTCGTGGACACCAAGAGAAGTGTTTCCGACAGAAGGCAGGATGTGACAACCGACCTCGTCACCGAGGAGTTGTTTCAGCTTGTTGAGCTTTCGCACTGTTTTGACGATTTGCGTGCTGGTGGGTGACGTTTTGATCGACTGCACCTGACGAGGTGGCAGGGAGGAGCTCGCGCTTGTCTCTGGAATGACAGTGTCCATGGCGAGCTTACGTTGGCGTGATCGCCTTGGCCGTTCGATGTTCGAGAGCGACGTGAATCCTGCTGGGTCTGAAGCCGGACTATTCGTCTGCACCTTTTCCGACTTGATCTCTGAGCCACAAGAGGAAAGCGAAGAGCATGTGCTAGACGGCGAAGAGTGAAGCCATTTTGCATCAACCCCACAGCTATCGTCCGACGAACTGCTCTCCACCTCTACTGGTGCGCCGAATCGAACGCGAGGCAGTCCTGCCATCTCTCTTCCCCGCTTCGTTGCTTCGCTCATCTCTACCTTTGTTATGATACCATTCGAGTCATCGTTACGATTTCTTTCCAGCACCCTGGAACGAGCATCATCACCTCCCACTTCAACCAACACACTCTCCCGACGTGGACTGTAGGGAAAAGCAGCTGCATCCTCCATCACCATCACCCCTTCACCACTCCGAAAGCAGCGGTAGAATGCCGGCGATCCAACCACTTCCGCTCTATCCTCGAGCTCTTCTGCCATCCTTTGACCGGACGAGTTCGCGAAATCGATGGGTAGAGGGAGGTGTGATCGTCTCAGCGCATCTGGTGAGGAAGCAAGTGCCTGCTCTACCAACGCAAGCTTGGATTGGTCTAGGTCTAGTTGGAGGGGAACGTGGCGACGTGATGTCTTGGCGGTGGTGGTGAGGGGTAGACGAAGATCTGCGAGGTACTCATCGATCGCTGAGACGAGGTTTTCCGACTGAGTGGGATGGGAAGCAGAGAAAGGTGGAGACGTGCAGAAGGTCGACATGTCGGTGCTGCAAGTGCAAGGAGTGACGTTGGACGTGTCGATTGAGTGAGGTACGGTCGAAGTGGTGCTGGAGGTGGCGGGTGGCTGTTCAGGCCTGCGATTGGCGGTGGTGGGAGCGAGAGGGGATGCTCGGCGACTCGTGTCGATGGCTAGAGTCATTTTCATTCTTTTGCTGAAATAGGAGTTGATGATAAGTAAGAGAATGGAAGCTAGCGGCGAAGTAAGTCGAGGGGTTGTGCGAAGGCGTGCACATTTTAAACGAATGAGTACATCACTTGATGTGCGCTTGACCGCGGTAGCAGCATCGAACCTTGACTGTTGGTGGGTTGGCAATCCAACCGGGGATTCCGCTGAACCAGTTGCGGGTGGAAGAAAGTGAAGTACACTAGATCACCGACAGAGATCCAATCTTTCATGAGTCAAGATCCCAGTTCGTCCACCGGTGCGCTAGTGCTGCTACGACCAGAGGCGACCGAAGTCGGCTCGCCCTCAAGAACAGCTGCACTGCTGAAGCCAACCATCACTTCGTCGCTCCGTGGATTTTGACGCACAACCTCAAGCTCCCAACTTTCGATCCCCAACCCAACCTTACTCGTCCACGCTTTACCCATCCTCAGCTCGGCATCTCTGTACCCTTTGCGTCTCCATCGTTTTTGCATTCTCTGATTCGAGTATCGCGGGGGGTCGTCCTGCGTATCAGCACTAACCGCGACACCGTTGATGAAGGGTGGTAATGCCCGAGGAGCCGACAAGGTTTTTTTCGGATGCAGATGCAATGCGCCGCACCCGCCTCCTCGTCGTTGACAGGCTGTGTGGATATGCAAATGAAACATCTGCGCATCATTGGGTGGGGTTTTGATGTGCGGGCGCGGGGGATCTGTGCTCAGCCGTCCACATTCCTACACCATCTGCGCAGATCTCGTCGTCGCGTGGCAGCGACCTCCTCACTTTCAGGCGATACTAGATGCTTCACCTGTGAGCATTGACTTAGGATTTGACGAAGCAAGTGGGCAGGACATACAATTGCCTTTTTATCCGCTCTACAATCGACGCTCGGATCGTACCTCACATCCGACCACACTGGTCACTTGAAAGTGACGCCCCAACCTGCGCCCTTTTTCTCCCACAACTCGCTCAAGATGGCCAACCTCTCCGGCAATTTCGCCAACTTGTCCGTGGAGACGTTTGCCACCGAGACGCGTAGTCTGGAACCTGATGAAATTTCCGATACCGAGTCGGAGCCCGCAGGCATGAAGAAGGCACCGGGCAGCGTCACGACGCCGACTAGCTCGGCGAGCGCTTGAGCCACTTGCTCCGACGGAACCTTGAACGGATGGCGAAGGAAGGCGTAGTAGGCGCCTGCGGATTCGACGTGCCATCCCCAGTCCTTGGGAGATTTGGCTGGGCTGTGATCTCGGGAAGAATCTGCGAGTGCACTGGCGTCCTGATTGAGGAAGGGCGGAACGGGTGTCGAGAGACCCTGAATGAAGGCACGCCTGCGTACGCGGAGCTCGTTGGCGACCTGACTGCGCCATTCGAGTTGTTGCGGATCCTCGATCGCCCACGCTACGGCTCTCTGCGTATCGGTACGTGGGGGAGACACCTGGAAATTGTCGAGTGCTTTGGCTGTGGGGCCAAAGACGAGCTTGTCCGCGCCAGATTCGTCCTGGGTTTTCTGCTCAAGGAAGGCAGAGTGTGCTACGAAGCCGCCGAGGCGATGGCCTGGGATGGCGTAGCTCTTGGAAAAGCTGAAGAGCTGGATGACGGTGCTGCGCCAATCCCACTGTGGATCCCAGCTCGACTCGGCGAGCCCTGCAGGTGCGTCCTCGAACAGGTCGTGTGGGCGCGCAAAGTTGTATGGGAGCGAAGGGGTTGCGGCTGAACCAGAAGGCTGAGGAGCGTCGTCGAGGTCGTTGCCTGTCAACAGAAAGTCGCGGTAGCTGCAAATATCAAAGTGGGGTCAACATGGTGATGTGATGTTCGAATGCAATCGTCAGCATGACTCGAAGGTCGGATGCTGTCGTGATCTCCACGCTCCGCGGAAACAAGCACACAGCTAGCGCACTCCGCGGACGCTGGCGCATACTCGTGATACTTACGTCTCGTCCAGGATAAGCGCCACTTGGTTCTCTCGACACAGCACGGCAATCTTGCGGATGAGATCAGGAGGATAGATTGCACCGGTCGGATTATTAGGCGTCACCAACACCACACCCTTGATCGTCTTGTTCGACGTTCGACTGTTGCTCGCGAGCAGTGCACGGATCATCTGCAGGTCAGGAAAGTATTCTGGCGGCTTGGTGTGCACTGCGGCGATCTGGATTCCGAATGCTGTCAAGGTCATCTGATGGTTGAAGTACCAAGGATCGCAGACGATGAGCGCATCTCCCGGAGCGCAGAGCGAGCTGGCGACGGTTGTGAATGCGAGGTTGCAGCCGGCAGTGATGCCGACGTTCTCTTCCGTGACCTGGTTCTTGTCTCCCTTGCCGGGCGTTCTGTAGACTCTGTTGATATCTCTCGCAACCGCCTGTCGAAGTTTGGGGTCGCCAAAGACCGGACCGTAGCCATGAGTGTGACCTGCGGGAGAAGAGACATTCTCCGGAAGAGACTCGAATTGAATGCGTTCGAGGAGGGCAGATGTAGGAGGGTGACCGGGTACACCTTGGGCTAGATTGAGCAACGGGAAGTGTGGCGACACATCAGGGGCTGCCAAGGGCGACGAGCTGGAAGGATACGATTGCGCCCATCGCGCACCGATCTGAACGGGCGGGTCGATGGTGTGGACATGCAGGTTGGGGTTGAAGTCGTAGCCGGGCGCGTTTGCCGGAGACATGCTGGATCTGGAGAGCGTTCGTGTGGCGCTGAAGCAAGTTGTGTGTCTGAAGGCGATCGACGATAACGAAGTATAAGACAAGCGCTGCATAGACTCGTGTATGCGTGTTTGCTCTAGCTATGCAGATGGTGATGAGAAGATGCACGGTTGCGCAGAGCAACGTTGTTGTCAGCGCCGCGAGTGTGCGGGGCAGCCGAGTCTAAATTCGCGGCGACTTGAGCGGCTTTCATTTTCGCCGACCTCTTCCCGTTGGCTGTCTGGTGTAGACGTGGTGGGTCAAATGCGCGAATGTCCGTCTCACACACATAGCCACACACACCATTCGCTCAACCACAAACATGGCCACAACAGACGAGCGCGGACGAGATGCTTGCAGGTGACCCGTGGCTCTTCTATTGAAAATCAGAAAATGCATGGGCGAGCTGGAACTCAGCTCACTTCCCAAATGGACTTGAGCTCGGGTCTGCCGATGGCTTGGATGAGGTGTGCTGCGTTTGCCTTTTCCGCAGTGTCGAGCATACAAACGGCCATTCCGAAGCGCTTGCATCGCGGCAATGCTTGCAAAATGCCAGCGACATGGCGAGACAGATCAATATCATCTGGCGAAGAGTGCTGTTGCTCGACTAGCGTCTGCAGCATCTCGCCAACCAGCTCGGGCTCGAGCATGGAGCCAATGATGTCTGGTATCGTTTCCGGCTCGATTTCAGATAGCAGTTCGAGTCGTTCCGACTTGTTTTTCCACCTTCGCTGGAACTCGATGGCAGACATTTTGCCTGGTGATGCCAGTATTATGCGCCTCGGCTGTTGAGGTGGTGGCACGACAGGGCTTTGCGAAGTTGCAGCTCCGAAGTTGAGCGCCGATGCTGTCTTTGCAGCGACGGGATTCTTGAAGCCATTTGCTTCAGCTGATGCCAAGGACGGCGATGTTGGAGCTGCATCCGATATTGACTGCACTGTCGTCGCATCATCCCGTTGCGAGGTTGGCTTTGCCACGGTCTTGCGTGTTGTCACTTCTCTCAGAAAGCCCCCTGTCTCGCCTGGTAGTCTGGCCGGCAGAGCGCTTCTCGAACTTTTCGGTGGCGATGCAGTCGTTATAGACTGATCATCGTCGGACATCCCGACCTGCTGCAGAAATTTCCTCGCTGCTTCGACAGAGCTGCCAGGCTCCTGTGATACCGCGTCTGCAATTAGACCCTCAGAGCCTTGACCGGGACTGTCTTCCACGCCCGACCGCGACCCTGTTTTCAGACTTCTTAGATCTATCAGCTTTCCTCGTTTGCTGTCTGCAGAGGTAAGAGCCTCCTGAGCCTTCGCTAGACCTGCCTTTGCCTCGGCATTCGTTGGATCCAGCTGCAGAACAGCTTTGAAATTCTCGATTGCAGGCTGCAACTTGTCTGCGCCGACCTGGGCCGTCGCCTTGCGATACAGAGCTTTGACATTGTCAGGTGACAAGACCAAAGCGGTTGTGCAGTCGCGCTCCGCATCGACAAACTTGCCCAGCTTGATGTACGCCATGGCTCGATTGAGTGGATAGGTCGGGTCCGTCGGATCGGCATAGTGAGCCACCGTGTAGTGTCCGACGGCGTCAGCCCATTGCTTCTTTGCGAAGGCTTCGTTGCCTTTTTGCTTGGCTGTCTGCGCTTTCACCTTGTCTGACTGAACTTGTCCCGCCGACATTGTCGCCATGCTTGGAGAAAGTGGTGATGGATGTTGGACGGACTGAAGGTCTTGGAAGAACACGGCGGCAGTCTGAGTATGACAAGGGAAAAAAGCTGGCAAATCTCCACTTGCCGGTTTTTCAGCCGCCCCACACCGCTCTAACAACATGGGGTGCTGTCACCGATCCATACCGTCTCGGATTGCCGGTGGACGATCCTAGACGTGCCTGAATTCTTGGCTCTGACCCCGCTTGACCGAAGCGGCACTCAAGCTACCTGTTGAGAGAAAGATGCGGATGTGTCAAGACAGCATCGACGGCCGGATGCTCTGGACCAACACCTTTCGGAGCAGGACAGGGGCTAGAAGCACCTCGGCTAATCCGTCAGCCACGTCCCTGGACCCTGAAAAAGCATCAGCCTGGACTCAGAAGATCGCCAATCGACCTTCGTCATGGCCGTGAGTCTGCTTGCGGTGAATACGCACTCTGGAGCAAAGACAGAAGTGGGATGGCGAGGGCTGAGCGAGAACGCTGGTCATGCCGACGCCTCGCTTGTGCATGCTTCCTGCCGTGTCGGGACGGGTCTGTGCTTCCCCACGCTCCCGAGCCCCTGAACGACCTGCATACGGCGCATCCGAAGAAATAGGGGTCACAACACTCTTGATCCACACGCGGCATGCACCATTCAGTCACGTCCTGAAGCATCATTGTGTAGCTTGATAACTGCATGAGTAACTGATGCGTGAGCTCAGAGGAGGCATTGAGCGGAGACTGGTAGCAATGAATGCTCGAGGAGGCAGGTATATGAACTGGCTAGCCTATTGGGCAGTCCCTGATCAGATCCGCGCCTTACTCTTCCCCCCATCATCGTGCGCTCGCTTCGACTCACGACATTAACGACTTGTCACGTACACCTCAACTTCTGAAGTATCCTTAGCTCCTGCACCCCTCGAACACCTCTACAACAGCTCGCAAAATGGGTTCGGTATTCTCGTGCCTAGCATCAACCTTCATCTACCTCGGCGAGTTCCTCGAGAACGTATTCCTCGCCATCGGCGAAATCGGCGCCGTGCTCGTTCGGGCCATCATTGGCATCGTCGTCAGCCTCTGTGACCTGCTAGCGGCCATCAGCTGCTGCTACCGCGTACCTTGGTCAGAGCGTCCGGATCGATCGTTCTACACCTACTCCACCAATACCACCACAATGGTCGCCAGCAGCAACAGTGCGCTCGCCACTGTGGGAGGCAAGCAGGTGCTGTCAAGTGTCTTTACCAAAGAGGGTCGCGAGCAGCGAAAGCAGATCAAGGCAGCCAGGATCAAGGCGGCGGCTCTCAAAGCTGAGCAGGTGGCAGCGGCGAGGGATGCCAAGAAGGCTGAGGGTGATGCACAGAAGAAGGCAGCCGGTACAGAGAAGAAGGGAGAATCTGCCATCACTGTCAAGGCATGAGCTGTCTGCGAGATCTGTCCTCAGCTACGATCCAGGATCTGGAACGTCGAACGTCCTCACGCACGAAATATACCCTCATAGCGTACAGATCACCGATTTTGGCAGACAAGACTGCTGAATTGACACAGTGTGCAATGTGCGTGCAAGCATAGCTCACTCAGTGGATGGTCTTGCCCTTGCACAGCTTGGGTTGCCGCGAAAGCGCAGCCTGCAAACGGCTGCTTCAACGCGTCATGTCGGCCACCAAAGCCGAGCAGCCAAGCGAATCAACCACAATCAAACCTTGCTGCGACACTGCTATCGCCGGATTTCGTGAGCGGTCTTGGAAGTCGCTTTGATGTGCCGAGAAGAGACGCCAAACGCCACGAACGAGAAATTCGCCGTCAAGCGAGGCCAGGGTTTGCATCCTTCTCGGAGAATTTTGGTCCGGATGGTCTTAAATTGGGCTTGGCGAGATTTGCAACTCTGTCTTGGAAGAACAAAGTGGCAGAGGCGGGCCGGCAGAAGTCTGTGCAGGAAGCAGGGCACGAGAGTGTACGGCGCGCCCTCGAAATTGCGACGGCAAGCAGCGCTGACGGATCGACCGTCCGGACGCTCCCGCTGCCGCTGCTTGGCGCTGCTGCAAGGCTTATCGAATCACACAACCAAGGTTCTTCCGGCTATCGCAATCCGAGCCGGTTTCATCTCCAAGGCCACCTTCGGCTCTCGAGACGAGGCTGTCACAATCGTGATCGGCGGCAGTCGTTCGCCGATAGGAAGCTCTCAAGGTCTACATTATCTCAGCTTTTGTCTGTCGACACAAACGTCCAAATCTTCTGCCGAGAGCGAGTCATGTTCGGAAGGAGCAGGAGTCGGAAGATCAACCGACGACGATAATGTCGAAGCGAACGTGCGCCTGATCGATGGCTATCACGTTGGCGCTCCTGAGCGGCTGACTCGCACTTTTCCCCCTGTGCTCTTCTGGCACACAAGGGTAATTTTGCAGCCGTTAAAATTTCTTTTGCACCCTTCATTGCACCTCGTGACAGACTGTGGTGTGCCGTCATAAGGCCCTCTTTTCTGCGGCGATCGGACCGTATCTGGGCCGTCATCCGCGTTCAACGCAGCGATTTCATATTCCGCTTTTTGTCCACGCCCATGATCCCAGAGAGGGTGCACCGAGTACGCTATACGATACCGAGCGAGCTACCTGACAGGCTGATCTTATCGGATTCCATGTCTTGTCTGCTGTTGCGGCTTTCGCCGAATGACTTCTTTGGCTGTTGCGAAGGGAGACGGTGAGCGTTGCGCAGAGGGGCCTCAAGCGAGTGTGTGGCTTGCTTGTGGATTTTTGGTTTAGGCGGACGAGCCGATCTCTTTGGTCATCTTGAAATCGTTCCGACGCTGTGGTTGCTGTTTGTGTACCGCTCCGTGTAGCTTGCCTGCAGCCTCATCTTTACCTCCTTCTTCACACCATCACACTCTGAATCGGCCCTCTTCCGATCGTACTCCCTTCGCTTCGGACGCAGGTACAACGACATACAAGACCTGAACACTACCATCCTACGCACTCGTGCTTGCGATCCCGGTGGTCGACGTCAGTAGAAGGATTCACCCGCTGCTCCGCGTTCCTCTTTCCCTCGACGTCTTCGACCCCTTTCGAGGTAGTTCCGTGATCGTCCCGACATCATGTTCCGCAGACCTTTGACCGCTGCGCCTCGCGCTGGCGTGCGACTGGCCTCGACCTCCTCCACATCCGCAGCTCAGCGCCGCACTTTTGCGAATCGATCCGTGCTTGTGGCTGTTGCACTCGCCGGCGGTGCTGCCGCTACCTACACTCTCGCCAAGCCAAGCCTCCATGCGGATGCTCCCGATACCGTGCCCGGCGACACGCGTCCGCATCCCCTGTGGTCGCCACCCACACGTGCTCAGATGCTCGAGGCGCTCAGACAATCCTCTGCAAAGAGCCTCCGACCCAACGCTTCCAAGGGCAAGTCGGACAACTCGAGTCTCTTGCCCCTCGCCAAGGACGCTAACTCCAGCAGTCCCAGCCCTGCTGCTTCGGAGCAGTCGGGCGGTGCCCCCGCTTCCCGCAGCGGAGACGAAGATGGCGAGGGCTTCGACATTCTCGTCGTCGGTGGTGGTGCGACCGGTGCTGGTGTCGCCGTCGATGCAGCCACTCGTGGCCTGAGCGTTGCCATGGTCGAGCGCGACGACTTTGGTGCCGGAACTTCTTCTAAATCAACCAAGCTCGTCCACGGCGGTGTCCGATACCTCCAAAAGGCCGTCTTTGAGCTCGACTACGAACAGTACAAGATGGTCCGTGAGGCGCTCCACGAGCGCAAGACGTTCCTCAAGATTGCCCCTTACCTCTCCGACCACCTGCCCATCATGCTTCCCGTCTACAAGTACTGGCAGATCCCTTACTACTGGGCTGGAACCAAGATGTACGACATCCTCGCCGGCTCGGAGAACATGGAGAGCTCCTACGTGCTCGGCAAGGGCAAGGCGCTCGAGGCGTTCCCCATGCTCAAGTCGGCGGGCCTCGCCGGTGCCGTCGTCTACTACGATGGTCAGCACAACGACACCCGCATGAATGTCGCTCTTGCCATGACGGCCGTCCATCACGGAGCCGTTGTTGCCAACCACACCGAAGTGGTGGCCATCCACAAGAAGCCTGTTGCTGGCAAGGCCGATCAGATCTGCGGTGCTCGCGTGCGCGACGTGCTCACCGGTGACGAGTGGGACGTCAAGTGCAAGTGCCTGATCAACGCCACTGGTCCCTTCTCGGACACGTTGCGAAAGCTCGACGCTCCCACCGCTCAGGAGATCGTGGCGGCCTCGTCTGGTGTTCACATCACGCTCCCCGGCTACTTTTCGCCGCGCGACATGGGTCTGATTGACCCGCAGACCTCGGATGGCCGAGTCATCTTCTTCCTGCCGTGGCAAGGAAACACGATCGCCGGTACCACCGATACTGCTGCACCCGTCGAGGCGCATCCTCGTCCCAAGGAGGAGGAGATCCAGTGGATCCTGGATGAAGTGCGCAACTACCTTAGCCCGGACATCAAGGTGCGAAGAGGAGATGTGCTCAGTGCGTGGTCCGGTCTGCGACCGTTGGTCAAGGATCCCGCTGCCACCGACACGCAGTCGCTGGTGCGCAACCACATGATCAACGTCTCCGAGTCGGGATTGCTGACCATCGCCGGTGGCAAGTGGACCACGTACCGCGAGATGGCCGAGCAGACGGTCGACCGTGCGATCGAAGACTTCAAGCTCAAGCCTCAGCGCGGCTGTGTCACCAAAAACACTCGCTTGCTCGGAAGCCACGGATGGACCAAGACCATGTACGTCAAGCTGCTGCAGCGCTTCGGTCTGGAGACGGACGTTGCGCGTCACCTGTCCAACACGTACGGTGACCGAGCGTGGAGCGTGTGCTCGATCGCCGAGCCAACAGGTCAGCGATGGCCGGTGCACGGCAAGCGTATCGATCAGCTCTACCCGTACATTGAGGCTGAGATCCGGTACGCATGCCGCAGCGAGTACGCTGCTACCGCCCAGGACTTTATCGCGCGTCGAACACGACTGTCGTTCCTCAATGCCGAGGCGACGGTGGATGCGTTGCCGCGCGTGATCGATGTGATGGGCGAGGAGCTGGGCTGGGACGAGAAGCGAAAGAAGCAGGAGTGGGCCGACGGAGTCGGGTTCATGGCGTCGATGGGACTACAGCCAGCTCGTGTGGAGCAGCTCAAGGAGACCTCGCTCGACCAGATGCGCAAGAAGCGCGAGTCTCAGCAGAAGGCGCTCAAGGTGTCTTCGCTGGGAGCTGCATCGTTGGATGACAAGGATGCGCTCGCCATCAGTGCGCGTGCGTCGTTCAGCTCGGAAGAGATGGAGGAACTGCGTGGCAAGTTCAAGCTGCTCGACGTGAACCGCGACGGCAAGCTGGACTCGAAGGATCTCAAGGAGGTGCTGCAGCGCATCGGATACTCGGACGTCGACGACTCGACGCTGCGCGGTATTGTGAGCGAAGTCGACTTTACCAAGACGGGTGCACTGCACTTTGAGGACTTCCTCGACGTCTTTGCGGCGCTCAAGGATGCTCGTTTGGAAAACGCGTTCACGCACATCTTGAGCGAGATGGACTCTCAGGGTCTGCAACCTGCTTCTCACGATCCTGTGGGACCTGCTGCTAAGGAGAAGAGCCAGCGAAGGGACGCTAGCCGCACCATCCCGGTCGAGAAGAGCGGTGGTGGCTGGTAAAAAGATCAACCTGCTTGTATCGACGAAAAGACAAAAGAGTAATCACACAAGTATTGTCAAAGTACAAAGCATCCGCTGTGATCGAACGTAGAGGAAGTGTGAGGTCTTCGCCTAGGGTCAGAGAGGCAGAGCGATCGAGCGTGACAAGCGATGGTGTCGATGTGGGTGAAAGAGAGGCAGGCGCCAAGGTCGAGGATGCTGTGTGGGAGTGAGAGCTGTTATCGGCCGTATCTGATGGTGCAGCTGTGTGACATGTGCGGACCGCCCCTGTCGAATTGTGAGTGGTGGTGCATGGGCCAAATTCAAGTTGAAATTCCAGAAAAAGGTGAGCGAGCGAGCGAGTAGGCGACGCTTGGATCAGCCAAAGAGAGCGAGAGCGACAGAGAAGAGACAAATTCGACGATTCGGATTGTGACGAAACTGACTGCACTGATTGCACTGACTGACTGCCAAGCTCGATGGCTCTGTCGCACAGAGCTAACTTAGCTGCTTTGAGCTTTGATCTCCACTTGAGACTCTTCGTATCTCTTTCTCCTCCTTCACACCTTCACGTCCCTATCCGCTTTGTCCCAACCATCGCTCCTTGCGATCTCGCACGACCAGTCCTGATCTCGACGTCGACGCAGCCGATTTCAGCTTTCAGACTAGGCCAACCCAGCTCTCAGCATCGACTCGAGCTGCGCCTTATCTTCAAGGTTGAGACCTCTAGTGTAGACATTAGAAGCGGTCTGATACCCAGCGTCGATCTCAGCACAACAGCAGCAGCACCGTTCGTCAACGCTCACCGTTATCGCCGCTACCCATCATGTCGGACCCACGCATGAGCGACCGTGAGCTCTTCGAGGTCAACGCCCAGGCCGCCGTCAAGAACTACAGCGTCGACCCTCGTCTCGACTACCGCACCGTCTCGGCCATCAACGGTCCGCTCGTTGTCCTCGAGAATGTCAAGTTCCCTTCGTACAACGAGATCGTCTCGCTCACCCTTCCCGATGGCTCGCGTCGTGGCGGTCAGGTGCTCGAGGTCTCGGGCAACAAGGCCATCGTCCAAGTGTTCGAGGGAACCTCGGGTATCGACGTGCGAGACACTCACATCGAGTTCACCGGCTCTTCCATGAAGCTGCCCGTCTCCGAAGACATGCAGGGTCGCATCTTCAACGGTTCCGGTGCGCCTATCGACAAGGGTCCCCGAGTGTTTGCTGAAGACTACCTCGACATCAACGGTTCGCCCATCAACCCTTACTCGCGTGTCTACCCCGAGGAGATGATTCAGACCGGTATCTCGACCATCGACACCATGAACTCGATCGCACGCGGTCAAAAGATTCCCATCTTCTCCGCCGCCGGTCTGCCGCACAACGAGATCGCAGCTCAGATTTGCCGACAGGCCGGTCTGGTCAAGCGTCCCGGTGCTGGCAAGGGTGTGCACGACGACCACGAGGACAACTTCTCCATCGTTTTCGGCGCCATGGGTGTCAACATGGAGACCGCACGATTCTTCAAGCAGGACTTCGAGGAGAACGGTTCGCTGGACCGTGTCACGCTCTTCCTCAACTTGGCCAACGATCCTACCATCGAACGTATCATCACGCCTCGTCTGGCGCTCACCACCGCCGAGTACTATGCGTACCAGCTCGAGAAGCACGTGCTTGTCGTGCTCACCGACATGACGTCGTACGCCGATGCGCTGCGTGAGGTCTCGGCGGCGCGTGAAGAGGTGCCCGGTCGACGAGGTTACCCGGGTTACATGTACACGGACTTGTCCACCATCTACGAGCGTGCTGGCCGAGTCGCCGGACGCAACGGATCCATCACCCAGATCCCCATCCTGACCATGCCCAACGAGGACATGACGCACCCCATCCCCGATTTGACCGGCTACATCACCGAGGGTCAGATCTACGTAGACCGTCAGCTGCACAACCGTCAGATCTACCCGCCCATCAACGTGCTCCCCTCGCTCTCGCGTCTGATGAAGTCGGCCATCGGTGCCAAGCACACACGTGCCGACCACTCGGACGTGTCGAACCAGATGTACGCCGCCTACGCCACGGGCAGGGATGCCGCGGCGATGAAGGCGGTCGTCGGTGAGGAGGCGTTGAGCGCCGAGGACAAGCTGGCGATCGAGTTTATGGAAAACTTCGAGAGCAAGTTCATCAAGCAGGGTGCGTACGAGAACAGGCACATCTTTGACTCGCTGGATATCGGGTGGGATTTGTTGAGGATCTTCCCCAAGGAGCAGCTGAATAGGGTCAGTCCGAAGATCATCAAGGAGTACTATTCGAGGAGGGCCAAGAAGGAGGGTAAGGGAGAGCAAGAGGAGGCGAAGAAGGGTGCCAAGGATACGAGGGATAATGCCAAGGAGGACGAGGGGAAGAAGCAGAATGGCGAGGGGAAGTTGGTGGATGATGAGTAGAGGGATTGGGTGTTTCAACTCCAAGGATCTCGCTTTCAGTTTTCTTGTTTCCATCACATCAATGAATTGTCGTTTGCTTCTCTTTCTCAGCTTGTCTCTACGCATGTTCGACTGGTGACGACGGTATGGGAAACCCTTGTCATGATTTGAATGCGCTGATGCAAGGGTGACATGCTACTGCTGTTACAACTGAGTCTTCTTCCTACCCGAATTCATGTACGGTCTCAAGACCCACTCTGTATCCGCGTCCTTCTGATCCAGCGTACCCTGTTTGATCTCGAAGACTCTCGCTTCGAACCTCGGACCTACTTCTGCTAGCTGAACCTCTCTATGACTCGTCTTGACGTGAACGTGATGTCTGAAACTGATAAAGTCGTCCTTATTGATCCAACTCATCGTTCTTGTAGAGTCGTCTTTGGGGACGGGGAAGAGGTGTTTGAGTGCTTGTTTGACGCGATTCCCGAGTTTTGAGGAGAAGTTTTCGAAGATCAAGTGGGGGTATTGTTCGGAGACGGTGGAGGAAGATGTGGATACTTCGTGTCGAAGGACTACGTTGTGCAGCGTGAAAAGGAGGGTGGGACCGTGGGGGAAGTGGGAGACGACCATTGCGTCTGGTACGCCACGATGTTCGTGCAACACGACGAGATCCGTAATCCCATTGCTCCTCGCTGCAGCGGATAGATCCGAGACCGTATATCCACCTCGATTCAACCGCGTCGAGTTCGGGAAAAGCAGTCGAACTTCCTTCGCAAACTGGGTCAGACGAGAACTAGGATCGCGCGAAGTAGTCACCAGAACGCGAGGATCGTACGTCCCCGAACGAGAGTACTCGTCGTCGATCGACGTACCCGGTTCCGCCTGCGCTGCATCCAGATTGAGGTCACGTCCGAGCTCGGTCGCTTCGGAAGACGAGGCGGAGGGAGGTAGTGGTTTCCCTGATGCGAGAGCCTCTCGGAGTTGCTGTTTGCGTTCGTAGATCTGTTTCTCTTTGGATTCGAGCGCCTTTTTGTAGATGTATTCCCGACGTTCGCGCGTTTGCCTTCGAAGCATGATTGCGAAGAGGTGGTGGATGTTGCTGCTTTGGGGGGCAGTTTTCGTTGGTTTCAGTCGTGGCCGTGTGGAAGCTGTCAAGAGCCCGATCTGGTGGTGGGTGGAGAGCGGGAGTAGTGTGCGAGCAGGACCGAGTTAGTGATGAGGAGGAGGAAGAAGTAAAAGCTGCTCAGCGGAAAGGGAAATTTTGACTCTAATTTGTGGCTCTGCATGGCTCTCTTGGGAAATTTCCAGTCCGAAATCCGTGATGTTGAAGAAAGAGTTGGATCAGCCAATGCTTACAAATCTCCTTTTTTTTGGGCAGGGTTGCAGCGCGGAAGAAATTGCTGCCCGGACGTTCTTGACCTCTTCATCCGACCTTTGATCTTTGTCGTACCATCATCGAGCTTGTGCCATCGTCGACGACAACGACGGATACAGTTGCCACAAATCTGTCTCTAGATTACGGATACATTCGACCCTAAGCATATCCTTGGAAGCTTCGCAACGTTTCGCACTCTCCTCTCTCAAATCGACACCGCTCATCGTCAACCTCCGAACTATCTTCATTTTCTTCCGGATCATCCTTCGCCTCTCCCACCTCCTCACATCCCCCCGCCATCATGTTCTTCACAGCCATCCGTCTCGGCTCACGCACAACGTATCGCGGCTCTCGCGGCTCTGGTGCCGGAGCCTCCACCCGCACCACCTCCTTCTCCTCGCCCAAATCCCGCTCCTCCTTCCTGCCCGCCCTCACATCCGGCACCATCTTCAAACGATCCCAACGCGGCCTCTACGACGGCAAGATCATCCAATCCGGACACAACGTCCCCAAATCCCGCCAAAAAACCGCCCGCACATGGATCCCCAACATCCAAAACAAAAAGCTCTGGTCCGATACGATGGAGAAGTTCGTCAGAGCAAGAGTCTCGACGAGCGCGCTGAGGACGATGGACAAGTTGGGCGGATTGGACATGTATCTGGCCAAGACGAGGGGGGATAAGCTGGGTGAGTGGGGGAGAGGGTTGAGGGATACGTTGGCGTTGAAGTTGCGCGCAAAGAGGTTGAAGGGAGAGAAGGAGGCGAGGAGGGCGGAAAGGACCGCGAGTTGAGGTATCGGGAAAGGAATGCTGCAGAAGGAGAGGCAGATATAGTGTACACATACGATTCTCACACAGCAACATCGTTCATCATCGACACACAGTCACACACGTCCACACATCCACAGACCACTTGAGAAGCTTCAAAAACGTCTTTCATCGACAACCCACTCGACGAAAAAAGGGTATAAAACTCTAACGATTGGCACCAGGCGTCGGAGTAGCCGTCCCCGCACCCGCACCCGCCTCCAACCTACGCAGATACTCCTCCATCTTCTCCGCCCCCGACCTCGTCTTGTGCAACGTCCTACTCGTCAACCTCGGCGAGGCATCGTTCTCCACCGCACCCGACCCCGTCGGCGTAGGCGAAGGCGATGCACCACGACGAACGACCCGTGCACCGCAATTCGAAGAAAACGAGGCGGACGTCTGACTTGACCATTCGTCGTGTGTCGAAGTGGTGAGTGACGAGAAGAGCGAGCTGCGTGAGGATGCCGCCGAAGACGGCCGTGCAATGATAGGTCCTTCCTCGTCCTCCGATGCCGCTGACGAGGCCGCATTGGCTTCTGTAGCTGGATTCGATGCTGCTGTTGACATGCATCGGATGGATCTGTGCGGCGGCGCAAATGTGTTGCTACCGAACCGCGATTCTTGCCCGTGTCGTGGACTGCGGTGAGAGCTGAGCATCGACAGTCCGCTCAGCTCCGACTTGAACGATCCAGAAGAAGAGGCCGAAGGAGTCGGCGAGCCACTCCTCCTTTGCTGTCCCTTCTGAGCCTGTCCGAGTGCGCGCAGATCGTCGGATGACCCGAGGCTGTGCTGATCACCCGAACTTTCGTTACGGAAGCGAGACGACAGCTTTTCGCCCGTCCACGTCTTGGAAGTGGCGACCACTTGGAATGGGATGCCGTAGGCATCTAGCCAGGCTTCGGTAGCGCGCCCATCGGTACGGTTCAGGTAGGTGGGCTTGTCATTGCTCGCTGCTTGCGCCTCTACCATCTTTTCTTGGAGATGATCTGGCGGGTACGCAATGGCGACTGCAAAGTTGGAGGCTGAAGACGCCTTTGCCTGGCAATACAGGCAGACGCTGAGGAGCTCGCGCAGATAGCGCGGGGCCTCCGCTGCATTGAAGGCGTCTTTGACTTGCACCTCATCTGCGGATGCTGCGCCGCTAGCGTCGGATTGCGCTTGCTGCTGCCTGGCTAGTCTCGCGTCTGCGATGCGAATCGAGGCAGCACGGAAATGCTCCTTCTGCGCAAAAATCCCGGGAGCAGGCTGGGTGAGCATGAGATCTCCATCTTGTGTGGAGATGGCGATCTTGTCTTCGAGCCAACGAGTGGCCTTTCTCGCAGCGAGGTTGATGGGTTCGTCGCCCTTCTTGAGCAAGTCGAGCGTGTTGATCGCCTCGAGCGGGATCACGACACACATCGACTGGTCGCGGCTCCAGTTGTGCACGCTCCTGAGCGAGAAAATGAGCACGCTGGCATCGACGAGCCGGATGGAGGTGGCCACCTTTGCGGCGTCGTTGTTCGTGAAAGAATTGGTTGCTGACACCGTGTCGGGCGACAAACCAGGACCGGTGACGGCTCGTGGTTGGGCACGCACTTGTGCGGCAGCATCATGACGTGGATGCGATGAAGTGAGATCGTGGTTGGGAGCGCTTCTCGTCTTTTGCACACCACGTGGATAGGTGATCTTGCTGACGTCTTGCTCGAGTTTGTCGACCTTGTCCTGAAGGAACATGACGCCCATGGCGTGTGAGAGGCGCTGTTGGCGCTCGGCCTTCTGTTGGATCGTCTCGTGAGGCATCGCTGGTCTGCGGTGTGCGGTCAGGAGAAGTGGGTACTGATCTGATTACGCCCGATGCTGTGGTAGAGAGATTTTGATGATATAGCCTGGTGACAACGCCACCGAGACCATGCTGACGATCAGCTGCAACGGCGGTGTAGATCGACGGAGATCTAGCGCTTCATGGTTTTCTCCTGGGAGAATGCGCTCGAAGATGCCTGTTCTCCGTAATCTTGCTCGGTCAAAGTGAGGCAGCGATCGATGAAAGCCGTGCACGTCGTGGGATGGCGATTCGGATGAAGCCGAGCAGCTTCTACGGGTCCAAGGGCGCGTCTTTGGATTGTAGAAGCGAGTATCCGCAATCAATTATAGCCTTCGAGATGGTTCGTGGTTCGAGGCAGCCGATGGGGAACAGGAGACGCGGATGCTATACGTCGGCCGGGGGAGGGTGGGCAGTTTGCTATAAGAAAAGTGTGGTGGATGCTGCGTCGGCGGGAATCGCTTATCCCCGCGGACTGAGAGTACACCCTGACTTACAGAGAGAGTCACGGCCAAAGCTTTGTTTTTTCTCTCTTTCGCGTTCAGCTTTGAGCTCAGCAGCTTCAGCTCAGCGGCAGCACCGAGTTTGTGGAGTCAAATGAGCTCGGGGCGAAGCGCTGAGTCTAACAGCTCCTGTATGACTCGTACGATTTTGAAATTGGCCGCTCGCCCACCCGATTTGGGAGACCACCCGATGGCGGAGTGTATGTCTCAAGAAGAACCGAGCCAAATGCGAGCGACGTGGCTCACATCGCACGAGCCAGCAACGCAACAACACAGTCCACGGCTCTGCTCTGCTTAGGACCGCAACTACACATGGCTCTTCTTTTGGTTGTCATACTGACTGTCATGCTCAAGCTGGCTACTCATCTGAGCCCAGATGCAGGCAGGGCAACATTGATCATGTATGTGTGAAGGTGAACGTGTCTTTAATACTGTGCTGTGCTGAACCGTGATGGAAACGAAAGCGTTGCGAAATTCAGCAGCCGTGTCGAATTTGGCTTGGCCAGCGCGGTGGCAGCCTTGCATCTGAGGGGAAAAGAAATAGCGCAGCTGCAGAGCGCTCTCAGTCTCTGTCGAAATCACTCGCTGCTACGTGTTCTCGAGTGCCAATCAGCTGTGCATTTTCGAGACAGACAGACAGACGACGCGGAGCCGTGCGTCTGAGTTGGAGGTGCAGTTGCGTTGCGTCTCGCCAATCTTCCAAGCCCAAGCGACACCTCTATCGCATCGTTCATCACCAACCATCATCCCTTCGCCTTGCCTTGGCTTGCCACTTCATCTTCCCTCGACGCGCTGTGCCTCGTTCTCGCAGATCGCATCCCACCTCGGTCCCCTCGCCAAAGGCAGGCGCTGCTCCTCAACCGCACCAAACAAGTCCGCTCGAAGCTCATTCACCGCAACAGCAAGCTCGACCACCATGAACGTCGATGATGTCGAGGACCGAGATGGCGTCCGCCTCTCCTGGAACGTCTGGCCCTCTTCCAAAATCGAAGCAACCAGGACCGTGGTCCCTATCAGCGCCCTCTACACGCCTCTCAAGGAGCGCGAGGATCTGCCTCCTGTTCTCTACGAACCCGTCACCTGCAAACCTCCCTGCCGAGCTGTACTCAACCCCTACTGGTAAGTCCTTGACCCCTTGACACGCAAACCATCGCCATGTGCTGACGAGTCCCTCCTTCTTCCATCACCCTTGCAGCCAAATCGATGTCCGCGGGAAGCTCTGGATCTGCCCCTTCTGTCTCTCCCGAAACGCTTTTCCCCCGCACTACAAGGACATCAGCAGCACCAACCTTCCCGCCGAACTTCTGCCCAAGTACACCACCATCGAGTATACCCTCAGCCGTCCCGCACAGATCCCACCCGTCTTCCTCTACGTCGTCGACACCTGCATGGACGATGACGATCTCAAGGCATTGCGCGAGGCGCTCGTCGTCAGCTTGAGCTTGCTTCCTCCCAACGCCCTCGTCGGTCTCATCACCTACGGAACCATGGCTCAGGTACACGAGCTCGGCTACGACGCCTGCCCCAAGAGTTACGTCTTCCGTGGAACAAAGGAGTACGCGCCCAAGGCCATCCAAGACATGCTTGGCCTCAACGCCGGCGCTCGTCCCATGGGCCCTGGCGCTCCCGGCGCCCCCGGTGGCCCCTCTCAGGCTCCTCGTCCACCCAACGCCACTGCACAGATGGGTGCCTCGCGCTTCCTCCTGCCCGTCTCGCAATGCGAGTTCCAGTTGACCCAGATCCTCGAACAGCTCCAGAAGGACCCTTGGCCCGTCGCCAACGACAAGCGAAGCCAGCGCTGCACCGGTGTCGCCCTCAGCGTCGCCGTCGGCATGCTCGAGACCACCTTCCCCAACACCGGCGCCCGCGTCATGCTCTTCTGCGGTGGTCCTGCCACAGAAGGCCCCGGTATGGTCGTCTCCACCGAGCTCCGCGAACGCATCCGCTCCCACCACGACATTGACAAAGATAACGCAAAGTACTACAAGCGCGCCATCAAATTCTACGAGGCCATGGCGAAACGCGCTGCAGGCAACGGACACACCATCGACGTCTTTGCCGGCTGTCTCGACCAGGTCGGTCTGCTCGAGATGAAGGGCCTCGCCAACCTCACCAACGGCCACATGATCCTCTCCGATAGTTTCCAGATGGGCATCTTCAAGCAGAGTTTCCACCGCATCTTCCAGAAGGACGACCAAGGTCACCTCCAGATGGGCTTCAACGCAACCCTCGACGTACAGTGCACCAAGGAGCTCAAGGTGTCGGGTCTCATCGGCCACGCCGTCTCTGCCAACAAGAAGTCGGGTTGCGTCGGAGAAACCGAGATCGGCATCGGCCAGACTTCGGCGTGGAAGCTGTGCTCGCTCACTCCTCGCACCTCGACCGGCATCTACTTCGAAGTGGTTACGCCGCCAGGACAGCCCATGCAGCCTGGCTCGCGAGGTCTCATCCAGTTCGTCACGCACTACCAGCACGCCTCGGGTCAGTTCCGTCTCCGTGTCACCACCATCGCCCGCAACTTTGCCGAGGGTGGCTCCGGTCAGATCGCCGCCTCGTTCGATCAGGAGGCTGCCGCCGTGTTGATGGCGCGGATCGCCGTGTTCAAGGCCGAGATCGACGACAGCCCCGACGTGCTCCGATGGCTTGACCGCATGCTAATCCGCCTCTGCCAGAAGTTCGCCGACTATCGCAAGGACGACCCCACCTCGTTCCGCCTGGGCGAAAACTTCAGCATTTACCCGCAGTTCATGTTCCACCTTCGCCGATCGCAGTTCTTGCAGGTGTTCAACAACTCGCCCGACGAGACCGCCTTCTACCGCCACGTGCTCAACACGGAGGACGTCAACAACTCGTTGATCATGATCCAGCCCACGCTCATGTCGTACGGATTCGAAGGACCACCGCAACCCGTGTTGCTCGACTCGGTGTCGATCCGACCGGATGTGGTGCTGCTGCTCGACACCTTCTTCCACATCCTCATATTCCACGGAGAGACGGTTGCGCAGTGGAGGAAGGCCGGATACCAGGATCAAGAGGGGTACGAGAATTTCAAGGAGGTGCTCGAGAATCCCAGGGCGGACGCACAGGATCTGTTGGGGGATCGCTTCCCTATTCCGCGATACATTGTTTGCGACCAGAACGGTTCGCAGGCGAGGTTCTTGTTGAGCAAGCTCAACCCCTCGACAACGCACATGAGCGGAGGCATGTATGGATCCCAGGGTGGCAGTGGTGCTGCCATCTTCACGGACGACGTTTCGCTGCAGGTGTTCATGGAGCACCTCAAGCGGTTGGCTGTGGGCGCTTCGTCCAACTAGAGCAGCGCACCTCGGCGATCAAACATGCCTCGCTGCTGCATTGCCCTCTTTCCCTTTTTTCCCCTGTCGCTTTCTGTAGGCTAGAGTCGATGTGCTCTGGCAATGTCCAATTTGAAAGAAGATCACTCTCTTTGTGCGAATTGTAGTTGGTTGCGTGACTGTCAATGTTGAGAGTGAATTGAGTGGGGAAGAGCAGAAGAAGTCTAAGAGTACAGAGGAGTGCTGTGTGGACGATTCTAGCGGGAGACGGTTTTGTCGAGCAAGTCCTTTGCTTCGTTGATTTCTGTTTGCAGCAATACAAAACGAGCAGATGCGGTGTCAGTCTGTCTGTCGTCAGATTTGCTGTCTTCTGAAGCAGAACTTACTGGAAGCGAGGTATGGAGCGCCACCACGATCCGGGTGGTTTGCGATCATCATCCTCCTGTGCGCCTCTTTGACTTTAGCCTTTGTCAAAGCTGTCTCCCTCAACCCCAGGATCTGTGCCGCTTCCTTCTTGTCCATCTTACCATTGAATCCACCTTTGATCCATTTACCGCTAGGTCCACCGGCAGAACCTTTGGATCCGAGCAAGAGGTTCGCTGTGAGTCCTGCGATGACCAATCCAGCACCGATCATGATGGGTGTCGCGATGGGGGTGGGGAGCGTATGACGGAAGGGGAGCGATGATGAGGGTCGGAAAGGCGTTGAGAGTGATCGAGACGCTGATGCAGACGAGCGGGTTGTAGGAGGAAGGCTGCTGGAGGAGGAAGAGATGCATCGGGAAGAGGAGAGGTGGAGGCGAGGAGAGATGGTCTTGCTACTGCTAGAGCTGGCAGCTCGAGCCAGCGAGCGCGTTGCTGTGGAAGCAATCATGGCTGATGAAGTAAAGCCTGAATGGTCCCGCGATTGATCGAGGTGCGTCGTAAGGAGGGAGCTTGATGAGAGGATGGCGATGGAGAGATGCCACTTTGAAATGGCGGTGCGAGTCGAACACATGTGTGGCTCAGCGTGCACTCTTCGGCAAAAGCCGTTCGCTGTTGCCTGCTGCTCTTCCGAAATTTCTTCGATTTCGCCCTTCTCGTAACATCACATTTTCATTAAAAGAGAGTGTTACACCTTGGTATCACACAGAAGAACTTAAACGGAACATGAATGAACCGCAGCCAAGCAGAGCGACGCTACGTAACCTTGCGTCTGACCAGAAGAAAACAGAATTTGGCCGCAACACGAACCTAAAAAGTCAGATCCTCTTTTGTCAAAGAGTGCTCGGATCACCCGAATCAACATGGCGACCTCGGTACCAGTGCAGCGTGGCTGTCGGGCGCAAGAGTCTCGTTGCCAAAGGTTTCGCAGACATGCACGGAGCGAAGAGAGTGTCGATGTGTGTGACGAAGATCTCAACTTCGGCTAGGCGTACCGTAGTCACAGTAATGTGGACCCTGACCGTGTTTAGTTTCGGGTATGCCGCTACATTTGGTGGGTCATCTCCCGAAGTGACAGGCTGGCCGAGCTTGTCTTCAATTGACGCACGTCCCTTTCTGTGCTCCTGACCATCATCTGCTCTTTGCCTGAGTACCACCATCGACGACAAGCTGAGCAACAGTTCACGGTCATAACTGCTCCCACTGGCGACCCCATCTTGCGATCGAGCCGGCTCTCGCAAGCAACGTTCTCTCTCGTCCCCAACCGCACTCTGCATGACGATCCGTGCCTCTTCCTAGAGCCATCGTCAGCTCCTAGACAGGCATTATGCCGAACCTCCCGTCGAGCTCCTTTGTCTCGGAGGCGTCCACCACTCTTTCACACCGCAGGGGCTCCGAGCAGCTTCAGTCCGCTTACTTTGCACCACAAAATGCATCTCCTCCGCGTAGAGCATCCTTGGGGAATGTTGTACCTGCGGGCAGCGCCAACGAGATGCTCCGAGCTGCTTCCGCCATGGTCGCACAGGCCAGCTCAGGAGCAGAGGGCCTCCACGCCGTCAGTTCGGCGCTCCTCCATCAAGCGAAAGCACAGGCTTCCGCTGCTGCCCTCTCTTCCCAAGATGGCGACGCTGCCAGTACCATGCATCCCCAGTCCACCTCGATGACCCGCAACCTGTCCGATTCGGCCAACTACTCAGCCGCTATGAGTGCCCACATCGCCTCCGCTCTCGAGACACAAATGACCAGGCCCCAGCCTGCTTCCGAGCCTCCAAGTTCAGATGCTCCCATCAGTACAGCCAGCGATCCGCGAGCGTCGTTGCCAGGTCCTTCCAACCCAGAGTTGCAGATGAGCCGTATCGCTGCTCAAGCCGCGGCGCGCGAAGCGCAGACTCAGTGGCGTACTCAGTTGGCCTTGCGCCGATCCTCTTTGCAGACAGATGCCACAACGGCAGAGGCATCGAAAGCTGGCGCTTCTACCACCTCGACTTCGGTAGCGTATTCGAACTCCTCTACGGATGCTGCCTCCTCAACTTCTCGACCGCTATCGGTACCTGCAGAGACTCACGAAGAGTACGAAGGAAGAGCAAAGGATGGCGCAGACACGTCAGATATGTCGGTGACAGAGTACCTCTGCTTCCTCGGTCTCAGTCACATTGAGATGCCTTCGCAAGGCATCGAGCAATCCTTTGGTCGTCAAAGAAGCCCCGACTCTCGCTACTGGGATGCTACAAATCCGCACATGGGCTTCAGTCTCTCTGGCGTTCCAAGCATGCCTCTAATGCCGAACCCGCCATTGCAGATGCTCCCGCCTCCAGCCTCACCTTCGTTCCGCAGAAAGCAGTCGCGAGGCTACCCTTGGAACCGCCATCGATCCAGCGCCTCGGTCAGCTCTGCCAGCTCCGGTGACGCAAGCAATGACTTCGAGCCAAACGTCATGTCGCCGTTTCCCTACCCGTTTCAGGTGGTGCAGACTCCAGGAGGCACCGCCAGAGCGGGATGGTGGGTGCCCGTTTCCGAAGTGCCTCCCGAAAAGAGAGCAGAGGCTGTCAAGGTAGGTGATGAGCCGATCACCGCCTCTACACTCAGTTTCGACAGTGTCACAAAGCTAGCATCTGTTCCGGAGGACCGCACAGCACCAGGGCCAAGGCTCGATTACGATCACGAAGCGGAGCATCTCTTCCAACCCACCTACCGCGACTTTACCAAGGATGAGTACTCGACTTTGGCCACCGCCGCCGCATACGCAACCGCGGCACTCACCAGCATCGCTTCAACCCCAGGTGGTTCGAACCAATCCAACTCATTGAGGCCGCTCACGGCTTCGGAGCAGGAGACCATCGCTCATCAGCTAAGGGCCTGGGCAGGTCTCGACGGACCGCATGCTCAAGCTGAGGCCCGAAAGGCGCTCGAACAGCGTCAGATGCACCTCATTCACCAAGCGATCCGCAAAGATGCGTCGACTGCATACAGCACCGAACATGATCAACACAGCTCACCCGAGAAGATGGATCAACTCGTCGGGTCTGAGCAAGCGACCCGCTTCTTCCCACCAGACTTTGCGAGTCACTATCGCACCCAGTTACAAGCTCTCGCCGAGGGCTACTACACTCGACTCCACAACGAGAATCTAGCTCAAGCGCACTTTGCGCAACCTTCGGACAAGCAGCTCCGTGTGGATAATTTGTCCAATCAAAAGGAGGCTGCATCGACCAGAGATGCACACAAGACATCCGCAGTCGAGACCGCCCAGCTGCCAAGCAGTGATATCGAAGCCCTCAGCTCCATGCAGCCTCCTGTCCATACGCCGACCCTACGCGAAGGTGCACGCGATCCCGTCGAGCTTCTAAGCGCCGCTTCCACCGCTGCAGGGCAGGAGGTGTCTTCTCCCGAAGTGCGCGATCAGCTGCTTCAGTACGCCCACACTCTCTACACGCAAGGCAACCCGCAAGCCGATGCTACAGCAAAAGGCGTTGACAAGCTGCACCCGACACTGTTGCCGCTTCTGCATACACTCCACAAACTCCATCCGACGCACCTTCCCATCTTGTTGCTGCTGTCGTGCGCCTACTATGCCGCTCACAATTACGCCGGCTCCCTCTGGTATAACAACCTCATCCTTCGCATCGATCCCAACTACGTCGAGAGCATGAGCAACATCGGAACCACGCTACGAGCTTTGGGACGGTACCAGGAAGCAGAGAGCTGGTGGTGGAGGGCGGTTCGCCTTAGACCCGGCTATTGGGACGCCTACGAGAATCTCTTGGGGGTCATGTGTTCCGCCACCCCACAACCGGCGGCGAACAAGCCTGCCACCGGCGAAGAGACGACAGAGACGCCGCCGTCACAACCGCGTTTCAAAGAGGCGCTTCAGTTGTGTGAGCACGTGGAGACTCATGTCGTAGGACAGCAGAGCGCACCTGGCATACCGACGATGCCTCTGTATCTACCGCCCAATCTGCCTTTGACGCAGACACCTCGACTTCAGAACCTCTTCTACGCCAAGGGCAACCTCAAGTTTGTTCTGCCCGAGCTTGGGGCGGTGCCGGCTGCTGCAGAGTACCAGAAGGCGGTCGAAGTGGTGCTGTCCCTCGACTCTTCGGCCCGCTACGGTCTTCGCGACCTGGTCGTAGCCACATGTGCCGTCGGTCTGCTCTCCATGGGTGCCATGCTACCCGGAACAGCTGCTGCGGCTGCGGCTGTTGAGGTCGCGGTGGCGCTGGGCATCAATCCGACCAACCCAGAACATGCTGCCCTCCTGGCAAGCGGCGCTTTCCATCGCTTCTGCCCGGGAGGTATTCTCGCCTTGGTAAAGCTTTCCGGACATGGTGTGGTCAGCACGCTGCTGCGTCTCGGCAACGGTCAGCTTCCGATGCTACTGCTTCTGCCCGAGGCTGCTATGCAGCTGTGTAAGGTCATGTTTGCAGAGACCGGTGGCATCTTGCCTGCACTGACCCGATCGTCGCACGGCGTCAAGACGCAAAACGCAGCAACGCTGCAGCAGGCGCAGAAGCAAGCTGGGCAGACCACTTCGACCATCCTCTTGACCCTCGCCAAGCTTTTCCAGGATGCTACAGCGAGCCCAATCGCTGGGCCCCACGGTCCATTGACGCTCGGCGGCATCCCGCCTTCCACTTCGTTGCTTCTGCCGCTCTACTATCTATCCATCTCGATGCACGCGTCAGCTTCGACGTGTAACAATCTCGGCATCCTACTTTCGTCCATTCCCGTCGTGACCACGGTCATCAATTCGGTGGGTCAACCGCAACAGATGAACGGGCAGGCGCTGGCGATGCAGTACTACACGCAGGGGCTTCAGCTCGACTCTAGGCATCCCCACATCTACACGAATCTTGGGTCGCTGCTGAAGGATCTTGGCCACCTCAATGAGGCGATCAAGATGTATCAGAAGGCTGTCGAGTGCAACCCGAACTTTGACGTGGCACTCGCCAATCTGGGCAATGCCATCAAGGACCAGGGCCGCACACAGGACTCGGTCGCCTACTACCGCCGTGCAGTGCAGGTCAATCCGCACTTTCCCGAAGCACTGTGCGGTCTCGTCAACGCGTTGCTCGCTGTGTGCGACTGGAACGAAGTGTACACAGACAAGCAGGCAACGACACCGACACAGGAGAGCAGTGGCAGTCGCACTATCGGAAAGGCTACGTCGACTGCCGATGCTGCTGGCTGGATGGTCGACGTTTCGGAGCTGGTTACGAAACAGCTTCGTGATGCTTGCCACTACGGTGCAGGTGCATTCCAGACAGCCGGACAGATCCAAGAGTGGGTCAGAGCCATCGTTGAGGCGATGGGAGACACTCGCCCCGCTGCTCCGCAGATTTGGACGCAGCGTCTACTGCCTTTCTACCAGCCTGGCTTCGACAGGATTGCCAACCAAGTCTGTGAAGGCGGCTACCTCATTCAGCTCGTCGAGAGGATGATCCGACGATCGCAACGAAGATGGTACGTCGACGCGTATGGCGCAGGTGTGCTTCAAGCAATTAGGGAACTTCCGAGGGTGACAGCGGCAGGGACGCAGCGCTCGAGCTACGCGCGCCCGAAGCTGCCTTCCTGTCTGGTCACTCCTGCGGTACCGACTGTGCTGCCCTTCCATACGTTCACCTATCCTCTGTCTCCCCGTCAAATCAGGCTCATCTGTCACCGAAATGCACTTCGCATCTCTCAAAGCACCTTGACGCAGATGTGGGTGCCCGATGTGGTGTATCCGCCGCCCTCGCCGCCCGCACCCAAGATCAACATCGGATATGTCTCCTCGGACTTCAATAATCATCCACTGGCACACCTGATGCAGTCGGTCTTTGGCTTTCACGACCTGTCGCGCTTCAACGTCTTTCTGTACGCTACGACGCCTTCCGATGGAAGCCCCTATCGACAGAAGATCGAGCGCGAGGCTCAGCACTTCTTGGACGTGTCGGCCTGGTCGAATCAACACGTGGTCGAGCGCATCGTGATGGACAACATCCACGTGCTCATGAACCTCAACGGCTATACTAAGGGCGCACGCAACGAGATTTTCGCTGCTAGGCCTTGTCCTGTGCAGATGGAGTTCATGGGTTTTGCTGGTAGCATGGCCTCGCGCTGGACCGACTGGGTGGTGGCAGACCCTATCGTATGCCCTCCGGAGATGACGAGCGTCGACAGGTGGCGCCAGCAGAGGCAGTCGGCAGCTGCTAAAGGATTGGTAGCTCAGCAACGCGCGACCGATCTGATGGCAGACTTGGATCCGGAAGAGGCGTCTGACGAGTGGGTGTACCCAGATCGATTTATCTACATGCCTCATTCGTACTTTGTCAACGATCACAAGCAGGGCTTCAACGAGACCGTCTCTGCAGAGACGATCAAGCTCGCAACCAAAAGCATCGACAGTGGCAAGCAGCCGGCCGCCATCTCGGAGGATTCTCCCACGAACGAGCAAGTATGGGCAAGTGAAGAGTTGAAGCGCTACGCCATGCGGCGTGAACTCTTTCCCACGCTTCCGGATGACTATGTCATCTTTGCCGACTTTAACCAGCTCTACAAATGCGATCCGATGCTGTTCAAGCTCTGGCTTCGCATACTCAAGCGCGTGCCGAAATCCATCCTGTGGCTCTTGCGCTTCCCCGCAGCTGGCGAGCACCACCTGCTGCGGGAAGCGAGACAGTGTGCGGGCGATGAGGTGGCTTCGCGTGTCATCTTTACAGATGTTGCGCCCAAGCACATCCACATCCATCGCGGAAGGATCGCTGATCTGTTCCTGGACACCACCGAGTGCAATGCGCACACCACGGCGGCGGACATCTTGTGGTCGGCGACGCCGGTGTTGACGTGGCCGAGGCATCTGCACAAGATGTGCTCCAGGGTCGCGGCGTCGATTGTTCATGCGACTGGGTTTGGAGAGGAGATGACCGTGGGAAGCGAGGAGGAGTATGAAGAGAGGGCGGTGCAGTTGGCTGAGTCGCTGGAGTACGTGTATTACGATGAGAGGGGGAATGAGGTCGACGCGGTGGTGGATACGAGCAAGGAGAGGTGGGCGAGTCAATTGGAGGCGGATCCCAAGAGTGTCGCTGCTCAGCCGCATAGCACTGGAGTGGTGAGTACGGCGGCTGCAGCTGCGGAGGGATCGAAGACTTCGGAGCAGGACGGTGCTTCTGCGAAGGGCAGTGGTGCTTCTGCAGCGTCGTTGAGTGGAAAAGATGCTCCGGGCGGAACCAAAGACATTGAACATGCGTCAGGATCTGAAGGATCAGCAGCCAAACGAGCGCGATCCGCATCTGTGCTACCCGGCTCACCCGCCCCCGCACCCACGGGCGTCTCGCAGGCCGAGGCAGCCAAACACTCGGACGCCAACGCCTCGACCGACCCTCGTCTGGCAGCGTCGATCCCGCCTCGCGCGACGATCCGTCTGCCCGCCTCTCCCGACTATGCGGATGCCATAACACGTCGTTCGCGCGTCTCAGACCGAAACTTGGCAAGTCTACGAAGACGCCTCTTGTTGACACGCGAGGAGTCGAAGCTGTTCGACACGCGGCAGTGGGTGAGGGACCTGGAGAAGGGTTACGCGGAAGCTTGGACGAGGTGGGTGCTGGGTGTGGATCAGGAGGATTCGCCGGAAGTGGAAGCCCTGGATCCAGAGAGTGAGATGGGCAGGAGGTTGACAAGGTCCGGACACATTTGGGTGAACGAGCTTTGACAGAGTTTGATCAGACATTTGCCGCGGATACAAATGAATTTTTTTTCGATTGATCTAGTTGTCGTCGCTATCCATGAGTTCTGCCAGTTCAGCTTCTTCCTCGGCGGTCATTTGAGTTGCATCGTCTGTGGGGAGTTTTGAGTGTGCGGTGGGGGGTATGGAGTACTGATTCCACTGTTGTTGGTGTGGTTTTTCGGAGTCGTCTGGTGAAGGTTTGACGAGTTGCGGTGGGGGGAAGGATGGGAGGGTGGCGAGGTTGAATCTGCGGATGGAGGCGTCTAGGGAAGCGGAGATGATCCAGACTTCTGGAGTGGAGGAGGGGGGAAGGATGGGGGAATTGGGTGAGGGGGGACGGATGTACAGTGCGAGGGAGGTGAGCTCGTGCCAGTGGGCTTCGATGAGGATAGGGGGTGAGGAGGGGGTGGGGTAGATGTGGAGGTGTTCGTCGGATCCACCGGTGATGATGGAGGAGAGGTTGGTGGTGGGGAAGAGGGGGAGGGGAAGGATGGATTTGACGAAATCGGTGTGCGGGAGGTGAATGTAGGGCGTGGAGAGAGGAGGTTGGGTTCCGAGAGGGATGGTTTTGCTGGAGCTTTTGCCGGAAGATGGTTGGAGCGAGGGTGAAAGTCGATACCCCGCAGCAGATTTATCCCCGGAACACGCCCATATCTCTCCAACCAGACGAAACCTCTCCCCCTCGTCATCCTCCTTCACCTCGCTGACGAATTCGTCCTCCTTCCAGTTGGCAGAGTCGCTCTCGTCGACGCGTGCGAAGCCGAGCTTGAGATCGTACACGGCGGTGGAGAAGCCTTGGATCTCGCGCAGGACTTCAAGACGTAAGGATTTGGGGTTGAGCGTGTGTTCGAGGATGCGACCCATGCTGTCTGCGGAGTAGAGGTGGGTGGTTCCGCGGAGGGTGGTGAGCGAGGAGAGGGTGTTGATGGGTCGGAGGTGGGGTTTGGACTGGTGGAGGGAGCGCAGGGTGGTTGGCGTTGAGGAGTTGAGGAGGGGTGAGGCGTCCCATACGATGATGGATTTGTCGCTTCCAGCGGTAGCGATGTACGGTTTGCCGTCGGAGAGGAAGACGTGTACGCACTTGATAAAGTCGTCCATGGCATTGGGGACCGTCAGTACGGGAGTGGGATAGACCACCTTGTCATCGTCATCGTTGCGGTCGACAACGCGGTACACCCGGATCGCTCTATCCCACGATCCCGTGACCAACAACTTTCCACCTCCCTCCGTCGTGATAAAATCAAACCCGGGCACTGGAGCCTTCGCACCCCTGTACACCGCCCTCACCACGCCACTCTCCACATCCACCTGCCTCACCACCCCTCCCGCCTCGCTCGTCCATATCCACCTTTCCTCGTCCACCTTCATATCCAGCACACGGTACCTCCCACCATCTGCACCGGATCCTTCCACCGCCAGATCATCCGGATTCTCAACGACTGCGGTGCCAAAGTTCGGATTGAGGTGGATCGGATACCCGTAGCGTTGATTTGCGGTCAAGGTGGAGGACGCATCGTTGGGGGAGACGAGTCCGGATGTGTGGACCGCTTTTCGAGCTCGGTACGCTCCGAGCGCTTCCGAGTACGAGGTCTGGAAGAGCGTGGCGTTGGACGTCGTCTGCATGGCGGGACCGAAGGATTGCCGTATCAAGAGCCACTTCGCTGAGATCACTTGCTTGATGCCGGAGTAATCCGTTCGTCCTTCGAGGGATGCGCTCTGCGATATGGTCGTGTGCGTCCCTCCGATGATGGTCGTGTCAAGGCGAGCGGTGAAAGGGCAAGTTCGAGGAGAAACGCCGCTTTCTTCTCAAAGAAAAAAGTGTTGGACTCGACGCGTCCCTTTGACCACTTTACACGCCTCGAAATCCTTCTTATCGCGCGGAAACTGGCTCCGTCTCGTATCAATGACGAACGGATCAAACAGCGATGGATGTCACGACTTCGTTACACTATGCTCAACGCAAACCCGTTGCGGCACCCACACTCGACTTCCAGCTCGAGCAGATTCTGGTCAAAAGCTGTCGTAAGAATCTTCTTTTATTGGGGAGAAAAAGGGGGCGAAACAATAACGATATTACACAACATTGAGAGGCGCATCGACTTCCTTTACACCGGGAAGAAACGAGGAGAAGCAACCTTTTGTGAGCCAATAGCATCAACGGAATGTGCTATGCTCTCCCACGGCTACATTCCCCACCGTCAAGGCGCCGTCACATCTCGCATTGCCAGATCCCCGCTTACTTCTTGAGGAAAGCCTCGAGCGAGTCCATCGACATGGACTTGGGGCGCTCGATGGGCATACCCAGGTATCGGTCGGCGACCAACTGGGGCAGAGCACCGATGGCACGCGAGATACCGAAGATGACCGTGTAGTAGGTGAACTCGGTGAGGCCGTACTGGTACAGAACGCAACCGGAAGCGGCGTCGACGTTGGGGAAGGGGTTCTTGGTCTTTCCGTGCTCCTTGAGAACACCGGGGGCCACCTGGCTGACCTTCTGGACGAGCTGAACGATCGAGCTGTCGCGGAGCTCGGGGCGGGTGTCGCAGAACTTGCTCAGAGCGGTGAAACGCGGGTCGGGCTGACGCAGGACGGCGTGGCCGTAACCGGGCACGACACGGCCCGACTTGAGCGTCGACCAGAGGTACTCCTTGATCTGCTCGTCCGAGGCGTTCTCGCCGACGGCCTCCTGCATGGCGAGCGCCCAGCCGAGAACCTCCTGGTTGGCAAGACCGTGCAGCGGGCCGGCGAGACCCAGAAGAGCGGCCGAGTACGACAGGTAAGGGTCCGAGAGAGCCGAACCCACCAGGTGCGCAGTGTGCGCCGAAACGTTTCCACCCTCGTGATCACCGTGGATGGCAATGTACAGACGCAGGTAGTCGGTCATACCCTGGTTGTCGCCGTAGCCGATCATCTTGGAGTAGTTTCCGATCAGGTCGAGGCTCGAGTCGATCGCCTGCTTGCCATCACCGCGGCCGAAGACGTTGTAGTAGATACGAGCGGCCACGGCGGGCAGCTTGGCGATGAGGTCGATCGAGTCCTCGAGAACGGGGGCCCAGTACTCCGTCTTCTTGATACCCTTGGCGTAGGCGGCGGCGAACTTGCTGTCGTGGTTGAGCGCAGCGACGGCAGCGGCGAACTGGGTCATGGGGTGGAGCGTCTTGGGGAACGAGTCGATGATCTTCTCGACGTGCGCGGGGAGAGCACCCTTGGCAGCGAGCTCGGCGGAGAGGTTCTTGACCTCCTCCTTGGAGGGGACGTTGCCGGTCAAAAGGAGCCAGAGCATGGACTCGGGAACTGCAGGCCGAGGAGCAGAAGCAGATTTGCAGAGCATCGGGCGAAAGTGAAGAAAGGAGGAGATAAGAGAATTGTCAGTGGACCGGTTCCAATTCTACTTCCTGCCTTGTGGCCAAACCATCAGTCCAGCCCTGCGAAGGCTGTCATGAACAGAGCGAAGCGACTTGGCAAGAAGCTTGAAAGAGCAGCCTCGATCAGCAAAGCTGAAAATACTTACGGATCTCGTTACCGTTGAGGCCGAGGTCAGCAGCGGTGGGGAGGACCTTCTGGGAATCGGGGATCGACTTTCCGTGGAAGGTGATACCGGTCTCGGAGTCGAGAACGGAGCCCTCCCAGAGCATGACCTTGAGACCACGCATACCACCGAGGAGGTGCTGGAGCTGGATCTCGCCGAGCTTGGACTCGCCGTGCTCAGCCTTGAGCTTCTTGAGCTGCTCCTGCTTGGCAGGGATGATCTCGGCGACGGCGTCCTTGAGCGTCTTGGTGGAGGCGAATCGGACGGAGCCAGCGCCGGCGGCAGCGGCGAACTGGCGGGTAGGGGCGGCAGCCCGGAGAGCGAGACGGGGGACGGTGAGCGACAACATCTTGTGCGGAGAGGGGAGGCCAAGATAGGATGGTGATGGTGGAGGAGGAGGAGAAGAGCTAAGGAAGTACCGACGGACAAAGAGATCCGAGGATAGGATGGTTTCGGCGGGCACGGCTCAGGTGGGTGAGTGAGCGAGCGTGTCCGAGCGAGCGAGCAAGCAGGCGAGCAGATGAGCGAGGCACGGCCAGAAGCTGGATGCAACGATTTCGCTGCTCAAAGCCGGACAACACCAAACCAGAAAAACTCCGAAGAGGCGCTCTGCTGTCTCGAAACAAAAGGCCAACGAAAAAAAAAAAGAAAAGCGACGGGCGAATCGGAAGCTGAAAAGCGAGATTGGCCGGCAGTCCAAAATGTCCACGGCTGCAGAGGCAGAGCGACCGACAAGAAGAACACAGACGCGAGTGACGAAATGACGATGAAAGTCCATCTTTTCTTCGCATCTCTGTGTCCTTCAGGGCGGGAGCCGACCGACAGCACAGGAAGAACTCCAAGCAGTGAGAGTGCGCTCCCACGGCCCCTCAAAATCCAGATTTTCGCGGAGAGATCGGTGGAGGGAGGCGTTGAAAAAAAAGATAAATTTAAAATGCAGATCATCCCCCAACAGCCTTCTACACTGCCAACAGCTGCAACATCAGTTCAACTGAGAATCTCTAGCTTGTGAGCTCGTGGAGATAACCTTGAGACTTCAAGGCCAGACCGCTGCTGAGATCCTTCAGGAAGCGGCGTAAGAAAGATCCAACAGCCTACTTAGAACAACGTAGAGATGTATTTCAACCACCGGAATTCATCCGCTCCTTCGCATCGATCGATTATCGGATTTCACGCCCGAGTCGCTCGTTCACGGCAGCCCCTTCTCGCACCGTACTTTCCAACCTCTCGTATCAGTTGACAGCTGCTTGCCCTTGACTGTCTGTCGTCAAGCAACGTCTTTGATGAGCTCTCTGTCCTTGCTCGATTCGAAGATCGACTTCTGGATCAAGTACAAAGCGTGGTGAAGGCGTGTCTGACCCGATCTGGACGGCAGTCTCTCCGCCCCAAAATTCGTCACTGCATATCGACCTGCCGGCGAGCGGATTTCATGCGCACTGCGTGATAGTTTGCTTCGTCCTTCGGATCAACCGGCTCTTGAAACGGAGAGGCCGGCTTCCTCTCTATGCTGCCTTTCTACCGTAGCTCCCCCCAGCAATGTGAGATCGAACCTTGGCAGCTTTTCAAGGAGGAGCCGTGAAAGCGAGCAAGATCTTCTCTCCACGATGTTGGCCTACATCGTATTGAAAAACGAAGCTTTCTCTCCGCCAGCTCAAAGACATTCGACGACGAGAGGATGAGCAGGCCGAAAGGCGAACCTGTCACCGACTTCCGCATACCCCGCTCTCATGCTGACAGGGATTTGCACCTCGACAGATCGTGTCACTCCTCGGCGACCCTAGTGGACAGAAGAATGCGGGGGCCCGCTCAGAGCCGCGGTGTTTGTGCTCGCCCAGGTGAGCGGATACTGCCAAGTGATGATGCTCATGGGGAAACCGGCTAGCATGTCGATCCGAACGCCGAGCTTTGAGCGTCCGTCACTTGGCTCCCTTGGCGCTCGTGAGTCCTGGCGAACTTCGTATGGATGTCCGCTAAAGACTTTCCCTTTCTAACGGTGCTGGATCGCGTTGATCCGTGTTCGTCCGACCTGAAAAAAGGCGTTGAGATGTGTTAGAGCGAGACATCCGCAAGATGAAAGAAATTCGGCGACTCATTATGTCATGCTTTCATATTCAACACGGACCAGCGTGACACGCAGGGACACGTCGATGCAGCAACTCCGGGTGCCGGACTAGTTAGAACAACACTTCAGTCACCACATCGTCTGCTCTCGCTTCAACATCACCATCGATCCTAAGCACACCGAGGCATCGACGCAAGCGGGGAGCGTCGACCACCCACCATGAATCGCCGCGCAGGCGCGACCGACCGTCACGCCCTCCTCGCAGGAGGAGCCTACCCCTCCTCATCCTCGCTCTCCGCCTACCGCTCCTCCTCGCCCTACGATTCCAACCCTTACCCCTCCACCTCGACCTCCAACGGCACCTATCACAGCTCCGACTCCATCGGCGCACCCAAAAAGGAACCTCCACCGTCTGATGGCCCCTACGGCGGCAGCTCGATCTTCGGTCGAGCAGCTTCGGCCTACTCGGCAACTCGAACAGCCGAAGACCTAGAAGAGCAGAACGATCAACGTCTCGAAGGTCTCACCGCTCGGGTGTCCATGCTGAAAGAAATCACGCTCAACATCGGTACCGAGGTAAGGGAGTCCACCAAGGACATGGGGGTGTTGGGCGAGGCGTTTGAAAACACTTCGGCGTTCTTGGGAGGCACGTTCAAGAGGATGAACAAGATGGCCAAGAGACAAGGTGGATGGTTCTGCAACATGATGCTGTTTCTGCTGTTTGTGACGTGGCTATTCGTAAGTATTGAATCGGATTCGAGACAGAGAGAGGCGATATGGCTGACACGTGCATATGCATGGTATTCTTGCCGCTTTGCGTTGGAGCATAGGTCTTCCTGTGGTGGTGGAGACGATGAGCATCGAATCTTTCGGCTCGATATTCAGTCTTCGTATGCGTTCTTTCCACGGCTCCCCATCGCAAAAACCTCATCAGGTGTATTTGTATCGCAAACTTCCAAATCGCAGTATCCAAGTCTATGTTTCGGTCCAAACACCCCGCGGTGATGTCGCATTTCGACGGCGTATCTACTCATCAATCACAAGCGCCGAGGCAAGCATTCGGACCCAAGCTGGGAGTTAAGACGGCAGCGATCATGATTGGAACGAACAAGAGCGAGTCTTCCAGGAGACGCTGTGCAGAAAGGAAGTCATACGAACACGCAAGCTAGGAGGGGGATGGCTCAAGGGAACACCGGTGTTCCCCGAGTTTGGCAACGGGGTTGCAACGACGAGCAAAGTCAGAGCAGAAAGAAAAGCGAAGCGAAAGAGCGGAGAGCTTGGTCTGGACAGGCCAACCCATCAACCCTGCAGCAGCTTGGGACCGAACAGCGCGATATCCCAAGGGTTGGGCTTCTGGCCGCTCCTGTACATCTGCAGACCATGAATCCTGCCTTCGGTCAAACTTCCACTCGGGCTCAACTTCTTGAACGCCGACTTGGTCAGATCGACGTGGTTCTCTCCACAACCCGCGCACTTATCGATCACCCTGACCTGAACACAGTGGTTGTTGGCGTCCTTGTTGCAGAGCTTGACAAACTCTCCACACTGAGGGCCGTCCGTCCAACCTTTGACGACGGCACCGATGTGCGAGCTGTTCTCGGGTTGCCAGCTTCCACCACCGTTACCGCACTGAGGGTTCTGCAGGTCGTGCGAGGCGTACCACGTGATCTGCACGTTGTTCGACCAGAGCGAGTCCGAGGAAGCGGGACCGACCGTGAACAGCTTGCGCGAAGAGGTCTTGGATTTGTGCTTGCGAGAGTGTTTGTGGTGGTGCTTGGTGCGTCGCATAACGGAACGCTGCTCGAGCTGTTCGGGCGTGTAGTCGTCGTCGTCCTCGTCGCCAAAGACAGAGTTGATGTATTGCATCGGTTTGCCTTCGTCGTCGAGGTCTTCCGAGACGCCTTTGGAGAGCGTCTGGATGGGCGGCTTGGCGGCGTCGGCTTCAGCAGCGGTAGCAGTGACGGCGACAATGGCAAAGGTGGCCATGATGGCGCTGAAGAGTGTGATGCGAACCATGTTTGGCGTGATTGGATGAGAAACGTTTCGAGAAAGGTGAAGAGTTGTACAGCACAGATGGAGAGACTTGTGATCAAAGAGCGTGACCGGATGACGGAGGGTGAATTCGACGCGGGAACACAAGGATCAGAGGGGGAAGGCGGAGGTGGCTATGAGAGTGGAGAGGAGAACGGAGGGGATGGATGATGGTGGCGAGGGTGATGGGAGAGAAAGGGTTGGATGGATATACAATTCAGGGTGGACCTCGAAGAGCCTACTCCTGCCTACGGCTGGCAACGCGAGCGCGCGGAGGTATGTGTACGGCAGCGGCATGGACGGGATGGCATCACCTGCGCCTGAAACCACGGCGGCGGCACAGACGCCACAACACGGATCCCTGATGGCAGGCCTGAGACCAGACTCAAAGACCAACAGCAGCTCCAGCCATTGATTGTACCTGAACGCTCACTTAGCTCCATCACTGCCGCCACTTGCGATCCCTCGACGGCTGTGTAGTTCTCGATCTCCGCGAGCTGCCTCGTGTGTCTTACGACCAGCGCTCGACGGCAACCGCAAAGAAAGAGATTCGGCATGGAACATTTCGGCGGCATAAGGCTACGGTAAGCGAGCGGTGGAGGAGCCACGATTTCCTGACGACGTGACCTTAAGATAGCAACACGTATGCATGCAGGCAGCAACGGCACGCCAGAGGTAGTCCTGCGGAGGGGGTAGAAAAGATATCGCGATGGTACCGTCCAACCGACACAATGGAAGGGCTCGAGAGCACGGCTGTTCGAAACAATGAGATATGGCTCGAGCCAGAAGCTTCTCCCAGCGCATGCTAGCAGGAGTATGAGCGCCCCAGCGTGCAGGCCTTCATGCACCTTGAATCGCGTCGCTCAACAGCCGGGCCGTCGAAGAGGAAAAAAGGGGGTGCCGGTTGGCATTCAAGACACCAAGATCGACATTGCATCTGCGACGGACGAGTCGATCCCTTGACAGCCCTCGCTAGCTATGTCCACAGCCAAACAAGACTTGTCGCTCTCAGGCAGCCGAA